TAATGTAAACCCTAATGTAAACCCTAATGTAAACCCTAATGTAAACCCTAATGTAAACCCTAATGTAAACCCTAATGTAAACCCTAATGTAAACCCTAATGTAAACCCTAATGTAAACCCTAAAAGGGAGACTATCGATTACCATAAACTCTGAATGCAAGCTCGTGTCAATCTATCCGCCCTGACGGGACCCTGGCATCGGGAATTGACTCCCAAGCTCCCGGACCGGAGTTGCTGCGACCATGCTTTGATTGCCATCGACACGAAGATGGTGTCGATCGCCGGGATTGAGTTCCTCAGGAGAAGGCGACGGGGCAGGACTCTAGCCGGGCACGGCAATTGCCAGCGGAGGTGTGGAGAGGCCCTGGCGATCATTGTCTTCGCCGGTGGACCCGCGCAGGAACCACCGGCTTCTATTCGCGCCGGCATCCCAGGAGATTTGGGGACTGTCAGATTAGCTTTTCTGTACTCCACCTACTACGAGATGCGATCGACACGTTGAGATGCTGGCGAGGAAGGAAATTTCAAATCACTGGAAGAGATGGTGCGGTTGAGGAGTCAAGCTCGTACCGCAATGTTGACCCTCATGCCACAATATTGGTCTGGCATATCGATCCCATGCATACTGCTTAAATGACATGTTTGGTCCGGAGGGCAGACGTGTGTCGACTAAGCCCTACGAAGGTCAGAGTCCCGGGAATTTGTGCTCATTGACATCGGACTACTACAGAGCATCGCGTGCGAATGTCAATCAGGAGATGAGTGGAGTGATTATGGATCGATGCTTTTGATAGACACTACTAGTCTGCTTCTCTGGCGGATACCCATGAAGTCTGTCCTTGCTGCGGTCGTGATAGTGGATTCTGACCGAGTAATGGCCGCGCGACGAGAGATATAAAGCCTCGAGCTGTTCCTCCAGATGCTCTCCTTCATCCAACCAACCCATTCATTCATTCCTTAACTGCAATCCTAGGCCACCGAGCCCAAGTCACTCTTTTTAGTCACTCCTTCCAGTCGTTCATTCAACGCCGAACTTCTTTTTTCTCTCCGCTTCAAGACAACACTTCTTAGGTACTTTCCATCATCGGACTCCTCTCATGACCTTTTAAGATGAGAAGCTAACTCGACAGCAGGATACCCCTTCTACCTCCTCAACCATCACCATGCGTTTCGAAATCACCGCCACCGCTCTCTCCATGTTTGCCGCCGTCGCCTCTGCGACCTCTCAGGCCGGTTCGGTCGAGGCTCGCGGCGCGGACCTGTCCCAGATGCCCGCGTCCAGCCTGGCGTCCGGCCTGGTTAGCAAGCTGCCCGTGCAGGTGGACGTGAACGACTACGACAAGTCCAGCGGCAACGTCGGCGTCGGCATCGTGGCCAACCTGGGCAACATCCCCATGATCGGCTCCCTTCCTCCCTTCACCCGCACCGTGACGGTGAACCTGACCGTCAGCGGTCTCTCCGGCTTGCTGCCCAACTAAGTGGGTTGAAGGAGGACTCCGGAACTGAGATGGTGTACATAATTGAAACCTGTTGAAACTTCGTGCATAATAAGAATCCGAATTATCAATCTAAATAACCCCGTTAACTCCGACCCCGCGGTGACGTCATTTGCCGTGTGCATTTCTCATCTTTCGGCTGGTTTTCTTTCTCGTCTTCCGTCGTCTTCGGTGTCTTCTTCACCTTCGTCCTCTGTGAACCACTGAAGCTTGCTCAGCCATGGCCACCCCCTCGACTCCCCATGTCAAGCTGAATGACGCCGTTTCCATCCCTATCGTGAGTCCCTTATTTGTCTCGTCGGCCAACTCGGACTGACACCGATCAAGCTCGGGTATGGTACCGGCACCGCCTGGTACAAATCGGCCGGAGACACGGCCATCAACCGGGGACTGGTGGAATCCATCAAGACCGCCATTCGACTGGGATACCGGCATCTGGACGGTGCCGAGGTGTATGGGACCGAGGCCGAACTGGGCGCCGCTATCCAGGAAAGCGGCCTGCCGCGGGAGGAACTGATCGTGACCACCAAAGTGAGCACCAACGTGGCCGATATTCCTGGCGCCATCGACCAGAGCCTGAAGAAGCTTCAGCTGGACTACGTGGATCTGTGAGTTCCGTCATGTGCGCGTCAACCGGTCTCTGCTTTCTCACAGTCTCCCGCCAGATACCTGATTCACCAGCCGTTCTTCGCCCAATCCGACAGCGATCTGCAGAGCGCATGGGCCGCAATGGAGGAGGTGCAGCGGTCGGGCAAGGCGAAGGCAATCGGAGTGTCCAACTACCTGCGGTCGCATCTCGAGGCGACGCTGCAGACTGCGACCATCCCCCCGGCTATCAACCAGATTGAATTTCACCCTTACCTGCAGCACGGCGACCTGCTGGAGTTCCAGCGGGAGAAAGGGATCAAGACGGCCAGCTACAGCCCTCTGACCCCGGCGACGCGCGCGCAGGGCGGACCGGTGGACGCGACCGTATCGGCGTTGGCCAAGAAGTACTACGTCTCCGAGGGCGACGTGCTGCTGCGCTGGTCCATCGACCGAGGGGACGTCTCGGTCACCACCAGCTCGAAGGAATCGCGACTGCAGGAGTACCTGCGCGTGCTGAAGTTCGAGCTGACTCCGGAGGAGGTGGACACGATTTCTCGTCTCGGACAGGAAAAGCATTACCGAGCGTTTTGGGGGAAGAAATTTGCCGAGGATGATCGTTCGTAGACCGCTCCGATCATTTGGGCTGTGAATATCATCAAGTCCTGTTTAGTATAGATGAATACACGAAACATAAAACATGAATGCTTCAGACAGTAATGTGCAGTGGTATCCATAGCGCCCTAAAATCAGACTGCAGACTTTCGACTCGGGCTGATGACTTGATCGAGTCTAAATAACTTCTTCCAGGGGGCGAATTCTTCTCGACTCTTGGTGATTTCTGTGCAACCGACGACCGACGACGAGGTGACTGGTTGGCCGGCGAAACGCCACGACGGAGCAAGGAGATTAAAGCAAACAAAGACGCCCATTTCCACTTGCCGTCTAGATCCATGGGTCTTTTGAGCTCCGAGCTTCTCAGGATGTATCACCTCTCGCGTGGGTGTTTCGCTCTGTCTTTGCCTCGCCGCGGTTTTCTATCCAGGCGGCCACAAGGCTCATTTCATCTCGGACAATACCCAAAAGTGTTTAGTTCGCCTCATTGAGAGGTTCGAAGGGGTTTTTCATAATGAAACAGGTTTCCAATGGCCTGAATTCGAACTGTCCTCAACCCATTCACCTTCAGTCCCTCGGCTTGGCTGATCAATCGCCATGTAAACACATCCCGCTGGCCTCGAGCGAGGGAATTGCAGGGCAAGGGATCCAAACAGCGTACATCAGGTTCCTCCAGCGTCCCGGCCGTTGGCTACTCGATAATCAGATTGGTATGTGAACTCCGAATCTCCCGTTCGCCCTCCTTGAAGTGTCCGCGGTCGCGCGTCAACTGTCAAAGCCACCTACGCTTCCACATGTACTAAAGTCTGCCATTCACTGCATAAGGATTCTCTTCTGTCTGCATCGCCGTCCTTCTCTTCACACACCTCTGCGTGCCGGAAGCGCGATTCCACGCATCCAAGTTCCTTTTCATTTCGCATCACAGCGCCAGTCGAAGGACCTACGCGGTCGGCGGAGATGACTTCTACTTCACCGGCTTCTGCATCGTCCTCTTCACCGGGCTCCGTGCCGCTCTCATGAAGTACATTCTGACCCCGTTGGCCAGGCATTTGGGGATATCCAGAACGAAGGACGTCAACCGGTTCGCCGAGCAAGCGTGGCTGCTCTGCTACTACTCGGTCCTGTGGACGCTAGGCATGGTGAGTGGCGGATTGCGCGAAGATCCATGAGAGCCTTCTGGGGAACTGACGGGTTCGTAGTACATCTATTGCACCTCCAGCTATTTTCTCAATTTGAAGGAGCTGTGGACCGAGTGGCCCACGCGGGAGCTGCCGGGGATCAACAAGATATACATTCTGGGGCAGGGGGCATTTTGGTTGCAGCAGCTGCTCGTTATCCACATCGAACAGCGTCGCAAGGACCATTGGCAGATGCTGGCTCATCACACCATCACGATCATCTTGATTTCCACGTCGTATGTCTGGCACCTAACCCGGGTGGCCAATTTGATCCTGATCCTGATGGACGTGGTTGACATTCTCTTCTCGGTATGTCTCCCTACGTCTCTCCCCTGACGGCAGATGATCTGATCCGACAAAGCTAGCCAAGTGTCTGAAATACCTAGGCCTATTCACCCTCTGCGATGTCATGTTCGGCGTCTTCATGCTATCGTGGTTCTTGGCTCGGCACGTCTTCTACCTCCTCACGATGTGGAGTATCTATACCCACATGGTTGACATAATCCCCGTCGGCTGCTTCCACGGATCGCAGGACAATCTGACAGGTCCCACACCTCTGCCCGAGCGAGGGTGGTCACAAATTCTGGATCCCTTCCGAAACCCGTCCGGCACGATCTGCTTCAGTCGCGGGGTGAATTGGGCCTTCTTGGGGGCCCTGGGGTTTCTGCAGTTACTGAACTTGGCGTGGCTCGTCATGATTGTGCGGGTGGCCGTTCGGGTTTTCAAGGGCCGCGGCGCGGAGGATGTACGCAGTGAAGATGAGGACGAAGACGAGAAACCAGTCCAGACAGGCGAGTGCGACGATGCTTCATCTCGTGCAAGGGCGATTGGCGTGGCCGCGACGGATCTTAAAAGCCCGATGCGCATGACGAGTGTGAAGAGAACTGCCCATTCGACAAGCGTTGGTTTGCCGCGGCGCAGCGATCAAAAGCAATTGCTGGGCCGACTGGGCTGCGAGAGACAAATTTACTAAGACATGGTGTAGAGTTACTTGTATCCGGGAGATTCGGAATGGTGGATCATGGCAATTTTCAGCTCCAGATCGTTTCAATGAGTACCGTGCACGTTTATATGTTCGGTATTTTTATTTTTATTGGTTCTATCATGATCATTTGATCTCTAAAATTCTATCAATCATCACACAAAAGGTCGGATGCATGGGCCTGCGCTCCGGAGCCGGGCCCGCCACATCGAAGTCTATGTCTAAAGTGAAGCCACAAGTGAAGGAAAGAAAGATGGAAAGAAAGAAAGAATATCCAAAGCGCCGTAAAAGTCCAGGTTATCTCTTGTTCTCGTAAATCGACCGTTCCTGCGTTCCTGCCGGGGTGGAGTGGTCGTGGTGCACACCAACCCTTTAACCCAAGGTCAGGGTGAAGCCGGAGCTGGACGAGCAGCTGTTGGTGTCCTTGTCGTCGGGGTTCTGGTAGGATTCGGCGCAGTTGCTGTCACCGGCCGAGCAGGAGACGGACTTGCAGCTGGAGTCGGAGGGGCTTGCGGAGAAGCCGGCGGAGACGAAGTCGGAGCTGGAGTCCAGGTCGATGGAGGACAGGTCCCAGTAGATGTCGTCGCCGCTGGTGGTGTACTCGAACTGCAGGACGCTGTCCTGGCTCTCGGAGGTGGACAGCTTGATGGAGATGCCGCCGCCGTTGGAGTTGGTCTGCCAGTCCTCGGAGTAGGTGCCGCCGCCGGAGTTCAGCTTCTGCATGCTGCCGGCATCGCTGGAGGTGGACCACAAGTAGACGGTGGAGTCCAGGTTGTTGACGATCTGGACGCCGCCGCCGCCGCCGCCGCCGGAGCTGGAGCCGGAGCTGGCACTGGAGCTGGCAGCTGTTCCGCTGGAGGTTGCACTAGGCGCGGGCTTGGGGAGAGCCGAGGCGGCCACGGCGAGGGAGGCGGTCATGAAAGCACGAGTGAACAACATTGTGAATGTGTGTGAAGGAAAAGATTGCAAGACTGAAGATTGCAAGATTTTAAAGATGGAGTGTCTGTCTGTTCAACAGAGGGACTGGAAGTCAGAAAGGAAAGTAGCAGTGGAGGATCAACCTCGACTAAGAAAAGAAAGAAGTGAGAGAATGTGATTTGAACAAAGGACTGTGTTGTTGATGAATGAGAGATGAGATTGTGCGGGCAATGGAGGATATTTATCCATTGCGGTGGAGTCGAGGTGGCCGGTCTCGACACTTCGAGACGTCTGCGATTCGCAAGCATGGTGGAGTTGAGGGGTGATATGTCAGATCTCCAGTTCTCCAACGGCCATCCTCCATTTCCAGCAGAGTTGCCATCTTTAGGACGAGGTCCGATGGTAGGGCGAACCCGCAGTGGAGCCCAGCATGTGGTCTCGACTCGCTGCCCTGACGCGGCTTTCTTTTCCACCACGCCTGTTGGGCAGTCGGGGAAATGGACCAGAGCAGCGCCTTGGGACGAGTGGGACGGTTCCTGACATGACGCGGTGCAGGTGGCAAGCAGCCGTCAGGTTCTGCGTGGCCACCAGGAACTCCAAGACGATGGAGGATGTGAACCAGACTCTCGGGGGAGGTCGACGGGGGATTTCCACTTTTCCACTGGAGGGCCTCAGGCTGCCAGGCAGGAACGGAGGTTACGCAGGCCCTACGACTTGGAGAGACTCAGACTTCTAAGTAGACTACATACTACGTAGACGACAGAGTAGGGATACGTAAGAACCAGGCGTATTTCAGCCACACACTAGCTCTTAATTTATGTCTGGCAAGTACCGACGACTCAGGCTAGAGGAACTGCTAGATCTCAGAAATCAGAATGTCATGTAGAGCAGTTCTGCAGGGCTTGGACTACAATCTGTCGGCAGTCAAGAGTCCTCCTCTACCCGACAGCTGCACCAACTCCAACGAAGAGTTTGACAACCAGCCAGCCATCGAGAGCCAATGTCTTCCTCGGCGCAGACCCTCTCTGGTCACCTGACCGTCACCTGACCGAGTCCCGAGTGGCTGATTGGTCCGGAGAGAATCGGCAGAAAAGATCAGTCTCCCCCTTGCATCATCGGTTCCATTCATTCCTACGAGGTGGACTAGGAAAGTGGTGGCAACGGGCAAACCGCAGTCGAAGAGTTTTCAGGCGACCGTTCGACAGACAATGGCTTTGCTGCTCGTCATCCGTGGGCGTCCCTGCACTGGCCACGACGATGCAGCCCCGACTTTTACCGGAGGATATTCGCCCCCGACTGGATCGGATCTCACACGAGAGGGATTCGGGAGATCGGCCGGGCCAGACAGGCTAAGCGTGGCCATCTCTGCGTTAGGAAGGTGCTCTCCTACCGAGTAATGGAGCGGATGGATGGATCCTTAGCCTACGCAGGACAGCCATACGAACCGCCAGCCCGCAGTCTCACTCCGCAGATTGACGCCTTTCTGGTCCTTAGCTTGGAGGGATGCTGACCCCTGACGGCTGCATGAAGCTGACTCGAACTCGAAGGCCGACGAAAGGAACCGACTGGCTAAGAATAGAACTCGACCAGAGGAATCCATCCGGAGTCGCTTAGGGCTTCCCGATGCGAGGCCTGAGGCACGTGGCATCGTGCCTTGGCGGCCTTGGTGCCTGTTATGTTAGTCTTAGTTTCCTGGGAAGCTCTACCTTCTCCTCCTCCCTCTCCCTCCTCCCCACTTCACTGCACGCCATCGCATCCTCGTCATCCTACTGGCCATCCTCCGTTGCCATGAGGCGCCCGGGATTGTCATCCCATGGCCTTTCTTCGGCGCCGAATTTCGACAGAACCTCCACGCTAAGCCCGCCAGGAATGCTGCTGCTGCAACCCCTCTTCGTATCCGCCCTCTCGCGCTACTCCTGCACTTCAGCGCCCTTCGTATTCTCTCCGTCGCTTCGTTCGACCACTTTTTATCCGGTTCCCTTCAGCCGAGAACCACCGGCCTGCCTATCGGGGAGATGAGCCCGGTTTCAGGCCTCTGATCTGACTTGCCGATCCGCCCGTGAACACGAGTTGACGACCTCGACCCCTGTCTGCCGGCAAATCATTGGCGTCTCAACGCCTCGCGACCGCCAGGCATCATCCCTGTTGGTGCCATGGTAAGATTCTCAACGCGCGCTTGTCGTCGACGCCCCCGAGGTTCGCTTTCTCCCTTGGCGCTGGGGGCCGGAATCCCCGACGACGAACAAATAAAGGCTCGCTGGCCAGAAGACCGACCATGAGGTCGAACAAGAAAAGCCGGTGCGGACTTCTGGGGAAAACACACAAGCACCGAGTGCCCTCGACCCGGAACGAATATCACCAGCTCCCCGACATTCGGTGACACGGCATCTGGGTTCTCGCGGCAGATCCGTGACGGTCGGGTTATGAAGCAAGGAAACAGAGGGGGAAACTTCCTGTGAAATCGTCGTCAGGATGGCTACAACGCAGTTGAGTATGTGTCCCAGGGCTTGGTATTCGGGGAGGGATCGGCCCTGCTAACGGTCTCCGCGTAGATCCGGCATCCGCCTCGCCGACGACGCCAACCTCCGCCGCCCCCGGGTTACGACGAAGCTGTATCTTTTGTCGCGCCCGCAAAATCCGCTGTTCTGGTGGCCATATCTGTAGCGCCTGTCGAGAACGCAATATCAATTGTGTCTACGGGCCCGAAGCTCGGAAGGGTCGGCCTCGACGCAAACCGTCCGGCTTCGATCGTCCCCAACGGCTGTCGCCGCCTACCAGCAACCCCGGCGATGCAGAGTCTTGCGCGACCACCCCGACTCGGCGTCATCAGAGTCCCGTCGACAATGGACACACGCTGGGTCAGGACTTGGAGCAGATGTTCACCGAATACTTCATCCAGCAATCCGGATCCCGCTCGAATCTGTTCCAGAATTCCATCGCTGCCTTCCACCGACAGATGGGCCGATCGTCTCCCAGCTGTCAGTCGCCAGTCTCCCAATCGCGGTTGCAATACGAAGGTCTTTTGTCTTTCCTGGCCCATGATATGGTGGAAATGCTACTCGGCTTCAGCAACCTGGGATGCGAACGGCCTCATGCCGTCAACCGAAGCTTCTATATCACCAGCCTGGCCGCCGATACCACGCAGGAGATGTTTGACCCGCCTCGCACCATGAAGAATCCCTTGTCGGTCTTGGGGAAGTACCGGGTGCTCCAGCTGGTGGACCTGTGGTTTTCCATGCACCCGCTCTCCCCGGTGATTTCCAAGACACTGCTCATCAGTGAGATCAAGGACGAGACCGTGGATCCCGCCCTGTTGGCGATCATCTTGGCCGATGCCTGTCAGCTGCATTACGGTACTCCGGGCCGGCCACGCGAGGGGGATGGCCCCGGCGTGGACCAGGAAGACCCGGACACACTGATTCGGTTTGCCACTAGCCATCTACGGCCGCGCGCGGCCTTGTGCGGCGAGTTAGATCCGCTGTCCACGGCGCAGGCGTTGATCCTCATGGGGTGGCGGGAGCTTTGCCTGGGAAACGCACGTCGAGGCACCTGCTACGTGGGCTATACCTGTCGCATCGTATCCCGATTGCACAAGATGTGGGCCGACGAGTCCTCGATGGAAGTGGATAGCATCAAGTTGAATGGAATCGACGTCGCGTTGGTGAAGCGGGAGATCTTGCAGAACATCTACTGGCTGTGCCTGTCGACCACGACGTGGTCCTTCATGCAGATCAATCAGCCGTTTTCGCTGCTGCTGCCGGAGGAGATCCCCGATTTCCCCAGTATGGATGAGTCGCTCTCCCCGAGTCTCCGCCTCGACCGGGCCTCCGACAACATCTCCACGCTGCAGGGGCAGATCCGAACGATGCAATGGCTGTGGCCGCTGAGCCACATCACCAGCACGGTGGCCCATATCTATACTCTTTTCCTCAACGTGTCCGGAGCCGACGAGACGCCGCGTACGGAAATCGCCCCGTGGCAAACCCAGCACATTCACGAGCTGCATCATCTACCCCAGGCCTGCTTCGACCCGTCAGTTCTATCCCGACATATTCGGCGCATTCTACTGCAGGCCATCCAGGCCGTCGAGCGAGAGGTCACACACGTCGCCTCGCAATCCTTCCTATTGACCGCATACCACACGATCGTTATCCACATGCTCTTCGCCCGACACCGCCGATGCCACGAGTCCCTCCACGTCACCCCGGTCACCGTCCACGCTTTTATTCAGTCTGCCACCGCACTGCTGGCGATCGCACGGCGCTCCCCACCCATCTACTCGAGTCCGGTCGCTTCGCCGCGCATGACCGGCGATAGAGGTGCGGACGGTACGCGCACGATCGCTCTCGGTCTGGATACCTGCAGCCGCGCGCTGGCACACATCCACGGGCATTCCCATCAGTGGAGGGACGGTGACGACGAGGCCACGGCCGCGATCCCGGCGCAATTGGCAGACTTCGCCCACCAAATGCACCAGATATGCAAAGGCGACTCTCTCCTGTCTTCCGGTCCGGTAATTCGCCCGGTCAAGAGACGGTTCAAACAGCTGAAGGAGGCCTTCTCCGCGGCACAGTCGCCACCGAACGGCAGGTCAAACCCTATCTCTGTCATGGGCGAGACCGCCAGTCCTCCATCCGTGTCGACCGTCGAGGATGCGCCTGCGCTAGGAGCCGGTTACTCCGGGATATCTCTAACACAGCCCGCCGCCAGCCCGTCGCCGGCACTGTCTGATTGTCCACCCGAGCTTATGGACTCTTACTTCTTCCTCGGAGACCCCGACATGGGCTCTCTGCTCGGCTTGACCGGATTCATCAAACCCGGACCAGGTCCTCGTTCGGATATTCTACCACCTCGGTCGGGTCCCTGCGCACACACCACCCAGTCCCACCCGTCCATCTTCACTCCTATCGACTTCTACAGTCATGACAATCTTCTGAATAACTCCGTATCTGCCAATGGACAGATTAATGCCGACCTTCACTCCATCGCAGATCCTTACGGTGTTTCATTTGCCCCCAGACCCCGTCAGACTCTCGCTCCAACAAATCATATTTCCTCCGATTCGTTAGACTCGGCTTCGTCGGGGAGTGACATTGCCTCTCTGCGGAATGCAGAAAGGACGACGGTTTCTCCATGGGTGCTACCCTCCTCATGGCTAGAGCCATTTGGCCCACCGCCTGGGAACCAGACGGACGGGCTCTTCCGATCCTGAGGACGAGGCCCCGTGGCTGGCTTAACTTGTGATTATAGTGCCCTTGGGTTTCAGTCTGGCATCCAGCTGACGGCCTCTTTTTGTCTTTCATATATTGTTATCACTTACTCCTCCAAACAGCGTATTTCTAGAACATGGTTTAGATTTAGATACACGAAAGCATCGAACCGCAGAACACTCTGTTTTATTTAGACCTCTTCAGTGAATTATATGCCTAATAAACTTCTAATGTGTATGGTACAGAGATCTTATTGAATAGTTAATGTCTCGAAATTTCGGTTTGAAGTATTTGCCTAGCTTTCTTTTCTTCTTTGGATGTAAACTGACTAGGCTATATCCAGGTGATATTATGGTCCGATGAAACTGTCAAGGATGCCATATTCAATGATTAAATGATTATGAGAATTCTTAACGGGCCAATAGCATAGTCATAGAATGCGCAAGTTATATAAAATCCATATCGTGTACTTCTCGGTCGCTCCCTCTTGCCCTTGCCCTTCAACTCCCCTCCAATTGCTCTGTTCACTAAATCCTCTTCTTATCCCACGGGTCTGCTCGTTGAATTAGTTCCAGCTAGATATATATTAGTCTCTAGTCTCTGTCCAACTCAAGAAATTGTTAGACATACCCTTTTCGACACCGGCTGGTGTCCGTATAGCCATCCCAGATACCACATCCACGCACTACTCGGCACCCACTGGTAGATAAACGAGCGTACCATCTTCCCCATGCCGAGTGGCAGTTTTGCCGTGTGCACCTGGGCGTATCGTGCGGAAAACGAGGCCACATCCTGAGCGCGTCGCTCCCGAAGACGAGAATAAGACTGCAGGGCACCGGAGTCGCCCTCAAGAAAGTCGGCGATCGAGTCGGCGAGAACGGTGGCGTCTTCTATCGCTTGACAGGCTCCCTAGATTTCGTGGATTTTGTTAGTACGGAGATGACTGGTGAGAAAAGACAGAAGACTGAAATACCTGGCCAAAGAAGGAGGTCATAGAATGCGCCGCTAAGCAAATATCGAGTCAGAAGACAGTCAACGGATGTCAATATGACAAGGAGAGAAAACAGACCATCCCCCAACAACGCAACCCGTCCTTTGGCCATGTGTGGGAAGTCGACTTCCGCAAATACATTGCTGGCGATTACTCGCTCCGCTTCGTCCACAACTACCAAAGCAAAAGGTCAGATCATCAGTCCTGCAGAGCGTTCGGAGACGGAAACCTACTGGACTTCACCGTCGAGTCACGGCCAAATGGGTGAAATTGTTCTCCGTACACTTCGTTCACGGTCTCAGCAGTCGCTCCTTTCCAGACCGAGCGATCTGGGGTCTCTCCTGGCGCCAGCTCGGCTCGCTTGACCCCGATGAACCATTGTCGATTGTCTTTACAAGGCCATGTCGTTAAGATGCTGTCATCGTATAACATCCAGTGTCCCATGCCGAGGTCGTTCGACGTCAGATGCTCCAGTGGCTTTGTGTATCCCGACATATGAACTCGGCCTGTGAACTGAATAGTGTTCTCGGCTTTGACGCCGCCAGAGCTTGCAAGCTGGGTCCGTCAGTAGAGATCGCGCGCACTATGAGCTGGGGAACATACGATGCGGCGAGTTGCGCTCCGAATCCCATCGGCACCAGCGACCACGTCGGCGTGGATTGTGCGTCCGTCGTCGCTGACCACGCGCACCGGGGTCTGCCTGTTCTCGTCGTCCACGATGTCCGCCACATTCCATCCAAATCGCACCGTCTCCGCGCCGCCGGCTGCCTCATACAAATATCGGTGGAACTCGTGTCGCTCGATCGAGTGAACATTGTATCCGAACCAGCGTTTCGCAAGTCCAAAGTCAATAGTGCCCCAGCAATCCTTTTCCCGGTACACTCGAATTCCGATGAGCTCTTGCGAGTTGGCTCGGATGGCCGGCAAGAGACCCAGCTGCTCCAACGCGCGCAAGCAGTTCGGAGCGAGGGAGATTCCGGCTCCCTGGGGAGTCACGACCGGGGCTCGCTCGAGGATGACGAAGGGAATTTCGAGGCGGCGTAGAAGAGCGCCGAGGGTGAGTCCGCCAATCCCTCCACCGATGATCACGACGGGAATGCGCTCGATGGAAACCATGATGAGTGATGGGCAACAGATGGAGCACTACGTTCGAGGTCGGCTACATATTCATATCTGGACAATATTTAACCTGGCCCATCCGTGGCGTTGGCCCGACTGAGATGGCCCCGTCCGACAAAAAAGGCCCGTTTGCGCACGGAGGCGGACGGGCTTTAGGAGATTAATTAGGGCTCCCGATGTATGCAGGGGAGTTTCAATCCTTGCAACCACGTTCTGCTAAGCTAAGGCTGTGCTAAAATTACACCGGTGGACCCATCCTTTTTTACTCATCCACTGCGACCCAAGACATTCCGGAGGATCAGCGTCAGCTCACCGGCAAAACTCTCGTCAAAGCAACCGTCATGCATTGCGCTGAAGGGCACCGTGGCAAAGCTCTTGAACCGCGAATCTGACCACCCATTCGTCGCATCTCGGTTGATTTTCCTCGCAAAGTCGCGCCGTTTATCTCGTAGCAGCGGAGACAGCGTTCCTAGCGTCTCGCATTTGATCAGCGTTGCGTTCGTGTTCGGCAGCAGAGGACGCTGCCCGCCCGGAATTGCGGACCGATACGAGGACAGCATGCGCAGGCCGTGGTGGATATGCTGGCGCAATTGACTGTAGAACCGTACCATCGAACCAGCTTCGTCCTCGCTGTCGATCTCTCCGTCTGAGCTCTCTCGGCTCGTATCGCTGCTGCTGCTACCATCCTCGTCGCGGAGCGGTGCACTCGCGGATTCCTCTGGGGCATTCATGCGGCGGGCGATGGCGTTGTACGTGATAGTGGACACGACGTGATGCTCGCGCGCGTCCTGGAATGGCGGATAGAGCTCGGGATTCAACGAGTCGATGAGTATGACATGCTGCACAGTTTCGCCCTCCGCGGTAAGAATCGCGGCCATCTCCACGGCAATCATGCCGCCCATGGACCAGCCACCAAGTAGGTACGGCCCCTTGGGCTGGATCTCGCGTCGAATAATTGAAACGTAAAGAGCGGCCACTTCGAATAAGCTGCCGGGCGCGGCAAACGGAGATCCATGTTCGTAAATCGGCGCGGAGATCCCGTATACCGGTCGTCCTTCGTGTAGGTTCTTGTCCTCGTCGGCATATGATAGAGGCCCCAGGGCAAAATAGGGCAGCGCCAGGCCAGAGATTGCATGAATGAGAATCAATGGCGTCAGCGACGAGTCGGGGCTGCCTTGGATGTGCAAGACCGTGTCCATGGCGAGTGATTGATTCAGTAGCGGTTCCTCCGTCGGATCTCTGCATTTCTTCCAGCGCTCAATTCGATCACCTTTTATGGGTCCATGGGGGATACTGATCGATCTGCTCCTCCGCTCCTCAGCGGCCTGTTTTTTAGGGCTGACGATTTTATCGGCAGTGTCTTCTGGGCTCCGTTGCGATACGGGGATTAGCAGCTGGCGCTGCATGGGGTTGCCAGGGACAACTGACGCTTCTCGATCGTGCATATAACGTGGTACTTATCTACATGGATGACATGCATCAGATCCCAATCATCCTCCGTGTTTTCTTTGCCTCCAAACACAGCGATGAAGTTCCTTCTCACTCTTGGGCTCCTCAGTGGTGCCCTTGCTGCTCCAGCCCCGGGTTCAGGCAAGCATGGGGCACAGTCATTCGACATGCCTCTGCAATGGACGCCTTTTGGTTTCACGACAGACACAATCACGATCGGTAACCCACCTCAGAAGGTCGATTCCTTTGTTGACTGGACCTGGATCGGCCAGTATGTGTTCACGCCGCGCTGTCATGGAAGCCTATCGAGAACATACGAGTGTTTGCAGCCCTCGCAGACACTTTTCAACCAGACCGAATCCCACACTTTTGTCAACCAGTCACGTCTATTTCCTAATCGTGTCTGGAACCCAAATCACTTCTTCTTCTACGACGATCTCTCGGTCGGCTTCGGCTCGGATATCCAGCGTGTCGGCCAGCAAGACGCCCGAGTGACCCTGCAGATGGCTGATATGCACTTCAAACTCGATTTTGCATATCCCTTCTCCGGGGTCTACGGCCTCTCGCCTGTCTTTCGCAGGGATAATGCCTCGACGCAGTCGCCCTTTTACCAGATGTGGCGACGCGGCGCTTATCGCTCGCCCATCACCTCATTCCAGTACTGCTACAACAGCACATTCGGCAACCCGGCGCCTGCTCGTGAGCGTTGCAACGGCCACGACGGCCTGCAGACTCTAGGCGGCTTGTCGCCGGCTCTAACAAAGCGCGGACGCGATGCTGCATCGTCCATCCTGTGGTACAAGAACATCTTTTTCCCCATCGTTAACGACATCAACTTCGAGTACGATCCCCCGATATACAACTACTGGGCCGTGCGCTTGACCAAGCACCTCATCGGCGACGAAGAGCAAGCCTTGAATACCACGTACGGCGGCAACCCAGGGGCCATCTTCGACCACGCCAGCTACGGCCACGGCGTTCCCATGTCCGTGAACAGCTATCAGCGACTTATCCAGATCACCAACGGTCAGCCACTCACGCTTGAAGAGGACCAGCTTCCCAACAACGGTAATCAATCATTTGTGTCTGTGGACTGCAACAAGGTGTCTTCATTTCCTCCTCTGAAATATCAATTTCAAGGTCACGACCGACTGTGGGAAGTGATTCCGGAGAACTACGTGGAGAAAATCTCCTTGCCAAATGTCACTGAGCCCACTTGTGTATTGAACGTGCGTACCTTGGGAGAGGGAAATTTTGTCATTGGAAACTTTGGCGACACGTTTGCCAAAGATAAGATCGTGCTGTTTGATTTCGAGAAGATGAAGGTGGGACTGGCAGATATGCCGAATTAGGGACGGGTTAGCAAGATTAATGGATGCTCTGTGTAGTTCCTATTCCAGATCCAAATGGACAATATTCAAGATTCGCCAAAGCCTTTTGTAGAAGAGACATTTTATAGTCTCCGTGTGTGTGTGTGTGTGTGTGTAGAAACTTGTGTTCATTCAGCTACAGAAGTGATTATTTTATCTACTAGATCTATGAGTTGCTAGAATATGTAGTTAAACCCGACCAGAGCAAGGGATGCGAGCTGGTAATCTCGATGGATTGTGTCTTAAAATCAACCAGGCGCAACCATATTTGTTTTGTTGATAAAGACGTAATGGGAATTTTCGACATGGAGTATCTTAATTTAAAAATAGTCATATATCAACTCAACTTAGCATAGGCGATGGGACTGTTTGAGGAAGTGCTTAACCCGTTACAAAAGGGGGTAAAGGGATCTGCAGCTAAAGACAAGACACAAACACCCTAATGTTCACACAGCTTGCAAGACATTGCGGCTTAGCGTCCACCGTGATCCAACCAGCAACATGGTCCCTGCAAGCAGGATGACGCCAGCAAAGGTTATCAGACCAGAGTACTTCCCATTTTCAGTCGATATGAGAGCGCCCCCAATGGGAGCACCGGTCAGTGCGCCCACGGAGCAGACGGCCATCATGACGCCGATCTTGATGCCGATGATCTGCATGTTGTTCGTAATCTGAGCAACACAGGCTGACTGCAGCGAGATCAACCCCCCGGAGAACAGTCCATACAGAAGGGCAAATGTCACGATGCTTCCTTTCGTACACATGACGTGCAGACAAAGCAGCACAATCCCAGAGAGAAGCGAGCAGATAATTGCCATGTTGAATCTAGTCATCAAGTTAGCGGCTTGCCTTGCGAATATCTAGAGGCTGGACAGCATACCTTCCCATCTTATCCGCCAGTCCTCCGGATACAACTCGACCAACGAGCGACCCAGCATTGAGAATGGCGATGAGATCGTTGGCAAAGGCAGCATCTACGCCCTGCTGTCTGGCGTACAAGGGGAGATAATAAAATGGGATAAACATCCCCCACATGACGAACAGCATCCCCGCCACGAGTAGGATGAATGGTATGTCTTTGAAAATGGCGGCGATTTCGGCTTTGGGTACCTCGCTCGCTTTCGTTGGTGGCAAACGAGGCACAACCATCAGACATGCCGGTGCAAGTAGCCCCAGCGAAATGAAGCCGACAATGCGAAGTGCCCAGGCAAACCCAACAGTGCCAAACAGCCGGTCCAGAATCAAGGGCCACGCGATGCCTCCAAGCGACGAACCGGCCACGACGATACCCAGGGCTAAGCCCCGTCGCCGATTAAACCAATGTGGAATCGCAGATATTGTGGGATAGAACAGCATTGCATCGGCGATTCCGAACAAAAGGCTCTGCGCCAGAATAAACTGGTAGTACTCATGGCAGAGACTGACAAACATCAGGGACAACGCAAAGAATATTGTCCCAGGCACGAACAGGATCTTCGCGCCCTTCGTATCGAATACAGGGCCAAAGAAGACTCCTCCAATAAAAAGAAGAAAGACTTGAATGGATCCGATCCAGGAAATTGCGCTCTCGCTGTGACTAGTGAGGAGATCCTCCCCGTAATAGGCCTGGAAAGTGCCAAATGAGTTCAGCAGTCCTACAGCATCGTCAGTACCCTTGTGTTTGCTCGGTCAACAATGAGGCATCGCTACCAAATGTGACAAAGTATGTCAGAAACCCTCCCACCACGACCATCCATGCGCGCAAACCACCATCAGGGGGCCCCGAATCCGCCTCCGAGGGAGTGACCAGCGTTTCCGCCGAGGTGTGTTCTTTCTCCGACATGGACATTTCACAGGGCTTTGAATTCAAGGAGTCACAACGAAAATGAGCAGTTCTCAGCTGTCAATGGCTTCAGAAAAGAAGGATCTACATGATCATGCCATGCTCAGCTCAACGGCGCAGCGGACGTTTAATGGGCGGCATTAGGGCTCAAAGTCTCCGTCGTCCGTCGGAGAGAAAACGCGGCGGTCGATCTGAGTCAGACGCTGCCTTTCAGATCTCGAATTCCAGAGGAATAAATATTTAGGACACTCGTCCAGTGTGCAGGATCGGAATGGAAGACAATCAGTTTATTCAGTTCGGTTGAATTGGTCGTCAACAGCCATGTACGCCTCGGATCTGGAATCCATCCGCCTCAGCCCGAGTGTCGTTCCCCTCGGGGCGATGACCCTCGCAGTCCTACTTCTCGTGAAATATCTGCTTTCCTCCAGAAAGGTTCCATCGGTCTCGGTCGGACTCCCTATTTGGGGCAATTTGGTTCAATATAGCAAAGACCCGGTGTCGTTCATTGCTACCGCCACCAAAAGCTATGGGGAATGCTTCACCGTGCCCATGCTACTGGGTCGAACCGTCTGGTTGCGTAGTGGCCAATTGAACAAGGAGTATTTGGAAACTCGTGAGGTAATTCTCCCTGTTTTTCTTTTTATTTCGTTATCGGCTGTGAGTTCTGACTTGTCCACAGGATGTGTGGTCCTTTGGAGACGGGATGGGCTTCTTCCTGAACAAGATCGTCATCCCCGGATATTTCAGCCATCTTCGCACGTTTGTTGGCTCGTTGAGTAAAGGAATCTCGCGACAGGTGACTCTGGATGAGTACGGTCGGATTGCACAACAGGAGAGTATCAAGTCCATTGCCAGTTGGTCTAAGGTTGCCGAACGAGGGCAGTCCATGGAGTTGTTCGAGGAAGTCTCGTTCCTCGTCCATAAGATCATTGTTCGCTGCCTGATGGGCCCGGACTTTTACGAGCACCATGTCACGGAGCTATTCGATTTGCTTCATTCCATGGAGGAAAATGTCGGCAGCATTTTGCACACCATTCTCCCGGCCTGGGTTCCGCACTCTCCGGCACGGCGACTGTGGGCTGCACGCGATCGCATCCGCGAGATCTTTGAGCTCCGACTACAAGAGCGAGAGAAGTGCCCGGAGGAATGGCATGATGCTCTGGATTATATATCCTATACACTGCGGGACCCGTCGACAGCTCATCTGAGCAGTTTCTATGGAGCCCATCATACCCTGTTGATGTTTGCTGCGCACACAAGTACGGTGGCCAGCATCTCGTGGACCATCTTAGAGGTATGATTTGTCTCGAATTCTTCGCGTGTTCGTTCTTCTTTATCGCCTTATTCTGTTTGTCTCGCTCACAGTCTGTCCTCACTAACGCGTGTCAATAGCTTCTCAAATCTCCCGAACGCTTGCAGACTCTCCGCGACGAGCTAGCATCCAACCCTAATATTGAACAATCTACCTTCCTAGATGCCCTAGTCAAGGAGACCGGCCGGCACTATTCAGGGAACAGCGACGTCCGCTGGGCCCGACAGGCCAAAACCCTTCGCAACGTCTCCAACGCCGTTACCATCCCGGCCGGCACGGTCGTCTCTATCTCGCCCTACCTAACGCACCACGATCCAGAGGTGTGGTCTAACCCGGGGATATACAGTCCCGAGAGATGGATTGAGCAGCCGGATCTAGCAAAGAAGTTGAACGACGGCACGCAGCTGCGATATATCCCTTTCGGCGGTGGTAGTCATCGGTGTCCCGGAGAGAAGATGGCGACCATGATCTCCAAGCTGGTGGTCTCGACAGTTATTCAGAATTGTGAATTGGATTGGGGACAGGGCGGAGATTCTCAGGATACAGCAACGCTGGACTTTTCTAAAGTTGGTAGTCCGTGGTTGAAGGGAGACGTTCATGTTCGTATTCAGAAGGCATCCTCTACGTCTTGATGAATCATCATGAGGTTCAGTCCAATACGAAGAATGAGCGAGTTTTTTTGAAAATTATCAAATGCAGTATTGGGATACAGAGCCTTTCTCTTGTCGCTGCACGTAGCATCTTTGAGAAAGATCGGTACGGTGGGACCAGCGATGAATAGATTCAAGTGAAAAAATGTAAATTTATTGGGCATAGCATGGCGAGACTGAAACATGTCAGTATAGAATAACGGTTAATAGCTCATTCAAATTATCAATCAATCAAGATGCCATCGAAGCAATAGAGCTCCGGATCTAGCTATTTAGAAGGCAGATTAAATGCTAATTGTCCTACTGTTGAGGTAGATGAAGTTTGGTAACGAATGGACCGGGGGATTTTGCGTGACATACATCAAACTCCTGAACGAAATTTCTAAAGTTCATTGCAGATTTGAATATCTACTAAACTATTATGAACAAGTAATAAATCCTCCAAGCTCGACTATATACAACGGTCACATACCATTCCTAGCACTCGATTCCTTCCGGCACCGACGCCGGAATGGAAAATGGGTTCGTAAAAAATTCCTCAGGATCATATTTCTGCTTGATCGAAATCAGCCGACAAACATTGTCCCCATAATACGAGACCAGGGGGTCGGCCGAGATATCTGCGTCCATGTAGCCAGAATAGCTCGCCGGCCCGACAGCCGGGCGCAAGAACGACTCCAAATCCTCGAACCAGTTCTCGTAAGCTTGTTGCTGGGTTTGATTCTCCGATCCGTGGATTTGGAATTCCAGATGAGCGTATGCCTGCTCTCTCCACGGAAAGGCATTCTTGGAGCCGAGCGTCTTGCGCGGAATGTTCCACGAGTGCCACTCTCCCCAGATCTCACTGGCCTCGTCCAGCTGGCCGATACGGTCCACGACGCCCCTGAGTACTTCGTCACTGAGTGGGCGATTCTTCTGCACGAAGAATGACTTGCTCAGTCGGTAGAAGCGGTCCCATGGTGCAGCCGGGCCTACAGTATCGGACTTGCGTTCCTCCTTATATTGGAATTGAGGATGATTGCCCACCTGGCTGAATGGATCAGGAATCACATTCAGAATCGACGCGTCCACCTGGTCATCAGGTAGGCAATCCATGGCCGTATATCCGAAAATGCGGGCGTTGTCGACGTTACAACCGCCGGCAATAACGACCTCAGGATGACCAATATCCAAGAGACCTGACGCATTAACGATGCTGCGTAAGGCCTGCGCCGACCGGCCGTAATGCATGGCCACCACCTGCACCGTGTCGTGATAAACGTTGATTTGTGACATGAACGCTGGCTCCTGGTTCGGGGCCCAATCGAGAAATCGCCGGGCGACGGGGAAACGAGCTTCGGTATTGTTCCAGCTCAGCAGAAGCATGGCTGATCGTGGCACTTTGGTCAGAGACAGCGTAAACTCCACCACGATGCCGTAAGTGCCGCCGCCACCACCGCGGATGGCCCAGAACAAGTCGGGATGCGACTTTGGGGAAGCCAGGACTGTCCTACCGTCTGCGGTGACGACCTTGGCAGCGAGAACGTGGTCAACCCCGAGACCCTGGGATCGCTGCTGCATGTTGAATCCCCCCGATCCCAGGAAACCTGCCAGTCCGACGGTGGGACAAATACCCCCGATGAAGGACGTGTCATATTCATTGAGGGCCGTGTAGAGCGCACCGAGGCGAATTCCCGCGCCTACGGTGGCCGAGCGACGATCTCGAGAAACCTGGACTTGGTTGATGTGTGCGATGTCAATCACCAGAGTGCCGTTGAGAGACGAGAATGCCGTGAAGCTGTGGCCGCCAGTGCGAGGAACTGCCTTGACGCCGGCCTTCTTGGCGCATTTCACCAACTTGCCGACCTCCTCTGCCTTTTCTGCGTAGGCGATCAAGAGTGGAAACTCGGTAAATTGGATCTTCTCGCCCAGCCGTGCGTCCAGGTAGGTATCATCCTCGGGTCGGACGATGCGCTGAGATGCCGTAGTCGAGAAGACTTTGGAAACACAGCTGTAGAGATCTTGGGCCTGGCTCGATCGAGCAGCAGTTTCCTGGCCAAGACAAACGGTAGTGGCTAAAGCCAATATAACGAGAGGAGCACGCATGATCGCAAAGAAGGGTAAGAGAAACTGAGAATAGGAAATGGTTAAATTGATACTGGCTAGAAGGCACCAGTCTGGCCGGCTTAAGCATCCAAGACTTTATATCCTGCGCAGGAATGGCCGGACAAAAGGCCTCATCCTTCTTCTCGTATTCATTAAATAGTCCCGCGGAGAACGCGATGTTCCGGACACACAATTCTTAGGCTGTAATGAGACGGCCATCCATCGAGCCGGGCGTCTAGCAACCGCTGCCTGTAGATATCCGTTTAGTAAGTTGATTTACGTTTTCAAATTGTTAAAAATAGAAACAACCAATGTCAGTTCGCTCGTTTTTACGGCTTCTGGAGGGTTAAGCGGAGCTCACTCATGATACAGTTCTGCGGTCCTCGAAGCCGATCAGGGATTCTGCATGAGGCAATTCCCACGAGGGAAACTGAAACGGCCTTGGAATTTCGGCTTATTCTTCAGCAAAAAAAAAAGCCTCAAGGCATCTCTCGGCCATTGAGAAACCAACCGCAGGAATGAACGGCCAACGGGGGCCTAGCCATGTGGTCCAGGGATGATCGTCATCTCGGTGGCAACACAGCAATCCGATCATGCAGATAATTATAGTGTGATCATCGATTTAGGGCTCCGTTTCCGAACGGAAGTCATCACGGAGCATCATCTCCGGCCACATGGCGCTGACGTGCATCGTTAGCGCCTCGTATTCCTTCCGGCTTCCCTGCTTGCTTCCTCGCATCCGAGCCAAAACAAGCACCCTGGGGCTAGATTCAAGAATGCGCATTATTCAAAACACTCCGTGAATAAGTCTTGGCTCATCATCAGGTCGCTGGATCCGTTGGATTGCGGCGACTTTGCCAGTCTGGACGGAAGTTTGAGAGTACACCGGTGGTTGCATAGAATTTTAGAGAGTTGTAGAATGATATGAAAAGCGAGGACGCCTGTCACTTCTCCAGAATCAATGTTCTAATCTTTCAATTAGCATAAACCAGGTGGTTAGAGCCTTACCTTTGACTTCGTTGCGCAATTCGGCTTGTGGGATAATCGGGTGCAGAACAGACACTTTCCAGGTAACTTCCTTTCCTCTACTGACCTTTAGCCCATCATGTCGATGCATTTCGAGCGCCCTCAAACCTCACAATCCGATTCTACCAACGGAGTTCCTGGCCAGCCATCCCCAATGGAGACTCAGACCAAGGCCACCGACCATCCGTGTGTGATTGGAATGGCATGCAGAGTCCCCGGCGCCTCGTCTCCATCGAAGCTATGGGACAACCTGATCAACAAAGTCGATCTACAACGCAAGATGCCCGCGGATCGATTCAATGTCGATGCCTTCTATCATCCCGATGGAACGCATAAAGGCTCGGTTTGTGACACCCCGAGAAACAGGCCTAGACTCGCTACTAAAGACTGTTAGACCAACGCCAAGTATGGTTACTTCCTTGATCAAGATGTCGGGCTGTTCGACGCCGGCTTCTTCAACATCTCCGGCAAGGAAGCAACAGCCATGGACCCTCAGCAGCGTCTGCTGCTGGAAGTTGTCTATGAAGCCCTAGAAAACGGTAAGTTGCAACCAGGCCCAAGCTAAAAACACCTTCTAACAAGATCAGCTGGAATCACATTGGACGAGATTCAGGGCTCGCAAACATCCGTGTACTGCGGCTGCTTCACCAACGACTACAACGCCATGACCACCAAGGACCTGGAGTATTATCCCAAGTACACGGTCACTGGCACCGGAAACTCGATTCTGGCCAACCGCATCTCGTACTTCTACGATCTCCACGGCCCCAGTGCCACCATTGACACGGCCTGCTCCTCCTCGCTGGTCTGTTTCCACATGGGAGCTCAGTCCCTTCGAGCCGGCGAGGCCGACCTTTCGATTGTTGTGGGTTCTGCGCTGCATTTTGATCCCAACATCTTCATCACGATGACCGACTTGGGAATGCTTTCTACCGATGGTCGCTGCCGCCACGGCGACGCTTCGGGCAGCGGCTACGTTCGCGGCGAGGGAATCACCGCCATGATTCTGAAACGCCAGCGACAAGCGGAAAGCAGCGGCGACTCCATTCGCGCAGTTGTGCGTGGAACTGGAGTCAACCACGACGGTCGCAAACAGGGGATCACTCTCCCATCTGCACAGGCCCAGGCGGCACTCATTCGCAGCACGTATCAGAATGCCGGGCTGGATCCGGCAGACACTACCTACGTTGAGTGCCATGGTACCGGCACCAAAGCCGGAGATCCTCGAGAGCTGAGAGCCATCAGCGAAGTGTTCTCGTCCGGGCGCGAAAGGCCGTTGTTTGTCGGCTCGATAAAAACCAATATCGGCCACCTTGAGGGTGCTTCGGGGGTGGCAGGTCTGATTAAATCCACTCTGGCTCTCGAAAAGAAGACGATTCCCCCCAATATGCATTTCCACGCCCCCAACCCGGACGTTGACTTTGACCAATGGAAGCTCGAAATCCCGACGAACCCGACCGATTGGAAAATAAAGAGCAGCGAAGCCCCCCGCCGTGTATCAATCAATTCGTTCGGTTACGGGGGAACGAACGCTCATGTTATATTGGAAGAATACAAATCGACCAATTCCCTTCCATGCACAGCCGACGTACCGGCCGACTTTGCCAACATGACGCGAAACAGACCTTACCTCGTTCCATTGTCCTCGCACTCCGAGAAAGCAGGAAAGCTCATGGCAAACAAACTCCAATCATATCTTCAGGACAATGTGAAGGTGAGCCCAGCCGAGTTTGCCATGGGTCTCTCTCAGCGTCGAACGATGCATCGGTTCCGATCATTCGCCATTGGATCTAGTGCAGAAACCTTGATCGGCAACTTAGAGGAGCCAGTTCCAGCGGCTCAATGGAAAAGCAAACTGGAGACTGCCCCTCGAGTTGGATTTGTATTTACTGGCCAAGGCGCCCAGTGGTTTGGGATGGGACGGGCTCTGATAGAACAATGCCCTCTCTATCTCCAGACTCTGCAGAAGTGCGACCAGATCCTACAGTCGCTTTGTGAGCACCGACCGACATGGTCGATTGTCACAGAGCTTCTGCGAACTAAGGAGGACACCAAGCTGAGCCAGACGGAGTATTCCCAACCCATTTGCACTGCCGTCCAGCTGGCGCTGGTAGACGTTCTAGCCCAGTGGGGAATCAAGCCCGCTAGTGTGGTCGGTCACAGCAGTGGAGAGCTTGCTGCCACTTATGCTGCTGGCATCCTCTCGTTCGAGAACGCTTTAATTGCTGCCTACTACCGTGGTGTGCACATGGGCGGAGGCGCCGCCGCACCCGATAGCATTCCTGGAGCCATGATGGCCGTGGGAATGACCGAGGCTGAAGTCAACACCGAGCTGGAGCCTTATGCCGGGCGCGTCGCAGTTGCCGCCATGAATAGTCCGTCCAGCTTCACCCTTTCTGGTGATAGCGATGCAATTGCGGAGCTACATGAGAAGCTCAGTGAAAGAAAGGTTTTTGCCAGGCGGTTGCAGGTCGCTCAGGCGTAAGTTGCGACCGAATGTCTTTCAACTGTATGATTATACTGACTCCCTGCAGTTTCCACAGTCATCATATGTATCCCCTTGCCCCGGGTTACGAACAGGCTCTGTCGAAGTACTCGGGGTTCAAGGCGAACAAGTCGGCATGTGCGTCAATGGTGTCCAGTGTGACCGGTAGAAAAGCAGATCCCAGCACTATGGGCCCAGAATACTTTGCGGCAAACATGACTGGAATGGTAAAGTTTTCCGATGCTCTGACGGAGACCGTTCTCGATGAGGAAGACCAGCAGAATGTCGATATCCTGATCGAAGTTGGCCCTCACCCGGCACTCAAGGGGCCTTCCAACCAGACGATCGATCAGCTGAAAATGAAAATCCCGTATATCGGAACATTGGACCGCAAGCAAGACGCCTACGAGAGCCTTCTTGCCACTGCCGGTCAACTGTTTGCTCTTGGCTACCCTGTGCTTCTAGAAGAGGTCAACCGGAACCAATTCATTGATTCTTCTTCTGGGAATCTCGTCAGCCCCAATGTTCCCCAAGTATCTCTCGAATTGCCGAGTTATGCATGGGACCATGAGCGATACTGGGGAGAGACGCGTGTTATCAAAGAGCATCGTCTGCGTCCCTTCCGACACAGCATCCTCGGCGCACCAGTGCCAGGTTCTCTCGCCAATCGCCCCCGGTGGCGGAACTTCCTGCGAATTTCTGAGATGCCTTGGCTGCGCGATCATTCCATCGACGGGAAAGTAGTTTTTCCCGGCGCAGGATACATCAACATGGCTATGGAGGCTGTGGCTCGCTTGGGCTATGGTTCCACAAGTGGCATTAAGGCAATTTCGCTAGCAGATATTTCAGGTAAGTGGCCATCCTTTACCGTGTTGAAAAGAGTGGAACCTAAGTGAGCCACAGTGAAATCGGCCCTTGTGGTGAGCGACCATGAGGTAGGAACTGAGGTGATCGTGGAACTGTCGCCCGTTGTGGAGTCCGCAAAGACCTCGTCGTCCACGTGGAATAACTTTGTTATTTTCTCGATCGATGAGTCTGGCAATCAGCGTGAGCACTGCACTGGAACGGTCAAAGCAGAGCTAGGGGACCCAGAGGCTCTCCCCTCTGGCTCTAACTCCAAGGCGGAGGTGCAGACCTTCCGTTGCGTTGGGCGCGAGCAATACTACCATCGTCTGCACTCGATGGGACTTCAATACGGCAAGACGTTTCAACTTCTATCCGGTAGCATCGACAGCGGCCTTGGAAACGCTACTGCGCCAATCTCCTGGCAGCCGGACTTGTTCTCTCCAGAGGATAGTGATCTCTGCATTGTCCACCCCGCCTTCCTAGATGCTGCATTCCATCCTGTATTTGCATCCATCGAGGGCAAGCTGGGTCGGACGCTCAAGGAGCCATACGTCCCAACCTTTGTGCGCTCCATGAAGGTCTCCGGGCTTCTGGAACAGCGGAAAGGTTCGTCGAGTTTCGAAGGCCAAGTGTCGGTTGAGACAAACGTCGCCGGACCCAGGACAGCATCAAACGACCTCCGAATTCAAGACCAGGACGGGCAGATGTTAATTGAAATTCAAGGCCTCGAACTGACTAACCTTGGTGCAAATTCAGCTGATGATGGACGCCGATCTCTGTTCTTTGGGACAGAGTGGCAGCCCATGCTCAGCTCTATCCAGTTCAACGCACGCGATATCCCCAAATTCCAGGACATCCCGGCACTTGTCAAGCTCTATGCCCATCAATTTCCAAACAAAACGATATTACATCACACCCGTTCGGTTTCTTCCACAGAAGAGGTCCTGGGCAGTCTTCGAGGCACTTCTGGCGAGCGACGCAATTTTGCCCAGCTAGTGATCTCCCTTCAAGACTCCACCGTTGTATCGACGTTTGATGAAATCGTCCAGCGTTGGAACGGTCTCGTCCGCGTGGCAACAAGCGAGGATATGGGAGAAGAGAAATTTGATTTGGTGGTTGTATCAGATACAACCGAAGGCTCCATGCATGACCGCGTATCTGATCAAGGATATATGCTGGTGGATAACTCTTCCGTGGAAATTCCCGCCGGCTTCCGTTCTGTCGGAAACTGTGGAGACGTACAAGTTTGGCAGAAGAAACCATATGCCAATGGAATCCATGCAAGACCTCTCACTATCGTCATGCCGACGCAGTCTTCGCCCGAAATCGAGGCCTTTGCCGAGGCTATCGAGGCCCAAGGGTCCTTCGAAACCGAGCGTTGCGACTTCCTTTCACTCGCCGATTTAAATCGCGAGCTTGCACAGAATGTCATTGTTTTATCCAGCCTTGACTCTCAGTTGTACTTCCATGCAAACGCTAGTGGTCATGCCGAATTCTATGCCGCGCAGTCGCTGCTCACCAAAGGCACGGGTAATATCGTCTGGGTCACCCGGGGAGGTCTTATGGACGTGACCTCGCCGGAGCAGGCGCTCATCCTGGGCCTTGCTCGCTCGGCACGAAGTGAAAATCCCGACCTCCGCCTTGTGGTATTTGACATCGCTCCCAAGTCCGGCCCAGCCCGTGCCGCCAGGCTGGCCTCCGAGCTGCTGGATCCTTCTATCGACGAGAACGAGATTGCCGAGCGCGATGGCACTCTGTACATTCCCCGGGTAGTGTCTAATGACCAGCTGAACGCCAAAATCCCGAACGGAGTTGGGTCTGAAGCGACAATCCAGCCGCTTTATCAACCCAATCGACCCCTGGCCCTCCGAATTGGACGTCCTGGGTTGTTGGAAAGCTTGACATTTGCGGATGACGCGGAAATTCAGAACGAGCCTCTCGGACCGAACGACCTTGAGATCGAGGTTAAATCCTCGGCCATCAATTTCCGCGATATCGCTGCCAGCATGGGTATCATTGATGACTTCAAGCTTGGTGACGAATGCGCGGGTATTGTGATACGCAAGGGAAGCGATGTCTCCGAAGCATTTTCCATTGGAGACCGCGTCGTTGCCTGGCGTCCGGGACAAGGAGCTCATCGAACAGTGGTGCGTAATCCGGCCTGTCTCTGCTATCGTCTTGGTGAGATACCATTCAGCATCGCCGCTGCGATCCCCTTGATTCTCACCACAGCTCATTACTCGCTGGTCGACACTGCGCGTCTTCAACCTGGAGAAACTGTTCTTATTCACTCTGCAGCCGGAGGAGTCGGCCAAATGGCAATTCAAATTGCACAGAACATTGGGGCAGAGATCATCGCCACCGTGGGATCTCCTTCAAAGCGTGAACTGCTTATAGACAGATACGGTCTCAAGGAGTCCCAGATTCTTTCCTCCCGAGACGACTCCTTCGTTCAAGGCGTTCATCGTTTGACCAATGGCAAGGGTGTGGATGTCGCTCTTAATTCTCTGGCCGGTCCTCTCTTGCATGCCACCTGGCTATCACTGGCCCCATTTGGGAGATTCGTGGAGATCGGCAAACGCGATATCCACCAGAACAGTCGGATCCCAATGGATCCTTTCCGACGCAATGTCTCCTTCGCGAGTGTAGACATGATCACAGTGTTCGAGAAAAACCAATCACTGGGAGCCCGAGTGTTCCAGGAGTGCTGTGGTTTGGTCCATGACGGCAAGATCCAGCCACCAGAGCCCATCACGGAGCTGTCCTACTCCGACGCGCAGAAAGGATTCCGCATGTTGCAAATGGGAACCACAATTGGAAAGATTGTTCTAGTCCCCAAACCGGATGACCGCGTTCTTGTCGAGCCAACAAAATTCAATCGTCGCCAGCTATTCCTGCCAGGCAAAACATACTTGCTTGTCGGGGGTCTTGGTGGCCTAGGACGCCGCCTCAGCGAATGGCTGTTCCAACGAGGAGCCCGCAATGTGGCTTTCCTGGCTCGTTCTGGCGCTGACAAAAAGGATGCTCGCGAAACAGTGGACTGGCTCCGGGCACGAGACGTCGAAGTGACCGTTTTTCGCGGCGATGTCACCGATGCTAGATTTGTTCAAGAGGCCGTCAACCAAATTGGAGCCACACGCTTGGCCGGGGTCTTCCAGGCGGCCATGGTGTTGCAAGATGGACCCCTGGATAAAATGGGCTTCACTCAATGGCAACGATGCATTGATCCAAAGGTCCGGGGCACCTTCAATTTGCATTCAGCGACATCGGATATCGACCTCGACTTTTTCGTCTGCTTTTCTTCCGTGTCCGCCATTCTCGGGTCCAAGGGTCAGGCCAATTACTCTGCGGCCAATACCTATCTGGATGCGCTCTGTGCCTACCGACGCAGCATCGGGCTCGCAGGTACAACGATGAACGTCGGGATGATCACCGGCATTGGAGCGGTGTCTGAGGACGCCAAGCTGCAGACTATCATGGAGCGAATCGGTTACGACGCCGTCAACGAAGAGGAGCTGTTCGCTCAAATCGAGGCAGCTGTTTCGAGCGAGCGGCTCAGTATTGCTGATGACCATGGAAGAGACGCACATCAGATCATCACAGGTGTCAATCTCCGTCGTCCCGACTACTATTGGGCCACCGAGCCCCGTTTCCAAAACTTGTACGCCAACCACGATTTCGCCGGTTCCGGATCTGGGAGCGGAGCCCAAAAGAACCTGATGGCGCAATTGCAGGAGGCGTCGGATGAAGCCTCCCGCACTGAGATTCTAACGATGTGCTTCTTGGAGAAAATTGCAGCCGTCCTTTCGGTGGACCAGGCAACATTGCAACCGAACCGAAGTCTTGCGGACTATGGGCTCGACAGCATCGTTGCCATTGAAATCCGCCAGTGGTTCTTCCAAACGGTCGCCGTCGAGATAGCCATGTTCGACGTCTTGAACAGTGGAAGCATCCAGGCTCTAGTCGACAAGGTCGCCAAAATGATTGTCTTAGGCACATCGGAGGTCCAAACTACCACCCAACAAGGGGAGTCTACTTCTTCTCACGTATCGGAGGCCTCGCGTGCCACCTTACCCAAGATTGTCGGCACAGCCATCGATGAACAGCAATCGAGCGAAGACGTGGCCATGTCCACATTCCAGCGCCGTCTGTGGTTCGCGCATAACATGGCGGAAGACCCATCTTTCCTGAACCTACCTACCGTCTTCCGCGTCAAAGGCAAGCCCCAACCAGATCTTCTGCGACAGGCACTCGAGGAGCTTAAACGGCGGAACGACATTTTACGGACGGCCTACTTTGAAGGAGATATTTTCTCTCAACAGGCAGTGACCGATGATTGCGCAGTCGACTTGCCTGTGCTAGACCTCTCCAACACCGTTGACCTCGAAGAGAGCCTCCAGCAACAAGTCTCTACTATGAGGCAACAGGCACTTGATATTGAGTCCGGCCAGGTCATGAAGGCTGCACTAGCCAAATTGGCCGATGCTGAGTATGCGCTCGTTCTCATATTCCACCACATCTGTATCGACAGAGGCAGTAGCCAGTCATTCCTCGAACAGATCACCAGCCTATATGACAGCCTGCGCCGCGAAACGAATCTCGATGCTGTGTCAAGGCCTTCTGTCAGCTACGCGCAGTTCAGTCAATGGCACAATGCCCAACTTGGATCCAAGGAGATGGAGTCAAGCGTAGAGTTCTGGAGAAACGAGTACCGAGAGCCCCCGGCCCCGATGAAATTGCTCCCGTTTGCTCAGATAACTCGGCCCGAGTTCAACGATTATCAGCGCCAGATCCATCGAGCAACGCTCAAGGATACCCTGCAAACTCGAATGAAGCGGATTTGCGCGCGACTGGGGGTCACCCCGGCCCAGTTCTTAATGGCTGCCTTCCGGGTCTTTCTCTACCGATACGGACAGGAAGATGTGCTGACGCTACACATGGTCGACGGAAATCGTCCTCATCCAGCAGTGAACGATACACTGGGCTTCTTTGTCAACGTGGTGCCTGTGCGCTGCGCGACAGATCTCACCGGCACTTTTGACGACGTCCTCAAGCAAATGAAAGATCGCATCATGAAATCGCTTGCTCATTCGCAGCTGCCCTTCGACGCCATTGTGGATGCGGTGGGCCTTGAGCGGACCCCCGCACACTTCCCTCTGGGTCAGGTTATCGTCAATTATCAGATTCACGGCACCATGCCGACCTATTCTGCAGGTGACTTTGACATTGTCGATGTGCAGGGTGAAGACATTCCGACCGCCTGTGAGCTTGGTCTAGAAGCACTGGAAGATCCGGCGAAGGGGCTTCTCCTGCGCCTTGAATCATCTAGCAGTCTCTACGGAGCAGCCGATATGGAGCGATTCCTCGATAATTTCGTGGCATTCATGAGTAGTGTCATCCGCGATCCCCGTCAACCAGTGGCGGATATCGACATGGTCGGACCCAAGGAGTTTTGTTCTTTGAAGGAAAGATTCTTCAACATGACATATACGGAAAATGAATGGAACAACCAGTCCGTGACTGACCGTATCGTGGACATGGCCCGCGAACATCCCACAGCCATCGCCATTGAAACGTCCGAGGGCGATGAGCTCACCTACCGGGAACTACTTGTCGCTGCAGAGAGTATCGCGACGGTCATTCGCAATGTCGGAGTCCCAAGCGGATCGAGAGTTGGAGTCTTCAGCAGGCCCGGGCGTGAGACCATCACTGCTATGATGGGTGTTCTGCTCGCCGGCTGTGGTTTCGTGGCCTTGGATCCCGAGTTTGCCAGCGAACGACTCGCCTTCATGATCAGCGACTCGGGTATCCCGTTGGTTCTCGCCGGTCCTGAGCTGGGAGAAAGTGCTAGGTCGCTTGCATCCAGAGCCTCTGTGGCTGTGCTGGATATTGCCAGTATACCAACCACCGGTGGTTCTGCTAACATTTCGGTGCCTCTAGAAAAGAATTCTCCTTTTTATGTCATCTATACATCGGTAAGTCTGGGAGAAGGGTGAAAGGATAGCAATAGTCATGCTGACACTGGAACAGGGCAGCACTGGAACTCCAAAAGGAGTGGTCCTCAGCCAGTCGAATACGCAACAAATGCTGAGTACTCTTCACCATGACTTCAAGTTCACCGCAAAAGACCGATTCCTGCACCACTCTTCGATCTCGTTTGATTTATCCATCGTGCAGATCTTCTCGGCCCTGACGGCCGGAGCTCGTGTATGCGTGGCGTCCAGCACCATTCGCAAGGACCCGGTGGCTTTGGCCGCATACATGGAAGCATCGCAAGTGTCGATCACCTACTTCACGCCGACACAGTTTGCGCTGCTGATGGAGCATGCGACTGAAAAGCTTCAAAACCTGCGGGACTATCGGATTGCCTACTTTGCCGGCGAGAGACTGCCCCTCCGTGTCACCCGGGCCTTCTACGACTTGGGCACCCCAGCCGTCGTGTATAACACCTGGAGCCCGAGTGAACTTGTGGTCCAGACGACCATTCAGCGTGTTGACCGGCCCGGCGAGAGCACTACCAATATTCCAATTGGATATCCCATGGCCAATTCCCCGCATTACATCTTAGATGACCGCGGCAAACCTCTTCCAGCTGGGGTTGTCGGCGAGATTGTTGTCGGGGGTGCGCAAGTGGGCCTAGGATACATAAATCGCCCCGAGGCTAACGCGAAAGCCTTCCTCCCGGACCCATTTAGCTCGCCAGAAGACAAAGAACAGCGCGGATGGACGCGCATGTTTCGAACAGGGGACCGAGGTCGATTCCTCCCCGGGGGCAATCTCGAGTTCCACGGCAGAATTGCAGGAGACAAGCAGATCAAGCTGCGTGGCTACCGAATCGACTTGGGCGAAGTGGAGCATCGCCTGTTCGTCGAAGCGAACAAGGATCCTGCCGGACCAGGAGTCATCGACTTGACTGTGATCGCTCGGACAGTGGTAGCGGGCGACGGTGCCGGGGATGACCGTCAGCTTATCGCCTTCGTTGTGCCAAAGCAGCCCTTGGGCCGACTACAAGAAGCAGAATTCGCCGTCCGACTGAACAAATATGGAGTCGAGCATCTGAACGCGTACATGCTACCCAGCGCGTATCAGTTCCTCGAGGCTCTACCCGTCACGATCGGAGGCAAAATCGACAGGCAAAGGCTCCTCCACGGAGATCTGCGTCTAACTTATCCCGTGGAACAAGACCTTGGCAAGACAGATCACGCCAGCACCAGTCACTCCGATGGAGAAGATACAAACAACATTCTCATGGCGGTTATGGACGGCTTCCGCGAGGTGTTGAAACTTCCGCGGGAGCGAGTTTTCCTGCCCAGTGACAGCTTTTTTGCCCTCGGAGGAAACAGTATCCTGCTGGTCCGGCTGCAGGCTCGCCTGAAGCGGGCACTTAAGAAGCCTCTCGCCCTCAATCCCATGTTCAAAACACCAACTCCACAGGGGATTGCGCAGATTTTGGGCGGCACGACAAGCTCGGCCGCGCCCGCTGCGACGCGACCGGAGGTCAATTGGGACGAAGAGACCAGTCTCGACCTGCAGCTGCAGCCTGCCAAAGCGCCCGCCATCGCTTCCACTGACGTGAGCTCCATCCTCATCACGGGCGCCGACTCGTTTATTGGCGTTCATACGCTCGCGACCGTCCTGCAGGACCCCGGCATCTCTACCGTGTACATTCTCGGGTCGCAGAAGCCCCTCGAGTATTCCGACGTCGAAAGGGCGTTTGAGCTTTACCGACTGTGGTCCGTCGTCCCCAGTCCCGAGCTCGTTGCATCTCGCATTATCTGCGTGGCCGGAACACTGGAGTCCCCTCGTTTCGGTCTGTCGCCGGCGCAGTTCCGCCGTTTGGGCAGCCGGGTGCAGGCCATCTACCACCTGGGCGGGTATGTCTCCCTGCTGCGATCTTACGACGCGCTCCGGCCGCTGAATGTCTCGCCGGTGCGGGACGTGATCGAGCTGGCCAGTCTTGGAGCCGTCCAGACACACATCCATCACTTGTCGACCTGGTCCGTCCCTCATCTCCAGACTTGGTCCACGTCCCAGCGCAGTGCGCCCGGGGAGACCATCGCCAACGAAGTTCCCGCGGGACACTTCACTCCCGAAGCAAGCAACCGATTCGGATACTTCAAGTCTCGATGGGTCGCGGAACGATTGATGGAGAAAGCCGCCGAGCGCGGTTTCCCCGTCACGATATACCGGGCATCCGCCGCGACGGGCCATCGGACCACAGGAATCCCGGAGCCCAAAGACGATTTCATCCGGACCATGATCCTGAGCATGGTGCGCGCCGCAGTGGTGCCGGATTTGCCAGACACCGACCGGCCGTTTATGGCCGACTTCATCCCGGTGGATTACCTGACACAGGGGTTCCATGCCTTGGCGACGAATGAAGCTCATCCTCCACAGGAGACCTCAGCGACAATCCATCATCTATGCAATCCATCCCCCCTGCCAATTTCCCGTATTCCCGAGTTTGTGGGGCGCCTGCTCGCGCAAGGCGATCGTGAAGGACGGGTCGTGCCCGTGGCGGAGTGGTTGGAAACGGTGTCTCGCTTGGATGATTCGTCGGACGCGCAGATTCGCTGGGAGGTGCTGAAGGAGTATTTCAACCTGGGGCATAACATGTTCGCGCTGGAGTCAGCTCAGACTCGGCAGAAGTTGGGACGGCTGGGGGTGGCGGAATGCGCGCCGATGGGCGAAGAGTATTTGCGGAATATGCTGGCGACCGACGCGGCCAACGCGCAGTGAGCGTAGTGAATGATTGGCGGTCGTGAAATGGAACAGAAGTGAAACTGGAGGAAAAAATGCTTGGCTGGACCAGGTACATTGGGATGGTTTTCTTTGTTACGGATCAAAAGATTGTATGTATTTCATTGAGGGAGATTGCCAGCAGCTCCTGGCGGGGAATCTGCTGGTAGGACATCTAGACTGGAATAATGACATTGTGTTTTTGATTGGTCTGTTTGTTTAGCAACTGTATGGCCGCACCTGCGATGAGACGTGAATTATTCGATTGACGGGGATGGAGAACGCGTGGAACTCCGAACGAGGGTGATGAAGGCGTAAAGAAGACGAAGAGCCAAACAGTCCGTGGGATGCTGCAGGCGGAGCGGAAGAGCCGTCGGGCCGGCATCCCCGACTGGTCTCAATCCCTCTCTTGATGGCTCAGTGCCAGATACGCAATGGGTTTAGAGGTAGTGGGCATTTCTGTGATTGAAAATTAGACGCTTTTATTTTATGCTTTTTTAGTTGAATTAGGGAAATTATCGGAGATTGAAACGTAGGGACAGAATGCCTGGATGGACAACTCCAGCCCATGAACTATATATATTCGGGTCCGACTGTCGCCAGACTCCCACGAACTCGGGGAATAAACAAGTTATGGCAGTGGGACTACCGGAAATAACTGTAAGATATAAAAGCATTGAAGTTGACCAAAAAACAAAAACAAAAACACAATCCCCCAAAACAATCTGTGTAAAAGTAAACGTAGTGTTACAGAAAGAAAGCAAAAAAATGGTCGCGCCCGGGATCGAACCGGGAACCATCTCGGAACCACTGGAGAACCAGGAGACGCTCACTTGGATGTGAACGAGATATCATAACCATTAGACCACGCGACCGATTGATATGATCTCCGGCCAGTCTTGAACCTATAAGGCAAGATTGTGCAAGGAAGCCTGCCACTCTGCCTTCTAGAGCTGGCTTTATTTATCATCCTAATGAGTGCTATAGACTACAGAGTAAGTATGGGAAACGCTAGTCCACCACTCTTCCATGCCAAGCACTCTCCTCCTCCTCAGCCCCTACGCAGACGCAGCCGTCCGAGAACTCGGCACCCGCTCATACTCCTGCGCCCGCTTGTCCAGCATCGCAATGCAATGTGGCGGGTGGAACAGATGCCCGCGTCGCATCCGGACGAATCCCGCGTACATGCCGCCCGCCACCATCACGGCGATGCAACTGATGCTGACAGGCCAATGGAACTGATCCGGTCGGGAAAAGATGATGGTGGTGGCGTACGAGCACAGCTCGAACACATTCTGCCAGGCCGCCTCCACCGATGAAAAGCTGCCCCGATAAGCGGCTTCCACTTCCTACATAGATCGTCAGTCAGGATGTTGGCGGTTTCCAGACCAACTTCATGCTCACCTCTTGCACAATAACCTGCACCGAGAGATCGAACCCCCATAGCCCCACGCGGCTCAGCATCGTCCCCGCCACGAGACTGGAAGCAGCCCAGATGCGCGAGTCGAGGGTCCAAAAGGCTGACATGGCCGCCGCCAGACAGCACATCTGCCAACTGACAAACCAGATGCCACTGCGGATGGGGCCGATTCGCCTCATCACGGTCGGCGCAATCCACGTCGCCGAGATTTCAAACGCCACGGACACCGTCCGCGCGATGCTGATCAACATGGAGTTGTAGCCCGCGGACAGCAAGTACGTGACCATCTGACCCCCGAACGCCAGGACCGTGAAGTACAGAAGCGCTCCGGCAAACGACGGAAGCAACGCTCGATGGCAGAAGTAAAAGCGCAGTTGATGGAGAAATGAACGCATGCCACCCGCCACGCGACGGAGCGGCGACGCTCGTGGGGATGGCTCGGCGTTGGGGTCGGTTTCCCCAGAGGACTGTTTCGGCTGCTGGAGATCAGGCACTGCTTGGTAAACCCTGGCGATGGCGTAATATTCGATTAGAACGGAGGCCATGTTCATGCCAAAGTTGGCGAGGATTGCGATCTCGGTGGAGAGGCCGTCAACCAGGCCGATGATCAACGGCCCGACCAACTTGCAGGTGAGATCGATTCGACGCATCTGCGCATTGAGGGCTATCGAATGAATTAGAACACAAAAGCCCGTTGGACCTAGCCACCGAGACGGCGATAGAAGTAGAACGAACCTCGAAGCGCCAAATCATCGCCCTGGGCAACGACCACGACCTAGAAGTGCTTGTTAATACAGCCTGGACTTCGTCCCACGCGACAGTGCCATACCCAATCCTTTTCCACCGCGATCATGTTCATGACCGAGCAAAGCTTTTCGACGCAAGCCAACAGGGCAAGGAGGACCAACAGCCATGGCGTAAATGCCCGGAGATCCAGGTCACCCCGTGCCAGGACCCAGAACACTGCGCAGGACGCGGCCACCACCACACGCTGAACAACTATGGGACCATGAAGTCAGTACATCGACAACAAAAAGGCCACGTGAGTTAATTTACCGATGGAAAACCGCACGACGGCCAGACGGTTTCCGGTGTCAATGTAATGACCGACCGCCGGCGCAAACAGAATAGCGGCGACCCCACGCGCGAGGGCATAGATTGACATGGGCAGTAGGGTATCGGGGAAGATATAGGCCAGGTACAGGATGGCCCCGAACTCAAACACGCGGGAGTTCCATGTGGAGAGAAAGTGGGAGATGTAAATGCGCCGTGTTATGGCGGGTTGAGGGCCGGCCACCCCGCTGGTTTCCCGGTCGGGATCATGCTGTAGGAGCGGACGGGCTGGCGCATCGGAGCCTGAATCTCTCGACGGTAAGGACATTTTGTTGCCTTGAAGCCAGAAAGTCCATTGGACGCAAGGTCATCACAGGCATTGAAGAAGAACACAGTCGATGGAAGGGATAGAAGCGGTCATACGAGGCGATCGTGGACTGTCCCGTCCCGAGGCCGGCTGGTTGGTCGGATCTGACCTCACTGTGGAGTCGCTTTGCATCTCCACGAACTACTATACAAGGTACCTGAGGTTATATAGCTAGGATAGAGTCGGTGTTATCTATGTCCTCGGAATGTGTTGGGACAATCTTGGTGGGCTCTGGAATAAAAAATTCTTTGGATAGTTAAACCAAAGGAGTCATCACTGGTCATAAGACGACCAAGGCTCGGGGCATACAGTACTAAGTTCAACGCACCCTTAGTTTTGAGAGAAATCACTGCGAAAGAAGACAACTAAAGCAATCAAGCCTTGCTTATTATCTGGAAAAAGACGGACTTAGACCCTATGGCGAGTAAGCTCCGCTATCTCCGTGGACACTGCAATATCCGATGTCAGACGCTGGAGGCCGCTATAAGTACCGACTGAGATTGCTCTCCTAGAGACTGATAACCATTCAGCAATTGAATACGGCCTCCTGAGGACTCTCTTTTCATCCATCCACGGAGAACTAGCCCGTCACTATGTCATCTACACCCAAGAAACAGCTCACCTGGCTCATCACCGGCTGCTCCTCCGGCTTCGGCCTGTCCCTCGTACGCTTTGCTCAAGCCGGCGGCCACCGAGTCATCGCCACGTCGCGTAATCCCTCGCGGACCCCCGAGCTGGTGACCGAGGTCGAAAGCAAGGGCGGCAAATGGATTGTCCTGGACGTCGACAGCCCTGCCAGCGGGGACGTAATCACACAACTAGAGGCTGCCGGCGAAGAAATTGATGTCCTCGTCAACAACGCAGGATTTTCAATCTTTTCCCCCGTCGAGACGGCCACCGAGGCAGAAATGCGCGCGCAGATGGAAACCATGTACTTCGGTCCTCTGCGACTGATCCGCGCGGTGCTGCCGCATATGCGTCGGCGCCGGTCCGGCACCATCGTCAATATGAGCAGTGGTGCCTCGCTGGATGGACGGGCTACCATGGGACCGTATGCCGGGGCCAAGGCAGGCTTGGACGGTAAGCTGGCCTCTAATGACAAGTAGAGGCGTCGGAGCTCATTGATTCACAGGTCTCACGAGAGTCCTCGCAAAGGAGGTGTCGCCTTTTAACATCCGGACCCTAACGGTGGTGCTGGGGACATTTAACACGAACATGCCTAATGTGTGCTTGGTTGGGGAGATACCTATGCACGAAGATTACCACGGAACTGTCTCGGACCAGATGATGCGGTTTTTAACGAGCGGGAATTTCAAACCCAATGGCGACAAGGATAAGGCCATGAAGGCTCTGTACGAAGTGGTGGTGGGCGAGGGCGTGGGAGAAGGACACCAGGGCGAGCAGTTGTTGCTGTTAGGCAGCGATATGACTCCACGAGCTAAAGGCGTCCAGGAATACTTGGGACAAGCCTTGGAGGTATTTGGTCCGGTCACCAACGGCGTAGATCTCGAGTAGATGCGCTGTCAAGGTCTTGTTAACAGATCATGGAGACGATAATTTGCGGTGTCTATGTAGTCAGCAATTTCTGTCTTATGCCAACGGAATACTTCTGATCATGGTACAAGAGAGAGACAGAGGGCAACATTCACACGATCTTTCTATGTTTCGCCTTTATAAATGCTGTCGGTAGATCTAATCTGGAAGATTGACTGAGAGATTTTCCAGCAAGGAAACGATTGAGTCTGCCACACGAGTAAACATCTTAAAAAATCTATTCCGTCCTCTGCTCAGACAAAGCTAGTTTCAGTCTCTCACACAATTCCACCAATGTATGACCGGCCCATTCGAAGTCGTCCATCTCCAGATAGATCTGCCCACTCAGCCGAGTCCACCAGCGTCCCTTGAAGGGGAAGATGGGCAGGTAGGTCTGATATTCTTCAATCAGCGTCTGCTGCGCCCAGTCCGACACCGACACGCGACGCCCCTTCCAGGGAAGAGTGACCGGCGCAGAGGTGGACAGCTCGATGGGCAACAACACGGTGGACATGCAGCAGTCCGTGTACGTTCTCGTCTTGTTATCCAGCACCTGTGTCCCAAGTATATCGGCCACCAGCCTGCCTCCCTCCTGCGCCAGCCGGGTGCAATACTCTATGATTTTCTTCTCGCCCCCTGCGACTGTGCGGCGCCACTCGATGGCTGCCGGCACCGTGATGAACGGGATAGTGTCGAGGGTCCCGACGAATTCGAAATTCCGCACAAATTCGCTCTTATCCGTGTTCACTGCCGGCGCATTGCTGGTCGATTCCGACTGCGGCACGAACCCGATGCTGGTGGGCAGCGTGGAGCGCATCATCGCCTGGTTGCGCTGAGGCACGTAGAAGACGGCGCAGGAGCGCGGCGTGAACAACCACTTGTGACAATTACTGACGAAGAAGTCGGGATCCAGCTGGGCCAGGTTCAGCTCGATATGTCCAATGCCATGAGCTCCGTCGATCAAACTCAGCACGCCCTCCTCACGACAGACCGCCGTCAGCGCCTCGAAAGGCAGCCGCAGCCCCGGGTTCGAGCAGACGGTATCGAAGATGGCGATACGAGGATTGCGACCCTCGCGACGCGACGCCCGAATCGTATTTCGGAAGGCTGCGACAAACTCATCGTCTTCGATGGGGTAATCGACGCGAACCTCCCTCGTCCGGACTCGGCACTCGGAGGCTTCGCAAAGGTATTTAGTCGTACTGCCGCAGGCGCTATAGATGACGTCTAGTTGAATAATCTCGTCGTTTCCATCCGGATTCCACGTCAGATTGCGCAGCACCGTATTCACGCCCGTCGTCGCGTTGGCCACGAAGACGACAGTAGACACGGGGACCTGCAGGAAGTCGGCGATGGCGGCGCGCGATTCGTCCAACAGCGGCGGGAAGTCATATTTAATAAAAGGGCAGGGTCGGGTCTCCCATTCCTCTCGGAGATTCTCTGCCTTTTTGCGAACGGCCGACGGAGAGGTGCCGTAGGACCCTGAAGTGACAGTCAGCCCTAGATCATCCCAGGAGGCGGGGAAGAACGGATGCACCTACCGTGGTTCAGATTGCGATAACCGGGAGCAAATGAGAAATGCTTTCTCATTTCATGGCCGAACGAGGTAGGCGCGGTTTCCTGACTGCGCGTCATCTTGATAAAACAAGTAGATAACGACAGAGTAGTCGGCTGGGGAGAGGGAAGGAATGGAATGGAGGGGCAGAGAGGCGACAGCGAAGAACTCACGATAACCAGCCACCAACAGCACTCCGGCCAATGACACGCGATGCCTCCGCTTATCTGACATGCAAACCAATGAAGGCTCTGCCCGCGCACGGCTTGGCTGTCCGGGGTAAAACTTAACAGGCGTTTAGGGTTGCTCGAGGGTTGCATTGCTTCGTGCTGGTCTGTTGTTCCCCACCCCAATGCACCCTTGATAGCCGTGGGTCAACTTGCACGGAGTACATCGCCCGTGAATATCTCCCTGTCAATGTGTATGGATCATGTTAGCTGGCTGTCTGGCAGTCTAACTCCTTGTTCATCGAGCGGTATTTCTTTCCCCGTACTATTACTGAGTGTACTCAGGTATTCTGGCTTATTTCACCGATTCTGAGTAGATCAATTCAACAACTACAACAACTTCAACAACCAGAAACCAAACAGAAGAAAGAGACAACATGTCGACACTTGACAATGACTCGAAACCCCCCAACCCCGATAAGATCCAACTTGATCGTCTGGAGGAGAGCGACGTGGCGCAGCGGGAGAAATACGCGCAGGAGCAAAAGAACGTGGGCACCTTGCAGCGCCGCCTGAAGGCGCGACACGTCCAGTTCCTGGCGCTGTCTGGGGCCATCGGCACGGGGCTCTTCGTCGGCATGGGCCAGGTGCTGTCGCTGGCCGGCCCTCTGTCCGCCGTGCTGGCCTACGCGATCACCGGCTTCAATCTGTACGCCGTGATCAACAGCATGGGCGAGATGGCCACTTGGCTGCCGCTGCCCGGTGCCGTGCCCGTCTACGCCGCGCGCTTCGTGGACGAGGCGCTGGGATTCACGCTGGGCTGGAACTACTGGTATCAGTTCGCCATCGGGGTGCCCATCGAGATTAGTGCGGCGGCGCTGATCATCGAGTACTGGCCCAACGGCGTCTCGCCCGCCGTCTGGATCACCATCTTGTATTTGGTGATATTCCTGCTGAACTGTCTCCCCGTGCGCGTTTATGGCGAGCTGGAATTCATCCTGGGGTCCATTAAGATACTCACTATTGTGGGCTTGATGATTCTCATGTTCATCATTATGCTGGGTGGCGGTCCCAACCACGATCGAATCGGATTTCGATACTGGAAGAACCCTGGGCCAATGCAGGAATATCTGAAGACCGGCGACCTCGGGCGGTTTCTGGCATTCTGGAAGGTCTTCATCCAGGCCACCTTCAGTTACGGCGGCAGCGAGATGGTCGTCGTGGCGGCAGGAGAAACGGAGAATCCCCGGCGCAACATCCCCAAGGCCGTGCGACGAATCTTCTGGCGGATTGCCATCTTCTACGTCGGCAGCGTCTTCCTGGTTGGGATGTGCGTCTCATCGCGCGACGAGCGTCTGCTGAATGCTATCAGCCATGGAGCAGAGGGCGCTGGCGCCAGTCCGTTCGTCATCGCCATCGCTAACAGCGGCATCAAAGTGTTGCCGTCTATCATCAACGCCGTCATCCTCTCGTCTGCTTTGTCCGCCGGTAATTCATTCTTCTACGCCTCCACGCGGATCCTCTACTCCACCGCACTGGACGGCAAGGCGCCGCGCATCCTGCGCTACGAGAAATTCGGCGTGCCGTATGCCTGCGTGGGCGTCACCGCCGCTCTCAGCCTTCTCGTCTATCTCAACGTCTCGGCCAGCGCCGCCGAAGTCTTCTTCTGGATCAGCAACCTCAGTTCCGTCAGCACGCTGATCGTCTGGGCTTCCGTGGCCATCACCTACACGCGATTCTACGCGGGGCTCAAGCACCACGGCATCGCGCGGACAGGTTTACCCTTCAAAACGCCCTTTCAGCCCTTCCTTGCCTACTTCGCCATCGCGTTCTCTACAATCGTCGCTTTCTTCAATGGCTTCGACGCCTTCTTTCCGGGCAAGTTTAGCGCTAAGACGTTCGTGCCGCCGTACATCGACATTCCGATCTTCGCCAGCTTGTTCCTCGGATATAAGATCGTTAAGCGTACCAAGTTCGTCAAGGTCCAGGATATGGATCTGTGGTCGGGCAAGGCAGAGGCTGATCAGTTGGAGGCACTATGGGAGGAGCCTCGGCCACGCAATTTCCTCGGTAGGTTGTGTTTTCCAGCTGTCCAGCTTCAATTACTGATGTTCACAGAACGAATTTGGTTCTGGATTGCCTAATACCACATCCGGATAAGACTAAAAGGAGATAAGTCGAGTTCGAAGTAAGCTTGGACTTATTAAACCAAGACTAATGTGATATGAGACCGCGATGGGGCATAGTGCTTTAAGTAGCAACTAGCAGGATGGCTTATTATAAGGGTACTAGCTTTAGGCTTCCTTCATAAATAATACTTGACTTAAATATAAAATAAATCCAAAATTCTATTGTTCATACTCATTAAAATCTAGCTCATTAATTATATCCAGTCCAACCCCATCTAATAACACCACCGGAAATCCGGACTGTCCGGACCATCTCGCAGTCTTTCCGTCGGGACGTCCTGCGCCCGCAGATTCAAGCCCTGTCGAGAATTCCGGCGCTTGTTATCCATCATCATCCACAGCCCCAACAACAGCGTCAACAGGATGCCTGTCCCGCCGAACGCCGCCGTCGTGATCAGCGCGGGGAAGTACTTGGGCGCATCCTGGTTGCGGAAGATATTCGAGCTGACAACGCCCATCAGGTTGGCCATGGGGACGGCAATACTCGTTAGCAGCATGCGTCGTCCTTCATTGGCAATGTTATTGTTATACCACACGTCCAGAAGGACCGACGGCGCCGAGGTTCCCCACGTCATCATGAACGAGGCAAAGTACGCGACACCAAGCGAGGCCTCGACATCGATGGAGGAGTAGATGACGAAGCCGATGAACGTGAACAGGAACCCCAGGGCCACGAACGGGAAGCGCCACCGGGTCCAGTCACTGCAGAAGGCGAGGATAAGCAGGACCACGGCGCCGGAGACGTTGGGCGCCACGGTGTAGAGGTTTGTTTTGACGGTGCCGTAGCCGAGGCGTTGGATGATCTGCGGCAGGAAGAGCTGCACGGACTGCAGAGGCACGCCGAGGCAGATCTGGATGGCGATGATGGCCCAGCTAGTGGGCTGCTTGAACACTCGCAGAGCGTCGCGAATGTTTAGTTTCTCGTTCACCACGGCGGAACTGTCGATCTGTAGTCGGAGGTATGCGAGTTCTCGCTCTTCGAAGGAAAGGAAGGATGCTTCTGATGCGGAGAGAGGCAGATACCAGAAGGCAAAGGCGGCGAAAAGCACGGTGCCACCGCCCTCGATGAGGAAGAGATAGCGCCATTCGGCCAGGGGACCGGACTTGATCTGGAAGACACCGAAAGCCAGCAGCCCGGAGAAGGCGGATGCGATGCTCTGTGCAGCGTAGAAGATAGCCAGGCGCCGGGCGAGTTCTCCACGACGGTAGAATCTATACCGGTGGGTTAGCGGTAGTCCATCAGGTAAGGACGGGGACGGGGAACTGAGACATACGTGGTGAGATAGTAGATGACAAGAGGGAAGAAAGCACTCTCAGCCATGCCCAGGAACCATCGGATGGCCAACAGCCCGCCGAAGTTGAAGACGGCCACCACCAGAATTGTACACAAGCCGAAGCTGAACATCATGCAGGGCAGCACCACGTTGGGGCCGTATTTCTTGCCGAGGATTCCGAGGAAGGGGGCCGTCAAGACGTAGGGAATGAAGAAGATGCTGAGAATCATGTTGTACTGTCCACCTTTGAGGTTGAGGGTTTCTGTGGAGGCCTGTTAGTATCAATGATAACGTGACCCATGAAGGATGGATAAAGCTACCTTCTAGACCGGCCGTTTTGGCATTGCCCAGGTTGGATTTGTCGAGACTGTTGAACAGGTACATGATAGCCAGCACCGGCAGGATGCGCAGATCGAACTTCCACACCAGAGATCGCTCGGCCCGCGAGTCGATGACGGCGCCCAGATCGGAGACATCCTGAATCTTGGAAACCTCTTCCGACGACTCGACGGGGACGGGTTTCGTGGGATCTGGGGTAGTTGTCGCCATTCTGCGCGGGGGGATAGTTGATTAAGGTCCATAATGTCCATGGCGGGTCGTCGACCTTTATATGAATCTTTCCAGGGCATCTTGAAAGTGGCAAGCGATAAGCCCAGAAGACCGGAAGTTTAGGGCTTTCGTCGACATCGTGACAAGTCGGAGGAAACCTCAGGCCGTTATCAGGCCCAAAGATAAGCCTGATAAGCCAGGCTCCGATCTCGTGCCGATGCTGATGTCATCGGGTTATGCGCATTACTATGCACGCGTCTGACCGAGTCTACCCCAGGATTTACCCCAAGAAGAATCCCTTAGAAGTGGAATTCCATGAGAATAATCAGATGGAGCCATTGAATCTATTGAATTTAGTCTCGCCCCGAAATCTTACTATCCTGGTCTACCTCTACTTGCACCATCATGACATGCACAACTCCCTCCCGATCATCGGCCTTGGCAGCACCCGCCGGTCAGTGATTAATGGAAACACGTTTGACAAATGCCAACGAGTCTTCGAGACGACAATCTCCGCGCTTATCAAGTGGTCTGATACGGGGTGACTTGATGTCGACTGTCTTTGCTTGGGGTCCCCGCAAAATACGTCAGTTTATCTGCTTGGGGAAGTCATTGAATTGTCTAATTCTGGTGGCTAATTCTGCTATCGCGCTAGACGCTGGAGATCGTGCCAGGGTTCTTGGAGAAAAAATAGATTAAAAATATCGAGTAAAATAGATAATGAATAGATAACTATAGAAAATGAAAGAAAAACGAGAGTAAAAAGTAAGACAGTCCGTGCCTTGTCAATTTCATCGTCTGATCTCGACTGATTCCTCCCATTCACACACTCTCTACCAACCTGATTGCCTGGCCACTTATGGATGAAGATGTGGAGCATCACGATTCTAGACCCGACACTCTCATCTTCCATTCTTGTTCCATCAGCCCAGATGGAACGCATGGAGCCACAGTCCTTCACATCTCGACGTTAGATGATGCAGGAGGATTCTCCTGAAGGAATCAACTGAGCCCACTCCTGCTCCATCATCAACATCTGACGTGTTGGCTGTCGTCAACGGCACTGCCGCCAATCCCAGAACTGTGACGATGATAATTAAACTTGATGGAACCAACGGCATTCTAGAATAAGCATCAAATCCATTGGACGCCACCATCGCGATCAAAGCTTATAATACGCCTAGCTGCCGCCCCCAAAAGATGATACACTGCTTGTTCTTGTCCGGAGGATGCGATCGTCACGATCGGGGCAGAGAAACACCAACATTGCTTCAGATTGATTCTTGCAGTTGGGGGCTGCAGGGGCCGAGAATCGATGTTGTGGCGAGTCTGGACGGTAATATAAACCTCACCAGGAGGACTTGTTGAACACCGCTCGACAGACCCCCTTTGCCTTCTATCAGTAGGTATAGTTCGCAAGATCTCCCTCTAGAGAAAGAAATGCTAACCGTAGATCTCCCCTACAGCATCCTCAAGATAAAACAACGAGCCCCAACAACATGCTCACCAAATCCCTCCTCGCTGCCCTCCCCCTGAGCCTCTGGGCCGTCGCCCACGCCGAAACCATGATGGAGCCCTTCGACATCTTCATGTCCTCCGACAGCACCGTGCAGTACGCCCGCGGCGACAAGGTCGACAACAACGCCATCTGCCAGACGATGGGCGACGGCGAATACACGTTTTCGTTGCTGCTGGAACAGCAACTGGACGACGATCGGGACATGTGCGCCAACAGCACCGTGGCGATCATGGACAACGACTGCGTGATCCAGGATATCCTGAAATACCCCGACGAAGTGACCAACTCGCAGCTGGTGCCGCAGGACTACCCTTACACCATCTTCGAGGATTTCCTGCAGGGCGCGATCGTGATCGACGTCGGCCAGTTCTGCGAGCTGGCGGATGATAGCGACCCGCACGTTCAGTTCGGGTACATGGGCAGCCAGTACAAGGCGAGTAACTCGGACTACTGCAATTCGATCGTGGATTCGGACCATGAGCTGTGGGCTTGCGGCAAGGCATTCAACGTGGAGGGTGACGATTAGGAATTGAATGAAGTTAGGATCGAAATGTCAAATGTGACGATCACTGTTAGAAGGGGAAATTCTGAATATACTTATATACTAAGAAGGGATATATGACAGGTTGAATAGAAATACAATTTCGCCCGGCGAGAAGAAAATAAGCAGGGGCCTGATTAGTCCTCCTTTGGAGGTGTCGATTACGAAGACTTGTTAGTGCTAGTCATGAGGTCGGCAATCTTCTCAGCCAGCATGTCTGTCACAAATGTTAGCACCGATCGGTTTATCATCTGATAGCGAATGAACTTACAAACGGTGGATTGAGGATGACCTGGGGGCAGTATGGGGAAGGAGCTGGCGTCAACCACTCTGAGTCCGCTGACGCCATACACGCGAGCCTGGCTATCGAGAACGGCCATCTCGTCGTCCTTAGTGCCCATCTTACAGGTGCAGGCCGGGTGCCACAGCGTCATGACGTGGTTGCGGATGAAGTCAAGGATCTGCTCGTCCGAGCTAACTTTGTTACCGGGATAGTACTCCTCGCCAATAACGACGGGAGCCATGGCCTTGCTGTGGAACGCCTCTCGCATGCGCTTGAACATGGCGATGGCGAGCTGCTGGTCCGACTCCGTGGCCAGCCAGTTGGGGTTGATCAGGGGGAGGTCCGAAGTGTCGGCAGATTTCAGGGTGACGTTGCCGCGAGAAGTCGGAGCAACGAGGACACCCAGCATCGAGGCATACTGGAAGCCGTCCTGGGGCTGAGTCGTGAGGAGGTCGGAGAAGTTTCCAATGTAACCGGCTCCAGAAATATACTGTGATGACTGTCAGTATGCACTACGCGAGGGTAAGGGTCAGATAACCGACCTCAGCTTCGGGCCAGTCCTTGGGGAACTGCTGCAGAGTCTTCTGCACCTGAGCCGAGAACGACTCGCGCAACTTGGCAGGGATCTTCTCCCAGGCGAGGAAATCGGCGATGGGGTTGGTTAGAGGACCCTTCTTGGCGACAACGCTGTTCAGGAATTGGCCGAGCAGGTAGAGTAGGTTGCGCGCAATCTTGGTGAACGTGGTGACATTGACGCGATAGCTGGGACCAAAGAAAGGATGATCCCACATGTTCTGACCAACACCAGGAAGGTTGGAAATGACCTCGATGTCATGCTCCTTGAGCGTGTCTGCAGGGCCGACTCCAGACACCATGAGCAACTGGGGGGACTGGAATGCGCCGGCAGAGACGATGACTTCCTTGCTGGCCTTGAGGGTAGAGACTCCTCCGAGGGGACCCTTGATCTGCACGCCCGTTGCCTTCTTGTTCTTGTTGAAGATGATCTTCTTAGCCAACGTGTTTTCGTGGATGTCCAGGGATCCGGGCGGCGACTTGAGGAACGACGACTCGGAGCTGCTGCGAGTCTGGTCGCCCGGACGGATGGTCGACGAGCAATACTGATTGCCCATCAGGGAGCCGGAGTTGAAGTCCTCAGCCTCCGAGATGCCGATCGCCTCCATGCCCAGCTTCATCCAGGTCGAGAAGGGCATGGCGTAGTTGGCATAGGAGACCTCCAGGGGACCGGCCTTTTGCTCGAACGCAGACTCGGCGTATTTGGCCGACGCATTGGGGAATCGGATATCGGCGTTGGGGGGAGTGAAGTGAGTGCTGCGCTTGTAAAAGGGCAGCACCTGATCGAACGTATAGCTCTTATCGTCGACGGTGTCCGCCCATTGCTGCATCGAGTCGACGGTTGGTCTTGCACGCGACATCAGCGCCGATCCAGGAACAAAAATACTCCAATGGTGAGGCCAGCACTCACCTTTGATAGATCATAAAGTTCAACGCCGACGACCCACCCAGCGTTTTACCTCGTGCAAAATGGATGGCGCGGTTGTTGGCACCGGGGAAAGGCTCGGTGATGAATCCCCAGTCGATGGAGGATTTGACACGAGGACTGGAACCGACGGGCAGAGCATCGGCAGCCGGAACGGCGGCGAAAGACTGCAGCTCGTAATGTCCTCCAGCTTCGACCAGCGCGACCTTGAAGTCTTTCTCTGCCAGGCGCGTGGCAATCACATTGCCTCCAGTGCCACCGCCCACGACGATGTAATCGTACTCATTGTTACCCAAAAGGCCCTGAGCCCCGATCAGAGGACAGAGAGCGAGAGCAAGGATAGCCTTGCACAGCATGGCGAGTCTCCACACAGCGAAGTGTCGGGATTTGATAGCCGACAAGTTGTCAAGGGAGGCGTGAAAGGGGCTCGGACGCGACGCCGAGGGCGCAGACAGGTCTTATACTGCGAGTCGCGTACATTCCTTCGAACGAGGGCCCCCGAGTAGCGCATTTTTCGTCTCGCACATGTTTCACGCAGAATGGGCACGTCGGGCAGGGACGGATCCGGTGATGATTAGCCAATGAAGCCTGCAGGGGCCGAGGGTCGCAGTAGACAATCGTCATTCTCGGGGCAAGAGACCTGAATCATGCCAGGAACCCCCTGGTCGTGCTAGGCTGCTAGCAGGGAACGCACCCCAAAAATTGGATCGACCCAATATTAGGGGATGTCGGGGTGGAGTTTACCGGCAGATCCGCACAACCCTAAAGCCTCGAGGGGAAATCCACGCGGCCTTGATTTTCAGTCGGTTCCATTCTGAAACGTCGACCGATGCGCAGGCCACTGCTTGCGACCGCCGCTGGTTCGTGCTGGTGATAGATCACACTGGGTTATTTTTGGGGATCGAGGCACGTTTGGCGCATCGGCGGTGGGTCGGTGGATCTAGGGCCGGACAGGCCCTTCTTTTGGGAAATGGTCCTGAATATCGATCCAGGAACCTGCCAGGAACCGGCACGGATTGGACTTGCTCAATGGACGAGATTCTCTCGGAGAGCTACGGAGACGGAGAAGACAGAAGCCCTTCCTCGATGCTCATCAGGTTGATGCAGTCGAATCAACGGGGATCGTGGATTCACAATAACTAGAGAAATGTCGGAGCTTTGCCCCGATGCATGCTTTCAATTGATCTCAAATTGCGATTGGCTAACCGATCAGTCTCTTCTAGATCTTCTTTTCACTAATCAACATTAACGGCCCTTCAAATCCCCCTTCCTTACCACGGTCAAGCTGAAGGACCACTCTCTGCTCGAGTCACAAAATTAAGAGTGCAGCTTAGGGGTTACGGTGTTGCCTCGGTTGAAATTGGGCACATCACACTAAGGAGTTCTTTTCGTGAAGATGCCTTTCGTATACGCAAGACGAAACCCTGCTCGCTCGGCACTGCGCGCACTGCCGCTGCCAGCACTCGTCGTCATCGTGGCCAGATCCACGCCGAGTTGATGTGCTTCAAGAACGCGAGCCCGAATGAGAGCTGCATGCACCCCTTTACCCCGATATCCAGGAAGAGTGCTGTCCAAATACAGATGGGCCACACTTCCGTCGGGGGAGTCGATGACGGCCATGGCTGCAGTGCCGACAATCTCCTTGTTAATCGTCGCGACATACAGATATGTATCGTCTCTGCATGCTGCAAGACGTGCAAGAAGTCGAAGAAGATCCGATGATCGACCGCCATCTGCGAACCCCGCAACTGAAGCCTGCAGGAACTTTTCTGTTTCCTGCTGAGCCACCCGGGAGATCGTGACGCCGGCCTCTCCTGCGGTGCGACCCTGTTGCGAGACCACATCATCGGGGGTACACGCATACACATTCAGGACATGCCTGACGACATACCCGCACGAACTGAGAGATTGCAAAGCGGAGGGACGTGCCAGCGCACAGAGGTGGATCTGGTGATCGAGCCCGACGGGCTTGATTAAGGCTTCAATGTCGCGCAAATTTTGCTCCTCGACCTCGCTGTCCATGCCAAGGCCGACTGTGCGATTCAACTTGCCCACCAACTCAGGAAGCGTCTTGATGGTGATTCCTCCGGCTATCGGTTGGATCTGGATATCATGGGATGGGTGAAGATGGCGACAAACTTCTGCCTGTCGCTCAATATGCTTGGCCTCGATGTATTCATTTCGCTTGGCGACGTCGATCGCGGTAAAGAGACGTGAAGAAGACATGTCGTAAGTGACGCACAGGTGGTGTAGATGGCCCAGATGGTCTGAAGTTGGGGGTACGCCAGGCAGTCTAATACTTGAATCCTCTAAAATGGCGCCATCGCCATGACTCACTTCCTACTTGCTTATCTGGCCTTCCCCCAATTATGAGCATTCGAGTGCTGATAGAGGGGACCTGGAAACCAGAGATTTTCTAATCATTGATAAAATAAAAAAAGAACGAAAAGGGAGCTGTCAAGCATGACGATCGAGCGACCCTTGGCAATGCAGGCCCTGGTCATGATCCCAGTCACCTCCTTGATTATTGGCCCCCAATTCCGCCAATGCGTGCACAACACATAGTCTGGAGGGGTCGCATCTGCTGTGCGCGATTGATTGATATATCGAGCTGACATGCAATCGCCCGTGGGTTTCATCGCGCAGTATCACACCACTAGTTCGACGCTCTATGAAGATGGCCGAAAATAAGTTGTCTGCTGCGTTGCAAGCTCTTCAGTTAGACCCATCAGAGCAATCAAAATCTCGCAAGGCTCAGTTTCATCCTCGGAGAGCCGGTCATAGTTCTGCGGAGCCAACGAAACATGGCCGAAAACACGAGGGAGTGAACAATCCGGAAGAGCAAAAGCGACCGGGCAATAATTCATCCTCTGGCTCTACGAGACAAAGTAAAGCTCAAGCAGATCATTCAGCTACAGATCATCTCGATAGTCAATCTGAAACACCTGGGAAATCGGCCAAACATCGGTCTCGACGCCGGGGCAAACCCCGACGAAATACTAGTGACAAGCCAGCTCCCACGACAGGTCGATCGTCCATCGATCACAAAGATGACAGTCAAGAACACCAAAGTCTGTCTCAGATATATGTCGTTCAAAAAATGCGCCCATCGGAGGAGGTGATCGGGGTCTATTGCCAACTGCAACGGGCAAATGACCGAGCGACAGAATATCTTCACACAAAACACGGCATCTCAGCGCGTGAGATCTCTGACTGTCGGGGTATCTTCGATCGGAAAGATCGGAACGTTGCAATAGGAAAAGCCACGAAACGAGTTTGGGCCACTGGTGCAGTGGAGCTTCTAACTCGCGGCGGCCAGTCGTGGATTCGAGTTCTACCCAAGGAATGGAAAGCTGCTGGACAAAGTGGTAGGCCAGAAGTGGTCTATCTTGCTCTGGACGAGTGCAAGGGTCTCTTCGTTGTCGGGGCATATGCGACCATGGAAGAGGCCTGGGAGGGATGCAGAAAGTACTGGATGGCGCTGGCTGTCTGTGCTCCTCTTGAGAATATGAAAGAGTCAAGGGATAGTCAAGATGTGCCTCATGCTCGGGCACGCACTATGGGGAAGAATCATCATTGGTTTGTTCGGCGATATGATGCTCAGTAAACAGACTTGACTAAATGTCTCTAAATGCGTCTCATTACCATAAGTGATCGTCTCAGCTATTCAGTCAGAAATCGTTGGTTCATCGATATAGGAGTTCATATACAATTCATCACTCAATCATAGCTTTCAATCGACCCTCGATGCCCACCATAAGCGTCTTCACGACGTCTTCCCTGAGAACACCTTGCTGATACGCCGCATGAATCACACAAGCCCCGTCCAACACACCAGCTGCGTTAATCACCAATTCGGGCCCAACACCCCCAAGGATGGCGCCTCCGGAAAACTCCATTCCACACACCTTCCATCGTGCATCTGGTGATGCGGAAGGTCCCTCGGGCCTGGGACAAAAGACGCCTAAATTAGACACAGAGAACGCGTTTCTCGAAACGAGACTTAGCCCTGGAAGGAGCTTAGAGGCAAAGTCTTCCTGATGCTCTCCTATAAGCTTTAACGCTTGGAATCCCTGTGCGCTTGTCTTCCCGGAGGACAGATCGTAAGCCAGGTCAGCTTTGTGTCGTGCCGCTAATGTCCATACGAGGCCAGCATCCACTGGATAGTCAGATCCCTTCGCAGCAAGTTCCGAAACTGTGCCTGCCTGACGGAACGGTCCCAGTCGATCAAAGCTCCACATTGCACTTGAGGCATTGGTCATGGCTCGAGACTGCTCAAGGGAAGACCGACATGTTTGCAGTTCACGACGCATGTCGATCGCCGTTTGAGACCAACTGAATCGTGCATTGGGGTAGATGTCGACTGCTAGACCGACCTTCGTCAGGGTGTGGAGGAGACTCGTGAACGAGGTATTGTTCTTTCGACATGCCTGGAGGCACTTCTGCATGGTGGTAGCATCGAGTCGAAGAGACTCTAACCTGGTGACGGGAGAGTGTAAGTCCCTGCTCGGCTTGCTGTACACAAATTCTCTCTTTGGGTATGTTGCATCGTGGAAGAAAAGATCAGCTCCGCCGTAGAGAAACCGAAGAACGTGGAAGCGGACGGCATTGTAGATAGTCCAAAGAAGGGAGAATCGCGTCGTGCATCGCTCGGTCGGGTCGTCTTCGAGAGGCTGATCGATTGAAACCGGTACAATACTGGATATAGAATCCGGTTGTTCATCAATTGAATTGAGGGCATCCAGAAGAGATTCGTGGAAAGCGACGGCCCCTCGCCCATCAGTGATATAGTGGTCGAATACGAAAAGGACATGTCGGGCGTTTATCACGATCAGTTTCCATGGTGGCTTTGAGTCGGTCGAGGCTTCTTCAAACCACATTCCACGATATCTCTCTATGACGCTGCCCAATCCGCGAGCCTCTTCATCTTCGATCGAAAGATCCACGAACTCCAGATGCTCATCTAAATCAACCTCCTGTTGATACGCAGACAGACTTTGATGCTTTTTCTCTTCCGATAAGCGATCAAAATGAATCATGCCCAGCTGGGGATACTGCCGAACGACATGTCTCAAGGCTTCGTAGACCTGGGGTTTCGATAACCCGATGGACAGGTCTCGATGGGAATACGAAGCAGCAACTATGATATTGGACTGCAATCCGAAATGGCGATAGAGAGCGAACATGCGCTGATAGCGCTCTTCCTGGCCCCATCAGCAACGCCACCAGCCTCTTGGCCAAGGCTTCTTACCGGCCTGGTGTTCCAGTAGAAATCCAGCGCTCGAGCTGGTCAGCGGCGTCTGACAGCCAACGTTGTCAGGAGAGGCCATCGTCTATTTGTGGTCGTTCTTTTGACCTCGCCTGGCGATGGGGATGGATTGGAACAATTGTGCTGGCTTGACCGAGCGAGCGAGTACCGCAGTCAATCAATCTTACTCTCCAACAAGACAGTTTTGGCCCCCAAGCAGAGGGAATGTTTCTGTCGCCACGTCGAGGCTTGCGCTAAATCCAACGGACTCGCTTATCTCCGTCTCCCCGGATGCCCTCGGAGAGGCGTGTTTCCGGCTTCCGTCAGACTGGAGATCAGATAGAGTGAGATTGACAGCCCAGTTCTGTGAGAGGAACGACAACAGGAAAAGCAGCGTTACAGATGCCGTAATGGTCTACAGACATATTCGCCATTCAGGTAAGTCAAACAGGGTATTTCAATTTGTTTCAATCCGATCCTCATCATACCGCCACAGGGGCCTGCGTCTTCATTAACATGTCCAACGCCGTACTCCCAGCCTCATTGCTCGGCAGTGCTCCTAAGTCCTCCAACCCGACTCCCATTGTTTCTGAGCCCGTGCGACCTGTTTGTAGCTCAAACGTCTTCCCCGAGTCACATTGCACCGTTGTGGATAGAGTCGATAGCGTCACGCCGCCGCATCCATAAAGCATATCCAGCTCGATCGTCTCCAGCTGCGGGAAATCGGCCTGCATACTCCCCAGCACTGCCAGCCAGCCGGGCGAGAGACCCGTTACCCCGGTCAGATCAATCCTACGCAAACTCAATCGAGACTTGTAAAGAATGCGCATCAGGTCATCCGCCTGAATGGCTGTGAATGCGAGTGTGATTCGTTCCAAGGTACTCGGCAGATCTTCGGACCTACTAAGCTGAGCAAAGAACTCCATTGCCAGATCTCTGGGTCCCAGACCGAGGTAGAGCTTTCGGAGGCTTGACGCGTGAAGAATCGAGTCGAGAATAAAGGAATAATTATACGGCGTGAGGTCGTGCTCCAGATGTAGATTTTCCAACTTCCCCCATGCCGCGCGAAACCCGGCATTGCCAAACAGGGTCTTGGGTAATCGCTTGACATCCATTGTCTCTGTTGTGTAGTTTATGCCTTTGCCGTACCAGAAGAGCTTGACTGGGAGCTTTGCATCGGCGATGATATCATATAGGATGGTGGCGACGTCGTCCGGCTTCAATAGGTGATCGTGGTTACCCTCTTCTGATGGGCCAGTGCACGCGATGGGCGAGATGATAAAAGATCGACAATGCGGAAGTCGATGCACGAGATCATCACGAAACCGTCGAAGAATCGGTATATCAAGTGAATTCCGCAGGTGTCCTGCAACACTCCATTGCCATTGTATACCGCGGCCGAGATGCGGTTCGGGGGCCATGATGACCAGCCGTTGAACGTACTGGCGCATTATGGGATTCTGGGCGATCGCATGCAGATGATTGAGCCCATGCTCAGAGAAATCAATGTATACTTCTGCATATCGCTGGGCAAAGCGATGAATGGTGTGGTGGTATGTATGGCAGCAGGTTCCGACGAGGGCGGCGAGATCGGGAGTGGGAAGTTCGTCGCAGATCATCTCCACGATCTCGAGAGGGAGGGAGCGAAAGTGACTTTTTGATCCTGAACGTGCCATTGTGTTTAGCATAGTCATAATCAATTCTGCAGAGAAATCGACAATGGATGAGGGGACTGCGGGGAGAGCGAGGCCTTTCAAGTGCTGATCCCCAGGGTCCCCGATGTACCTTGGAGGCACGCATTCCACCCGGGTACATGGCAGCTCGTCGAGTGACTAAGATGAGGAAGATCATGACTGATAAGCTTAATGAGATGGTTCCTTACTTAGTCACCGTAGATCTGCGGGACACCATGCCTGCCGAGTTTAATTCGATCGCGTCAATCTGATATCTTAATGCGGTAATCATGAAGCCTTTCGGGAGTGTAACTAGCCACAGTGTGAGAACCACAAATTTAGCCAAATTGCAACTGGATATATTTTATTAATTCATGGTCCGCTCTCACGAACGAACGATTTTATCTTGTCAGCTGACGTGAGAGCGATCGCCTTAGAACATTGATTTGGAATATCCGGGGGTACTCCGTAGAGGATATATATTCCCACATAGAATCAAAAACCTTCAACATCACCAACCCATGTTATGGTACCTTGACACGCGTTCAAGTCACGTCGCGGATTTCATTTCGGTTTAGTATTAATATTTACTTATTTTCTTTCCTTTGCCACATGAAATTCGACTTCGTAGATCTTTCTCCGTTGTTGAATGACATCACTGCCACCCAATGTCTGCTCAAAAATTATGATCTCCGAGGTACCAGAACAAATCCTGCGGAGAGCCCGGCAGGGCAATTAATCGAAGGATTGCAGTAGTCCTGCATGGACAAATCTGTTGTGAGTCATGTCATCATGGACCAGGCGCGCTGCTAACCGTGAGGAGAGAACGTCAACAAACAAACAAACAAACAACGCCACCAATAATCGGGATGCAACCATGCTCCAGATCGATTCCTTCCATTAAGAGGAAGAAAGAGGGGGAGGCAAATGCAGGCTGGCTGAGATCGGGAGTAGGGCTGCATGCAGCTGCTGCCACATCACAGTGCACAAGCTCATTTACAACTCAGCCCAGAGTCCAGATTCACCAGCTTCAGTTAGCCTGAAGCTCCTCCGTGGGCACTCCGGGGACCCTAGGAGAACAGCTGCAGAATTTCTGTGTTTTCCACCAGTCACCGCGGCGATTCTTGGGCGCTGTGGACCTGCGAGTTCAGCTTGGCCCTAAGATGCGCTAAAGACAAGCAGCCAAGACGCGATGGACCGCGAAAAGTGGAGGCGACGCAGATATTTTGTTGACATTGTTATTGCTGCCGGGCGCAGAGCTGGATTGGCACATTGCGCGGGATTTGCTGGTGAGTGCATTGCTTTGCAGAGAACGACGTGGACGAAGATCTGATAGTTGGTGAACGAATAGCTGCTGCTTCTGCTGCTGCTGTCAGCCAATCCGACCGGACTCCAATGGTTTAAACACGAGTCAAGGGGCCATCCCTACATTCATTTCACTTGGCTCCCTTCCGTTCTCCGGCCTACAGGATGCATTCCACGGCCCCGGTCACCTTCAGAGTCGCGCCCTTGCGTCGACAACGAGAGTACCCGTCTGACACCGACGGGGCAGCCTGTCCAACGCACTCCGTACCACCAGGCAAATTAATGTCTTAGAACCTCGGACGGGGTGCTGCAGTTTGCCTGGATTGAGGGGTCTTGCAGAACGGTGACATCCGAGCTGAATCGGATATATCACTCAATAATTTAGGAATTATGGAGCTAGTGGCTACGAAACTAGCACGACAAGGCACATGGACCCAGGCTAGCTGCATAACTCCTCTCTGGAATCCAAGCAGGCAATTGAGCGACGATCAGGGTTGCACTGGGTGGGTCGGGCTTGATTGCAGCCCGCACTGGCCAAAACATCGCGCGACTAGCTCGATTCCGCCATCCACGATGGGAGGGAAGGAATATTTAAAGCGGGCATGCGATCACTGATCGCTGCCTGACTCTCACTCCAACACACTCCGGCCAATCTCGCCTGCCATGCGTGTCCTCGGCCTCGTCTCCGTCGCTTTCGCGGCTCTGTCCGCAGCCCAGGATTGGAGTCCGGTGCTCTCGGACAACAGCAGCATCGTGCAGAAGCACATGCTGGCGCGATCGAACATGATCACGCTGGAGAAGAGACAGCGACAGGGTGCGTCCGCTCTTTGAACCCCGTCCCGTCATGCATGATCGCTAACCCACCCGCGATAGACTACGAATTCCGACAGAACATGTCGGCTGTGGCGCGGCAGGCCGATGCGCTGGTCAAGGCCATTCGCCAGGAGGAGATCGACGACTACTGGCGCCACTACGCCGAGCTGCAGAACCATACCGACGAGCGCTTCGCCGGCATGATGTTCCCGCTGGCACGCCCTTACATCGCCGACACTAAGCTGTGGCAGATCGTGAAGCGCATGCCCAAGGGCGCGCTGCTGCACGCGCATCTGACGGCCATGCTGCCCTACGAGGTGCTGCTGGAGACCGTGGTCAACACCGAGGGCATGGTGGTCAGCGCCTCGCAGAGCCTCGATACCCCCGAGGGCCGCGAGAACGCCACCATCGCCTTCTCGCACGTCAACACCACCGTCCCGGACGGCGAGGACATCACCTCCGCCGACTACGTGCCCAACACGGACGTGCTGGTGGCCGACGTCGTGGACAGCTTCCCCGGCGGCAAGGACGGCTTCTTCGACTTTGCCCAGACCAAGATGGAGGTGCAGCCCGAGAACTCGATCCAGCACGAGCTGGGCGTCGACGAGATCTGGCGCCGCTTCCAGGCCATGTTCGATCCGGCCGGCACCTTGCTGACCTACGAGCCCATCGTTCGCACCTTCTACCAGCGTCTATTTGGCCGTCTGGCTGGAGACGGCATCAACTGGGTGGAGATTCGCGCCGGCGGATCCAGCGGCAAGTTGGTGCACGAGGGCGACGAAGATCCTGACCCTGACCTCGACGTCTGGTGGACCGTTCTGCAAGAGGAGCTGGAGAAGTTCCAGAGCAGCGAGGCCGGCGAGAACTTCTGGGGCGCGCGAGTGATCTGGTCCGACTGGCGTGGCGGGTCTACCGACCGCATCATCAACAGCATGAAGATTGCGCTGGACCGCAAGCTGAAGTTCCCCGAACTGTTCAGCGGCTACGACGTCGTCGCGCAGGAGGATTTGGGCCGCACACTGGCCGATCTGGCGCCGGAGCTGCTCTGGTTCCAGGAACAGGCGGCGAACCTGAACGTCTCCGTGCCTTTCTTCTTCCACGCGGGCGAGACCCTGGGGGATGGCAACTCGACCGATCTGAACCTGGTCGATGCGCTGGTGTTTGGCACTCGCCGCATTGGCCACGGTTTCTCTCTGTACAAACACCCTCATCTGATTGAGGAGGTGATCGAAAATGGCATCATGGTGGAAGTGTGCCCCATCTCCAACGAAGTGCTGCGTCTGGCTACGGATATCCTGCACCATCCTTTGCCAGCCATGATTGCGCACGGCGTGCCCACTGCCATCAGCAACGATGACCCTGCCATGCTGGGCCAGGATGCTGCCGGTGTGAGCTACGACTTCTACCAGGTGATTCAGGGATTCGACAACGTGGGACTGGCTGGACTGGTGAGTAATCCGATCCCCCCCTCTACAGCAGGAGTACTAATGGAGAATAGGGTGCCCTTGCGCAGAACAGTATCCGGTGGTCGAACTTCGAGGACCAGTCGGACGACCAGTGGATCATCGACATCGACCAGGGCGAGAACGGTGATGGCATCAAGGCCCAACGTCTGCAGCAGTGGAAGCAGGAGTGGGAGGAGTTCTGCCAATGGGTGGTCAGCGAGTTTGGATCGGAGGCCTGAAAGAGAGGTGAGATGATGACATGAACACATCACGAAGCGAATGGCTAGAGTCCTTGATTTTGGTGTACTGTTTAAACAACTTAATTTTCTAATCCAACTACAAGCCACTCAACGTGGCTATCTATCAACTATCAACTATCTCCTGTACTTCCTCAACTGAACGCCTTTTTTGAACCGACAGCAGCCTGGCAACAACAGCACGGACACCGCACACCATAGACTCTTTTCTGAAGCAAGGGAATGGTCGCTACGCGCAACGAATGCCATGGCCGCATGCCCAATGGTAGTGGTAACGCCGCTTTTCGGTTCGGAATCTCCAGCCTCAAATAGTTGAATCATGCTGCATTGCAATGTGACAACGGTCTCAAGCATCTTCTTCCTAAGAATAGATCCAGCAATGTCCGCATATTTCAATCCCTTGAATGGCATGTTCCAATCAGCATTCAAAGCGCAATATGTAGCCACAAAGACTACCAGCACATTATGAATGATTTCGGTGTTCACACGGTCTTTGCTATCTGCTATTCACAAAACGATCTTAGATGAATTATCTTATCCATAGGCGCAGTCAGGAATGATCCTGACCCAAACTTCATTCATTGGACTTAGGGTGGGGTAGAAACCACACCTGGGGTATACAGCGGCTTTTACCCACGTTTGCCGTGGTCATGTCTGTGGCGAGCAAGATGGGTGAGGCAAAGATGTGGCTGAGAGAAATTGGGATGATGCGATTGTTGGTTCGAGTGGGTTGTCTTGGATTTAGCGCGGGGCGAAATTAGTCCTCCTTTTCTCAAAGACAGTCAAGGTCGAGGGGCAGATAAATATTCATACGGAAAAGAGACCTCTATAAGTTAACCTGTGTGATATTTCGACGTATACATTGAGTCGAATTAAAAGGAGACCCTTTGTGATCAGCGCGTTGGACTTCATCCGCAGTTCTAGAAATCGCAGCAAAGGAACACCTCCCCATCGGTGGAGCACAGCCCCGAGCTAACGTCTAGCTGAACTTACGGAGCCTACTATTGGATGCCAGATCTAGTCAAGGCTTTTTTGGTTTATTTAAATTGTGGGCTGTAGCCTTGTGCGTCACTGTCCAATCTCTCCTGGGCAACTCCCTCACCACCATGACAACCACCGACGAAATGATGAACGAAAAAACAGACCTCGAGAGTCCCTCTCAGGAACCCGTCAATCCGGATATCCTCAACCCCCTCTTATTCCTACTGGCTTCTCGTCGCGGCGTTCGGAATGATGCGCTGTTCGCCGAGGCCGCCGTGCCGGACGACTACATCTTGCGATTTCAGGGCAAGTCCGGCGTGGAAGCCATCAACATCAAGCCTCTGTGGAAGCGAATCGTTTTCTCTTTCGGCATTTTGTCCGGCAAGTAAGTGCTGTTGGGCCTTGAACTGCAAAGTGAAACGTACACAAGGCTCACCGTACCAGATTCTTCATAGTCTTCGCCATGTTTAACTTCGGCTACATGCTTGCCCAGGTAATTGACCACCGGTCCGGCGACCAGGAGTACAACCGCTCTAGGCTTTGGGCTCATATGAGAGCGGGCGCCTACGCTGCTCTTCTCTCGATATTCCTCCTGCTCGCAGCCAAGCAGTACGCGAAACGCATGATCGCCGACGCTACGCCGCCGCAGTACGATCCCACGTCCTACCAGTTCCGCCTAGTCAGCGCCATGGAGCAACGCGGCATTGAATATCGCGAGGTCCTGCCCGCCACGCCGGATGATATGGGGCGGTATAGGCAGGAGGAACAAGCGCTGCGTGAACGGTTCCGGATTGTCGGGCTGGTGGATCCGGGAGATGCCATCCATGTTTACGATCTGGTGGTGCGGTTTTACAATAATGGAAACATTGTTTTGCAGTTTCCGGCGGCGGATCCGACGGCGGCGAGGTCGATGGTTGCCATGTCGGTGAATGCCTCTGCTTAAGGCCTTGAGTTGTGACGTTCAGTTATCCTGGCAGGTGGCAGGATGAGCGTCGATCAGCATGTCGCGGCTACGAGCAGATCGATCTATAATTCGTACACAAGGCATTCATCAGATCCCACGTCTCCTCGACAGAGTCTCTCCCAACCGCCATGAATACCCTGCGGTCCATCAATACCCTGTCTCCAGACAAGACGCATGTCGGGGACGGCGACAGCGCGGTCATTTAACCACTGGCCCCAGCGCTCGTCCACGGGGGTAAGATAGTCTCCTGGATTATCACCCTGTAGTAGGGTATCCTGCACGCCGGATGTATTGTACTGGATCTTGCTCTTGGTCACCATTGCATGTCGCGAGGCTTGGAGTTCCTCGGCCGTGTAGACCTGTCTATGTTAGCCACGATCAGGGAAGCGAATATGAGCCGGGAATACCTTTTGTTGACTTCCAATTTGAATGATTACCCTCTTACTCATCTCCAATTCCTCTGTCCGCTCGATCACATCGCACAGTTGATTCAGACCATCACCCCTGGGTCCGAAATCCAGAACCACCAGTTTCTTTGGCTTGCGGTCCCCCAGCCACTCAGCTGATTTCGCCAGCTCATCATACGAAATAGCATGCACAGAGAAAGCCGCATTGGCCACCGGATAGACCAATGGCCCCGGCGACGAGCTCACCAGGACCAACCCCAAGGGGGATCCTGTCGACCGCCTCGCCAGATTATACACGAAAGAGCGCGCCGTCTTAGTGGATGCCGCCAGAGCACTCACCATCGCCTCAGAGATATCAGCATCTTCAGCCGTCCAGGGAAGGCCTGCACTGTCACCGAGGGGATGAATCGGTCTTTGCGGATTCAGCACATACTCGCTCATCAGATATCCAGCTCGCCAGATACCATCGAACACAGCCGACCAGGCCATGCGCTCCTTATCTTTCTCGTTAGTCACCACGTAGATATTATACAGCGGCATCAGCGCTTGCCGATGCACACTGGTCTCGATCCAGTGGTCGCTTGACTGACCCGGAGTCAGGTTGAGATCGACCGGGGTATCTGCGGTGGGCCAGAAGCCCCAGGTTTGAGTGCCTGGTTGGATAGATGTCGTGCTCTCTAAAACAATACCGTACCTCCATGCGAGCACGATTCCCCACGCTGCCTGGTTGTTATAAGGCGCAGGCGAGTTTGACGGAAGGGGATAAGTGTCCCACCAGCGGATGAAGTGGCCGGCGCGCGCATAACTGAGGTTGCTAGATGTGAGGCTGACGAGCTACGGCTTCACGCGGATGGACGCGGGAGATAGTGGATTGAGGGAAGGGGTGAGAGTGATCGTGGAATGGTCGGCGTTGTTGGATTTGGAGACGGCGTGGATCTGCATGATGGATGCATGTTTGAGACTGAAAACTGCGTTCTATCTGGGATAAAACGGGTTGATATAACAAGATATGGACCGTTAGGCGGGGAATGCGTCAAATCTTCTTGGCAAGACGTGGCCTTGCGTTGTATGCATGACTCATTGCATGGATTCGAATCTTCCAGAGAGCGAAGAATGGGCCAATTTGGTCGAGATTGTTTAATTTACGCTCGGACTAGAGCTCATATAAGAATATCACCGGCCTCTCCAGACAGTCATCAGCTCTTCCGCAGTAGTGACTTTGACATCGGGGAATCTGCCATCCAGCGCTCTCTCTGGAGGAACATAGTAGTCTCCCATGGCTGCGAAACGATGAAACAACGCAAAGATGGCCTCGTCAGAATGGCCTGATCCCTCAAATCCGGCATCCTCGAACTCGGGGAATGATATCTTGCCTTTTTCCAGAGTCTCGAGATCTTCGTATTTCACCGAGAATTTCTCGCCTATTATGAATCAGCCACCTCACTTGTACTCTCATTCCGGTTTCGCTATTGGCTTACCTCGAGCTTTCTCCGCGATGCTTAAAATCTCATTAAAAGACGCCGTCACACCAGCAAAACAGCTGACAGGCGGCCATTCCTCCACGTCCATCAGTCGAGCCACGAACCGACCGAGATCTTGCGTCGTGATGAAGCTAACCCCCGTCTCGCCATCCCCAGGGATAACAGCCCACTCCGCTGCACATTGACGGCATTTACCCATGGCTTCAAATGACTCTTCCAATGCGGCAGACCGTAGTAATCGAGAAACATACCGTTCACGACACGAGTATGCTCAAGGTCCGTCTTTTCAATGACTCGAAGAGCATCAAATGCCCATTTGGCCGTGGGGATGTACGGAATGTGCCTGGTTACGAATTAGAGCATTCAGTGCGGATAAAGAGCGAAGCCTACTCTTCCTTGAACAGCATGTCGAACTCGCTCACCACAAACCGTCGCGTACAACTTGATTGATTTGCCGCGTGGATGAGCTTGATTTGAGTATCGCTCGATTCATCCGACACCATTCCAAATGCGCAAATGACGGTGTCGATATTCTGGGCCTCGAAGGATGAGGCAGTAGCTTCGATGTCATTATAGTCCACTTGGAGGGTATCGAAGATATCGGCACTGCTGGGTGGCTAGATACGTCAGATAGGCATATGAAAATATCGGTTGAAATACTTTGCGTGACAGCACGATCACCTTGTGCTTTCCATGCTCGATCAAAGCCTCTACGATGGTTCGACCGACACTTCCAGTTCCTCCTGCGACAGCGATGATTCCCATATTGCCTTGTGGATGGTGGAGTGAGTTGAAGGACTTTACTCCGCTGGAGGATTCGGCGGAAAGACGTTTGCGCTTGGCATAAGCACTAGAGAGCTAGGTGGTGTAGCACTTCAGGTATGACTCAGAGGATTTTCTTTGTCTCGGACGGGGAAGGGCCAATGATAATCTCGAGGGTTATTCGTAATATCCCGTGAGCTGTTCGGTGTTTCCATTCGGTGGAATTCTGAATATACCAAACCATTATCCACCTCATGCTTCTAGACCTATTGATAATAAGAGTCTTCTACATATTGACTCCTCCCAGAATGACGTCTCCTCTTTCTCCTTCCATGGTGCTTTCCCTGTCGGCTCCTCGTGACAAGCTGACTGGGATGATGCAGCAATAAAACCACCATGACCAGAAACATCAACAGCCCATCGAAAACATACAGCCAAAACTCCTTTGATTGCAGAGTTCCATCTGTTCCCTGAACATACTCAATCACCCGGAAGACGGATCGGATCATAATCAAAGTGCTAACAACATACAGCACAACGAGGAATCGCCTCCAAGGAGCTCGCAGATCAACAGATCGCTTCGTAGGGCTGTTCGACATCCGGATGTGGAAAATCACCGAGATGATCATGAACAGCCCGAAAAAGACGATTTGTACTGCTAATCCTGCGATTATGATCCAGTTGCCGAGGTCCTGCTTATCCTTTGTGTCTGCTTGCGCAAGGACGCCTCCACCTGATCTGATTAGCATACAATAGTTCAAGCCATGGAGAGGGGAACATACCTCCGGCCTGTGCAAGGAAAGAAACCACATCGCCTACCACAAATGTTCTCGTAATCCAGCGACCCCGGAGCACCGATCTCGAGTCCCCGTCGACTAATTGAATCAGCCGCCCCAAGATCATGTAGATGGAAGCCGCGAAGAGTGCGGGAGCGACTAGCAGCAACAGCGTCTGCATGATATATGGGCCAGTCGTCCAGTCGGGTGTCTCTTGACTGTTTAATAGCCGTCCGACGTATCCGATGGTTTCACCTGCTGCTAGTTAGCACGTTAGTCTCCGGACAGTGGAAAGGAAAAGCATACACAAGCCACCTATAATGAACGGCGTGAAATACCATGTTCTCCGAGCGACGAAATAGACAAAATGCATGCCTGTCGCCACACCGAAACAAGCGGTGGCCGCGACCGCTGCCGGGAATGAGGGATCATAGTGGTAAAGACGATATTCTCCTACTACCATGGTGGCAGCATGAACTGGGTCTCAGTCTGAGGCAAGAGAAATGCATCATGAGAGCGGACAGTTCGATAGACAAATTTAAAGAATTCCTCGCGTAAGAGGCTGGGTGTTGCCAATTCTCTGATGCCTACCGCGACATCGTTCTCGTTTCCATGGCTATTTTAGGGTAAGCGTGGCGATATTGAGATTTTCCAGTCAAGCCTGCGGTGGGCCCACTAGTCCAATGCCAAATCATAGATAAAATGCCGAGATGCTCCATCGATTTCCTGTAAAAGTCGTTCTTTATTCGCTCGTGGTCTCTGCTACCCGATGCTTGGTGCCCTGCTTCCTGCAACAGATTAGCCGTGATAGGGTGGCAGGGCCTACGAAAGAGCACTGCATTTTACAAGGCATAAGACCAAATAATGTTGTATAAGTCAAATATTTAAGGATTTCTGCCAACGGTACCATCTGCTCTGCCCAGTGCCGCGACACTTGCGATATCGGATACTCGGTCCGATGTTGCAGCGACGTGAATTTCAAAGGGCGCCAATTTGCGGGGAAGCCCTGCTTCTGCAGATAATCAAATGATGGGACATGAATCCCTTGCTTATTACTGGATCGATCGTGGATCTATTTTTCCGTATGTCCGAGCTGCATAGTGAACATCCCGCTTTGTTGGCCTTTGTCAGTGGGATATAAATGTCGACATGGCTCTTTCCGAGAATCACCCGCCCCTCTGAGGCAGTCAAACCAAGTGGCTCTATACCATATTGTCAATCACACCGCACATCAAAGAGCAAGCATAATGAAACTGCTTCTTTTGTCCGTCATGATGCTGCTCCTCCAGGCTCTCCTGGTAGGCGGCATGCCGGCAACCTCGCAGGGAAAGCCACTGGTCAACCTCGGCTACTCGACCTACGAAGGACTTCGACTCCGTGCTGGCGTTGACCAGTATCTCGGTATGCGCTATGCAGCACCGCCATTAGGTGATCTGAGATTCAGAGCTCCCCATGATCCGCCCCAAACCAATTCAACTCAGAGCGCTTTCAAGGTAAGAGACCTGAGCCCAAGGTCTCATTCATAACTGAGACTCGGTAGTACGGTCCAATCTGCGTGGGTGCGAAAGAAAACGTCACAGCGGGCGAAATGGACGAGGACTGTCTATTTGTCAATGTATTCAGTCCGTCTGCTGCAACTGAGGCCTCGAAACTCCCGGTCTGGGTGTTCATCCAGGGAGGGGGATACGCCCAAAACTCCAACGCAAATTACAATGGAACAACAGTAATCCAAGAGTCCGGGCATGGCATTGTATTTGTGACCCTAAACTATCGCGTTGGTGCCCTTGGATTCCTGTCAAGCGAGACAGTCAGGGAAAACGGTGATCTGAATGTCGGGCTTCTGGATCAACGGATGGCCTTGCGATGGGTGCAAGAACATATAAGCAAGGTGCGACTGCCCATAGACTTTGCATTTTCTGTTCTGAACATCTGCATCTGACACCCGAGTCTGGTGGATGCAGTTTGGAGGCGATCCCGACCACGTTGTCATTCATGGTTGTTCTGCCGGGGCTGGTTCAGTTACATATCATCTCGCGGCGTACGGAGGAAGAGACGACGACCTATTCACAGGGGCGATCGCCCAGTCCCCATTTTGGCCGACTCAGAGGCGTGTCTCGGACACCGAGTGGCAATTTAATCGCTTCGTGAAAGACGCCGGATGTGCCAAAGCGCCTGACGCATTAGCCTGTCTTCGCTCCATCGATATTAAAAAGCTCCAGGCCGCAAACATTGAATCGCCCTTCCCTGGAACTACTGATAACCCTCTCACACGCTGGTATTTCTTGCCTGTGATTGACGATGATCTGATCGTGGATCGGTTATACAAACTCTTCGACCGGGGGCAATTCATCAAAGTCCCTGTCATGGTTGGCGACGACACCGACGAAGGCTCATATTTCGCATTTAATGCTTCCACCAAGGCTGAGATGGCCCAATTTTTCAAGAATTACTATCCGAACCTTAAGAAGCATCAGCTGGAGACCATAAACCTCGTGTATAAGAAATCGATCGCTCTTCCTTACCACGCCGAATACTTTTCCGCAGCGTCCGCAGCGTACGGAGACGCGACGTTCACCTGCCCGGGAAATCACATCGCATCCACCATCGCGAAGCACGTCTCTCCCCAGGAGATCTGGAATTACCGAGTCAACATCCAAGACCTGGGCAACCTGGCACAGGGGATCGGGGTTCCCCACACCATGGAAAACCCGGCCATTTTTGGTCCTGGGTCCATTGGGGGTGGCCCGTCTTCCTTCGACACGTACAATTCAGCCATTGTACCGGTGATTATGGGATATTGGTTGAGCTTTGTACGGTCGCTGGACCCCAACCCTCATCGATACATTGATGCACCACGGTGGCACTCCTGGGGTAGTGGCGCTGGGCAGCGCATGCGATTGGAGACCAACGATACTGCCATGGAGCGGGTTCCGCGAGAATCAAAGAAGAAATGCGAGTTTTGGCATCATTTGGCTCCGGCGATGGAGGTTTGAGCAGAATGACAGAAGAGTGAGTCTGTTGAAGTGACTTGGATGGACTGCCTTGGTGGAAGTGAATTAATTGCTTGACAGTCGAAAACAACGCGAGGCGGGTGTCTCAATTGGGACTAGCGCATCCCGTCGGGATCCCTAAAAGAGCGTATCGGCATGCCCAAAGGGGAATGGCTTCCGACTCCGTGGGAAGTAAAGTCCAAGTCGCAGAAGTACCGGACCTGATGGACAGAATGCTGCTGGAAGATGTAATGATATTTCCCTTTCAGACTCGTTTTACACCCAGTTTTCCTGCTAAATGAAATATTCGTGTTGATCTACCACAGCTCCAATCGGAAATATATCTTTCCTAAATCTTCTCACCCATCACTCCAGAGATGCATGTAGATAGAACATGAATCATTGAATTCTATCAGAGATTTATGTGCAATACAACACAGTTCTCAGCCGATTCCACTAACCGAAGCCCTAGCTAAGCAGCTTCTATTTCTTTAATATCCTCTGCGCTGTTCAGGAAACTCAAAAAACAATTCCATCCTGTCTGTCATTAGTATAAGGCCATACAATAAGAAGAAAAGAAAGTGGAAACGTTGCGAGGCCAACAAAGAGATAGAACATACCAATATTGAAAACATTTACACTCAGAACTCGATACTGCAACGGCACGAGGGAAAGATTCAAGCCTTGCAAAACAGGCCAAATCGTCCAGTTGGCTCGCAGTGCCTCCCAGTATGTTCGCTGCAGCTTTTCTTTAGGGTCACTGCCCTCCATGATCGACATACTGGACAAAAAAACACCGATCATCGTAGGGGCGCAAAGAAGCTGGTCGGCGGCGACCCGGGTAGCCAACGTCCTCGGGACTGTTGACAGCTGGATTCTATTCTGGAGGAACTGGAACCACTTCGTGGCAACTGGACCAAAGACAGCTTTAAAGGTCAGCTATTCTTGCATACAGAAAGGTAAACGGAAGTCTTACCTCCGCCATAAAGCGCCATGCGCGCAGTGCGGGTCATGTCATGGCGGGTGAGACCTTTCTTTTCCACTCCCTGCTGAGCGAGACCATCGCCTACGGCAAAGAGGCACTGGGTTCAAAATTAATGAGCTGGACATTGTGATGGGACACATCAATGACATACCGCTGTAGTTAGACTTTGCGTTAAAATCGGGCGCTGCGCAAGGCTTCTTTGGTACCTGTCTTTGTTAGCAGAGTCGCGAGGTGCAGTGATTAACATACCAGCCAAACATCTTGGTAGAAGTAAATGATCTTTGAAGAGTCATACAAGGTCAATGCGTTTCTGGAATCGCGAAAGACTTTTCATGGATCGCTAATAGGGGTCGATTGCTCCATGTCGGAAATGTCCCGATTAGGAAATCTAACCGCCATGCTCGCGGACAGCGAACGGGGCTCTGGATACGTCATGCTTAAGGGTTCCATTACAGAATCTGCTTGAAAGACTGAATTCTGAATGCTTGACTCCTAGAAAATTAACGACTGGCAAGTCGACACTCGGTCGTTGTCCCGGTGAATGATCACTCGGAGTTCCGGTTGCTGATGCACCGGCTGCCCGATAAGTAAACCAGTCCACTTTCTTACGTTGACCCTAGTCTCTGAAAAAGGGAAGAAAATGGAGGAAATAAGCAAGTTTGGGTTACTGTTGGCTCTATAGACACAGCGAGGTTCCCAGAGACTCGGAGCTCCGAGAGCAGAGTTGCCTACTAGTTCTTAAAAGTTCAAGAGTATGTGGATTTAATCGACATTGCTCTCATAGCACCTGGCTGGCAGCTAAAGATATATAGTATAGATCGTCCCTTGAACCATGCTGATTGTATTCCCTCGAAAATAGAGCATACAAAAACGATACTATCAACAGACATACCAACGAAATGCCTTCCTATCTCGTCACTGGTGCCGGTAGAGGCCTTGGAGTACGTCGCTATGTCGCCATGAGGTGTTGAATCTAACGCGAAGGTCACAATCAGTACGGATTCCTCAAGCAGCTGGTTTTGAACCCAGAAAATACCGTCTTCGGCCTCACTCGAGACGCAGACGCAGCTCGAGATCGTCTGGCAGCGGATGGACTCGCGTCTCGCGTCCACATCGTTCAGGCTGAAATAACCAGTCACTCATCGCTCCAAAGAACTGCCAAAGAGGTAGAGGTCATTCTGGGTGACAAAGGCCTTGATGTGCTGATCAACAACGCGGCCTATGTGAGCGAAGTGACCGCTTGGAAATCGTTGGTTGACTTGTATGTTATCAGTACTTCCACAGGAGCTTGGAGCTGACAATAGACCGACTAAAGCGAAGAGAATCAAGACCTATTGATCAATGATCTCCAAAAGTCTGTTGAAGTAAACATCTTTGGAGCAATGCGAGTGAACTATGCCTTTCTCCCTCTGATTAAGAAGGGGTCCGTCAAGAAGGTACTGAGTATCTCGAGCGGAATGAGTGATATTGGTAAGTAGATCATTTCTAGTGCAAAGAGAATACAGGCACTAAAAAAGCAAGATTTCATCAATGCAACCAAGATTCCAGTGGCGACCCCATACGCAATCAGCAAGGCTGGTCTCAGCACTGTGACGGCCAAGTTCAACGCCTCGTACCATGACCAAGGCATTCTATTCGTTGCTCTATGCCCGGGAAACGTTGACACAGCCGAGGGGAAACAGTGTAAGTCTATTTGGTCGTTTACGCACAGAATTGAAAGAATGAATACGATACTGAAAATGATTAGTCTCCAAGGAGGAACGCCATGGGATGCAGGCGATGGGAGCTTTGGTCGCACCATATGCTCCAGACTGGAAGGGCCCATTTACTCCAGAAGAGTCGGCAGCAGTGTGTTTGTCTAGGCTTGGCCAGCTGTCTTTGGAAAAAGGCCATGGAGGAGTCTTTTTGAGCCATAATGGGACTAAGAAGTGGATGTGATGGGATAGTGTGTCTATGAACAAGTAGTTGCCGGTGCAGGGAAGGTATTAGCCATTGGAACAGTATGAACAAGGTACTAGGACGTGTATAAATGAAATTCACCTAGACATATCTTTTTTATCTTCTTCTTACAAACCAAAAAAATTGGAAACGTAATTGAAAAAATCTTTTCTTGACTTCCACTACTTCATTAGAAAGTTCATTCACTAGAAAATAGCATCATTATTAACGATAAATTGATAATTCTTGTCCTAAGAGAAGTTGGTGTCCGATGAAAAATGCTTACAAGAAGCCGAACGCTTGATCAGCTCTAAAAAAAGCAAAGAATGAATCCAAAGCCCTGCTTGCCAGGGCTCAGCGCAGCCACCCGGAACTCCCAGTTGGGCCTTGGAACCACCAACTTGGATGTCCGACCGAAAAATATCTCGGTGAAACCACTCATCTAGCCTTGTAAGCTTATCCCATGAGCCATTCTTTGGCAAGGGGTTCATGATGTGATCAGAAATCCGATTTATTCAGCATGGCAGCTAACTAGATCGAACATATTGTACATAAATTCCCCGTTGTGGCATCAAAGCGAGTGTAACATTAACCAAAGAAAGACTGCAACAGCTACACCTGATAACCAGAGATGAAGGTTAACAACCTCGTAATCCCCTTTGACTCCGAAGTGGCAGTTATCGGGGCCAACGGCTACATCGGGGTAGAAACCTGCGAGAAATTGCTACAAGCCGGATACCGTGTGCGAGGAACAGTGCGAGACGTGGAGCAACAGCTCTGGATGAGAGAACTATTTGAGAAGAAGTGGCCTGGAAAGTTCAACCTGGTCTGCGTCAAGGACTTTGAGGTTGAAGATGCCTTTGACATGGCATTCAAAGGCAAGTGCAAATGTCCAATTGGCCTATGTTGAAGTCATTCTAATTCCCACTTCAGGGGTGGCTGGCGTCATTTATGTCTCGACACCGGTCATATTCAGTCCTGATCAGACGCAAGCTATCGACCGGGTGGTAAAAGGCACGATCAATACTCTGGAAGCTGCTGCCCGAGCGGGCGTGAAGCGCTACGTCCTCAGCTCCAGCTCCAAAGCGGTCGAATCGACGGTCTACAATGTACCGCATGTGCTGGATGTCTCGACATTCAACTACGACGATCTTCAAAAGGCGAGAGAAGAGCCGACCGTGCCGACATTCGAAAGAGCACTCAGAGTGTATAGCGCGGGCAGGACAGCAGCCGAGCTGGCATTCTGGGACTGGATTAAAAACAACAATCCCCCTTTTGTGGCCAATGTAGTTGTACCGGATGGAAACTTTGGTCGTGTTCTTGACATAGAACATACAAACACAGGGCCGACGTCGTCAGTTGGTATGCTCAAGCGCGTGCTCGCTGGGGAGCGAGAGGGGATTTTCCCATACGTCGGTCCGTGCTGCCAGACTTTCATAAAGAACGACAGGGCTAACTGCAGACAGGGTATTTGATTGACGTGCAAGATACAGCACGTCTACTAGTTGCAGCTCTGTCGCTGTCGTCCGTCGCTGGCGAGCGCATTTTCGCATACAATAGCCATTACACCTGGAATGAACTGCGTCATCGAGTGCGTCGTCTGTTCCCAGACCGACCGGAGATAATCACTGGAGAGGACTATGAGGATATCGGGAGGGACCTGGGGAATGCCGATGACCTCATTCAGCGATCTGAAGCTTTGTTGAGAGAGGTTGGACAACCAAGTTTCACTGCGGTGGATGACATGCTTCGGGACTTTGTGAGCAGTGTTTACTCCAAGCACACATGAGAAGGTGAAAAGATGTAATTGAAGGATGACAAAAGTACGTCGAGAGTCCATTTGCGCCTGGATTGCCGTCCTCAGACTAGCTGATGTATGATGATGATTTTAGCGAGTTGGAATCGTCACTTTTTAGCTTTGAGAATGGATTGCGATTTTCAAAATGATTCAACCCGAATAACAACCGTTAGCAGCAATGATAAGATGGCGAGCGAAAAAGGATGTCGTTGCGAAGGAACCATTTTTGGGCACCGGCCGAAGCTAGTCGCGCAGTAGCGAGCTGTTGATCTTCAATGGGCGTCGGAATCGATTCCCGACCGTGATAGGAAGGTAGAATGCTTTTAGACAAAGCTCTAGCATGAAGAGAGAATGCTAACTATTCTAGCTGAGACCAATTATCAGACTCGATTATGTGTAGAGAGTTCAGCGAAGACAATTGACATTGACCCCTTTCCATCAGTGTCCAGACTAGCTGAAAGGAGTGTGTGCTATCCTTTCAGAGACTGGACAGAGGAACAGCAGGCATATAAACTGCGCCAAAGCGACGTAAATAAACTCAGCGATGGACCAATTTTGGGTGAGACATGAAAGCAGAGTTAGGGTTCGGCAGCAAATGTCGCTGAATGCCTGACTGCTAATTTCCAACAGACATAGCCACAGTCGCCGATCCCAAACCAACCGGATCGACAACGAGGACGCCATATCCAACCCTGAAACTAGTCTGAATCTGTCATTTCGTTCAGGGGAGATCCGAAGTTCTGTGCAACACGGCCAGCACTGCGATCGAACTGACATAGGATCCCTTGTCGATGGAATTATCATAATTCAGCCAGCCCGGTTCAATAAACCTGGCGATCGAGTTTGTCGCCAGGACCAATTATTGTACCTGATCACCGAAGGAACGATATAGTGTCTGAATTAGTCGACAGCTGAAAATCCCTCGATCAGGGGTGGCAGCCGTCATGGCTCAACGGATTTTAGCGCATCGCAGCGGCCATCACCATAATTAGACAGATAATGGAGATAGACTTTGGCCATTAGAGTTCACCAGTGGCTAATAGTACCAAGGATCGGGGAAAATGGGTCTCAGGAGCGGCTCGTAGATGGAACTCTTTGTCACAGCTCTCGATATTAGAATTAATTGCGGCGGCGATTCGGGTCCCTGCCTGTCGGGATAAAGCGAAAAAAAATGCCATGCATGAGAGCACTGGCTATTAAGGACCCGCAATAGAATGGCCTTCGCTTGGCAAGAAAGGGGTCCTTTGTGTGTTCGCAGCGGGATCTCGTGTTGTTATATGGCGGCTCCACATCGTGCCAACTCTCGACCCTGAATGAAGCCAGAACCCCAGACCGGATCTCGCAATTCGGAGAAATCGCGGTGCAATGTCTCCACTGCCGCGTCGCCGTTGTCCAGTCAGACGGACAACTCACTTGTCCGTCCTCGTTGGCCGTCAACTCATTGCTAAAATGGATCGGAATCTTCCGGTCTGGAACCGCTGAGGGCTGGAGACCTAATTCTTGCGTCTGCTTCGGGCATAAGTCACGAACCACCGGCCTATCCCATCGGTAGAAGATCGTCGTTGGCATTTTTCGTTTTCAGTCAAATCGGCCTGATCCACTCCAGCTTGATCCTGGCGTCCATGATGTTCCCACTATGCCCTAACTCAAATCCGCCCTCGCCCCTGGGTCCCAGGCGGTGCTAAGAGAAAGCCCTGCAAAAGAGCTGCCAGGGACGGGACAGGTGAGGCGGCGGGTGTTTTGAATCTCCTTTTTAAGCTTTTTCTCGATGTTGTGGAGCGATATACGCATCCTTCGTTCCCAACGGGATGGATCCTCTGGGGGCATGCGTCCTGCGGCGCGAATATAGGGAATGGGCTTCCCGTAATATTTTGCTCCTGACCATTCTTGACCCTTTATGTTCTTCGTGCTTTCGCCTACTCTGCGCCGTTGTGTGGTGCCTGTGTTTTGATGCCCAAGATTTGACGATATATATCTTGGCTCTTGTATAAAGATTGGCCAAATTGCGCTTGAACCATTCTAGCGACGCCACCGTCTACTCGATGGAACATGGCAGATCTTGGATTCTACAAAGACAATTCGTTTCTCGCCGAACAATGGACGGAATTCGGAGTTAGCGTGGTCATCATTTTCATGCGACTCGGGGTGCGTCTGCGAATGGTTGGGGGGCGAGGGTTTCAAGGAGATGATTACCTGGCATTCCTGGTAGGTCCTCAAGAAACTGAGGTTGAAAGTAATTCTTTCTAAATACATTGACAGGCCTTGTGTCTACTAACGATGGACGGTATCACGGTCCACTTTTCATGTACGTCACCACCACCGCTACGGTGACAACGAGTCTGCTAATGTGTGAAAAGATAAACGAGGGACCAATCTCGAAGTACCAGATGCCTTACAAAACAAACTCACACCTCATCAATACCGATCCGTTGAATCTGGCTCGAAGTTCGAGTTAGCTGCATGGTACTCATATACGGCGTTGATTTGGGTTATGAAGGGCAAGATGTTGTTCCTTTAGTATGTCTCTGTTGTTTCCCGATATCTTCTGCGCTAATCGAAGCCGAGTAATTAGCAAGAGACTAACGCTGGGTTTGTGGCAATCAAAAGCCATTAACTGGTTGGCGATGCTATGCGGCGCTACATATGTAGCGGTCTTTCTAACGGTGACTTTGGGATGTCGACCGTATGTTCTGAGACCCCTTATGTTTGTCCAATCGATACTAAAATCATGCAGCATGTCCGACAATTGGAGAGTATATCCTCCTCCCTCACGTAAGTTATCTTTCTGCCTTAGACATATTATCTTCTCGCTCACCTTTCTCAGAGGAGTGTGGGCTCAAGATTCAGAATGTGATTGTAACCTGTATTTTGAACGTCTCGTGAGTTTGCTTATGTCAGTTCTCTTGTCTCTAGCTAACATGATAATAGAACCGACGTAGCACTGTAAGCGCGACAGGAAGACGACTGAATCCGTCGATGCAAACTAACATTTATAGACTCTTCATCCCAATCCCCCTACTATGGCGCGTCAAAACATCTCTCTCGCGGTAACTCAACGAATTCCAACCATCCCCCAAATCAGCAACTAACACCGCGCTCACACAGTAAACTCGTCATCGCCATGTTCCTCAGCTCTGGTATCTTCGTCATCTCCGCCTCAATCATCCGTACCGCCCTCACTCTCGGATCAAAACCGTCCACCCTAACCGTCAATCGGTGGGGCATCCGCGAAACAGTCGTCGGCGTCGCAACCGTGAACCTCCCTATTCTGCGCCCTATATTCACGAAACGATTCTGGACATCCGGCCTCCAGGGCAGCTCCGGCGCACAAAACTACTACGAGTACCACACGCGGTCGGAGAATTACAATCTGACGTCACGGTCGAGAAAGGGGCAGAGGAATGATAGCACGACCGGGATCAACACGACGAGCCAGGATGGGAAAGACGACACAGGCGGAGTGTACGTTAGTACGAGCTATAATGTGCGCGTTGAGAGTCGGGGGACGCCGGAGGCGCAGCCTGTGGATGGGCAGACGTTGGGGTTGAATCCGAGCAGTGTGTGGGAGATTGATAAGAAGTCGATGGTTTAGTATACTAGTGAGGACAGGTAGAAACTAATAATTTGAATTGGAAGGCATATGAATTATACTGGCCGTTCCGTATTTGTTTCAAAAAGCACAGTGCTTGACGTTATCATGGAAAATGTGCTATGTTATTAGTAGTCTGATAGATTGTATAGCTAATCCTTTATCAAACGATCGGTTCCACAAAGCTGTCATAGGGTAGGACATGACAGAAGAGGCGTTGCTGAGCTCGCACAAACTGATCGCAGCGTACAATGAAGCCAGGCTTAAATGCGTTCATGCTCATACGATTAGCCTACCCAGAATTGAAGGCTGGACGAGTTCCGAGACACGTATTCTGTCACCAAGTCGCATTCCTCAGTAGTAACCCGACGGTTTCAATGAATCACCAGTCCATCAGCAATCTGTAGCCTCCCTCAGGCTTCCAAGGCTAATGTCAATCAAAAAATGAGCGATTTCGTTCGAGGGTCTAGATCCAAACATGATTCTGTCCGAAAAGAATGCTGACACTGATCAATGGCGGATACATTAAAATCAACCCGTCAGACACGACAGCCTCGCCGACATGCTAGAAAAAGGATCTCATACATAAAATTATGCATTTGAGGTCTTTCTCATCATCGGCTGGGGCTTACGTGAGGCGTTTCTCACCCGGATAGCATCATGCCGAGGCAGCCGATTCGCCAGCCTGAAGAGAAGGCGTCAAAGGCGGCGCCACAGACCGACTGTTGGCTTTGAACTGAACGTAGTATTTGAAAAGCCACGCCAGGAGCCACTGACGTGTGTGTCAGACCGGAAGATATCTGTCGATAGGAACAAGATGAACTCAGTGCGGCATGTCTGAGAGAGTTCGCTTAGAACACCGACTTTCATATATTGTCAAGAGGGAATTATTCTCCCCGCATCAGCCCATGCCATTCAACCAGACAAATCATTGGGAGGTCATCTGAGTGTCAGACCTCGTAGAAATTGCATCCAATCAGCATCGCCAAACGCAGTCAGAGTCCAACACAGACTTTATTAGATCTGTCCTAACACCGAAGGGGGGTTTCGACGGGCGCCATGAACGGCGCCACGCCGAAAGAAGCACCCCAAGCGGCAAGCAGCCTGCGCCAGGGTGACAAGGACCCATCAGCAGCGGAAAATGGGGGATGAATCCTGGGAGAACCGGTGCAGGTGGACGAGACGATGACGCAAAGATAGGGCAGTGGTGCCACGTGATTGGTCGCCACCGCGCCGATCCAGTCTTGGCCGGCGCCCAAGGAATCTCCAAGGAATCCCAAGACGGCGTTGGCAGTGCTTCGTATTGCTTGGAAAGGCTTAGCCGGGGTAGTCATCGGTCTTGACTGAGAGGTGGAGTGGCATCGGGTCTCGCGTGGACCTCCGCATTTCGCTCTGCGTCTGGAGAAGGATTCCCACTAGGTACAGCTCCCCACGGGGTTCCGGCTTGGGGAAGTGGTCCATCGAGATTGACTTGTCGGTCAGAGCGCTGTACCATGGGGCAGTCCGATCGATCTGCTTCTGGACGATTATGTTTGAAGTGAAATATGCAGTGGTGACCCTGACACTCGGTCCTCTATTTCACATGGACAGCCTATTCCCTCCAGTCTGACACGACCAATCCCGCCTAATATCTCAACCCCCGCCCCAAACATAGTGATTGAAAGAATATAGGACATAGAAGTCATAGCGGCGGAAATGACGGCATGGATGACCTTCCCCGCTAGTGGCTTACTGAATTATGCCTCGTTTGGGCCGTATTGCCGGGGTAGTCCATGCACCAGCGAACTCTAGCGTCGTATCCTAGCCTTCTCTCACCCTCAGAGCACGTCGGCTCGATCCTCCACGCTGTTTGTGAGTGGATAAAGTCTGTAGCGCGCCGGACGTTGTAGGACAAGGCACGTCTGGTGCGACCTTATTCGAGGACTCGAGAGATTCCATGGATCCACTGCGCTGGGGACCGGAGAACGCGAGGCTACGTCTCCGGGCTCGTATAAGACTAGACGCGACCCCGCGGGGGCCTGTGAGTGCTAGAAAAGCTTCCTATTTGTGAGAAATTATGCTGCCAGCCTTGAGGGCACACATCGATAAAAGAACCAGGGTTTCTATCTTCCCATTCTTGTCGATAATCTCGAAACAGAGCCAGCCTGGCGACTTCCAACTGAGTCTGCAAACATCTACATTTAGAGATTAGCCACAATGAAAGACGAAGAGACGTCCTCGACGACTCACCAGGAGAAGATCGAGCGCGTGAGCGAAAGTCCTCCGCGTGCCGAGCATATCAACGACGCGAAGGAGCGCGACAGTATCTACGACATCGAAGGCCGATCGAGCACCCAGGTCACTGCCGTCTTCGAGAACCCTCTTGCCGGGATTCCACGGGAGCAGCTTTTCGAGGATGTCGACAAATTCTGTAGCCAGTATGGACTTGAGGAGCACCGAGAAACCTTTCGGAAGGGGGCTCTGATCTCGCAGAACCCTCATGCCGCTCAGAGCCTGCCTGAACTTAGCGACGAGGAGAAGAAGATTCTCGAGCGCGAAGTGACCCACAAATGGTCCCAGCCGTGGCAGCTTTACTTTATGGCCTGTCAGTGTTCTTCTACCTCGTTGAGGCCTATCTAACGTGTCGACAGCCATGTGTTCGCTCGCTGCTGCCGTGCAGGGCATGGACGAGACGGTCAACAACGGAGCTCAGGCGATCTATCTCACGGTAAGCACAGAGAATCATGACTCGAGGAACCAGGCTGATAGATATTCCAGGAACTGGGCATCAAAAGCGATCGTTTCTCGGAGCAAATGCAGAACTACCTGACAGGATTGGTAGTGGGCGCACCGTACCTTGCGTGCGCCATCCTAGGATGCTGGCTGACCGAGCCCATGAACCGCTATCTCGCGCGTCGCGGAACGATCTTTGTATCGTGCTTCATTGCGGCGGTGGCGTCCATCTGGGAAGGCGTGGCGAATTCCTGGGTCAACCTGTTCATTGCGCGCTTCGTTCTCGGCCTCGGAATCGGCTCCAAGTCCTCGACCGTGCCAGTCTACGCTGCAGAGTGTTCGCCAGCACCCATTCGAGGCGCCCTGGTCATGATGTGGCAGATGTGGACGGCATTCGGCATCATGCTGGGAAACATCATGGGCGTGGCTTTCATGGGTCTGCCGGATAATCTCTCCTGGCGACTGATGCTCGGATCGACCGTCGTGCTGCCGATCTTCGTCTGCGCCCAGGTGTACTTCTGTCCCGAGTCCCCTCGATGGCTGATCGAGCACAACAAGATCGACAAAGCGTTCCAGGCATTCCGGACGCTCCGGCCCACCGATCTCCAGGCCGCCCGAGACCTGTACTATGCCTACGTGGGCGTCGAGCTGGAGCGCAAGGTCAACAAGGGCAAGAACTTCTTCACCATGTTCATGGAGCTCTTCACGGTGGCTCGAAACAGACGAGCCACTCTCGCCAGCTGGATCGTCATGTTCCTGCAGCAGGTCAGTCAGCATACATCCCCCAGCTCTATCTCAACCCAACTGACCAAATCCCTAGTTCTGCGGCGTCAACGTCATCGCCTACTACTCGACCACCATCTTCACCGACTCGGGCTACACCATCCAACAAGCCCTGCTGGCATCCATGGGCACCGGAATCCTCAACTGGGTCTTCGCCCTCCCCGCCTTCTTCACAATCGACACCTGGGGCCGGCGCAACCTCCTCCTCTTCACGTTTCCCTTCCTCGCCATCTGCCTCTTCTGGGCGGGCTTCTCCTTCTGGATCGAAGAAGACATCGCCTACAGCAAGAAGCGCGTCGCGATGGTAACGACAGGAATGTATCTGTTCGAGGTGTTCTACTCGCCCGGCGAAGGGCCCGTACCGTTCACCTACTCGGCGGAGGCATTTCCCCTGCACGTCCGTGAGGTCGGCATGTCGTGGGCAACGGCGACGACGTGGTGCTTTAACTTCATCCTGTCGTTTTCGTGGGAGCCCCTGAAGACGGCGTTTAAGCCGCAGGGGGCGTTTGCGTGGTACGCGGCGTGGTGTCTGATCGGGTGGGTGTTGGTGTTGTTGTTTGTGCCGGAGACCAAGTGTATGTCCTCTTTTCCTCCCTGGTCTTGAGTTTGGTGGGAGGAGGCTAACTGTGGTATAGCACTTACGCTGGAAGAACTCGATCAGGTGTTCTCTGTCCCCACGCGCAAGCATGCCATGTACCAATTGAAGAACGCGGTCTGGCATTTCCGAGTCTGGGTTCTGCGCCAGAAGCTGGAGCCGATGCCGAAGTTGTATAAGACGGCGGGACATATGACGAGGGAAGTGGAGGAGTAGATCCTCTATTTTCTGTTACTGTTAAGACACATTTGTGAGTAGGGGTTTTCATTGTTTTGTGTGGATGTAAGCGGAACAATGCGTGGCTTTCCTACCGCACGACAAAGCTAGTTTCATTTGGAAATTCCAGCACCCAATCCGCCATTTTCAATGCGTAAGCCTAGTTCAGAGATTTATTTTATAATATCCGCTCGTCCGCTTTAATCATATGAAATTCCTGTAAACAACTAGAAGCTCCGACCGTATTGCTAGAGCACCGGCCATGCGCCGAACTCTCGAAAAGGCTGATATCACCTACGCAGGTATTACCTTTTGAACGGCGATGGCCATAATAATGGGTGAATCATCAACGAGCACAAGCAGTAAGACCTACAATCTACTAAACTCCGGCTGCAACGCAACAGACAATCAGTACTACACGCCCAACAACCCCGCCGACGACTCCAGCCCATTCACCGTCAACAACCGCACGCTGAAATACAAGATCCACTGCTACGAGAACGTCCCTGACAGCATGTCGTTCAACAACCCGCAGATCACGAAGCTCGGGCAGCTTAAAGGCCTGCGCAATCTACAGGAGTGTATCAAGGCGTGCGCGACGCTTAACTATGTCTGTCATTGCTAATGCAATGGGTGGTGAATCCGCGGAGGTTCCCTTCGGCAAGCTGTGCAGTGGGGTGGTCTACTCTTATCAGAATTATATTGCGGGACAGCCGATTAATTGTGATCCAGTGGGGTGCATGAGAATGCGTCAAGGGTTTCTTGGACGGAATAATCGGAGTCCGAAAACGCCTGCCCAGGTCCATTCGGCGATCTTGGATTAGGAGGATTGATGATTCGGAATTCTAGAGTATATAATGCTGGGCGGAGCGTTTGTTTTATTATGAATTTCAATGATGTGCGACTAAAGCGCTTGATATCCCTTCTGAGGTGGATGTGTTTGTGTGTTTAATTTTAAAGACACGGTATGTTTGTCGTTTGGTCCCTAAGGTAATTTCGAGGTCATGGTGCCCCTTGATTTCGGGGGTACCTGATCACAAGGACACTACCCTCGTCAGATATCCTAGGCTCTAATTGTAGTACATCGTGAGGTAGGGCCCTGTCTTTTCCGCATAGGAGAAAGACAGCCAAACCTGCAAGCGGGTACTCTTGTTTAGATCGAGTCCTGGGCTGCGCAACGAATCAGTCATTCGTATCTTCCGGAAGGTGTGTCTTATAGACAATACACTAGGACAAAGGGGCAAGGATGTGCCTACACGAATGAAGATAAATTGCCAATGTACGACCTCCCCTGTTCCGCGTTAACATGTCTTTCTATGAAGGTGGAGACGGCTTTAGCGATAATCATCTCACTGATCCCCTGCAGAGGCATATAAATTTTGGGGCTCGGGTGCAATCGACCTGGTTGAAGCTCAGTTGGCCAGAATGCACAATGGGTGGCGTGGCTTTCCCTCCTGGTTCGGTTCATCGCTTGACCCGTGCTGTTCGTCAGAGACACCCAGTGTGTCCCACAGTTCACGCAGCAAATTCAATCCAGCCATAATCTCGGCACCTTGAAGCCGACCACCCATCGTCCAGAGATCAATCACGCGGTGAAAGTCCACCTGCATGTGAAGGAGATAGATCTTGAATCGGGTTGTCTTGGGGTTGACCAGGTCGAAGCAAACCCAGCGTACGGAAGCGGAGTTTGGGAGCGATATGCAATATGCCTCCAATACTGCGAGTGCATCTTTGAATTGTCGATCCTCGTCGACTACCTCCACTGCCGAGAATATCAATTCAGAATCGGAGATTCCGGTGACCAATGCTTTGAGTGTTGGAATTAGCGATAGCTTGACGAGGATGTTCTCTTTTCCGAAGTCTAGTGCCACAACTGCTTGTGACTTGAATGGAGTGCTTCTTGTCTTCTCGCAACTCATAAGAGTTGTCTCCTCTTCGTCGGTCAGAGTAAGACGTTCGACTAATTGATAGTATAAGGACAGATCCATGGCAATGCTGACATCCTTCAAACGATTCAACATCGTGCCAAGAATTACTCGATTGCAATAGTTAGGACTGGTTGTAGCCCTAAAAGCGATAGGCTCCATGCTCAGCCGAACTGTAGTCCTCGACGGTACAAAGTTGGTGCTCAGTTCCAATGTTCCCATTCCGGTGAAACGGGTTGCGTAGAGTCCGTTTTGACCGATAGATGGAAATGGGCCCATCATAGGCACCACATGGAGGGCGTAGAGACATAGGTGCATACATTGTCGATGAAGGTCGTACCCGGCAGCCGCGAGCATCTTAGCCAGCATTGGCCCGGATTTATGCCACCACTCATGTTCGTCAAAGTTCTGGAAAAGAAGGCATTTGCTGAGGATGTGGAATGGCTCGGATGAGGTTGAGGATTGTGCCAATGCTTCTGCTGGCTGCAGGAGGGTGTATGCCGACATGGGATCTGGAAGTGGCGGAGACGTTAACAACGGCGTCGAGGCATAGCGTGAGACGATATGAGCCAGCTCATTCACGCAAGATGCTTCCTATTTATTTCGAGAGACCAAAAGATCCAACCCAGTCAACTACCCCGGTGTACGAGGTAAAGTTCCGACCGGTGCACAGCGTACTGTGCTCTACTATCTAGTAGTATCACAGGCGAATCAAAAAAAGCCGACTACAGACAGATGGTGAGTCGCGAATTGAATTGGGTTTCTTGCAGTACTGAAAATCCACGCATGTATGTAACCACGGCAAATTCCTGATAGGTGCCCTCAGGATGACAGGAGGCTCTCTGGGATTTTGTCGACAAAACCTCAACATTCTTAGTAGCTCGGGTCTATTATCATCGTTATGGAATCGGTCATTTAGTGCCAGGACACATGATGCTACATGTGAATGTTGTTGGTAAATTGCGGTAGATCGATTCCCTATTTTTGTCGTCCCCCTTTACCGCGGTTCGCATTAATTCTCCGACAATTCGAGTTTTGTGATTTCGGAAGGTCAGGAGACCGGTTCTCAACGGCTGCTACTCCTTAGATCGAGGACCAAGGTGGACGACCCTAGATTCAAGGCTGTCGGTTGAACGGCAAGGTTCTTGGGGCGGAATCCGGTTCTGCAGCAATCCGGTGAGACCGGGTGGATGAGGAAGCAAGGGACGGCGAGGCTGAATAGGGAGGAGTATTGGCAATTTTGGGATTCAGATTGAAACAGTGGCGGTTTCTTTCTCCCTCGCAGGTTGTGTACTCCGGAGTGTACTCCATGGAAGGGGTTGTTTTTTTTTTTTTTTTTTTTTTTTTTTTTTTTTTTTTTGCTGACCGCTGGTGTCATTTTAGAAGTTCTCTGTGTGAATGGTCTCGTGACATGGCAGAAATATACGCCGTAGACTCAGGCATCGTCAGAATGCTGTACTTTTGTAATGCTTATCGTCAGGGAGCACAGCAAGGGCAGGCCCGATGGGGAAAGATGTTGATGCGATGACGCAAGTGGTGTGGAGAATCCGGTTTGAGGAGGTCCGATTGGGGTCTAGACCGTGGGTGGAGGCTGCTGATTGGCGGGGGGAATGGGACCGCCGGGACTTTAATTTCCTGCTATTGTTAACTCATTCATGAGAGGGAATTCTGGAGGACAAGAATCAAGTCATCCAGTGAAAGTACAATCCGTGGAAAAAGTTATGCACTCTGACTGGATATGCATTTATGCAGGGCACAAGAACAACCAGCAAAGGGAACAAACCAACCAAACCACCCAAACCACACAAACCAGCCCTACCGCGGGCTCTTCCCGCGCGGCGCCGCGCGTTTCGGGTGGGGCGCTGGGAGGGGAGCCAATCACGGCTTCCTCCCAGCCAAAGCGATCACGGGTCCCGCCAGGTGTTAATCTTCTCCTTCACGACGCAACTCACTTCCCGATCTTCTTGATCTGATCTTCTTGTTGTGCTACTATGTCCGGTACAACATGCAACCCCGTCGTGTCGTTCGATTCCGCCATCCCGTGAGATACGTCGTCGCGACCCTCCTCCTGTTGGCCTGGCTCTTCTACTGCCTTCCTCGAACCGAGCGTCCCCAACCTATCCCTGCGATCCCTCAAACCGAGACTCACTATGGCGGCTGCGACATCGACCTCGAACTCTTGAAGTCCTACGAGTTTGGCTCTTCGATAGAATATGCGCGCTGGGAGATCGCCGTAGTCCCGTCGAAGAACTTCAAGGGCTTCTCCGATACGCTGGACGTACCCCTCCCCACCTGGCAGACCGTGAAGTTGGACGACACGGAAGATGCTCGCAAGTTGCTTCCGCGAGAACAATGTGCCCCGACCGTGATGATTGAGGTTCCAGCGACGCAGCCGCGTGTGGATGCTTCGCATCTTGTCGTCGGTGTCGCGACCTCCCTGGAGCGGCTTAATGACTCGCTGGATGCATTTGCCATTTGGGCGGGCGGGACAAACTGCCGCATCTTCGCACTGGTCGACAATGTCTCCTCCGGCGCGAAGAACCGGGTCCTACAAAAGGCCAGTGATTTGGATATCAAGCTGACAATCATCGCCTCCTCCGAGGAACTTCTCGATCGATACTTCTCCTTGACCCGAGTGCTGCTGCGGAACCGCGACGAAAAGACCCAGTGGGGGGTGATTATCGACGACGATACCTTTTTCCCGTCCATGGCGAACCTCGTCAAGAGACTCGCCACCTACGATTCCTCGCAACCGTACTACATTGGTGCCCCGACCGAGAATTTCGCTCAGATGGGAATCTTCAACTACATGGCCTACGGAGGCGGGGGTGTCTTTCTCTCAATACCACTACTGGAGGAGATGGACAAGGTGTTCGACGACTGCTATGAATTCAAGGACATGGGTGATAAACGAGTGGCTCGCTGCATCTATCATCATACCAACACCAAACTTACGTGGGACCACGGGCTGTTCCAACTGGACATGCGCGACGACGTCTCCGGGTTCTTCGAGGCCGGTCGGCCATTGCCTCTTTCGCTGCATCACTGGAAGTCCTGGTTCGACGTCGACGTGGTCGCCATGCACAAGGTCGCTTCTATCTGCGGAGATGATTGCCAGTTGCAACGCTGGCGTTTAACCGATGATTCGTTCTTCGTGAACGGCTTCTCTGTCATCAAGTATTCGCAACCCATGCATGACATGCTCTCGATGGAGCAAACGTTCGACGACAGCGACTGGGCCCGTGACGAGGGATTCGCGTTCAGTCTGGGACCACTACGTCCAAAGGACTACGACAAGATTTCATTCCGTATGCGTAGCGCCATCGTTGACGGGGATCGTGTCCGACAGCTTTATATCGACCAGCCACCGCCGGAGTTGAATTTAAAACCACGTGTCCTGGAAGTCGTCTGGTCGAAGGCAAGGGGAGCATGGTGATATTTCCTCGGTTCTACAATGGCCCCCAAGCAGGGGTTGCGCTAGTGATACACAGGCTGAGTACTGTACTTTATAATGAAATTTAGAATGGCATTTGACGACTAAATCATCGTCGCATACGATCACGTAATTTCATCTTGCCCATGTTCGTTATTCTCAGCTATGCCTGGTGAAGAGGATGTCTCCTTAATATTTCATAACAGCGTCCTATGTCATCTGGATAGCCTGTGTTTACAAGTATCCTGATGTGCAGCTGATGAAAGTCTTTTGGGAAGTGGCGTACGTGTGGGTCTAGTTGAACTCGGAATTCAGAGAAAAATGAGGCACGCCTGCTATTTTATTGAATCAATCATTCTAAGTATGCAGACGACTAGACCAACACCCCTAGCTAAGGCAAATGGTCACTCCTTGTACGTCAGAAATCATTCGAAGTGGAAAGAAATAAACTATTATATAAATCGAGGTATATTCACCCATCACGCCGCACACCTATCCAAAGAAACTTAAAAAGAAACAGCCTAGTTGAAGAATTGACAAATCCCATGACGTAAAGAGTCGTATCACATGTATGATATATTAATACAAAACGGAAAGAAAAGCAAACATAGACGACAGGCTCACGAAGCATGAGTGGGGAAATAGATGAAACCACTGGGTATCTGAAACGATTTAAGATCAATCTGCGGATGAGCGACATCCGGCCACTGGGCGCGCATGCGAGTCGAGTTATTGGCCAGCTGAAGCATGTTGAGCATGGTGCTGTAGACCATACTCTGCGAACTGGCCTCATGCCAATCCGAGTTGTAATCAATGATGTCCGAGTCGCGAGACGCCGGACCCTTTTGCGTCCACGTTCCCATGAGACTAGGGTACGTGCTGTAGCAGTTGATGGGGACATTCAAGATGCCGCTGCACAGGAAGTTATAGCCAAGGTCGACGGGCTCGTCGACTCCGACCATGGACAACGCTGTCAGGGCCTTGCGGGCGCCGTCCCAGGTAAACGCCAAGGACCATGAGCAGATGGGCCCTTCACCGGTGAAGACTAGCCGATGAGCCTGGAAGTCTGGTTTCTCGGATAGCTTGGGGTTCACGAAGTCGGCTTTATACTGCGGTGGTCGCACGGTCGGGTCGTTCGGAATGACGTAGAAGATGGGCTGTTGGCCTCGCTCTTCTCGGATCGACTTCATGCCACAGTGTCCTAACCATAACATATCCCAGTCGTCGCCGTAGGGGGAGAAGGGATGCTCTTGGCCTCCCTGGAGGATACGAGTGCCGCGGGCGAATTGTATCATCTGGGCTTTGAGATTTACATCCCAGTCCGAGTCGTCCTCCATGATGATGGCGCTGCTGATGTGGTTCTCGACAATACTGGATGCGTGACACATTTGTTAGCAATGTCGCAGGGTGTGTGGATACTACTGCAAGGAAATCACATACTATCGGAGAGCGTTCATATGCGCACGCCAGCTGCCAAGCTCGGTGGGTTTGGCCTGATGTTTCTCCTCGGTCCATGCCTGTCGAAGAACCAAAGGGTTCAGCAAAGATATAACATAAAGGGAAAAAGGCGACCAAAGAACATACCGCCGGGATGGCTTTTGGGGACATTTCGGAGCTTCTGACGGCCTCGATCCAGTCCACCTGCAGACCGGTATATGCCGCGCCGAGGGTGATGGCATCGTGCTTATCGGTCCGTTCGGGGAAGCCTATAGCGAAGATTTTTTCGAACTAGAGATGGGTGAAAAGAAGAAGGGGTCAGTCCGACTGGGTTTCATAACCTTGGGATAAAGCAGGGGGTTGCGCGCTTCACTCACACCCAGGGTAGCATTATTGATGTCGTTCAACGAATCGACTTCGACGACGGGCGGCTTCGACGACGAACCCATCCACGATCCATCCTCACCCCTCTGCCAAGAAAGCCAGAAGAACGTGTAAAGGGTGGCTGCTGCAACCGTTATTGTCCTGTAGTTGAAGCGCTGCATCATGGCGACGAGATCCCCTGCCAGAAATCAGGGGAAAGCTGGGAGAGAGAAAGCGCAGTTTGGCAGCGCAAGTGATTAAATACAGCTAAGCCCCACGCCCGCGGCACCGATTATTACAGGGCCAGATTGCGGCCTCTGTCACATTGGAAGCTCGCTTTGAATGATCAGCGCCGTGTCTGGGCTGAGTGGGAGGGCCGATGGGAAGTCAGCTTCTTGGCCGCAGGGTAGCGTCCGCACGATGAGTCTCGCGGAGACTGTCGGCGGGCCTGTCCGTGTTAGCGTCTCCCATCGTGGCTGGATCAAGTAATTCATCGCCGGTAGTGGATTATCCTGTTATTAGGCCGGTCGTTAGGCGCTGTGGTGTTGAGGGGAAACGGCGTGATGCGTGATCATTGGCCTTCGTGAGAGTCCACCGTATATTATGACCCACAATAGCGCCCAACGCCGAATCCACCGAATGGACACCAGAATCATGATTATTTGGTGGTCAGACTTGACGCTGGGGCTTACTCCGTGGATAGATACGAGTGCCAGGTGCTTTATGTAATGTTGTTTGGTTGGGCCATGTGGTCATGGTGCGGCAAAAAGAAGACAAAGAACAGCGAACAAAGAAAAACCAACAACGGCTTTTCAGGGTTTTTGTGGCACGTGCGCCCTTGGGCCGTTGCAAAAATGGGCAGCTTATATACAAAATTTCTATTAAGTAACAAATCGTAGACGCAATACAAGCGGCATCTAGCCATACACGCGAGGATTAAATCTAGGTACATCCTTACCCCTTTAACTGCTAATCTTCCCTTGGTGTGAGCCGGGGAGATCCAGCAGCCGGAAGTTCAAACACAGGCCTGTTATCCGCAGGGGCTTCCACCAGGCCATTCTCCTTGGGATCGAAATTGGGTGCCTCAACTGGATATTTGTTCCGATGGATAATTCCAGACTTATACTGGGGATGGCCAACTTTGGCGGCTGGCTTATTACGATTCTTTCTTCGATAGCAGCAGAAAGCCAGGAATCCGGCAAGGATGACCACAGCAGCGACAGCTCCGATCACAATACCGACGATAGCCCCAGTTGATAGACCACCATTGTCGGACTTGCTAGACTCTGTTGCTGTTTGAACCGGAGACGTTGGGCCTGAAGTTCTCGTGGAAGTTGTAGTCGCAATAGGTGGCGAGACGGCTTTGCAAATGTTTCCGTCAGAGTCAATGACTTGATAGTCCTCTTTGTCTGTCGGGTTGCTCTGCCAAACAGTAAATTCTTCTAATTCATGATTGACCATGAGGTATGCCGCCGTAAAGAACGGTTGTCCCAAGTTCGTCATCCATTTTGGACTATCCCCCGTGGGCTCTCCCACCAGGACCTCTCGCGAGTCTTCCGACCACACGGTCTCGTTTCCAAGAACGACGTAGTCTGGTACAACAAGTTGGCTGTTCGGGACGGTGATTTTTACGTTGCCGTTTAGTGTTATGCTCAAGTTACCGGTAAACCTAGCGAAGAAAGGACAGGCATTAGTGAGACGCCCCAAGAGGAAAGGAGTAAGAACTCACGCTTTATCGACGCCGTATAAAAGCCCATTCACATTCATTCCCGTGGATGTGCCAAAAGACTTGTGCTCAAACTTCTTCTTCAGCTGGTTGAGGATGGAGGGCGTGAAAGTCATAATCTCGAACGCAGGATCGAGACACATATTGATGCGCGAGCCAAAGGCATTCTGTTCTGTCCCGTTCTCAAATCCAACATCGATACTCGTAACGGTCGCGACCATGCCTGTCCGACATTTCGAATCATAGTCTAGTGGAAATGTCTCGTTCGGACCCTTTGTCTTCGCCCTATCAAATCCCCCGAATACGGCGACTCCATCCATCTGAGCGTCTTCGGTTGCTCCCGTGAGTCCGTAGAATAAAGACCATGTTTTCGATATGATTGCTTTCTTCTTGATTAAAGTTTGAAGGAAGGTCGAGTCTTGTGCCAGCCCTAGCGAGTTCAGCGTCATGCCTCCTTTGGTGGTAGCGATGGGATAGTCGTAGAGATCATATGTGTTATTAAGGTGCACGATGTCTGCCCCGCGCGGGGGTGTTCCAGTGAAGGCAAACGCCTTGGGACTGGATTCTTCGGCACTGACATTCGAGTTGGCTTCATCGGACCATGTTGACGACCTGTTGAGAAAGAAAACGCCTCCTCTTCCAACGATACACGACGGATCGTACTGTTCCCGCACGTCGCACCCGTGTGAATCGTCCCACAGGAAGGTGTTGTTTGCATAACTGCAAAGTTAGCCCAGGGAAACTATGACACTTGAGCCAACTTGGGGCATACCCAGCTGCTGATAGAGCCACCGGTTGAGGAGGGGTCCCTATCTCAAGAGGAATGCCCCTGCGAACACTAGCCTCCAGCACGGTTACATTCTCAACTGGAAGCGTCACGACCGTCGACCCCGAACAATCACTCCCAGCCAGACCAGCCAAAGCCAGACCCAAAATAGCCAGGAGGAGCGAGGACGTAGTAGAAGGGAGCCAAGGGGTCCTATTCAGAGCCATGACGCCGAAAATGCAAGAAGAATATGTCCTATAGAAGGAGACCCATTATTGCAGCACACGGCGGAAGCGCCAGGGTAATGAGGCATTGACCAGCCAGTGCCTACTGATACTAACACGCTTGTCGGACTCGTCTTCATGGTCTTTCTGGGCTTGTGGACTACTGGTGCTAGCTCATTCAGGGGGGTCAACCAGTATTCCTGGCGGCTACAGGCTCTAAACAGAGTTCGGCTCTGAAGGTTGCATCTTGTCACTCATGATTTGAGCAATGAGAGTGACGCTTCAATATTAGCGGGTCCGGAAGAACTAGCCTCTCAAAGCCGGGCCTTAAGTCTTGTCGGGGGTTGGCAACGCCGAAATGAAAATGGCCCCTCAACGGATAGGGAGAAGTGATCATCATACCTATGTGATCCTTACGCAGAGGTTTGAGCTAGCATTCTCTCTTTCAACTCAGCATATTGAGCCGCGAGATATTAGTATAAGAAAAACAAATAGGGATGGGTGGCAGCTCATTCCGTCGACTGTTCTAGCATTGCAATAGAAATTATTGACACAACCACAAGACGTTACATGAGCATCGAGCGCCGGCGATATTAAGATTTTCAGTGTACCCACACCTTGAACCACACAGGTACTAGTATGGAGACCCTACAGCGCGCTCTCAGCCTGCCTGGGAGGGGGAAAATAATGCCCAGAAACCTGGGATAGTCCATAGACATACTGCGTACAAATGGAATCAATCCGCGCCGTAATTGCCCGGAGGACAGGCACATGCAGTGATGTAACGGCGGCTAGGAGAGATATGAAATTATTAATCTAAAGAAAACAGCAAAGACAGGGACTCGCACTGCGAACTAGCCAGGGTGATGAGGGGACTCGAGGGACGATCAACAAATCGTGCTCCGTGCATCCGGCGCTCTTTCGACTAGCAAGACTAGTAGTAGCTCGTTCACTCCTTCGAACCCCTGCGCACTAAAGTCCAAGCTAACACGCCACTAGACCATTGCCCATCTCCGCTCAGAATAGGTCTTTGCCTCGAGGGTGTCCTGGGAGAACTCGTCCAATCGCATAGAGCGCACTGCCCTCTGGCCTCGGTCCACCTCAGGTATTTATGGCGCATTTTAGCGCGATGGCTTGAGCTCGCGATCTAATCAAACCGATAATGGAAATTACTGCCGCATAAATGTCCTCCTAAGAGATTGTTGTTTATGTGGCTTTGTAAAAGCGATGTAGGCGCTTATACGGTCAGGGCCTAAATGCAAGTAGGGTTGCCAACATCAAGTGACACGAGGAATTAAGGTGGCCGGGCGTGCCCGAGTTCCACCGACTGTACCATGGTTCGGGCGATGCAATGCACTGCACCTGGCACTGCCGACCAGAATTGACCGCCAAAACAAGTTACAACAGCAGCTGACCTACGGAAAACCGCTGGAGCGGTTTGCCACTTACGTCGTGCCATGTATTGTTTGTAACGGTTTAAAAATAGATCGAGAGATGCTTTTGGATCTTGATAGGCTCGCGCCAACCGAGCATACCTTTATCCGCCAAGATTGTTCAGATTTCCCCAAGGAGAATAAGGCGGAATCAAGATATTATGCGTCCGGAGAACATAGACAGGCGTTGAATAATGGAGAGAAAATTACTACCGCTCGTTACCTTTCGTTGTGGTGGGCTAACGGGCGACGGTGTCTCGAGAGATTTTCATTTCCAGCGACCTTGGCGCACTAAACAGGCTCATCGCATTGGCGGATGAAACAGACAGACAATCGGCTATATGCCGAATATTCACTTAAAATCAGGGATCCAAGCCAAGATTCTCAGCCCCCAGTATCATTTAGATACTGCATTCTTAGGTCAGACGGAAAGCATCATTCAACAACCTCTTCTCCTCCTCCACATGCAGCATCTTAAATCCCACAGCCACACTACTCATCGGATCTCTGCCGGAATACCGGATCTTCTTGCCCCGATGATGCTGGGTGTGCTGGAAAATCGCATCGAATCGCGACATAACATGAGCCCATGCGCCTCCATTCAACGTCTCTTCCTGACACCAGACAATATCCTCCGTATTTGGATATTCGTCTAGATTCTGCCTTGCCTGCTCCCATGGGAACGGGTGGAGTTCTTCAATGCGGGTGATGGCTGTGTCTTTGATTTCATGGATCTCGCGATGCTTGTGCAGCGCGGCGTAGACCTGTCCGGAGCAAAAGATAACTCGCTTTACCTCTTCAGGTGAGACAACTGCTGTGCCGTGTTCAGGCTCTGGGATTAGAGGCTGGAAGAAGGGCGTCTGTGTGAACTCGTCGATGCTGGAGCGAGCAAGAGGGTGCCGCAGGAGGGACTTCGAGAACAAGATAATCAACGCTGCAGAAACGTATGTCAGTCAAAGCTGTGGTCTATATGTAAAGAAGTAATACTCACGCTTCCGGAAATCCCGATGAACCTGGCGTCGCAGCACATGGAAATAATTAGCCGGACTAGTCATGCAGACAACCTGCATATTGGCAAGTTGATGCTGGCGACTAAGCTGTTCCGGTGATGGGAAATATCGCGAATCCTCGTTACCAAGTTGCAGGAAGCGCTCTAATCGAGCAGAAGTATGCTCTGGTCCCTGACCGTCGTACCCATGTGGTAGTGAAAGTACCAACCCCGACCGCTGGAGCCACTTATCTTCTGCCGACGCAATGTACTGGTCGATAATGCATTGCGCATTATTGGAGAAATCGCCAAACTGGGCCTCCCACATCACCAATGCATTTGGGTCGGCCAGTGAGTACCCATACTCGTACCCCATGACTGCGTTTTCGCTGAGGGACGAGTTAGAAATGCTGAACAGGCCTTGACTGTCACTGATGTTGCTCAGGGGTGTGTAAACGCTGTTGGTCTTTTGATCATGCAACACTGCATGTCGATGAGAAAACGTTCCTCTTTCCACGTCCTGCCCTGTAGCGCGAACATTGGCGCCCTCAAGCAAAAGAGAGCCAAAAGCAAGAGCTTCGGCTGTCGCCCAATCGATGTGTTGACCTTCCTGTACCGTTTGCTGTCGGCGACTCAGGATTCGTTCGAGGTTCCTGTGCAGCTTGAAGCCATCGGGAACAGCTGCTCCAAGCTTCTCAGTCACCTTGTTTATGGTCTGATTATCAACGGCAGTCACTCGGGCGGGGAGGTGCTCGTTGACCAGTTCTACAGGAGCCTTCATGCCCTTCCATGATTCAATCAGCCATTCCCGAGCTTCCGGCTTATAGTCCGGGCTCTTATCAAGAGCTTCGCTCAGTTGATCCCACACCGCACTCTTGATACTCAGGATTTCTTCCGTTGTGACAGATCCCTCACGCAGCAGCTTGGCTTCGTACTGCTCCAAAATCGGAACCTTCGAGGCAATCCGATCATACATGGTAGGCTGGGTGAACGAAGCCTGATCCATTTCGTTGTGCCCGTTGCGACGGTAACACATAATCTCCACCAGGCAGTCCTTGTTAAAATGGGCTTTAAAATCCGCAGCAATGATGGCAGCAGAGCACACTGCTTCTGTGTCATCAGCGTTGACATGAAAAACAGGCGTATCGAGTATCTTCGTGATATCCGTGCAGTATGGGGATGATCGAGCTTGCCACACATCCGTGGTGAATCCCACCTGGTTGTTCACGATCATGCGCAGAACACCTCCCGTGGAATATGCCGGCAGGTTGGTAAGACCCAGGGTCTCGTACACGGTGCCCTGGCCGGCGAAGGCGGCGTCCGTGTGAACATTAAGCATCATCGTTTTGTCCTTGCCGTTCCTGTCCTGGATTCCGCGCGTTTTGCCCATGACAATAGGATTCACTGATTCGAGATGCGATGGATTGGGCGCCATCGCCAGGTGAACCTTCTTGCCATCCCGGGACGTCCAATCGCCTGTAGTGCCGTAATGATATTTCACATCCCCAGGGACACCCCAGGGAGAGACTGCTTTGGGATTGAACTCTTGGAAAATCGACTCGGCGGGCTTTTTCGTGACATTGTGAAGCACGTTGAGCCGGCCTCGATGGCAAATGCTCATTTGAATGTTCTCAAATCCATGCTCTGCAGACCGATCGACTGCTTCCATCAGAGCTGGAAGATAACTTTCTCCACCGTCGACGCCGAAGCGCTTATCGTTCGGAAACTTTGTAGCGAGGAACTTTTCCCATTGCGCGGCGCGGATAAGTCGTTCCAGAATCCGCTTCTTGTCCTCAACCGTGAATTGAACCGAATCTTGACCCTCAATCCGGTCGCGAATCCACTCAACCTCTTCCTGATTCGAGATATGCATATATTCGACTCCGGTAGTACCGCAGTATACGCGCTCGCACGCGGCGATGACTTCCCGGATGGACATCGTGCCTTTGTCGGAAGCCAAGCCCGGAAACATACCCGAGTTCATCGTCAGCTGAAAGTCCAGATCCTGCTGGGTCAGACCGTGATGTTCCAAGCTCAATTCCCTTCGTCGCGGTGGTGCTTCGCCATCTAAATTCAAAGGGTTCGTCCGAGCAAATTGGTGGCCCCATCTCTGATACGCCTGAACCAACTGCTTTAGCTTCAACTGCTTCACAATATGCGATGTAGCCTCACTCGCTTGCTTTGCTGGCAAAGCTGTACTTGAACTCGCTGGCGCAAGGCCAGGCGGAGCACAGAATGCCTGTTCTATGGGAACGTGACCATTTTCGACGTTATGAAAATACGCCTGCCAAGAAACATGTACAGAGGCGGGATCGTGCTTCCACGCGGCATACATGTTATCGACGTATATGGCCGCATTTCCTTGTAGAAAGCTATCATTGTGGGACTGGGACGTTAGCGACGCCTAGGAGGAGAGGACAGCACAGCCTACTATTTGTTGCGGTTCGCTTTCAGGCTTTGCAGTGACAGCGTATCCTCGTTTAGAGAGTCTACTGCATGGGAATGCAATCTTGCGTAAGGGATCTAGGTGGATTAAATCTCCGCGGCCTAATTGACGCATAAGATTCCGTCCGTTTGAGGCTGTCATCGTGAAGCCATAGGAACATAGTAATGTGTAACGTCGTAGAGCCGTGGAGAGTCGGGGATCGATTTATAGGAATAGCTGTGATCTCCGGGAAACGCTCAGCCCCCATGCGATCTAATGAACACCAATTAGAAGCACTTTGAATGCCTTAATCTCCACAGGTCTCGCATATAGGCTACTGAGAATGGTCTTGGCTTTCATCGGTCATTAGCAAGGAACCCGATCCGAGGGTATACTGCTCGGCATCCTGGAATTTCGCCGACACAGCGGAAAGCCCCTTAACGTTAAGGCCCTTGTAGTTGTAATGTGAGCCGTCGAACCTCGGTCAAGATTGCAGTCGCAAAATCCCTTCCACTTTGGGGTAAACGTCAAGCGCGTATTCAATGGTACAAATGTTGGTGAAAATATATTCAGAGATAAGTGCAAGAATCCCATGTCCAAAGCCACAATAATAAACAGAAACTTAGGTACTTTAGTACAATAAAACAATCAGCATACTGGAAGGATCCTCTAGATACTTCTTCACCAAGGTCAGGAAGATGACGGCTTCCCGTCCATCAACCAGACGATGGTCATAGGTCAATGCCGTATACATCATCTGCAACGAATTAGTAAATTTCTACTCGCACTACGCCACGAAGAACTCACCGGCCGAATCACTGCCTCTCCATTGACAGCAACGGGGCGCTCTTGGATTCCGTAGATTCCTAGAACGGCAGTCTGCGGGATGTTGATGATAGGCGTCCCAAACAGAGATCCCCAAATCCCACTGTTGCTAATGGTAAATGTGCCACCAGCCATGTCATACATGGTCAATTTGCCATCGCGTGCCTGTATTGTCAGCCTTTCTGTATACTATGAGATGAAGCGCGACACATACCCTCGTTCCCAGCTCAGCAATGCCTTTCTCAATCTCAACTACATTCATATCCTCGATGTTCCGTAGGATAGGAGTGACTAGACCTTTAGGAGTAGCCACGGCGACACTAAGATCAATATAGTCACGATAAACAATCGTGTCGCCATTCTCAATAGACGCGTTAATAACCGGTATCTGTTTCAATGCGAGAGCGGAAGCCCGCGCAACGGGGCCCATGAATCCAAGTTTCACGCCGTATTTGGCCAACACCTCATCCTTGTTCTGTTTTCGGAACTTCATCACGCGCGACATATCGATCTCGTTGAAGGTGGTCAGGAAGGCTGCTGTTTTCTGGGATTCTTTGAGGCGTTCGGCCGTGCGCACGCGCATGCGAGGCATTTTAACCTTGTTTTCTGACCGGCTGCCTTTGTACGCATTCATGGGAGCGGAGTTAGACTGTGCTGACGATGGTTGCGCGGCGGGAGCATGTGAGTGACGCGGTTGTTCCCTGGTTGGAAGCTGTTCCTGTTTAACCTGGTTTGGTGGATCTTGTTGAACCTCAGGCGTCTTGAGTTCCGTTTGCTCAGATGCTTTCGAGACCTGAGCATCCCCTCCTTCCGCCGCATCGCGCTTTTCTACACTGATTTCCACCACAGCCTGTCCAACGGTCACCGTATCGCCTTCATTGACTAAAAGTTTAGTGACCACGCCACTGCCCGAGGCATTGACCGCGACGTCGATTTTGTCCGTTTCAATTGACGCGACCTCCTCGTCCACTTCCACGTAATCACCGATCTGCTTGTACACGCTGGTAAGAACGCCTTCGGATATCGACTCTGCCATCTGAGGAACCTCAATCATTTTCGTTTCTGCAAACATTGGTGCGCGGGCACTGAACAAGCGAGGCTTCATGCATGGTTTCACTTTCCAATTTCGCGATCTGAACTGTTCTGTGTAGATTGGTGCCGCTCTGTTGGCCCGAAGTGTGTATGTAAGTCGTTTCGGTGTAAGGAGGGGACGACATCGTGCCCAGGAGGGCTCAGAGGAGAGTATGGCGCGCGAGATCATTTTCGCGGTGCAAGTGGCTCGCAATGAAGGAGGACCGCGGAATCAGCATTAGTGGTGGTAATTGTAGAGTGGGAGCAACTGCGCCGGCGACGGGCCGCAGTCGGCGTCTTGTCGATTCGCCGAACCCGAGGGTTGCTGGGGATTACCGTATTAGATCGAGTTCCTGGGGTCATTGCTACAAGTCACCACTGGAACAACACAGTCCTGATGCTTATTCAGGTCAATTGAGCGTCAAGCATAGAGAAGACACTATCCCAAGTGTCTGCAGTGTTCGCGTGATCGGGATCAATGAAGCTTTCCCACAGCCCCTCGATCTCAGCGTCTTGTGCCGCAGAACCCAATATGGTATCTGGGGTCTCATCCACAAATCCTAATTTCGATATCGAAGAGCCAGGAAGAATCTCTGGACCAGCCACTGCCTGTGAAGACACTTCCGGCAAAATTTCAACTTGATACTTTCGCAGGATGGTTCTGAATGACGCCAAGAACCGCGAAGCCAAACGGGAGGTCTTGGACGCCTCTTGTAAATCATGGCAAGCACTCGCAACTTCCTGTCGCCGCTCACTATGATCCTGTTGGTCTTTGTTCATGCAAAAGTCCATAACGAGAACCGCCGTGGCTAGGTAAAAAGTATGCAGAAAGACGGCTAGACGACTTATTATTGAGCCAGCGTCGTGATTGTCTAGATTTCGCTTCATGTCAATAATCGCCCGAGCGGACTGCAAACAAGCATTTCGTGAGTACTCGTAACGTCTATCAAGCGAGGTCCGGGTGAAGAATGGCTGATTTAGTTTGAAACGACGGGAATGTGCCGTGCTACAGATAATGTAGCGTTGGAATACAAACTGAGGATATTTCCGGTCAATATCTCGACTTTGCTTGCGGCTTGCTTCATCAAGGCGCAGGAAAAACGGCAGGTCATGAAGAAAATGTTGGAATTGCTGATCTAACGTGATAATGGTATCGTAACTGATGTCGATCCAGCTCGAAAATGCAGACGGTAATGTGTCAACCGTGACACGGCAAAGATTCGCAAGTTGAAGCCTAAATATTGAATACGACATAGCAGTGGGTTGGAGCATGGGTACACTGTATCCGGGTTCTTGACGGTCAAGGTCTTCGTCGTCCATGTTTCGTGGGTAGTTTACACGCATTTGATTGGGGTTAATCAAGTAAGTGCCTTCCTGGGGACCTCCAGAAAGAGCAAGAAGCCTGGCGTTGTCAGCATCGCAGCAGAGCCAAAAGTCACCTCTTTTCGCTCCCGAATTAACCTACCTGTCAGTAGCGATCAAATGAAACCACACGCGCCTTTTTATTTCCATTTTCGTAAAGCTCTCCTTTGAGAGGCTCGGTTTCGCAGGGGTGGCATCAAGGCGATGTAAAGAAAGCTCTCGGGCAATAGTGACGGCGTTGCTACTGAGAGTGCGAAACCTTACTGTGAGCCCCTCAAAGTTGAAAACAACAAAGGAAAGAATTATCATGGCCTGAACATCTTCGATGGAGCCTTGTGAGCTTCTTTGCGAATGATCAAGAACATCCAGAGTAGCTTTGCTCCACACGAAAGCACATGAAAAGGCATTTCTCTCACTACCAAAGGTTGAGGCCGATCTTGGATGCGAGCTTAAAAAGACAGCTGTACTGGAAAAGATGCTGAGAAGCAATGCGACATGGCTCGGTTCAAGAACGACACCCAAGCCAATTTGCCTATAAACGTCGTCCATAAGTATCTGCACGGAGGGCAGATGAACAATGTGGTGCAAGTATACCACGTGCTCCGTATATTGAGCGAAGAGCGATGCCGCCTCGGTTTTCGACGGCAATCAGATGCTCACTGGCCGCCAGTTACTGGCTGGGGAGTTTCCCAGACCAGAATCTCCAGAAACAGCTTGTTGTATTGTGGAAACACGGAAGGATAGTCCATTCGAGAGATCGGATATCTTCAGACAAGTCAGTTACTTGGGATTCATGCATGGGATTCGATGTGCTGGGAATATACACACCACCGACTGCCCAACTCCTTCTAGCCATTTGAAATCCCCTTCGCCTTCAGAGACATGTGATGATAATGCTGGTGACCGAGAGGTCATATCGATTGGGGATGGGATGCCCCCCGAATGTGATTGGAGGATGAGTTCTTCCAACCGCTGTATTCTAGTCAGGAGCTCTGCATTACTAGGGCCCGAGGACTGAGTCGATTGTGGCTGAGCCGGTGACGACGGCGTCAGAGGACCGCGGTATGCTCTTTGGCACGTAACACCGCGAGCAACACAGTTGGAACATGGTTGGTCCCGGCTACACTTCAGCTTCATCGAACGACAAAGCTGACACGACACGGGAAACTGCCTCGGTCGCCGCCGTTGCATTGTCATTGGTCATGAATGTCAAAGGAGCTGACGTCTCGATAGGTTGGATAGCTTATTGGCATTCAAGCAAGCAGTGAACAATGAAACTGGGATGATTGTGGAACGAAGAAAGAGGAGAAGCGGAGCGCAGACAAAGAAACAGCCCGCAGGATGCTGGCCTGAGGCAGCGTGCAACACACTAGCCCCTTTGGGGAAGGTGCATATCCAGAATGGGTTAGACCACAATGCCTTATCGATAAGGCTACCGATAAGCCATCGGATGGAGGAGTCGAGGGCAGTATACTCCTTGCAATCGCTCGTCTGAAGCCCGAGTCGACTGTATTGGAGACCTATGCAGAAAGTAAGCATCGGAGCTCTCCTTTTCCAAGTGCCAAGTTGCTGCTGTGGCACTGGTATGACTATATGGCCCTCCTCGGACTTCCGAAGAGCCCCGTGGAGTCTCCGTGGAGGCTGACAACTAGGCAATTGAAGGTCATATATAGAACCAGCAGCTAGTACGGATAATGGAGGTGTAGGGGTCAGGGAGGGGGGGTTGGCAGGTGCTTGTCTTCTCTCTATAGTTCACGGAGAATCATTGTGAATTGTTTTATCATCAGTTGCCACGTTCCCTTTTCACCGTCACACTGATTATATACAATCTTCTGGTCAACACCTGTTCTGCACCATGTGCTTCCAAAACGCATTCGGTGTTTTCCAAGAACCCCACGGACAGAACATTCTTCAGAAGCATTCAGAACTTGACATTGCTTGGATCGGGTCATTGTTGACCTGTACGTTGTTTTTCTCTGCCACTCTGGCTGGCATATTTGCTGATCGTCTTGGTCCTACCGTAAAACCCTTTCTCTTGACCCCTTGCTATTTTGTGTATCATGAAACGGATTGACAAGGGTTCTACTTGCAGATTCCGCTTGCAATCGGCAGTATAGGAACGCTAATTGCTATCTTCATGACTTCCCTCTGTGATCTTCTATATCAGTTCCTGCTGACCCAAGGCTTGCTCTTGGGTATCAGCAACGCATTTCTCCTGTGCCCTGCCATGGCCATCGTGTCCCACCTGTTTGATAGACATCAAAGCGTTGCAAGTGGTATCATGATATCCGGGTCGTCAATTAGAGGCATGTTTGGCCAATTGTGTTAGATCAACTCCTGCACAAGGACGGCGTGAGCTTCAGATGGTCCTTCCGGGTCATCAGCTTCATCATTGTACCCCTGTACGCCATAATGTTACTGACTATCCCGTCATCCTTAAAAAAAGACTTGCGCTCCAAGAGTCCGAAAAAGAGACAGAAAACACTTCCACGGAAAGAAACAACAAAAGCAAAGATAGCGCTGCTCTTGTGAGAAATCCTGCATTTGTTCTTCTATGTGGTAGCCTTTCTCTAGCTACCTTTGGTCTTTTCAGCCCATTATTCTTTCTCTCCACCTATGCTGTTTCGCAAGGCCTTTCATCTAGGCTGGCATTTTACATTGTTTCAATACTCAACAGGGGATCCTTAGTTGGCAGAGTATCCATGGGCATTTTCGCGGATCGTTATGGTAATTTCAATCTTTGCTTCCTTATAGGTGCTCTTTCAGGTTATTACGATGTGCTGGACAAAGGCGACAAGTCTTTGGGGAATTGTTGTTTACTCGTTGGCACACGGTTTTACTTCTGGCGTGAGTAGATTCCCGCCTTCATTCTGTTCATGTTAGATGATCGCTGAACATTCCTAGGCAATATTCAGCTTACAAACTCCCTGTGCCGTTCAGCTCGCAAGTCCAAAATCAAAGGGCGCTTTAATTGGAATTATTCTTATTGCCCCTGCGATTCCGTAAGTTAGTGCTCTACTCACGACGCCACAGCTCTAACAATTACCAGAGGCCTAATAGACACACCCATCAGCGGACAGCTTATTAAACAAAGCTATCTTGCACTATCGATGTTTTCCGGCGCTATGCTGCTTGCCGGATCAATGCTTGTCTTATATATCAGACTGCGCCAAAGCCGGAAGCTTTTCGTAAAGGTTTAACTTATAGGGCAACTGACAATGCCCTGGACCTTTACGTCGAGTTCTAGTAAACGGAAAGGGGCCAGTGCAAACCCAGGCGGCTGGTGTGACTTGGCTGCTCTATGCAAAGTGGGTGGGAAATTGGAGAGACTTGAATAGATAACTGTAAGATTGGGATATTTTTGAGACTAGACTGCATTGATTGACGCAATTGGCCATATAATTTGGTGGATCTTGCCAACCAGTACCCATTGACCACCCGAGACCTCTAAATGGTCAATTCCCCGTATTCTCTAGTTAGCCAATTGCCTCAGATCTTCTAGATTGACACCATCAACGCCGACTGGCGCCAAGCCCCGAAAAGTGACTCACGCCAAACACGCGGAACACGCCGAAGGCCTGAACGATGACCCGCAAATGTCTGCAGATCAGTGGCCTCGACGCGATGGTTATAAACAAGATGACATCCCACGGAGCCTTCGAAATATCGAACTCTTTTGTCATGATCCAAGATTTACCAAAAATGTCACTCCCAAAAGAACCAACAACATGGAACAAAGATGAATACTTCATATCCACCGATAAAAGCCTCATCTCCCTGTCTGCTCTGAATTCAGCGTTCGATTCAGATATGTTATATTGGTCGAAGCCATATCCGGAAGATATCCTGCAGGAAATCATCAACCACTCGTTCTGCTTTGGACTCTATGAAGCACCAGACACGACTGAGCCCCCAGAGACAAATTCGAGCTCAAATAGCGACCTCAAAACCCCTAGGCAAATTGGATTTGCTCGCCTCGTGACGGACTACATTACTTTCGCATATCTGACCGACCTCTATGTCTTACCCGAGTATCAAGGGAAGGGATTCGGGGGGTGGTTAATCGACTGCGTCGACGAACTTGTGAAGCCATTGCCACATTTGAGATGGATTATGCTGCGCACTTCATCAGTCAGAAGTCAAGAGTCATACAAACAGAGAATGAGCATGGAAGTGCTAGACTCGCCCGATGCTAGTCAAGATGCGGTGACTATGGGGAGACGGGGTCGCGCGAATCTGGCTTGAGAGATTTGTAGATAGGGATGTCATTGAAAACCATTTCTCTTCAATTGCCATGTTCCATTACTATCCTACCAACAGCTTGGTGTTATGTAATGATTTAAGCTGTTCATATCTAGAAAAATATCCGGTGGCAGTCAACTGAGACCAATTATCGTCGTTACTTCAAGAACCTCAACCTGACAACTGTTCCTTATCATCCCACTCGTACACGCTTCATATGTTCTCCGTTTTCAACGCCTTGAGGACATATAATCTCAGTTACAGATCACCTCGATCTCACCCCACCTCAATACAAGGTATATTCACTAATACATGGGAGCAGCTGGTAACCTCACCTGACATTCACTTTTACCATCACATCACCTCAATCTCACAACCCCTTGAATTTGGAATCATCCCTGCATGTAAGCCTGAAAATTTGTCCATGTTGGAGCTTCTCCTTCCTCCCATCACTTTCCTAGTTTCCTGTCTGCTTCCATACTCCATTTAGCATCTACAGGCCATTATTTACTGCAACTAAAGCCTCACTACCCTCTTATTAGAAGCCATCCCGACAACGTCCACCAATATGGGAGACATGAAGCCCATCCAGGCGCCATTGGCCGATCCAGCACTGCTCGACAAAATCGATCAATTATTCGCCTGCAGTGTCGGAGAGTACATCAATCTCCCACAGCTCGTTGTGGTCGGGGATCAATCCAGTGGCAAAAGCTCGGTTCTCGAAGGTCTCACCAAATTGCCGTTTCCCCGGGATAGCGGTCTCTGCACCAGATTCGCGACACAGATCATCTTTCGTCGATCGAAAGTGCAAAAAGGTCGCAGAATTACGGCATCAATTATCCCAGGCCCGAACGCTTCACCAGAGCAGGCCGAGAAGCTACGGGAATTCATGATCACTCAGGATGGGAATATGCCGCCTGAGGAGTTTTCCCGCAACATGAAGGCTGTGAGGAAGTCCGAGATATGACAGAAAGAAAAATGCTAATTTGGACGTTAGGTACACAGGCTGATGGGCCTCTCGCCCTCTGACAATCCCACCCGCTCAACCTTCTCAAACGATATCTTTCGCTTGGAAATATGTGGACCGTCAGAAGACCACCTGACCGTCATTGATGTTCCAGGAATCTTCATGAACACAACTCCGGGTAAGACCACTCGCAAAGATATGGAGATGGTCAAAGACATGGTACATGGCTATATGAAGAACCCCCGATCCATCATGCTCACCGTCGTGCCGGCGAACGTCGATATCGCAACACAGCAGATCATTGAGATGGCACGTCAAGTTGATCCAGACGGAGATCGAACACTGGGCGTTCTCACAAAGCCGGACTTGGTGGACAGCGGAGCCGAGCAGAAAGTCATTGATCTCGTCAATGGACAAGACATGATTCTCAAACATGGTTGGATTATGGTGCGCAATTTGAGTCAGCGTGAGCTATTGGACGGCAATGCCGATCGAGATACCCAAGAGAAGGAATGGGGTTCTAAAGAGCCATGGGACAAAATACCCCGTGATCGATTCGGCATCGCATCGCTGACAGCGAGATTGAGAGAAGCTGTCACCGATAATGCCCGTCGGGCCTTCCCTCTGGTAAGAGTCCCCCAAGCAGCAGATCACTGAGCCTAAACTAACAGATATCTATAGGTTCGTGCAGAGATTCTGAATAAACTTAGAAAGTCCAAAGATGACCTGCATCGAATGGGCGGAGAGAGAGAGACTTCGGAACAGCAGGCAAACTACCTACTCAACATCATATCAAGATTCCAAGAGATTGCTAATCAAGCCCTAAACGCCCACTACGGTGCTGACGAGGTGTTCGATAATTACCCGGAGCTCCGCCTTGCCACGCTTGCCACAACTCGGAACACGAACTTTGCCGAAGAATTAGTACGATGGGGGCATGAATATCGATTCAAGGAAGAGACTAAAGAGGCCTTGGACGAGGGATGTGTCGAAGTCCAAGGGGAGCCTATCCAGTCACAACATTCAGTTGAGACAAGAAAGACGTCCAATGTCCCGGCTTTGACGACCATGGTCCCGGAGTCTCCTTTGGAAGAAGCGCCCTCCAACAGTGACATCCACCAATGGCTCAACCAGGTGTATAATGCATCCCGAGGATTTGAGATTGGCACCTTCAACGCGAGGCTTCTATCAACCATAATGAAGAAGCAGTCTCAGAAATGGAACAACTTTGCTCGAGGATACGTTGGCGACATAATTGTATATGTTGACCAATTCATACGAAAGGCCCTTGAGCTCGCTTGCAACGATAAAAGAGTTTTTGAGCAGCTAATAGCAATCTCATTCAACTGTCTGGTGGACAAATACCAGTCTGCATTAGATCATGTCGAATTTCTGCTCGAAGTGGAGCGCGATGGAATATTGATGACAATGAATCAATATTTTAACGAATCTCTTCAAAAAAGGTATGATCTGTTAATCTTCCGTCTGAATCGCCGTCAATCTCCTACATTGAGCCTAACTTTTATTAGTCGAGAGGACCAAATCCAAGCTCTTCTGAAGCCCAAGACATTTCGTCTCAATGGCTATGAAGAGGTTGTCAGAGTGAGCGACGTCCAACTTCGCCACAGCTCTAGCAACACAGAACAAACCATCAGGGATATGCACGACATTCTCCAGGCGTACTACAACGTGGCAGTCAGACGATTCATTGATAATGTATGCATGCAGGGGGGTAATCATTTCTTACTGAACGGACCCGACTCGCCTCTCAAATTTCTGTCTTCCTCCTTTGTCTCCAGTCTTTCACCGGAAAAGCTGAAGGAAATCGCCGGAGAGGCGCCGACGACCCAGCGAAAGAGGATTGGGTTGAAGAAGATGATCAAAGATCTTGAGGCTGGGAAGCGAATTCTGCTTTAGTGCGAACGACCGAAACGATGATAGCCTATTTCTACTTTGGACTGTGTCACCAAGTATGATGGCTCGTGAATATCGAAATGGTTGCATTTTTTTATGAAGGATCCCAGTTACAGCAGATGAGAGATCGCGAAGCGTTTCCAGCTTGCAATATTGCTAACCTTTCTGATATTTCTATCCTTTCGTTAGCTTTGTTGTTCTCCTTCCCCCCCTCTTGGCTTTACTCTGGGCCTTGCGTATTATTACATCTTACTTGAATCGCATTCTTACTCTTTTGAATATCATTTAGTCTGTTCTTGGATAATTGCTGACATTTTCAATGTTTTTCTCAGAAAGTCTGTTCTTCCTATATCCATATTTCCTTCTAGCATCATTTTTGCTTCGTAATTCAGATTCCCCACCAATTCCAAGTCCATTCAACACCTTTCCCAATATCCCATAACTGCAATGAAGTAACCAACAAAATGCTCTCGAGTGTAAAACAGTTACAGCAGCTTACAAGGTTTCGCTTTCCAGAACCACCAGATATGATACCCACCGTGACCATGGCAGAATATGGAGAACAAGATTGAATGAGCGATATGAATTGCAAGTCTTCATTCGCCAACCTTAATGTTGTGAAACCTTAAAGGGTATATACCTGCCGATTTCCTGTTTATACAAAAGCAACACGCGGCATTTCGTCATAACATATTTCACCTGAAAGGGTTAATTCACCCTGTACTCATTCAAGAATAACTAAACCTATCTACTTTCAATGGAGCTTAGCCACCCGGTGAAATGTTACAAGACAGTGGAACAACCGCCCCCTCTCCATGGAGTCCATTTCATAACAATGCCAGGTGACCGAGGAGTCGCGATAATACAGTAAAACAGCAAAGATGAGTCTTATCAGGACGCTCTTTTCATACATCTCCCAGAAACCAGTCTCTTTTACTGATATTAAATCCACTCCCGTCCTTGAGTCCGAGCCCCAGTCTCCACGTGGAACTGCCATCAAGAAAATCAAATCCTTCGCTGCAAGCCTAGAATGCGACTTTCAGCATTTCCCCATTTCTGACGACCCAGAGCTGATCGAGGCCACAAAGAAAGCCTGCCGTCAACATATCTCTTCAGAAGACCACTTTCAACAACTCATTACCAAAGTACCCGGCGGCCTCATAGTCGCTACGCAATGTTACTCCATCCAGCCTTTCGAAGTCCGACTCTTCATCAGTGTTTATACCACCATCTTCCTTTATCTTTACGACGCCGACCCTAAATACATCACGCCCAAACTAGACCAATTTGACGTCCGGTTCGGCAAAGGCGAGCCACAGCTCGACCCCTGCTTAGAATACCTAGTCCATCTACTCACCATCGAAGTGCCAAAGCTCTGGGGCCCGTTCGCATCTTCCTGCATCATCAAAAGCACACTGGATATGCTGACCGGGTGTATGCTCGAGAACCGTTTCCAATCTGGATATGAGCGTCTTGCCCAGAAATTCCCGAGATTTGTCCGTCGAAAGTCCGGAAACTCAGAGGCCTACATTTTCTTTAATTTCCCGGAGGCCATGTTCCCGGAGGCGATTAATCTCGGTCTATACGTGCACTCGATCCCCGGACCTGTCGATGTAACCGACTTCGTCAATGACATTTTTTCGTATTACAAGGAGAGGGTTCTTGGGAACGAGAATAATACCTACATCGTCAGTGAGGCAAGGAGGCAGAAATGTCCGTCAATTGAGGTGCTCGAACAAACCTGCCAGAGAACTTGTGCGATGCACAAGCATCTAAAGCAGAAGCTTGCGATCGCCGATGAGCGTGTCTTACGGAAATATTGCTCGTATGTGGATGGGATGGTTACTTATCACATCACGAACCCTCGTTATCGACTAGAGGAAATCGGTCTCGCTGTCAAGGATGGGAGACTTATTTCATAAGGTTGGCAGTCTCTGATTAGGCTCACATCTCGGTAACTCTAAGCAAGCCAGCCGTTTACAGAGGAACTGGATAATGTTTAAGCTTACTCTGGTAAGTCAACTCTATTGCTATTCCCTATTCAAGTCACCGAGCATAGCCTATCCTCTGCAACAAATCTTTCGGTCAAGAAAAAGAAAGAATAAGAGGTCTGTTCCTTAGCAGAGAGAGCAAACTTTAGCTGAACGCTCTGAATACTGCTTCTGGTATCTGACCTCGGTATCGTTAGTTGTCACAAGCAAATTCAATATCAATCAATGCACCTGCCAAGAGGCCAGGAATAAATTAATTATCATCCCACCTCGTAATGACTTTCCCCTTCGATCAATGTCCCCTGAAGAAAAAGAGCCGGGATCCACCTCCGCGCAGAAAGCGGGATAGCTCATCTAGCGCAGTCTGGGGAAATTGCAAATCCACCATTGGCAGGGAAAGTAACATAAAGCAAAGCCCGAAGCCACCAATCACTCAACTACCGAGTGAGTAATATCACATTTCTCCGGAAGCGTCAAGTGAGAGATGAATGGCGTATCTTGGAGGAAAACTCTCCACCGGAGTTCCGTCGCATGATGGATCAATGCGCGCCTTAAAAGCCCCGGAACTTCTGAGAAGACGATCAACGGGGTCATCCAGTTTCAAGCATTCAGGATGAGGATCTTGACGATCATTCTTGCTCTCTTCACCTTTCCATTGGCAGTGTACGCTGCCTTTGGGTACACGGATAATGGTTCCGAATATGTCATCGGTAGGCATCGGTCCTGGCTACCAATCAACCGATCTTACTGATGTGATTCAGACTCTGGGGCATCCCTAGTCATCAAAGTCAGCAAGGCAAACGGTGACATAACCTCCATCGCTTACAAAGGTGTCGAGTACCAGGGTTACCAGGGAAAGAACACGTGAGTATCGTGCCCTAATTCCAGGAGCATTTCTCACCTTCGCAGCCATGTTGAATCGGGCCTTGGTGCTTCAACCGTGACAATCCAGCAGTTCTCTTCACCTGCATATATCATAAAGGTCGCTGTTACTTACGGAACCCTCAAGCACTACCTCTTTGTTCGGTATGGCAACAACAACGTCTATATCTTCACCAACAAGGCAGACTCCAGCGTCTCGGCATCCCGGTACATTGTGCGCCTGAAGCCAAATGTGTTTCCTCATTCCTCTACCGACTCAGGTCCGTGTATTTCCTTTTGACATGATGATGCATCTAATGGAGATCTCGTCAGACTTCTACGACGACGGCAGCACAACCATCGAAGCATCCGACATCACCAAGAACTCAGCCGGATACACCAAGAGCAAGCACTACCAGGGAAGCAACTACGGACGGTAAGCCATCTTCCCAAAAGCACGCTCGATATCAGCTGACAAAGACAGGGTAATGGACTGTACGATTCCCTCCTCCTCGCCGCAACACCATCCAACTAATCCACCCAGTCGATTACGTGGGCAAAACAACCGGCAGCGTTGGCGTTTGGCTCATTCGCTCGAACCACGAGAAGGCGTCCGGCGGTCCGTTCTTCCGCTCCTTGGTTCGAGGATGTACCACTATCGCGGAGGATCTGTATGAGATCTACTTCTATTCTATGGGCCATACGGATGCCGAGCGATATGGACTGCAGGGACCTACGGTATGTTTCCAGTGGTTGCTCACCGAATGAGCTGACAGGAGCAGGTTCTTTCATTTACCGACGGCGGGACGCCGAACACAGCTCTCTTTGCTCGCAATGCCGACTGGAGCTGGTTCGATACGCTAGGGGTAGGATATCCCACCTCCCCTCATTCCATGACAGAACTAACTCCTATAGCTCGACGGCTGGACCACCTGGGGAAACCGTGGCTGGATATCCGGAGTCGGTGCGTAAGACCCTATCCAATCAACCCATAAACCGCTAACAGCCACAGGCATCGCCAACATGAAAAGCGGATTCACCTACGTCGTCGGGCTATCCAACACCGCCGCACAGTACTGGGGCACGGCCTCCTCCTCCGGCGGCGCATGGTCCATCAAAAACGTCCTACCCGGAACCTACACCCTAACGGTCTACAAAGGAGAGCTGGAAGTACACACCCGCAGCGTCACTGTATCCACCGGCTCCGGTACCGCCGTCAACACCATGACACCCACCGACCCGTCCGACACGACTGCTCTCTGGCGCATCGGCGACTGGGACGGCACGCCCTCGGGCTACCTGAACTTCGACAAAACCCCAATGCTACCCACATACATGCACCCATCCGACGTGCGGATCTCGACCTGGGACTCGGGCAACTTCATCGTGGGGACATCCGCCACGAACTCGTTCCCCGGGTACATGTGGAAAGACGTGAACAACGGACACGTGGTGTACTTCAGGCTGTCTGCGGCACAGTACGCGAGCGCGCATACGATCCGGATCGGGATCACAGAGGCGTTTATTGGCGGACGGCCGCAGATTAGCGTGAACGGGTGGACATCTGCGGCTCCGAGCCCGAGCACGCAGGGCTCGACGAGGAGTTTGACCGTGGGCACGTATCGTGGGAATAATGTTATGTTTACATATGAGGTGCCGGCGAGCGCGTGGCTGCAGAGTACGTCGGAGTGGCAGGTGTTGACGATTAATGTGATTAGTGGAAGTAGTGGGTCGGGATATTTGAGTCCGGGGATTAGTATTGATTGCGTGGATATGATTTAGGTTGAGGCCTTGTTGCCGAGGTTATATCAAACAAATAGGCATAGTTTGGTTGTGAGCACTAAATCTCTGGAACGACATGTTATAATACTCAGGTTGGCACGCGAGTTCTAAGAAAACGAGCTACCTTGAATAGGAATCTCGTTACTATACCCAGTTATCATCTAGCCTTTTAAATGCTGTAAGCTGAAAATCTATCTTCGTTATATGGCTTTGCCATCTCCACTCTACATTCAAACCACATCAAAGGTTGGCAGATCAAGACCGCTACAACTTCTCTCTATGCTCGAGCGCATCATCCTCATGCATAACCTTCTCCACCTTCTCACTAGGCTCCTCTCCTATCAGCGCCAACAAGCCGATGTCATGTTCAATCCGCCGCTTCAAAGCCTCGTCCTCCATGGCCGTGCTCCCCGATCCGAACAATTCGTCCATCTCCTCGAGAGTACGGCCTTTCGTCTCGGGAACGAGGAACCACACGTATAGCACACCAACAGTGGTAACACAACCGAAGAAGATGAAGGTGCCGTAGCTGGATGCCTGGATGAATGGAGACGTGGATAAGCCGACGGCAAAGTTGTTCAGCTATAACTGGTTAGTATGCTGCAGTGCAATATTGAGAGGAATTCCCTACCCAGTTACTACTACCACCAATACTAACTCCCTTGGCTCGCATGCTCAGTGGAAAGACTTCCGAGGTCACGATCCACGCGACGGGGCCTAAAATTGGCTGGGTTAGTTAAGTTCCCGAATACAGTATGTGCAAGCCTACCCCATGAATAGGCAAAGTTGATGATAAAAATCCACACAAACACAACGGCCACCCAGCCTGCGGCCTTGTGGTTGTCAAAGTCGCCTTGGTACGAGCCGATGATGCCGGCGACGATAAAATGGCACACGGCCATTCCGATGCCACCAGCGATTAGGATCTTCTTCCGACCGATGTTATCGACCCAGAGGACGGCGGGGATGGTGAAAACAAATTCAAAGATACCGGCGATTCCAGTTGCCAATAAAGAAGTGGTGTTGGCTCCGAGCTGGAGCTCCTCGAAGATCTGGGGACTAGAAATATTCAGTGAGAGTTTTGAAGAGCAATAGCCACCCATTACTTACGCATAGTAGTTGATCCTATAGACTCGTTAGTTAAGTAAGGTCAGATAGTTGGTGGGTCACTCACGCATTAATCCCGTTCCACTGCTGGAACACCATGACCAAACACTAATTCCATGAGCCAACGTCTCTTAGGCAAAAGCATGTTTCGGCTTACCGCGACAGATGTCCGTTTGAAAAGCGACTTATCTGTGACCAAAGAGGCATAGTCGTTGACGCCGATCATAAACCGACTCTTGAACGAGCCATCCTGATACTGGGGATACTTCTTGGTAGCCGTCTCCACTTCAAACATCCGAAGAGCCTTGATCTCCAAGAACTCGATGCGCACCGAGATATCGTCGACCGAAGCATCGCGCAAACGGGCTAATGTGCTCAGACACTCTTCTTCCCGCCCTTGGTTCATCAGATGCCGAGGCGACTGGGGCATGAACATCATCATTCCGACAGCAAGAACAAGAGCGGGGAGGATTTGGATACAGACAGGGATCTCCCATGCCGCAATCGATTGGCTCTCGCCAGTGCCCCCGATGTAGTTTGTTCCATAACCGATCTACAAATTGATAAGAATGCCGATAGGAGTAGGAGGATGATAAGGCCTTGCTCACCCAAAAGCTGGTCATGATACCAAAGGTAATTGCCAGCTGCTGGACCGCTACCAAGGATCCACGAATTTCTGGAGGAGCCTGCAATCGTCAGTCCTCTGGCTGCAGTTAGGTGCAGTATGCATCCACCTACCAGTTCTGCATTGTATAGTGGCACGATCATACTCAGGTTACCGACACCCAAACCCGTCACAAACCGACCGGCATAGACGAAGTCGGGATTAACCGTACAAGCTTGAACAATAACACCGACACAGAAGATAACTACCGCGATAACGACAGTGACGCGTCGGCCTACCGCGTCGGCCAGATATCCATTGATCAAAGTACCCAGCCATGCACCGAGCTCGAGAATAGCGGTGAGCATGCCTTGAGCGGTCGAGGGCTTCTCGGCATATCCTTGGGTCTATGGTTGTGAGCGGTCAATCCCGAAAGCAGAAAGGCGTTGGCATATTTACCGCATTGATGAACGATCGCATGGTGAGAATCTGGGCGAACATTCCCTGGTTGTCTGACTGTGTGAGTGGCAGCAACGTAAAGATGACTGGCAAACTTACATCCATAGACCAATCCACCGAGCGACGCAAAAAGAGCAATTCCGAATGTCTTTTTGCTGCCCAGAAGTCCGCGCCATCCGACTTTACCGCCAGCAAGCTCTGCTCGCTTGGCCGAGAGGCCCTGACTGGCAGCTCCGCCAGCCATGATAAGATGAGGATCAGGAAAAAGCTAGTCGAGAAATAGAAGAACAACAATGGGTACTATCGAAAGGTGAAAGAGGAAAGGTAGAGATTACGCGGAGGAACGCGACAAGAAATACTAAATCCTGGGGGCCGACCCCTGCTGCTAGCTGGTAAGAATGGCTCGTCATCTTATGAACAGGCCGCCCACATTGTACGACATGCCATGAATCGGCCCTCGAGCGATGCTATTTCCAGTAATGATCGGAGGGGGCATTTATCCAGGATTCATCCGAGCCCGTGGATTCCCCGGGTATTTGACCCCGTGGGGCCAGTCGGGAGGCCCGGGGATGGTGACGGATGGCATGGCAGACCGGCTCCCTCGACGGTGGGCAGGGGATTCATCCGGCCGTTAATAAGCTTCGTGGCTGGCGTCTTGAGTGACTTAAGGCGTCTTGGCTGGGGTTCGAATCGGATCAGGATGGACAGAGCTGATAGAGAAGCGGACGAGTCAGTCCAGGATGGAAAAAGAAGGCAGAATTGTATGCCATGAGGTCAAGTAGCAGGCAGGGCAGGAAATCTGGGGACGAGAAAGTGAGGGGAAACGAAAGGTGGAGAGAAAAGAGTGGAGCGAAGATGACATAAACACCGCATTTACCCGTCTTTCTTCCGATTTCCGGCCTGAACTCCTCGATTCTATCATGCTGGTGATGTCTATGCGATATGAGTGATCATCAGGCACCGACCAAAGTGAGTATCTTGGATGACAACTCGAGTTCAGGCTAAACATGTCCTCCAGTTATGCCAATCCAACAGGCCTTCAGCGACCGATGGAGATTCTCCAAGGCGATGCGCAGAGAACGGCCGTTGGCCACGGACTCTGAATACATCTGATAAGTAATGACCAGATTCTATATTTGCCTCCTTGCTAGCGGATAGTCAAAGTACCCGACTTGTGCATTTGACACTGACACGCGAGGGACAGATTCATTGAACATGAGAGGGACGCGTGGCTTTCAGATAAGGACCAACCCGCAATGCTTCGACAACGTCAACATGCATCTAACATCTTGAGAACGCATGTTTCTCCCGGCCAGGGTACCGCTACCAAGAAAGAGTACCAAAAACCAGTCCCCTCCTACCCTCTCAACGGATTCGACCCAGCCATCCAAATCACCACTCTCGTGAACCGCCCATCCTCACCAAGATCGAAGAAATTACAATTCTGCATATCACTCGTTGTCCCGTCCTCCAGCTCCCCAGTGTATCGCTGCTCCGTGGAGACTTTGCGCGCCCGCTCGTCCACCGTGATATGCAGCACTTCATGCAGCATGGTTTTCGAGCGCATGAAAGCGGCGAACATGGAGCGGATCTCGTCGACGCCGGTGAGCGTCACATGGTCTGTTCGCACGGAGAAGGTGGCGTCGGGCGCGAAGAGCGAGAGGGTCTTCTCGAGGTCTCGGTCGTCGACGGCGGCGAAGTAGGTTGTTACTCGTGCCTTGAGGTCGTCGTATGTGAGGGTGGAGGTCATTCTGAGGGAGGATTTTGCGGTATTGAGAAAAACGGAATTTCGGAGGCAGTTGGTGTCAAGTTGTCTCAAACTTGCGGTTCAGAACGGGGCAGTGGGATATTTATACGATGTTCGACTCCCCCGCTGTGGACTGGGCGATGTGGGCTGCCGCGCTTAGTGCAATGGGGCGTCATGCAAGGAGGGTCATCGTTAGTCAAGACTCGGTGAGTCTCCAACAAAACTCCCCATGAATTCTACAACACTCCGATATCAAATATGAATTCATCCTACTGCAACACCGGCACGTCCCAATCCACCCACCTCTCGCTCTCAAACTCAATCCCCGGGTAATTCTTCTCCACCGTGGTATTGGCATCCTCGCCCAGCAAAAACCGCCTCACAAACACATCCAGATCTTCCCTCTGCTGATCCGGGAATAGACAATGCGAATGATCCGTCGACATCGAATATCCCATACGATCCGACACCCCCAGGGCCTCCCAAACCCGTCTCGCTGTGCCCATACACCCCAACGAAGACCACGGACCCAACCACTCATATCCCACATTATCCACCGACAGAAGGGCCCTAGGCGCAACCAACCCAGCCAGCATATGATGATCAAACGGCAGACTCTCAACCTGATCCACATAATCATCAAAGTCAGTCGAGAACCAGACATTCTCCTGTACGATCTGCCTCGCTGTCTGAACATCCCCGGACCCAGCATTCTCAGTCTCACAGAGTCTCCAACACCCTGATCCACCAGCCCCAGACTCCTGCGGCACCGTCAGAGCAATTCGAGGATCAAACGCCCCAGCTACCAGAGCACCCTTGCCGTTGCGCGAACACCCAGTGACGCCGAGCTTTGTGGTGTCGATACGAGCTGAAGGAGTAGATGCCAGCGCATCGATGAGGACGGAAACGCCCCATGCCCACGCCATCAGTGCGCCGGCGCTGTGGTCGCTGCCGTAGAGATCGTAGAAGAGACCTTTTCCGCGACTGGACTGGTCGGTTTGCTGGGCGATGAGTCCGTTATCGAATGTGATAGTTGCGATGCCGGACGAGAGAGGAAGACTCAGCCCCCCGTAGGCGATCATCGCCGGGAAGGGTCCTTCGCCACCACCGGAGGGAAGGTCGATGGTCACATCGAACGTGATGCGTTTGGAACCTTCGGATACAGTAATAGAGAGCTTATTCTGCGAAAAGGAGGTGGTCGCATTTGCAGGAACAGGAGGCTTCGTGCCTAACTCGAGCTGTTGAAGGAGACTGCTGATGTGCTGTCGGCGACATTCCCATTCTTCCTTTGTGGCGACCCGGTCGGGATTGGATAAAGGATACCATGAGAATGGGTCGGGAAGGGTAGATATGAGCCTCAGGTCAGACAAGGGAGGAAGTTCGGCGCATTGTGCCATTACTAGGTAGGGTGTTGTTAGGCTGTTTTATACTTCGACGGAAACCAGTAGTATACTTACCCTGCCTGCAGAGAAGTGCGAAGGTAATCAACCAGGAATTGATATTCATTTCGATTTTGTTTGCTTTTCTTTCCAGATGCTCCAGATTCTGAGGGCAGTATTTGGTCACTATCTATAGTTAACCCATGCTGTACATCCGCTCATCCGATGGCTAAGATAGATCAACAGACACAGTCTGAAACAACCAATTAGCCTAATCCCATACCATAGCTTAGGATAAAAAGATTCTACCGACGGTTTGCTAAATCATGGAAGGTACACGTTTTGCCTTAAACATTGGAGGCTAAATGTCCCCGTCAGGAGGCAGTATGAAGGTGAAATCCCACAGCCGACTTCACCTCCCGGTCGGAAACAGCTGCCGTCCGCCGGAGCACAAGGCTGGCCTGTCAATTTTGCAGCGGAAAGGCACGGTATTATGTTGTAAGCTATCCGAAATCAAAAGCGTATGCGTTGGACTGTCCAGCGCGATTGTTGGAGGATCGTGGAAGGGAAGCTCATCCCGAGCGGGACGGACCGAAGTCATTGCAAATCCATGGAAAAGTGTGCACAATCGGACTGATTGGTTCATTCTTTCATTAATTTGTTCATTCATTCGTTCATTCATTATACTGGCGCAAACATGCTAACCTGACATCCACCAACAAGTGCTGTTCTACAATGTGGAAATACCCGAAACCTGGACTTGCCTTTGGACTCCCCCATGAGGGGCATTTCAGGCCTTGGCTCATGCAATCTTTGGTCCTCCCATGCCTTTCCTTCTTGGCGCTGTTGGGTATCTATTACAAACAATCGAAAATTCACCCCCGTGTTGAATTGGGACAATTCAAGCAGCCCAAGCCTCTTGAAGGACCTTCTGTCCCCGGGCTAGAACCCGCGAAGGCTCCTCTCCCAGCCACTCACATTCCAGGCGATCAATGTTTGCCTCGATCTCCCAGGCACGACCGCCCTCAACATACATCGACGTGCCGTTGAGCGAGTCATCGGCAAGAACACCCGCGGAGACCTCAGCGACCTCCTCCGGAGTGCTGACGGGCAGGCCCTCCTTGACCCAGCGGTCATGCACCTTCTTGGTGAGGACCGTTCGAGAGTCGGTCATCCAGGGACAGATGGTGTTGATGCGGAGGTTGTGGTTGTACGGGGACGGGAAGTACGGTCGCAACGACCGCATTAGACCCTGAACGCCATGCTTCGCTGCCTGGTACAGGGATACTCCCGGGGTTTCCTTGAACCCAGCAGCACAAGAGAACAGTAGGATGGAACGGTCCACGCCAGGCCCGCGGTTGTGACGGAGGTACACGCTGGCAACGCGGGTCACGTACATCGAACCGAGAAGGTTCACATCCAGATCCTTTGTAGAAGGAGCCTAAATAACACGTTAGCCTCTACTCCGAGAGAGCGTATCCCCGGACGGAAGCCATACCTGTCGAACGGACTGCAGACTCAGTTTCTGGTCGAACCAGTTCTCCCCGGTCTCCATGCTGCCGGCAGTCACGACGACATGGTCAATCTTCCGGTAGGTCTTGAATGCACGATCAAAGAGATCGACGACTTGTTGATAGTTGGTCACATCCACGTGCTGGAAGGTTGACCTGGGCGGCTTGGGTGGCATAGCCGGGTCGGAGATAGCAGGCCATTGTTCTAAGCATTTCCTGCTCAGAGCCTCTCCGCGGGCATTGTCAATATCACCGATGACCACATAAGCGCTGTTGCGACAGCAAAGCTCAACAAGACTAGCGCCAATTCCGTTCGAGCCACCTATCACGAGTTAACTAAGCCCGATATAGCGCTGCAGGCATACGACGATAGTACGTACCCACAATGACAATGACCTTCTCGAAAAGAGCCTCCTGATCGACGGCCGGGGAAAACTGGGTCAAAGGAGCAGCAGAGTTGGAGGACAGGACGGGTTCTGTAGGGGCAATCATGATGGAGGGGAGGGGCCGGTGGGGAAGAAGTAATGTACGGTTGAAATAAGTCCGGAAGGGGCAGGGAAAGTCAGAATTGGGGGCTAGGGAGCAGAAATATGGAGAATTGAGGGTGAACGAACAGCCCGACCAACCCGGGATTCCACGGGCCTTTTATCCTGGAAGTCACAGAGGGCATGTCTCCTGAGATTGCGCCGGTTTGCTTCTTTCTCACCCCCCTTTAGTTCTTATCCACCAGTATCACGGCCAGACAGCCACCAATAGGATGGGAGCGCTCCAACCAGAAGTCCTCGATCCCTGGGTCTCGGTGGAGAATGCAAAGGGAGTGCGTTCGGACCACTTTCGCGTCGACACAGCTAGAACCACTATTCCGAATGTATCTAGTAGGCTGGTGCAGCGTAGCGTTCTGCCCCCGCCGACCTGTCAGTCCGGCCGTCGTAGCCCACAGTGGATCAATCGATCGGCAGGTTGTGCGGGGGAGTGAGACGACGGCTGGAAATATCTGGGGAAGGATATGCGAGTTGCATGATGCGGAAGGATGATGGAAGGAGGACGGAAGAGTCGACCGAAACCAGGAATGGCAACAGGATGTGGTGGTGAGAACCTGTTTTGACGGCGAGAGTTGACAGAGTTGACAGAGTTGACAGAGTTGGCGGAATCAGGATTTGGATGACGAGGAAAAGAGACTCCCGAGGCACCCGTGCCGGATGCCTCAGGCTGTCCCCTCAGGCAGTCTTCGCTGCGACTTCCCGTATTTCCCGCCCTCCTTCAGCCAGCGTCTGCAGCCCGACCAAGACCACTCCGGATCGAGGCAAATTCTCTCAGCCATCTGCTCCCTATCTGCGGAATCCTCGACCCCTTGCCGTCCTTCGTCAGACTGGCAAGCCACCCGAGCACAAGACCTCTGTCCAAGACGCGGTGGAAGTTGAGAACTGGCCGCCTCAGCCGGCGCCACCCCTCTCAGGCAACCGAATGGCGTTCAGGTGCAACCATCCAATGTAGCATCCTGGCCCCCTGAGGCATGACTAGTCTCTCGTTTGCCCAGGGGTCGAGTCGACACAACGGGCAGAAGACGAAGACCAAGAGTTGCGAGCCGATCTATCGCCTGTTGTGGTGACCAAAATCCCATACGATTGGTGGCCTGCGAAGTTTAGCAAACGGCCGATACGTCATTCCGTCCGTGGATCGGATGCGTCGAGGCGGCCTCGACTCGATGGCCCAGGATGGCGGTGTTTTCGCAACGACACTATCCTCTCTATAACAGCATTCCGGCAGCCACTAATGCAAGTGCCAGACCTCAGGAATGTGCGCTAACCATTCACGTCCTCGTGCAGCCTGTTCCCTGTCTGCGCGGTGATGGAGATGGCTTGACGGGCGCTGTACGGAGCAAGGCCACTCTCCCTTGGCTTCTATCCATCTCACTCGTCTGGAACCCTTCAATTGTGCTCCAGACACACCTGTGATTTACGTTCAGGCCAACGCGCCATGGCTGACCGCCATCATCAACGCGGCCATACTGACTTTCGGGTGTGCGCGATGATGCAAGCGGTATTTCGCTCGACCAACAAAATCCAGCGCCTAGAAGCAAAAGGCCAGGCCATTGATCCGGCATCGAATAGTACGGTCTCAGCTGAGCGGCTCATGTGCCGAGATATTTGGTCCGACCAACAATTGCCCAGCCTTGAGGCTAGGGTCTATTCTGAAGATAGCTTGACCTGCCCTTTTCCGGACAAGAGAGATCCTACGGAACACGGTGCTCCGCCGACTTTCCCTCGTATTTTCCAATCCCGGTCGCTAGATTTTAATTTCTCGTTCATATTATAATTATCGCGTCGACGAACGGAAGCATGATTAGGCGAAGGGCCGCCAGGGCATCGAAATGACCGAGCGTTCCGGTGGAAACAAATCGACGTTTGGTCCAAGTTTCGTGATTCTCCACCGGTCCCACTGACACCATGTGGAGGAATTTAGCAGCCTAGGGAGCGTAACTGGCCAAGCGATAGATAACAGACTCGAAAACGAGGTACGTGTATCCTACAGTGCAAACCGGTTGTGTACAAACTACTCCGGGGTAGAGACTTGTTTGAGGAGTGATCGGAGTCGAGCGATCCAAACCGGTCTGTTTCACGCCAATGGAGTCGAATGCATTGGTTCGGACGCCAGTCAAGGAAGACCTCGGCTCCACCGGCGATTGCCCCGCGGGACGGTGAGCCGGTTTCTGCCTGCCCATCGTAGACATTATTCGCTCTTGTGCACATGTTCTGTTCAACAGGTTTACTCACAGAATATTGCGTACGTTTTGGTCTAATCTTATGGATTATCGCAGATCAGGAAACTCAATCGCTCTCCGGAGTGCTATTTACTTATCTCTCGCTGATCTCCCTCATCTTGCTGATCTATTCCAAAAAGGCCCAAATATTACGCTATAGCTCATTTTGCGACGCTATCCAGATATCCTCTTCAAACATGTCTCAATTTTGTGATTCCTATTTTACTATTCTATTCTCGGAGGTCCTTTCCCTTTCTTTCTCATTATATCACGATTTGATTGAATTGATCTGGTTGTATGGCTCAGTTCATGAGTGTATTCATCAAATAAAGACAAGAAAAGCTCACGCTCTGGAAGTATTAGCGCCACGTTATTGCAGATCCTGGATACTTCCAAGTTGTTTCCGCACTCTAGCTTCAACCTTGCCTGTATCCAAGTGTTCCTTCTTTTAATGTGGAAAAACACGCAGGAGGGCGGTAGCACATAGAATGGGCAACCATCGATAACCGCTTAGCTGTTAGATTCAGAATTAGAAACGTGAAGAACAAGAATCTAGTTAGAATTCAATCCCTTGCAATTTTCCCCTGTGCCAAAATGGTCAACGAGCCCTTGTTTACAAGAGATAACTGGTATGTTCGTTCTAAGCGACAACGCACCAGTGTCGCAGGCATCCATCCTGTCCAAAGTAAACCTTGAGATTACTCGGTTTCTTTCACCATCCTCCATCAGCCTAAAATAGAATATATCAAAGTCTATCGAACCGGACTACGAAGAGAATTTGGATATTATTCCCCCTCCCCTTTTTCAATCCTTCGACAGTTCTACCAAAGGCTCCTTGGTCATTTCAAAAGCTAGCAAGTTGAGGTTTGCTTAAAGTTAACCATGCTTGGTCGAGGCACCTAAGACGCTAAATATGTATTTGCGTTTCTTTTTTCTGTTTCTTTCCTTTCAAGCACACTTGCCTACAGACTATTCGGAACTGTGGAAGCTTACTTGTCGCTAATTAACCGTGATAAAGAACACTATGTTTATAGATAGTTTCTAAGGCGAGCAAATTGGACACTAGACCTGGTTCCGCTTCAACGCTATTGGAATATCATTGGATTTAGCTGATGGGGTTATGTAATAATTAACCATAATATTTGAAGTGTGTTCTGGGGCATATTGCTCATTAACTTGCCTTCCTACAGCAAGCAGTACTATAATTTCTGAGCATGTTTAATTGTCATGCTGTATCTCACCTAATGAATAATTACCACCCAGATATGCCTTACGTCTAGTCTCCACTGTTCCCTAGGGACATTTGCTTATGTCAAGAGCATCTCAGGGTACTTTATATACATCTTTATTCTGAGGATAGAACATTCAATGATGTCTTTGGGGGCATTGCTTCGAGAGACTTCTACATGCCTCGTTCACATGTATCTACATATTGCAAGTTTTGGGACAAAGAACAAGGGGCCAGAACGTCACAGAAAGCTTTACATCCATAACTTAGGAAGTCCATATTTTGCTACAAGTTACCTCTGCTATACACAGGCAGGGTCGTCTAGAAAGGGTAAGAATTCAGGCAATGTCTGTTTGATGCCTTATTTGCACGCCTTCCCGTCAGTCTTAAAGTTCCCATGTCTGAAAGTGTTTCTGAGTCGACAAGACTTGAGAATTTGTTCATTACTCAATTCTGTTCTGGTCTACATCTAACATCCATTTTATCCAATCGGGTTGATTAAGAAAACCCCCATCCGTAAAGGCAAGGCAAGCATGTAAAAAGGAAAAGGAAAAAAAGGGAGAAGAAAAGAAAGTGATTTAGTTTATGAACAATGTAAAAGGCTAAATTCGATAGCAAACCACAAGCGATGCGACCATCTATCCTCTATTCTATGCCATCTTGCCCCGTCAACTGGATGAAGCTATCAGGTCTCAATGATAAACCTCTCCCTTGAACCATTTATTGAACCGCCTTCTGTTCAAACTTCTGCAAAACTCGGATATGCTCCTGCTTGAGGGCCTTGAACTCGTCGTCGAGCTGGTTGTGCCACGGGTATAGGACAAAGACTTGGAAGGCGAGTGCCGACGAGGCGACTCCGAAGTTAATAAGGGAAATTCCGCGCGTGATAATCATTTTGGTATAGAAGTGCCTGTCAACTCGCACTTGTCAGCCAAGTCGAATGCGATCGCCTTACAAAGACTCACGATCAATAGAGTGGAGAGTTTAATCAGGTTATCAACCTAGCGCTAGATACGGTATGGCCGGGAACGACGAAAGGAGATACAGATAAATGAAGGAATGGCAGATGGCACGACTTTCGCAGAAAGCGTAAGATAGGAGAAATTAAAAGAATGGAAGATGCAGAGAAAGTCAGGGGAGTCCCAGGGCGAGAACACACCTCCTGTTTTCATATGCGACGGAGAACGGTGGGTCTGCAACGTGGCGGAGATTGTTCGGATCAGTCGGATCCGACTGATAACAACGGTCTTGCCGGACTATAAAGCCCTGCTCACGCCTGCCAGACGCCATTACCTCGGTAATTACGGAATGATTCAGGCTTTGGGCCGAATTCAAGGATGAATGTCAGAATTGGGTTTAACTGCCGGTGTTTGTGGCCATCGCGTTCAGCATTGCTATTTATGGAGAGGCTTTTCATCATGATGGAGGAATTGTTCGCCACCCCCTCGGGCTTTCTCGATTTCTCTTATTAAACGCTGTCTTATAGTGGCATTTACTACCTTATTCTCTACATTCCTTTCACTCGTGTACCAGCTGGGAGAGCTTTTTGAATGCAGAAGGTGGTGTTCTCATTGTCTGTTGGAAGCAATCCAGTGAACCCTCAATGGTTGGTGAACGCACTTAGTTAAGCAATAAACCCTTCTGAGTCCCAAAATTACCACAAGATATGACCAAGCAAATATTAAACCATAACGATTTACCTCCTATGTCATTCATTCGATGGCAAATACATTGCTGGCCTAAGCATGAATCACAGCCGTTTAATCAGATCAGCGGTCGAGAACTGTTATGATCAGCCATCAATTCCAGCCACAGATGCTGACTCAATGCCGTTGTCAGGGTCCATGGTTAGAAATTGTTAAATCGGCAAGCCGAGCAAAATCATCGGTCCTGGCAAAGGCAAAGATCCGAAGATATGTAATTGACATCATGACATCATTACGTCATAAGCCGGCCATTCCAGACCACGTCCATCTACCAGATTTATAACCCTCGCCTCCGCAACAAAGCTATATAAGGGCATTGCGAGTAGAGCCTCAAGACAATGAATCGACTATCGTTCAGCCTCAGAAGACAATTCCTTACCAGAAACCCAAGTGCTAGTTTCATCCGACAGTATACGCACATTTCACCACCAATTGCATCAGTCACCAGACAATACTCTCAAAAGTACAACGGCAACATGTCGACCGACCCTCCTCGCAATGAAATGGTATACCTGCCCGGCGTGCTCTCGCCGAACCGATCCTTCGGTGTATTCCGCAAAGTCCTACACACGGGACTATACTCGCAATTCGTGGCCATGGAGGTACCTGTGAACGGCGAGATCGGAGACGAGGTATGCAGTCCAACAAGCCCCTCCTGGCGACCTTTCAATATAGTCGGTGACTAACAATGCACCACCGAACAGAAACACACCGTCGATCAAGTCCTCCTTTTCACCTCGGGAATCGGCAAAGCCATCGTGGCCGGAAAAGAGCAGGAAGTGAAGCAGGGCGACACGGTGATTGTTCCTGCGGGCACTCAGCACCAGTTCTTGAATGTTGGATCGGCGCCCTTGGAAGTGGTCACTATTTACTCTCCCGCAGAACATCATCCTCAAACGGTGCACCAGACTAAGGCTGAGGGTGATGAAAAAGAGGAATCAGGCCAGGATGAGCCGGCGGAGTGGAGTCAGAGAAGTAAGGAGGAGAATGAGAAATTGGGGCTTGTAAAAGTGTAAGAATGGGATGTGTATAGGTTCGTGGCGTTTATCTATTGTGGGTTAATTTCGTGTAGTATTTCTAGTTGATGAATCTTTGGTGGAATGATAAAGGACCCTCGTCATACTCTCCCATATCGCGCGCAACGAAACAATCCCTCAATGACCCTTCTCTGTATTCAGAGGCATTCGATACTCCACAAATTCACATTTCGCATCAGCGACCGTGTCATACATTCGACGGGCAGGCGTGTTTGTATGATACGCAGCCCAATACAGTCTCCTGCAGCCCTTCTCTTCCGCGGACTTAGCAGTAGCCTCGATGAGCGTCCTGCCGCATCCTTTGCCGCGTAGCGAAGAGTCCACGAATAGATCTAGGCCGTTCATCAGCATCGCAATGGTTCACTAGAAGCTAAAATAAAACACACCACTCAAGTAGCAAACATGATGCGGATTCCACACACTCTGGTGGAAGAAATAATGCGCGAGTCCGACGACAGCGCCCGTGTCGTTCACCAGCACATGAGCTTGGAGGTTGCCGTCTGGTTCGACAATGCGCTTGAATGTATCTTCGTATTGCGATTGAGGGAGCTCAGCCTCGCAGTGCGTGATGAATTGCTTCCAGAGGCTAGCCCAGGAAGCGTAGTTCTCCGGCTTGAGGGTCGTAAGTGTGATGGACATTGTGCTTTTGTGTTTTGGCGGGGAATTGGTCTAGCCATGGCTGGGATGGTATTTATACCTGGCTGTAAATGGCGGGATTGGGCATTGGATGAGCCAATTCTGATTCGCTACTAGTGTGAGTGCATTCGAGGGTTATTGGTTGCTAGCCTTAGTTTTGACATGATCGCGCCCTAGCGACTTTGGGCCTCGCGCTGTTGGCAGCAGATTGGGCACTTGATTCTGGCCCCCACCTGTTCTGGTGCTCTAATCTATTTTTCAAGCAGAGAGGTTGACTCAACACATAAATATGCTTATTGTCGACATTTTGTCTTTTGGCTAAGTGTGAAGTTATCTGCAATGATGATGTTTCATATCAGGTTTATATAGCGCGAACCGTTGCCGACTCGGGGGATACATCCAAGCCCCTAAGAATCAAAACGGTCGCCTTTTTCAGCTCCAACCAGGCAGCGTGCGACTTTGAACAACCATAAAATGGAATCCCACAGGGGAACAAGTTCTGTGTCATAAGCTTATGCTGCTGATCGCCCACACTTATCCATCTCTCGGGATCGAAAGTGTCGGTATGGCTGCCATAGATATCATGCGAGTGTCGGACAACTTCTGAATGACAGACAATCGTAGTCTTTGCGGGAATAAAGCTTCCCGATATTGACATGCCGCGAGTCGGAGCCTCGGCTTCGTGATAATACCTAGTGGACGAGCAAAGTCGCGTCGATTCTTTCATGACTGCGTCAAGATAGCTGAGCCTGCTGAGTTCACTCCACCTAGGTATCTCCAAGAGTATATCGTCACCAAACGCTCCCTCTATCTCCTGTTTCAATGTTGACAAAATGTTCGGGTACTTGGAAAGAAAGTCAAAGGTCGATACGAAGGCGGCAATGACGGACTGGAGTTTGAAATCCACTGTATAAGGAGTTGCACTTTGCGCAGGGTATAGACCGGGGTCTGTCGGTATTGTCTGTCCGTTTCCAGTCCAGTGACATTCAGACCGTCTAGAACGTCGAAGAGGACAGTATCTCCGTCGTGATTTAGCTCTTGGGTTATTCATCGCCAAGCATGGGACGATGGATGGTGATACAAGACTACCGATGTGACTGGGGTAGTAATCGTGTGCTATCGCTGTCGCATCCGTTGCGACATCATCCATTGACAATATGTCAATGAAGGCCATGCCTAGATAATGCAACATTGTTGGGAAATCCGTCACATGGTGCGGTTTGACGGTAGTGATGAAATTGGCGACCAGACGATCAATGGTGCCTTCGTATACACTCGCGTCCTCAAGGTACTCTGGCGTGCTCTCTGGGAACATGCCTCCCGCCCGAGATTCCGGTACAGACAATCCATGACTATCGGAAGAACTTGGCTAGATATTCAGTCAGTCTCCATATTTCACCCATCTCACAGCTATAGTACCTACCTCATTCAATTGTCCGTTCTGCCGACACGTCCGAAGAAGTGTCTCATCGGAAACACTGACACTGCTCGGTCCTAGCCGCACGACTCTACCATACCTCGTATGAAGATCAACCAGACGGCGACCATAGTTGGAGGTATCTCGAACCTGCCACAACCAGCAATCCGAAAGCCCAGTGTACCATGGGCCGGGAATTGATTTCAGCCGGAAATAGTTCCCAAGGATGCGAATAAATGCTAGCAATATCAACAATATCGCCACAGCGCGCTCAGACATTTTTCCAGTCAGATAACCTGAGCATTGTTGCTGGTCGCGCAGTATTCAAGACAGTTGCCGAGATGTTGCCAGCGAACCCCTGATGTGTCAGTGATTTCCCCCAGCCGCGTTATCCCGAAGGAAACCGTCACTACCGAGATCTCCCGGCGTTCTGTGTATGCTCTGTCGCTAAACATCATGGGACTATTATTTCCCTCAAATCGCACATAATATCAAGACAGTCCAGTTTTTCCCACTATAGACAGCACTGATCGATAAATATACTGAAGTCAAAGCGTACTCGGGAAGATCCCTCACCTGGAACCAAGGGCCTGTCGACTGACAAGCGTGGGCTTACAGCTGAGCCTCTTTCTGGCCAGAAGAATCGACCAAAGGAAATATCCGACATGAACAAACCAGGGCCCATTAATAACAGTAATGCGAATGAGGCTATCCTGGTTGGGATGGCGTTATCGGTCGCAGCCTCGTCTTATCGGCGTCGGGCCGACCGGCGGAGTCAACACGTGTGGGGGACTCGTGTTTGTACTCCTGATTATTGCGATCGCCAACTCGAGTCGTCTATGCCATCGCTGCCAGACTAGTCCAGAATTGTGTTTGCTTTGACCCTCGTTCGTCTTCTCATCTCCGACCTAGCGCTGCAAAAGACCCCTCCGGAGTACGGCCGGTTATTGACCCCCAAAGATCCCATCGCCGATCGTGACTGATGCCTCGTGCGGTCCCTGTCTAGCCGCAGTCTTGTATCAAATCACACAACGATCTCGTGGGGAAAGGATCCGTGATATGCCCTGTTTACTGGTGCAGTCGACACTAGAATTGCCGGTTGCATTGGCCTGAAAATCACCGAGGACGCCTCAAACGTCGACAATCTTCATTCCATAACCACGTGCGATATGGCCATTGAACCCCAGCAATAACGGCGACGACTACTCAATGGCCCCAGGAAAGACAAAGCCCCGATTACAGCATCGGTCAGACGACCGGGCTAGCCTGAGACGGTCGATGGTCGCGTAGGTGATCGAAATCTTGCTTTCACTGAAGCCATGGGCGCTAACATTAGCACAGGTGCAATCGCTGTCGCAACAGAAAGACGCGATGTGCAGGCACTCCTCCGTACCCCTGTGCAGCATGCGAAGATGTGGGTCAAGTATGCGTGTACTCGGAAGCTGAAAAGCGGGTGTCGATTCCAGAGAGGTGAGACTGGAGTGAATTGCTGTCGGCCCACATGCTAACCTTGTCTTCGCAGCTACTTTCTCCAGCTTCAATCTCAGGCTCGCACATCGTCTCGTCGAGGTATGCTTCTCACGCCCCTGACAATTGACTTGACCACTGACTATGAATTCCAGATGACTCTGCAAACCAGACTCCTACCCAGTCCAGCCCCTACACCAATGTGGAAGCGCCGCCGGAGCGCGATGATTGGTGGTACAAGGGGACAGATCATTTGTTTTTGAATCGATCCGGGGAACATCGTAAGAATGCCACTACCGCATCATCCAATGCTCTCGCTGACCGAACATAGAATTCGTGGGAGCTTCATCGGCCACCCATCTCGCCAAACGTCTCAATCCGACTTCGACTAATTTGGCATGGGATGTGCGCCCCTTGTATGATGATCCCGCATCGTTACGTCTATCAACAACACGGGCTCTCCCCCAGATGCCTCCATTTGAATTCGCCAAGCGACTTTTCTGGGTGCAGTACACCTATATCGGAACAATATTCTCCTTAATCCATCCAGTCGACTTTGAGGAACGGCTGAAGGTTGTATATAACCAACCTCCTGACTTTTCATCACGGGAGTCATGCCTAGTTTACTGCCAGGTATTACTGGTAGTAGCCTTTGGACTGATGTATTCAGTGAACCAATGGTCGGGAGATGACGGCCCGCCTGGTTTCAAATATTTTAAACATGCCCTCCGATTCCTGCCAGATATCCACGAGGAGGGCTCAATATTCTTCGTCGAAGTGCTATGCTATGTGGCATACTACATGCAGAATCTCAATCGGCGGGATGCTGCATTTCTATATGTTCGTTCACTAACATACTGTTTCTGATAGTCAATGCTAACATGAATATCAGATTGGCCTCGCCCTTCGTATGGCCATTTCACTGGGTCTCCATCAGGAGGTCTCGGACTCCTCGATTGCCGAAGACGATCGAAACCGCCGGCGGCGAGCATGGTGGTCAGTGTATAGTTTAGATCGGTATGGGCTCTGCAGCCTTTTGAGAGAAATGGACTGACTCTCGCCAGGTTACTTTCTGTCAAGTCAGGCAATCCCATCACAATCCATGACGAAGACATCGGGATTAAATGGCCAATACCGATGGACAGGACGGCGGATGTCCCATGGCCTTCTGTAGTGCTTACCCATTACACGCAGTTGTCCAGGATCTTGGGTAGAATTGGAGAAGGTGCGGGTTTCAAATTGAGTACTTTAGAGAGCGTCTACTAACACACGGTTCAGAAATCTACCGCAAAAAACCTCGATCCGGTTCTAATCTGTTTGCATCTGTCCAGAGCATCCAGAATGATCTGTCGGGATGGCTTCACCGGATTCCCGATCGGCTACGGATCGACTTCTCCAGGCTCAATGATGAAGTGAATCGTGAATCGGTCTCGATCTTCTTACACTTCTATTCTTGTGTCAACATGACCGCAAGGCCTCTCGTGTTTTACGTAATTCAGCGACGGCTCGATGCGGAGGGTCAATCGTCTGTGACCGGTGATTGGAAAGACGGTCTCTCGCCTAATACGGTGGCGGTTATTGAAAGCTGCATCACCGCAGCGCGCGCTACCACCCTCATTATGGATGCTGCGGCTAAGCATAATTTAGTTGGTATGTCAACTTTCTGGCCAATACTCTTTGGGTCAATCAGCTAAACTACTTCTCAAAAGCTACATATGGCTATCTCGACGGCGAATACGTGTTTTCGGCAGCCTTGTTGCTCGTGATGGTCAATGCGGCCTTTCCATACAACGAAACGAACGCTCGGAGCATGGACGTTGCGCTGAATCTACTGCGCAGTATGGCAGACCGTGGCAATGCATATCTGGCTTCCCGTCACTCACTTCTGATCGAATTGCACTCGGCGATCGGGCCCAATCGCTCGCGAACCGACGACTTGGTTGCGAATACCCCTATCACGCCCAGTAGCATACAGCAAACGAGCCCTGCCACAACTGTGGCTCCAGAACAAGCATCGGCGGTCTCCGCGGAGTGGCCCTTGCAGCAAGATCTACCGTCTATGCGCGATATATCATTCAATTTCGACATCAACGATGATCCGGGGTTGTGGGAGGAGGTGTTGGATCAGATTGATATTGACATGGACACTGATTGGATTGAGAATACGTTGAAGAAATAAGATGACTTGTCGTCTCATAGTATCTATTTAAGCTGATAGTAGGCAGTTGTTCTCATTCAATGTTACTGAACCCTCGTACTCAGTTGTGTTCATTATATAGTATCCTAGTGCTATAATTATAGTTCAACCGTAAAATTCCTATTTTCATCGTATCACTAGTCTTTCTTTTCTTTGGAATACACTGGAGTACCTTGACACTAGCAGGGTGCTAGTAACCCATTAGATTGCTGTGCAAAATGGACATTCGATGATACCATCCATCGAGCCGGCGACATCGGGCCGGTTTTGCCGACGCCCCGACTCATCGGCCCGACACGTGACCTTATCGTTATCGGCCCCTCCTACTTATTCGAGGGTATTCCCCCTCCTCAACCTTTGCTAATCCCATTGTTCATCGGCCTCATACTGTCATCCTCATTCACCATGGCCGGAACTGGGAAAATTACGATCTCCATCGACCGTGGTGGCACATTCACCGATGTCCATGCCATCGTGCCCGGTCGCCCTGACATCATCCTTAAGTTACTGTCGGTTGATCCCGCCCACTACCAAGATGCACCCACGGAGGGTGTTCGCCAGATCCTCGAGAAGGTCACCGGCGAGTCCTTTCCTCGGGGGAAGCCTCTGAAGATGGACGCCATTGGCAGTCTTCGCATGGGAACTACCGTGGCCACGAATGCGCTGCTAGAGCGCAAGGGAGCCCGATCGGCCCTCCTCACCACCAAGGGCTTCCGTGATCTATTGCACATCGGCGACCAATCGCGGCCGAATATTTTCGATCTATCCATGGCCCGACCGGGTGTTCTTCCGGAGGGTGTCGTGGAAATCAATGAACGAGTGATTCCGATCCATGCAGCCGCGGACAAGGACTGCTTTTCGAGCTCTCGCGTCGTAGAGGGCGTAACGGGCGAGCAGTTCCGCGTGGTGCAGGAGCTGGATGTCGAAGAGGTTCGGACTCAACTTCAGCAGCTGAAGGATCAAGGGTATCAGTCGCTGTCTGTCGCTCTGGTCCATTCGTTCGCCTATCCGGAGCACGAACGCGTCATCGGAGAGTTGGCCGAAGGCATGGGTTTCTCCGTCACCTTGTCCTCCAAGCTGCAACCCATGATCAAGATCGTGCCGCGAGGCATGTCAGCCGCTGCGGATGCTTATCTCACCCCTGTCATTAAGACATACATCGACTCCATCTCATCCAGCTTCGAAGGCGGCCTAGACCAGCAGCGCGAGTGTCGTTTCGAGTTTATGCAGTCGGACGGTGGTCTGGTTGACTTCCGCAAATTCAGTGGCCTCAAGGCTATCCTATCTGGCCCCGCTGCCGGCGTTGTGGGCTTCGCAGCAACCAGCTGGGATCCCACCGAGAAGACGCCGGTAATCGGTTTCGACATGGGCGGTACTTCTACCGACGTGTCTCGCTTTGATGGGCATTTGGAGCATGTGTTCGGATCCAAGGTTGCCGGTGTTCTCATCCAGTCTCCTCAACTCGACATTAATACCGTTGCCGCCGGTGGTGGCTCGATCCTGTCGTATCGGAACGGCCTGTTCTATGTCGGACCCGAGTCTGCGTCCGCCCATCCTGGCCCGGCTTGTTACCGCAAAGGTGGTCCTTTGACTGTCACCGACGCCAACCTCTTCCTTGGGCGTCTCATGCCGGAATATTTCCCGCACATTTTCGGTCCCAACGAGGATCAACCCCTCGACCTCGAAGCAACGACCAAGCTTTTCACTGAATTGAGCGAGAAAATCAACACGGAGCGCAGGGAGAGCGGCGAGTCAGAGTACACTCCCGAGGAGATTGCTCTCGGGTTCTTGAAGGTTGCTGATGAATCGATGGCTCGCCCGATCCGGAACCTCACCCAGGCTCGGGGTTTCGAGACGGCGGCGCATCACTTGGCTTGTTTCGGTGGAGCTGGTGGACAACACGCCTGTTCCGTGGCTACATCGTTGGGTATTTCTCGCGTCATCATCCACAAATATTCCTCGGTCCTCTCGGCGTATGGCTTGGCCCTTGCGGAGGTGGTAAAGGAGTCGCAGGAGCCGGTTTCCAAAGACTATCTGAACTCGCAGTCCACACTTGAGAGTCGGTTTGCCGAGTTGACCAAGGTTGCCACTGAAGATATGGAGGTTCAAGGTTTTGCGGCCAACCAGGTCCGGCACGAGCTGTACCTCAACATGCGCTATGACGGTTCAGACACCAGTCTGATGATTCTGAAACCCGAGGACGGTTCTGATTTCTTGGAGCAGTTCCGTGTTCGGCACCGCCGCGAGTTCAACTTCAACTCGGAACGGTCCGTTCTTGTCGATGATATCCGTGTGCGCACGATTGCATCGTCAAAGGTGCGGGAAGAAAAGAGTCCCCTTGTGCAATTGAGGGAAGCCACTCTTCAGGACGTCACAGCCTCCCCAGACAACACTACCAAGGCGTTCTTCGACGGACATGCCAGCCGTATCGACACCCCTGTCTACCTACTAGACAAGCTTGATAAGAATACTCGCGTCCACGGACCTGCCGTCATCATCGACAACACCCAGACAGTTGTGGTAGCGCCGGACTCGGTGGCGAGCATTCTGGAAACCTGCATTGTCATTGATCTGAAGGATTCGCAGGCGAAGGCTCAGAGCGGCGTTTCTTCGGGTATCGACCCCATCCGCTTGAGTATCTTCGGCCATCGGTTCATGTCAATTGCCGAGCAGATGGGCCGGACTCTGCAAAAGACGTCCGTCTCCACAAACATCAAGGAGCGTTTGGACTTTTCCTGCGCTCTCTTCTCCCCAGATGGCGGACTCGTTGCCAATGCACCCCATGTCCCGGTACATCTTGGGTCCATGCAATTTGCCGTGCGCTTCCAGCACCAGAAGTGGCTTGGAAATCTAAGGGATGGAGATGTGCTAGTTGCCAACCACCCGAGCTCTGGCGGGACACACCTGCCCGATATCACGGTAAGCCACTATCGAAATGTTTTATTACGCCAGTGTATTAACATAATCAGGTCATCACGCCCGTCTTCGACAAGCCCGGTGGCAGCGAGATCATGTTCTACGTAGCATCTCGCGGCCATCACGCCGACATCGGTGGTATTCTTCCCGGCTCCATGCCGCCAAAGTCGACCGAGCTCTGGCAGGAAGGCGCCGCCATCGAAGGTGATAAGATCGTCAGCAACGGTGTCTTCAACGAAGACCGTGTGCACGAACTTCTGGTCCGCAAACCCGCTGAACACCCGGGATGCGCCGGGGCCCGATGCTTCAGCGATAACCTGTCGGATCTGAAAGCACAGATCGCCGCCAACACTCGCGGTATCACACTAATCCAGAGTCTCTTCGCTGAGTACGGCGTCCAAACAGTGCAGAAATACATGTACGCCATTCAAGAAACCGCCGAAACCGCCGTCCGCAACCTCCTCAAAGACCTCCACCAGCGGTTCGGCGGCCAGCCTTTAGAATCCGTCGATTACATGGACGACGGCACGCCCATCAAGCTGAAAATCACCATCAACGGCACCGATGGGTCCGCCGTCTTTGACTTTGCCGGCACCGGCCCCGAAGTCTACGGCGGCTGGAACGCCCCGATCGCCATCACCCACTCGGCCATCATCTACTGCCTACGCTGCATGATCGCCGCCGACGTACCACTCAACCAAGGCTGCCTGGCCCCAATCGACATCCAAGTCCCCTCACCCAGCATCCTCTCCCCCACCAAAACCGCCGCCGTCGTCGGCGGCAACGTCGTCACCTCGCAACGAATCACCGACGTCGTCCTGAAAGCCTTCCGCGCCTGCGCCGCCTCCCAAGGCTGCTGCAACAACCTCACCTTCGGGACGAACCCCAAAACCGACCCGGAAACAGGCGCCACGATCCCAGGCTTCGGTTACTACGAGACCATCGCGGGCGGCAGCGGTGCCGGACCCACCTGGACCGGCGAGTCCGGGATCCACGTGCACATGACAAACACGAGGATCACCGACCCGGAGATCCTCGAGAAGCGATACCCGACGCTGCTGCGGCAGTTCACGCTGCGGAGCGGATCGGGGGGACAGGGCGCGCACCGCGGCGGGGACGGCGTGGTTCGCGACATCGAGTTCCTGGCGCCGATGGAGTGCTCGATTCTTTCGGAACGGAGGGTTCATCGCCCGTATGGCCTTGAGGGCGGGGAGGACGCGCAGGCGGGTCTGAATCTGTGGGTGTCGAAGGATGAGGAGGGTGGTGAGAGGGTGGTTAATATCGGGGGGAAGAATACGGTGTCGGTCAAGGCGCATGATCGGGTGGTTATTATGACGGCTGGGGGTGGAGGGTGGGGTAAGTCTGAGTGATTGGATTGGATTGGACTGGATATCGGGTGGAATCCTGTATGTGATATGAATTGACGTTTTGGATTGTCAATATACGAAGTTTACATTTGATTGATCGAGTAAACTATACGGGTTCCAGATACTGGCTCTAGTCAACAGGAGTGTATATCCAGCCAATCTCCATCTAAGTCACCATCTATTAATATACAATAAACCCAATAATCTAATCCATCATCACTCCCCTGCCTCCATTACCCTCACTTCCAATCTATCATACAATCCTCACCCACAATCCATCACCAACAACTCAACCCTCCTTCTTCCCCCTCCGATACCTCCTCCAACTAACGCCCATGAAAGCCACCGACACGAGTAACCCAAGCCCTGCAAACCCGATCCCCAAGTACAGCGCGCCCCTGTACCCTCTAAGCTCGTCTCTACCGCCGCGGTTGACATTCGACTCGACGGTGCCTGCGAACCCGAGGCCTAGGGAGATGGAGTAGTTGACAGTCGTGGTGACGAGAGAGGCGGCGAGACCTTGGTGTTGGCGCGGCATGGAGTTGCTGAGGATGAGTGTGCCGGAAGGGAAGGACATGTCCCTGTTTTTGAGAGTTAGTTGGGAGTGGGTTGGAGGATATATCAGGATCTGTTATGGATGACTTACATTCCCCAGCAGGTTATTAGACTCACGACGAAGGCCTGGGCCCAGTAGGTCTGGGAGACAGGGACGGTAGCGAAGATAGACAATCCAGCGGTGAAGAAGCACATGGCGCAGAACATGATGACGCTTGGGGGTAGTCGAGAAAGAAGGAATCCGGTTACCAGGGCAGCGATGGCGCCGGAGGGTGCGGCGGCAACGAATTTGACGGTCGTGAGAAGCGGCGTGTTGCCCTTAATGACCAGCATGAACTGGTAGAAGTAGTAGATGATAATGCCGAAGCTGGACCAGCCTGCTGCGATGCATCCGAGCACCCAGGCTAGGTCGCCGGTTAGGACGGACTTGGGGAGTAAAGGACACGGGGCGGAGCGCTCGACGAAGCCGAAGATGCCCATGAGAATGAAACCGACGATCAGGAGCGCGTAGGTGTACGGTGTTTTCCACCCCACCAGGGCGGCTTGGTTCCATGCGAAATTGATCAAGACGAGGGCGGAGATTCCTGCCGCGGCACCGAGGAGATCGAGTCGGACCCAGATGGGCATGGTGTCTCTGAATCGGGGGCGAGGGGTGTAGGGAATGACGATCAGGCCAAGCGCCGCGAAGACAAAGCACATGATGCCCATAACCCAGTATCCCCAGGGCCACCAGACGAGCTGGGCAAAGATGGACGAGAATACGCCGCCGACGATGAATCCGCCAGGCGCCGTGGCGCCGAATAAACAGAAGACCATCTCCTTGCGCAGACCGGGCGGATAGGTGCGCCCGAATATGGCGATCGCGTTTGGCAACAACATGGCCGGTCCAATGCCCTGGAAGGCACGGCAGCAGTCGAAAAACAGCTGGTTGGACCAGACGCTGAAGCCGCCCAAGAGTGACCACAAGCCGAACCACGCAAAACCGATGACGAACATCAGGCGATGACCGAAGACATCGCCGAGACGACCAGCGACGAGAATAAACGTGCCGACCGTCAGACTATAAGCGGCTGCGAACCAACTCAGTTCACCCGGGCTGGACGTGTTGAAGCTTTCCCCGATGATGTACACCGGAGCGATGGAGATCGCCAGGCCGGCCTGGGTCATAAACTGGGCCATGCAGACCACCATGATAAACGGGACCTCCTGCCATAGCGTCTTGGGGGGCTCTATGGCCGAATGGGAGGTTTCGACTCGGGCCAGGGCTTCGGGGTCGTCATTGTCCTCGGTCGGTTTCTCGTGCAATTCGCCACGGACGTCGGATTCGGAGTTACTGGATGAGAACGATGGATCTCGGGGATCGTTGCCACGAGAAGACTCCATCTCCGAGAACACCTTCTATTCTCCGAACGAATCTTTCCTCGCACACCAGTGAAACGCAGACTTTTGCAGGGAAGAGCAGCGGAGGGCTCAGCTTCTTTAAGAATCCGTCGCATTAATGACTTAATGGAAAAAATGAACTCAACCTGGCTAGTCGAAGACCCACTCGGCGCCCTTGAGTGGTCTGGATTGCCTGGGATAGGCTCAATCAAGGGGGGCGAGCCATGGATCTGCACCGATTCCGTCAGCGCGGATCAAATCCGCAGTGATTGATAAGAAGAGCTTGTTGGCATTAGCTTCCTTCGATGTTCAGGGGCAAATCAAGATAAATTGCGAGCATATGTAGGCGAATAGATCGAGTGACCTACAGCATACCGTGTAGCCATCGGGAGCCAAGAAATGGTGCCTGAACCGTCAGGCAGGTCATCGAGATATATATTTATGGGTCTGCTGCCATCTGGCCGGTAGTCAGGCGCATTTTATCCTGACGATGCCTACATTCCACGTTCAACCATGGCTAGGACGTATATTTCGAGTAACCATGTATGCAAGAACTAGCCTAGTCAATAGTTATTATGGAAAGCCTCTCTATTTCGATGAGATATTCTGACCGAACGTAGGAGTAGAAGATATGTTGATGTTGACGGATAATCTCCAGACACAGCGCCCTTGACAGAGTCTCAACCGGGGCAAGATCGTGGATGTAAGTCATTGTGGCCTGTTGGTCTAGGAGGCCCCGTGATAGCCTATTGGCGCTGCATTGACCACCAATGGAAGCCGTTGGAGGGAGTCAGGCGGACGAATGCCGTGTCACTTCATCCGAAACCGACTGCTGTTTGATGGATGGCAAATGCATGAGTCGACTAAGTCAATAGTATTGAGTTCTGGAGTTGATTAAATACTCCGTTGACTGTCGATGGAGATGAGAGGAAAGAGATGAGCAAGAGAGAAAGAGAGGAGACAACGCTAAACCGCATCGGGCGTGCAGAAGATGACCTCAGTCCTGACGTAAGCGCATCACATGCCGGCCGAAAGAACCAAAAGAAAAAAAGAAACAAACGAAAAAAAAAAGAAGGCAAACACGGCAATTCTTTCTGCGCGTCGCTCTTTCATCTCTCGTCCTTCATGCCGACGTGGCTTGCCGCCACTTTCGATGGCCGTCAATGACACATCATCCCTGGGAGTCCGTCTGATCAGGGCTTCTTGATCTTTTACCCCGCCGGACTTTCCAGACTCACCTGAGCTGAGGTTCCCCTCATAGCCCCCTGGAGGCTGCTGGATTTTATTCCTCCCCACCCCTCGTCAGACTTCTCGGATCGCATTTCCTGTCACTTTCAACTTCCCAACTGTCCCTGACACCCCGTTCATGTGATTCTCTGTGGGCTCTTTCTTTGCGGTCGGAGTTCGATTTCCCCCGCTTGACACCACTAAAGCCCGCCATGGGGAACCCTCCTACGAGGATTATTATTGTCAGGTTGGTTTGACCTGCGTCGAGTAAAGTGGAATCAGGTGGAATGAAGTGTTGACTCTACTCACAGGCATGGCGCCCGATTGGACGCGGCCGACAAGAATTGGCATCTGACATCCCCCACTCCTTACGATCCTCCTCTTTCCTACGGCGGCTGGCTCCAGTCTCGTACTCTAGGAGCGCAAATCATCAATCTCTTACAGTCGCAGGGGAATGAGTCACCCCCTGATGGAACGGACAACCAAGATTTACCCTCCTTCCGCGCGCAATCCTCCAAACGAAAGCGACGAGTCATCATCCATTCATCTCCCTACCTTCGGTGCTTGCAGACCGCCATCGCTGTGAGCGCGGGCATCAGCCAACACTACCCGGAGACGGACGTTGATTTGCCCTTGAAACCATCTGCGGTGAAGAATCCAAAGACCCATACAACGGGCAAAGGCCGAGCCTCGGTCCACGGATTCAACGCCAGCTCCGCTATTCCCAGTGCCATTCCGAATGATCACCGCTGCCTGTTGCGCGTGGATGCGTTTCTGGGAGAATGGTTGACGTCCAGTTATTTCGAGGAGATCTCCCCGCCGCCGAAGTCGGAGAGGATGGTCACGGCAGCCAAGGCAGAGCTCCTCAGACGCGACAGCATTGTTCCCGAGGCGGACATGAACTACACCCGGTCGGCAGTCGGACACTTCCCCGGGGGCTGGGGCAAAGGCGACGGTCCTATCTTATCGGACGACACAAATAAAACGCAGGCGAACCCAGATGGGCGAAGGAACCGCGCCGCGAGTCATGATACGTTGCAATCCGCCGATGCGCCGGGCACGCGGAGGATGCTTAGCAAGATCAACACAAGCCTCTCCTCCATTCCGGATGGTCTTTACACGCCACCTACCCCCAGCTATGCCATATCGCCGTCGGAGCCCATCCCTACCGGATATGTTTCGCATGCGCGTGATGCCTGTATGAGGATAGATTATCAATGGGATAGCATGCGCGAACCCCAGGGCTGGGGCAACGGCGGCGAATACGAAGAGGAATGGAGTACAATGAACGCCCGGTTTGCGGCCGGATTGGAGCGCATGGTCTCCTGGTACGCGAACCATGACCCGTCGATCCCTTATAACCGACCCCGGCGTCATTCCCAATTCTTGGATAATACCGGCGACACAAGTTCGGGAGACGGAGAAGATTCGATGGAGACAGTGTTGGTGATCGTAACTCACGGAGCTGGCTGCAACGCATTGATTTCGGCCATCAAGGGAGAAACAACCCTCGTCAACGTTGGAACCGCTTCCCTCACCATGGCGACCCTCACAGACAGCGACAGGTCCTCGACCAAGTCGTCCGATTTCGGTGGACCCGTGATCCCGCATGATGCCAATGGAGAAAAGTCGGTCTTGCACGACTACAATCTGCAGATAATCGCTTCAACGGAACATTTGCGACCCGGTGGGAACCCAACCATGTCCACTGTCTCCTCTCCTACTAGCCTAACATCTCCGACCGTGCCCTCCTATCGAAACCGAGTTTCATCTCGAGCATCTCTGTCCCAGAGTCCGTTTGGCATCGGACCAACTCCTACTTCTGGAGGCGGATCACGCGGTTGGATGATGGCGCGACCTTCGACCGCTCCTCGCACGTCCGGTGGCCTCTGGGGCTCGATCTCGGAAAAAGTCGGAGCAGATGACTTGATCCCCAACTTTGACAATGCCTGGTCCGGGCAGGCTGCGACGAAAGAGAGCGAAGTAAAGAAACCGAAGGAGACAGAAATGCCTAAACAACTCCCCCAAAGAACTCTTTCACAGCGAGGCCTGTGGGGAAGTGCCCCTTTGAACAAAGATGCCGAGACCGGCGTAAAACGACGATGGACAGTAACGGAACGACGCATATGAAAAACACTTGCTCTATACCATTTCTTCGGGTTTTCAGTTATCAGGCGAGGCGTTCGGGTTTTTAAAATGAAACTTCATGGCTGGCACGATCAATGTTGGGTGCCTGGATCAGGCTCCGACATGTACAACAAAAAATACCCATTGCTTGCATACCACCATGACTTGCTAAATATCCACTCTACGATTAGAAATAGCTAAATCTCTCAACTGGTTTGAACATCTCCTTGCGTTACATATCTGTAATAAGAGTCTGCCCAACGCATCCAGTATAACGAACGCTGCAGGAGTATGCAGTCAAGCATCATCAGGCATCATCAGGCATCAGTGGATACCTGATGTCTGCCCCGTAATTCCCAGCCTGTGATTGGCCGAGCTGCACGGGTGCCTGCATGGCCGATGTTGATGCCTAAGGTGGCAGTGACGGTGAGCTGATCCCCGGATTGTCCGCCGCTCTCCTTTCCTCTTCCACATTCCTCCGAGATCGACTCCTGAACCCGTCATGTCTGCCGTCGAGAAGGACGGCCTCTCTGTCACTCATGCCTGCGAAAGAACCGGCACCCCGGATCTCCGGTTGATCCACTACAACGATGTCTACCACGTGGAGTAAGTCGCCCATATCGCGGGGTAACCAAGGGATAGGCCAGGTAGCTATCTGACCACGCATGCTAACACCAGCATAGAGCAGGATCCGCGGAGCCCGTCGGCGGCGTCTCTCGATTCCAATCCGTCATCAACTACTACCGATCGGACGCCCGGTTCGCGGGACAACCGGACCCCCTTACCTTCTTCTCGGGCGATGCCTTCAACCCGAGTCTCGAGAGTACCGTGACAAAGGGGAAGCACATGGTGCCGTTTTTGAACAAGGCTGGAACGGACGTGGCGTGTCTTGGGGTGGGTGAGCCGATGCGGAGGAGAATTGCCTTGGAATACATGGACAAAGGAGGCTGATGTCTGCAGAATCACGATCTCGATTTCGGCGTTGCACAGCTGCGCCACTTGCGCAGCCAGTGTCGCTTTCCGTGGCTGCTCGCCAATGTTCTCGATCCCGCTCTAGGAGAGGATGTGCCTATCGCGAATTGTGAAAGAACGGTTATGTTGACTTCGTCTACGGGTGTTAAGGTGGGAGTGATTGGCTTGGGAGAACGAGAGTGGTAAGTGGAGTTCCGGTCAGGTGGTGGTACGAGATACTAACAACTAGAAGGCTAGGAACGATCAACTCCCTCCCACCCGACCTGATTTATAAATCCGCCTCCCAGACGGCCATCGAGCTGGTTCCCCGTCTCCGCGAGCAAGGTGCTGAGATCATCGTTGCTGTCACCCATCAACGTGAACCGAATGACTATAAACTGGCGAAGAGCGTCCCGGAAGGACTGATTGACATTGTTCTTGGAGGTCATGATCACTTCTACGGCCATGCGGTGATCAACGGGATTCATGTCCTGCGGTCGGGGACCGACTTCAAACAGTTGAGTTACATCGAGGCTTGGCGGAAAGAAGGGGGTGGATGGGACTTCGGCATCATTCGGCGGGACATGTATCAGTCCATCCCCGAGGATCCCGCCGCAGTGGCTTTGGTTGAGAAGCTCACATCCAGTTTGAAGTCAAAGCTAGAGAAACCCATCGGATACACGTCACGCCCGCTCGATGGGCGGTTCTCAACCGTCCGACAAAGGGAGTCGAACCTCGGAAACTTTGTCTGCGACCTGATGCGATTCTTCTACAACGCTGATTGTGCTATTATGGCCGGCGGAACGATCCGAGGAGACCAGATCTATCCCCCGGGCATCCTTCGGTTGAAGGATATTTTGAATTGTTTCCCATTCGAGGACCCTGTGGTCCTACTGCGCGTCCCCGGTCGCGCCTTGATGGACGCCCTGGAGAACGGCGTCAGTTTATTACCCGCCCTCGAAGGGCGTTTCACCCAGGTCTCCAACATCTCGTTCAGTTACGACCCGTCCGGCCCCCCGGGATCCCGAATCAACTGGGCCATGGTCTGCGGCGAGCCCATCAACTTCGATCGCACATACACCCTAGCGACCCGGGGCTACATGGCCCGCGGCAAGGACGGATTCGCATCATTGCTCGTGAAGTCAGCCGGCGGCGAGGTAGAAGAGATCGTAGACGAAGAAAGCGGCGTATTAGTGAGCACTCTACTCCGCCAATACTTCCTCAGTCTGCGGGTAATGGGCAAATGGCAACGCTTCAGCAAAAGCATGACACGCCACTGGGGCAGCGTGCACAAGAACCTACACGCAAACGGATGGCTCAAGCCCGCGTCATCCGGCACATCTCCTGTGTCCGAGAAAATCCCGTACCAACTGCGGCGCCCGTCCCTCAAGCGCAGCAAACAATACCACTACGGCCGATTCGCCGACCTCGACAAAGACAGCAGCCCCGACCGCAGCGGCGAAGACGACGACATGGACTCAGACTCCGACACCGACCCGGAGATCCTGACCTCCCCGCAGCCGACCACCAACTACGTGACGCTGCCGGCGCGGTCCACCGTCGAGGAAGAACATCGACTGCGCGTCGCGCGCTGGGCCACGCGCAAATGGATGCGCAGGGCCGGACTGCAGCCGTCTACCGTGGAAGACGTGGACGAGGGACCTGGCGTCACGCCTACCTGGACTCCTGGCATTGCGCCCCGTCTGGAGGGACGGATTGTGATCGAGGGGCCGAATTAGTCGGGATGAGCATCGTATAGCATGAGTTATGAGATATGATTGTACTGCGATAGATTTGAGCAGAGTGAATATAGCATGATGTTTGTCTTATTTCATGTGTAGTTAAAGCATCCGTACTCGTATATCGAGAGGTCCAGGGGCACTAATACAATATAGGAGGCACCCTTGCTTGAGTAGTTTCCAGGGTGTCCAGGGTGGATGCACACCCTTGTAGAAACTAGACCAGGTATATTTGATTAGCGTTCCGTCTGAAGAAACCTTGACCGATCGGACTATTAGAGAATAGCATTGTTTCTAACATCGAAAAGCGTTCTCACTCATTTATTCATTCCATATGACATCCTGTTCAAGACAATCAAATCATGACTTAAGCGCAGTCAAATAAAAATTAAATCACCGAATACAAACGAAATACAAAAACTACTAAAGGATCCGACCGCCCAAAAGAAGCCTGAAGATATCAACCGGTCACTCGACTCTCCAAACTCCTCATTCTCAACCTTACCATCGCCTCCCCCTCCGACACCATCTCCGGCAACATACGATCCACCGAATCCAGCATCCCTCCCTTGGAGGAATTCAACTCGAAGTACCGTCCATCCCAAATATACACCAACTGACCATGTCTCTGGTCATCGCCAAACAGGGTGGCCACGGCCCTCGCCACCGCAACCGCATCCTGGACTCTTGCTCCAACACTCTCCAGCAACGTCTTCGGCACCATCCCAGTGTCCGTCCAGGACGGGGCCACGGCATTAAGGCGCACGCCGCCCAGGGAGGTCGTATCCTCAGTTAGACCGCGGATGAGGCCAAGAACGCCATGCTTGGCGGTGGCGTAGTCGGCGGCCCAGAAGTTGCGGAGGGAGGCGCCGGAGGCGGAGAGGATGATGCTTTTCCCTTGGACTATATGCTCGCCGTTTGATGGGGACTCGGACTGCTGAGATTGGGGTCTATCGCCGCGCTTCAGATAATATACGGCTAGTCGTAGGGTATTCACCACGCCGATGAGGTTCACATCCACGGTGCCGAGATTCGGCGGCGCAAGGAGCCCGTCTTCGTCGAAGGTCTCTTCGAGAAAGTTGCTCTGTGGTCGGATGCCTGCATTTGCGAAGACGTGGTCGATGCGCCCGAAATGCTCATGTCCTTTTTCAAAGAGTGCGCGGATACTGGACCACTCAGTGACGTTGGTGGGCTGGTAGAAAAGGGTTCCGGGTTTAGGTTGAGGCGTCGAGGGGGTGAGGTTGGGATTGGGCAAGGAGGGGGGTGGAGAGGCAGAGATGTCGCCAGCGATGACATTTGCGCCGTGTGAAAGGAGGAAGTGCGTTGTGGAGAGGCCGATGCCTGAATTGGTTCCTGTTGATGGGGTCAGCGGGGATTCCAGTGGGAATGTGGAGAAAGGAGTACCGGTGATGAGGATCGTCTTGCCCGCGAGAGAGGGCAGATCGTCGGGGTTGATATGAAATTCCATTCTTACGATGTTGCGAAGATAATGTCGAGAAGACAAATGGCAGAATTATGGCAGTACAAGAAAGGTGGTAGATATGTACCTGAATGGGCTCAATGCTGAAGTGGAGAGACCGATGCAGACCGATATAGTCCAGATAGCCGAGGATCTGGGCCCGTCCGAGTGGGGATCTTCATTAGTTGAGCAGATCAGCGTCTTCTGGAGATGTTCGGCCATGACGTGTGTCCTGCACTGTTCTACTAGCGCACACCGACATTCGGCAGTGGCACCATCAGGGCTTCAGTGCCCTGCAACTTGGCCCCTGATGAATCTTTACTTATGCTTTCGAATCAGATACTCTCCTCCTCGCCACGCCTTGTACACCCCGTACAGTCCCGAGACAGGCCACACGCTCCAGAACAGGCCTCGCATCCAGCTCTCCCACGACTGACTGCCGTTGCCAGGCACTAGGTTCACCCGCACCTTCTGATACAGATCTGGCAGATACGAGGCATGATATTTAGCACGCAGCGAGTCATACTCCTTTTTGTTGTAGATCGACCAGAACTCATCCTCGGTGTAGTACGCGTGAGCGTATAGCCACTTCTTGCCGCCCAGCTGCCGCACCTTGCCCTCCAGCCGACGGTTCTGCGCGATGAATGCTTGTCGATCATTGTGGAATGGGGACGGCGCCCACAAGCCAAAGTTCATGATATACCCGTCATCCGTCTCGGAGTTTGTCTCCGTGTTTGCGTCAGACAGGTCCCGACTGCGCGACATGACGCCCTCAGAATGTCGCAGCGGACACAGCCAGATGGGATAGGAACCGAACGAGTCCTTGTGGTCCAGCCAGTCGATAAATTCGGTCGTGCCTCCGCACGGCACAGCAACGTCCTGGATGATAAAGTAGCTGGACAATCCGCTCTGGTGCAGTGCATGGTACATGACGCGAGCATGCATGAAGAAATCCAGGATGTAGCGGGTGATGCGATTGAAGGGGGTCAAGAAGTACTGGTAGGCGAAGCGGCCCGTCCAGAATGCACCTCGGTCGTACCGGAATAGATAATCTTCCAGCGGGATATAATGAGTAACGGATGGCGGCGTGTTGGACCCAGCGGAGGGTGCAGGACTGCGGCGCTGCGCATGGATGTAGAACCAGGGGTCTTGCGCACGCGTGAAACGTTGGACAGGACCACCTTCGGGCGGAGAATCTACGAGGCGTCCGGCACAGACGACAACGTGGTTCTTGGCGAAGACGATGCCGTCGAGATACTCAATTGTCTGGTCAGCCGTAGCGGTTCGAAAGACCTGCATGGCCTGATCCATGCTTGCAGCAGAGTGATAGGTAAGTTCCACTAATGGCTTGGCCGGACGACACTGAATCTCGACCAACGTGACGATGCCTAAGGTGCCAAAGGCCGAGGCGGCGCCCCAGAAGAGCTCGGGGTCGTCTTTCTGCGATGCTCGGCGCACTTCGCCGTTTGGAAGTACGATCTCAATCCAATTGACCGTCGCGTCGAAGAAGCCATGGCGGAAGGAACTGCTCTCGCCGGAAGTCCCGGAGAAGCCGCCGCCGGCCGTGATGCCGGGGAACTCCATCACAACCAGCGGCACGAGATTATGGGCCAGCGTTGCCTGAACGAGCTGATCCATAGGGACATTGGGCTCGGCTAGGACCGTTTGGGCGGTCGGGTCGACCTGGAGAACGTGGGTGAGAGGAGCGGTGTTGACGATGTTGTCGCGCCCGTAAGGGGAGTCGCGCGTGCTGTTAGTAGAACCATGGTAGATACGGAATGGTTGCTGGCGACTGTGGAAGCTCTGGACTTGACTGGCCACGGTGGCCACCGCTTCGTCGTGGGAATAGTCCATGGCGTGGGAGATGGAGAGTTGTGGAGGTGAATTGGAGTTGTTGTTCTGCGGTCGGAGATGCAGATGCGGAGTTGGCGGTTGCCTAATCCGGATGATCGTGAGTCCGTTGATCCATCCCTTCAGATCGCCATCAACACTCTGCTCCTATTCATCGGAAACCGTCGGAAGCCATCTATTACCGACCAGTTTATTCAATCAAATCATCGACTTAACAGGATATGCTTGTTTGCGAGGTTTGATTCGGACAGGATGGTACCGCCCCGCTAATGATGCTCGACGAGCAAAAGAGACCGCGTGTTGAGCGTCTGCAGCCTTGTTCATCCATCGCAGGAGGAGATTTCGAAAGAAAGAAAGTCGGGAAGGCCGAAGTCTTCCTTGATCTGCCTTACTGGGTGAATGCCTCGATGCCTCGATGCCTCGATGCCTCGATACCTTGATACCTTGATACCTCAGGCATGTTTCCACGGGACCAATCAGAACACAGAGCGAGACTCGGATCAAGCCGCCCTCGCTAATCCTCTTCGGGCGGTGGTGCGTACAGCTTCCTCTCTGAGAGAGAAGGATGGCAGACACAGAGTCTTGATTTTCCATAAAGTCAGGGATGACACGAACAATGAAAAGAAGAACCCCAGTTCCTTTAACGAATACCAGGCTCTAGCTACCGTGTGGCACCAACCAGCATGCCTTGAGAACAATTTACCCTCTTGTCTCAACATCCACCTTGACAACTTTCCGTTCGGAAAGCCCACCATGTTCCAACCTCGCGATTTCGGCCCCAATGCCGGTGCATACGTATTTATCGAATTTCCAGGTAGGAACCTTCTCCTGGAACATCTCATCCAACTCTTCCAGTGATCTCCGGCTGGTCTCCGGCACACAGAACCATACAAAGAGTAGCGAGACGACCGAGAACGCACCGTAAATGAAAGTGACTCTCCCACCAATCGCACTCTGCACGTACGGATTGACGAAATTGATCGGAACCGACGTCAGAAAGCTGCCCATTGACGCAAGGAACACGGTTCGCTCCCGAAGCTGACCTGTTCCAATCTCGCCGGTGACAATCCAGCATCCAGGACCCCACGTGAAGCCGTAGATGCAATACCAAAGAATCAAACAAGTGGCACAGGCATTCTTTGCCTGCGCGGAAAGATCTGCGACTGCAGGAGCGGATTCAATGGCACCTCCCGTGCTCAGCATTGTAGCAGCGAGGCCGACGGAGCCCAGGAAGAGAGAGTTGCGACGGCCGAGCTTGTCAAACGTAATGAAGGTAATAAAATGGCAAACGAACGAGCACCCGGTGACGAGGACGTTGGTCTTCAGGGGGTCCGGGAATCCCATCTGCTGCATAAATGTCACGACGAAATTTTGAATAAATGAGACACCTTGTGCTTGTTGAAGAATTTGAACTCCCATTGCTGCAACGGTTCGGCGGAGATTCGTTCCTTTGAAACAGTCCAGGACTGTCGTCGCTTTATGAAGCTCTCGTTGTTCCTCCAGTTGAACGCGCAGCATTTCGATTTCTTGCGGAATAGATTCCTGGTGGTTGTAGAGCTTTTTCATGACCTTTTCTGCCTCGGCATACTTGCCACGGTAAACAAGATATCGAGGTGACTCGGGGAGAAACGGGTAGGCGAGTAGATAGCCAACAGGGACGAAAAGCTGGCAGCAGATCACGATGCTTGGATCTGGTTAATTGCGAAATCAAAGTAAAGACAGGGGCAGCTTGGATACATACAGATACTGAGAGCTATCATTTCTAGTGCGGCATAGGTATACAACCAGGGTTGCCATGAAGACGCCAAATGACGTGAAGAATGAATAAAGCGAAAGAAAGGCGCCTATACTATAGGATTAGTCTTCTCATGGAAAAGCCATCGATATGAATGCCAACCTCGAACACGCTGGGGTGAACATTCCGATAAGTATGTCGGAACAACATTCGAAGCCAACCCAATGCCAGAGTAAACAATGATTCTCCCAACGGCTAACTGCCAGAAAGAAGTAATGGCACTGGCTTCCAATATAACACCAACGATCATCAGGCATGATAAGGTCAAGAAGCCCATCTTCCGACCGAATCGCGAGGTAATGATTGGCGCCAGGATACAACCCAGAATAATACCAGCGGAGCCGGTTCCAGTGCCAACGGAAGTTTTATCAGACGGAATCACCCATTGATCAAGATCTCCATCGTAGGCTCCATACTTGTGCTGAAATTCTGACAGGCCTAAGGCTCCGCCCCACCAGCCGTTATCGAAGCCAAAGCCCATGGCTCCTAGTGATGCTGTGAGACCGATGAGGACGAGCCGCCAATTCAGGTCTTGGTACAAAGGGGTTGCCCTGAGAGTGGCCAACATAATGTAAATATTGATGCGGAGGAGAAATATCCAATGTTAAACGGAAAGCACGAGTATCAGTTACAGACTTCTTTAATATAGGTTTATATAGATCTGTAACCCCACGGGGAAGAAGCGCCAAGCGGAGAAATTCCTGGGGCGCATTTCCCAGGAAGCGGGGAGTGATGGTCAAAAGAGGAAATGACAGCCACCATATGCTAAACTCCGGTTTCTCTATTTCGACAGGAAGCTCAGAATGATATTCCATCCAAATCCCACAACAGACGTCACAACAACTCTCCACTGCCAAGGAACCCATAGAAAGTTGATGAGGGCAACGGGAGGCCAAATCCTCCACCCAGCCTTCAGAATTCCAACTATTTTCATTTCAATTTCGCGAGCGATAAGGCTTGTGCTTTGGAGCCTGGCCCCTGTGGTGCAAGTGATGAATATGACGTTGATGAAAAACAATCCAATGGTTTGGTCCAAGAAAAGTTTCAGAAGAACATTGCGCCAGTTGAGCCGGTGTGGTTGGTCTTTCTTTCGTGCAGTGGATTGGGCGTGGGGGTTTGACACAACGCCATTCTGAGTGGGGAAGGATTCCTCCAAAGCGCGTTGCCAGAAGCACACCAAGGGCGCAGAAACCAAGCCAAATACAGCGAATTCAGCTACTCGAGCCCAGTCGAGTTCGGTGGGCTCTTCTGCTCCCCATTGCGATAGGGTCTGAGCCGTGATATTGGCAGCTGCTTTGAGGATGGCCGATTGGATGGTGACAACCATAAGGGAGGGCATGGTGAGATGCGATGTAAGAATTGATACTTTGTAAGAGCTATAGTGGCTGGAATATCGTGCTAGCAGATTGCAGTCTTATAGCGGTCAACAAGGCAGCGGACAGGGGTGTGCCCCCACGTCCTAAATAGGCATCTTGAGCCACCCTTTCTCGATCCAGCGACGAGCCTCGAGCCCCCCAGCCTATTTAGTCAAGGTGAGGAGAGTCTGCTATTCAGTCCAAGTAAAATCACATCTCACCATGGCTGGGCTCCGAAGGTTACTCCCATTGCTTGCTGCATTTTGGGCCATCTTGTCCCATTCTTTCGCTCTTTCGGAATGCCAGGTTAAAGAATCGACACAGCGCCGTCTTTTCCTACTGAGTGACATCGCAAATGAACCCGATGATGCACAGTCACTAGTTCGGCTACTCGTGTACGCGAATGAGTTCCAAATCGAAGGTCTGGTGGCCACCACGAGTTGGTGGCTCAATGACACAACTCGTCCCGATCAGATGCGCGACATCGTGAGCGGCTATGGCAAGTGCGTCGAGAATCTAAAGAAGCACGCATCTGGATGGCCAGAGCCTGATCATCTGCTCAGCCTGATCAAGTCAGGCTCAACTCAGTACGGGATGAACGGGGTGGGCGAGAAACAGAACAGCGAAGGCTCAGAGCTTCTCGTTGCGGCGGTGGACAAGTCAGAGGAACCACTATGGATCCCTGTGTGGGGTGGTGCCAACACACTCGCTCAGGCACTATGGTATGTGAATGCGACACGATCGGCTGAAGAAGTGGAGGAATTCGTTGCGAAACTGCGTGTCTACTCGATCTCCGACCAGGATAACAGTGGGCCTTGGATTCGACGAAACTGGCCCAATCTGTTTTACATTGCGAGCGTGCATGACTTTAACCGATACGCAAATGCTGCCTGGGGAGGAATCTCGGGCGATGATTATTATCACTTTCCCAGCAATGGGAATAAGGAAGTCATCTCCAAAGAGTGGATCAAAGATCATATCCAATCAGTTGGGCCTTTGGGAGCTCAGTATCCTGATGGAGAGTTTATTATCGAGGGTCAGCTATGTAACGTCTTCAACTTCAGCTCAGCTACTAACCGTCATAAGGTGACTCGCCGTCCTTGCTCTACATGATCCCGACCGGCCTATCAGATCCAGAACATCCCGAATGGGGCTCCTGGGGAGGTCGATATGGACCAGTGGCGTGGGGTGAAGGACATTTTGCTGATAGCATCGATACCGTGGTCGATGATTCAGGAAGCACAATGATGGGTCCGCACGTCACAATCTGGAGATGGCGTACTGCATTCCAGAATGATTTCAAGGCGAGAATGCAGTGGACTGTCCAGAAGACATTTGAAGGGGCAAATCATTCTCCTGTTGCTGTTGTGAATGGCAGTTTGGGCCGAAATGTTCTAGAATATACTGTCAAACCCGGCGAGAACATCGTATTGGATGCAACTGCATCTTGTGACCCAGATGGCGATACTCTCGCGTTCAAGTGGTGGCAATATCTGGAACCAAGCTCAAACCTCAACACCCCAAAGCGTGATGTGCATGTTTTGAAGATGGATGGAACTGATACCCCTAGGCTGTCTGTCGAGATACCAAACACCGAGGTTCTGCACAAGCCGGGCAGAGGAGTCCATCCATTTGATGACAAGCACTTGCACATTATTCTGGAGATATCGGATGGAGACATTGTAGCTTACCGGCGCATAATATTAACCATCAAAGGGAAACCTGCCGTGGGAGAAGGCGACTCTGTTCATGACGAGTTATAAATAGAAACAGCATTCAAGCACAATGACTGGGTATGCAAATACCTGCGAATAGTCAAAGTGAGTCTATGTCGTCCTACGTTTAGGCCGATGAGTTTCAACAAATATCAATCATCAATAACCTCCTTCCAAAAATCAATCAAGGCAGTTTCTGGGTGTTCGGAAACACCATTGATACACAATATAGAAAATACCACACTTACTAGGGTGTTAGGTCAAGCAATGATAAATATCATCGCAAGTTTGAAGTTAGCCGCGGAGACTTATCCCGGAACCACGACTGTATTAGACTAGAAACTCTAGACATGAGGTATATCTATTGACACCGACTTCCTTGTCACCTTGGAATAATTTTCTATATAGGATACGGAGAACCAATCAAATCTCCGGTATACTCTACTCCGGACCCACGACTCTACCAGATTAGAAATCTTGACATCATGTGGGGTGTGGAGCACCAATCAAATTCCCGGTAGACTCTACTCCGGAGCAATGACTACTAGATTAGACCGCCGATGACGCCGAGGCCCTCATGATCCTGCAGTGAACTTAACCCAGTATGTTATATAAGAGCCTCTGAAGGCAGGTCTACTGAATAGCTTTCATCACCTCAATTACCTTTCATCCCAAATCATCCTGCAACCTCAATCACAATGGTGGCAACATTCATCGATATCAACCCCCGCACACCGCTGTCGGAGCAGCTCAAAGAAAAGCCCGAAGCAGGCCCATGTGTACTCGTCAATACTTTCCACATCCCGGCTGGCAAAATGGAGGAAGCCTTCGCGGCATGGAAAATCGACGCTGAGCTAGCCAAACGCCAGCCAGGATTCATCTCGACTCAACTCCACCGTGGTATCAACGGAAGCGATATGATGCTCAACTATGCGATTTGGGAGTCTACCGCAGCTTTGAAGGCATATTACGACCTGCCCGAGTTCAAGGAAACCCTCGTCAACTATCCAGATGGAACCGAAGCTCGAATCGCACTCTACCGGAAACAGCATATCGATGGTATCTGTCTGGCCTAGGCATTTGCCAACAACAAAGCGTCCTGGGTTGCGGATTGGGGGGGCAATTCACACATCAGCATAGTTTTCCCTTGAAATGGCAAATGAACTTAGTGTGGCCGCCAAGAACCTACATTCTATTCGAATGTGAATCAAAACGGACTTTCAAACTCTCAATGTACAAGTACTAGCCAATCCCTAAACCTACTGGAGCCCATTAGATGTCCAATCCGAAGTAGACGCATCTTCATGACCCCCTCCGAGCAAGTTCAGTTTATCGATCCCGGTCATGGCTTTCCAATTGTCCACCTCATGCTTTTTCTCCACCAAATGGACGAGTCGATTGATGAGCGATGATCGGCACAACAGGCCCCTATCTACCTGCGGAATTCAGTCACCGATCTTTCTCTGTCAAATGGCATGAAGTCGGCGAAGAAGGCGTGACTTCCGAGAGAATACAGGCGCGATCTACAGACCAAAGACTATTGATTGCCTGAAAGTCCCCGCCAGAAACCAGCGAATATTGCGGATGAACTGTGCAGCGATAATCAGTACTCTCTGCCGCTCGGGGCACCTTGTGGAACGGGTTCGTCTGTTGCCAATGCCGACGCCTCCGAGCTGCAGGTCAGCCTCCGTGACTTTATCCTAATCGCGTACAGTTCCCAGCTTGTACACGGCCCCCAAGTGTATCGTGGCACATTCAGGACAGGGTGGGTCGCATGAAAGAGGCATCGTTCTCGCAGGAGCTCCCACGCCTGTCAGCATGGACAAGGGTGTTGGAAAAGAACAGTTACACAATGACAGCTGGTGCAGGAGCTCTACTGCGTACTGCTCTTGGGCTCTAACGGAAGATCAGCGGGCGGGGTAGCATCCGATAATGCGCTCGAATTGGATCTTGCTGCAGAGATGGCGAATGAGTGGCTGGTTGGGAGGAAGCTAACGCAGCGCCTAATTCCAGGCCGCTTCGTGGTTGGCAATATGGGAATTCGTATGATCCCCGATAGTCCCCGACAGTAGGTCATATATATCTTAGGTGATCTCGGGTTTTGAAACAAGTTTGTCTTTGTAATAATGAAGATTGAATAACGTTCTATCTTCTCGATTTTCTCCGTGGTGTACTTTTGCCAACGAAGGTCGGGGTAGTCAACCTAGAAGTCAGCCTACAATTGGAATTCCTGGGTACCGACAACCAAAAAAACTAAAATAAAAATAAAACAAAAATAAATGGACAAGGGGGAATTATCATAGTATAGCTTTTCGTTGAGGCCGGTGATTGTACCGATCTACTCAATAGACCAAGACAGAATATATAGGGGGCTGAAGGTGAGAGCACCACTACTCGGCAAGATCCTATGTTGATCTTTTAAGCCCATGGGTGCTGCAGACTATTCACGGTGGTATCCACATCTTAATACTATTTTTTAAGACTTCAAAATATCCGAATTAATCATCAATGATCAACTATACAATTTCATGGGCTTGCTTAAGCTGAGTCAATCTCAGGGTACGATCCGTGGCAATACGAACAAGTAATCCCATTAGATAGACAGAATGAAGGTGTGGATGACCTCCTTTTGCAATTTGAAGAAGTCCTATTTATACTGTATTTTCGGGATTGAATCAAGATAGTTACGGAGATGATGAAGACTTCATCGCGTGTTCCAGATGGCATGATTTAGGTTTTTTAGAGATTACTTGAGATTCAGAACGAAAGGGTTACTTTTGGGGCTACATTTTCTTTTTCTCATTTGAAACATGGAATACAGCGGAATTAAAACAAAAACCATCAATTTGCATAGCCTGGCACTCGCTAAAAGAACTCGGAAAAGCCTACGCGAGCTCGACGAAAAAAATAGCGAGGTGGTGATCCTGCTTAGTCAAACATGACGGCATTGCGGAGTATAAGACAGCGAGGAATCTCGATAGGAACAGATAACAACTTCAATCACCTTCACAAGTCAGTCAACGAACCTCAAAATGTCTTTGAAAGGATCCAACGTGCTCATTGTAAGAGTCCTCCATTCTTGATGAAGCTCTGACTAACCCATTTAGACCGGAGCGTCCATGGGAATTGGCGCAGCCATCGCTCATGCTTTCGCCCAAGAAGGCGCGAATTTGATTCTCTTCGCCAGATCGGAGGTACAAGAATTTGGCAATCTTCTAGATCCAACATTCTAACTTGAGCAAGGATAAACTGCAAACACTGGCATCCACCGTCCAAAAGCAACACCCAAAGTCCAAAGTAATATACAAGGCCGTCGACATCCAAAGCTACGAAGTGGTAGAATCGGCCGTGAAATCAGCCGTGCAAGAGCTCGGCGAGATCGACATTCTTATCAATAACGTGCGCTTGCCTCCCCATTCCCTGTCTAACAAACTCACTGATGAATCAAACAGGCCGGGCTGGCCCTCGGCGCCCCCGCGACATTCTCCGACCTCAAGATCAGCGATATCCTCGCTATGAACAACACGAACATCAACGGACTGATGTTTACCACGTACGCCGTGCTGAACGCATCCATGATGTCGCGCAAGTTTGGCACCATCCTCAACATTACGTCGGTCACGGGACTCGAGGTGCCCCCGTTCCCCGGGGAGTCGGTCTACCATTGCAACAAGGCCGCGCAAGAGGGGTTCACAAATGCGCTGCGCAATGAGCTCTGCGGGACGAATATCCGTGTCTTGGCGTTGCGGCCGGGTTGTGTGGCGACGAACTTTCATTCCTTGCGAGTGGGGCATGATAAGGAGAAGTATGAGAAGTTTTTCGAGGGCTACGAGTATGTCTCTTTGTTTCTGGCGGTTTCGTTCGTGCAAGATAGGGAGGCTAATTTGTGTTCTTAGACCTCTGGTGTCGGAGGATATCGCCGGTGCAGCGGTGTATATGGTCAAGCAGCCGGAGAATGTGTCTGTGAAGGCCATGGATATTGTTCCGTCTGGTGAGTTTTCTTTCTATGCCTGCTCTGGCTGGTTGCTAATTTCATATAGCGCAACGGTCTTTGACTGTCTTTGATCGGGAATGGAGTGAGAGGAATGCTTAAGCTTCAAGTTGAATAAATTGTGCGTCAAAATTCACGAACAGTCTATGATTGTTATACGTGAGATGTTTCAATGTGAACGATCATCAAAGTTCGAGTTGTTGCGCTATATAGGTCTCGAAAAGACTCTTTCGGTCAGAATATATTTCAGAAAGATGATGTAGCATCTCAAAGGTTTCTGAGTATACAGATTGCCTTGTATGCCAGAAAGCTCTGATGGCATATTCAGAAGGACAAAAAAATCAACATATAATTATGTAGATCGTGTAGCTTCATTGCAAAATTGCATGCATTGAACAACAGGCTTTTGGCATCCCTCATTAGGCGTTGAGAACCATCATCTACTTAAATTTCCACTCCTGCACCGCCAACTCCCTCACATCCTGCATCAACCCCTGCGGGCTCTCCAGCGCCGCAAAATGACCTCCGTCATCTCTCTCTAAACAAACCCATTAGCCACCATGGCAATACCACGAAAGCAAGGAGCACATACCTCTATAGAACACCAAATTCCCTGTCCTCTCAACCGCCCTCTTGGACGATGGCTCCGTGTCCCAAAAGAACGAACTATAACCAAACGGCACCTGGATGCGATTCTCCGGGCGCATGTTGAATTCCGCAAAGTTTTCATGCCGCACATTCTCGTAGTAGCAGAGCATCGAGGGCATAATGCACCCGGTGAAAAAGTATAGCGAGGCGGTCGTGAGGATGGCTTTTGTCCAGAACGGCTGTTTCTGCTTGTCGGGATCCGCAGCCTCGTTGTATTTCTCGCCAGCCCACATCAGGATCCCGAGTGGGTTGTCATGCAGGGCGATGCCGATGGTATGGGGCTATCGGAGTTGATCACTCAGTTAATTCACGCCCTACAGAAGGGTAGTGGGGGAAAAGGCAGAAGGGAGGAAATACCCTAGTCCGCATCTCAACCGCATACCCCATATGCCTCTCCAACCAATCCTCCACACGACCTGCAACCTCCCTCTCTCTCTCCGTATACTGCACCCCCTCTGGCAACGGACTCGGCGCAAAGTTACAATGCAACAACTTACACGAATCCGTGAACCTAGCGCCCAGCTCTCTGCCCACAAAATGCCCCCAATCTCCACACTGCACCATATACTCCTCATAGCCTAGTCTCTTCATAAGCGCATCAAACACCCTCGCGTTATCACGCAACGTCCAGCCCTTCCGCGGCGGCCAATCCGACCAGCAGAACCCCGGCATACTGGGGACGACGACATGGAAGGCCAGATCCTCAGGATTAGCAGGGTGAGAGAGGGGACCCCACACCTGACTGAATTCCCAAAAGGAGCCGGGCCAGCCGTGGATCATGAGGAGGGGGATGGCGCGGGGGGAGTCGGCGCGGGCGTGCAGGAAGTGGATGTTGATGTCTTCGATAGCGGTGATGTAGTGCGGGTATTTGTTCATTTCGGCCTGGACGGAGAACCAGTCGAAGTCGGTGGTCCAGGCGTCATAGATGGTTTGAGCCCATGAGTATGATGGTCCTGGGAGTGTTAGGGTTGGTGCTGTTCAGATGGAAAGGGCTGGGGACAGACCATATTGGTCTCCTGCATCGGGGACGATCTCGCGGCCTGGGAGACGGGTATCCTTTAGTTTCCTTTGGAGGCGGTCCACTTCTTCGACTGGAATGTCGACCTTGAAGGGGCGGATTTCGGAAGACATGATGGTGTTAGGGTAGCAATGGGTTCGTTATAGTAAGAATGTTAGATGCTACGGAAGATGTCTGCTGGTGAGGGATAAAGTGATCTAAGGATGAACACGCTCAGTCCTTTTGTACCGAGTACATGTTGATCAGAGCATGACATCAGGCGAATCACATTTAGCCGCGAAGCTCTATCCAACTAAGTACCTTGTCGGATGGTCTTGTATCTACACACAGGCTTGCTCTCAAATCCCCCGAGTACAGCAGGCCAATGCAGAGATGCAAGCGTATAATAAATTGCCCTGGCTTTACCCAATAACAGGACTTCGAATTCAGGCAAGAAGGGGAAAGAAAAAGAAAGAAAAATGAGAAACAAAAGTATCCTGGTTTGAATCAATCAGCAGATACTCATGACGTCATGGTATAGTTTAAACCTCGTTAAGACTCCCCATTGGTCAGTGCCTACCCCGTTCTCGCTTCTCAAAATCCTCGTCTGCAGCACTTCGGCGAATTCTCCTGGTAGTTGTTTAGCTGGGATCCACTTCAATGACTGGACTCTCGCTACTCTAGACGGGACTTGGGCCCAGCTCGCATCGAGGTTTGCCTATATGCACACCTCCGCGGCAATGCGCCCCAGACAGTCCGGGCGAAGACTCAGAGTCACGACTGGTTGGTTAGTGTCCTCACCGAGCATCTGTTTAGATCAGTGCTTAGCCTGCGAAGAATCCTACTCACTTCACTAGCATCACGTGTCGATCTCGGCGTGTCAAGTGTGATGAACGGCGGCCGGTATGTCGAAATTGTGCGAAGAAGGGTCGTCCTTGTAATTATCGTGACAAGCCACGCGAGACTTCTACCGATCAAGGGCATGGGCCTGTGGATCAGGGGCATGTCGAACCACTGGCTCAAGCTGCCTCATCGATTGGCAGCGACAACACTCAAGTTGTAACAGATACAGCGAGTTCGCCATCCAACATCAGGCCTCGAGTATCGGGTATCCCGCCTGAGGCACTAACAAATCAGAATCCTGCTCAGTTAACTGGAGAGCAAAACGAACCCAGCTACACACATACAGCTCGTTCTGAGCGAGCTACAGCCCACAATGAAATACATTCCCTTGAACCATCACCTGCACCGAACCTCTGTGCTATTCTCCATACCAAATTCCCCGGCCGCTCGCATCCATCCAGCCAAGCCAACTCCTCTACAAATACACCAACAACACATCAACACCTTGAAGTACCCATCGACGAGCATCCCACGCAACGACCATTCTACGTAACCGATCCCATCCAGCTCTCGCCAACAGAAGTCATCGTCTTCCGCAACTACGTCGAGCGCGTCTCAAAATGGGTACATCACATCCCGATCCCAGACACCCAGTCAACTAACACCGCCAGATCGACTCCTTCTCGCACGACCAGCCCTTCTACAACAAAGTCCCGTCTCTGGCCCTCCACTGCCCGATGCTCCTCCACGCCTGTCTCGCCGCGTCCGCTAAACAAATGACCCGCGCACCACAATACACAGGCTCTCTCACCCTGGCCACATCCCCGGTCTTCTACTACCAGCAGGCCCTCCGCGAAATGAGCCACTTCCTCATCGAACCAGGATACTCAGGTAGCGACGAGCTCCTCGCATCGAGTATCATTCTCTCGACGTATGTCCTTATCCCTGTCCCTCTGCTTAAGCCAACGCTAAGCGCATTGCTAGGTACGAAATCCTCGACGTCGCCGGGGACAGCTTCGGCTCGCACCTCAAAGGCGTAGCGAGTCTGATCCGCTCGCACCGTATCACCGGCGACGAAGATGGCATCCGCGGCGCAACGTATTGGACCTGGTACCGGCACGAAGTATGGGTGGCGTTTCAGTCCGGGCGGAGGATGTTCCTCGACGAGAGGTACTGGAGACCAGGAGACATGGAGGGTGGGTTTGAGGGGATATCGATGCGGGATGTTGCGAATCGCGTGCTGTTTATTTTTGGACAAGCGGTTTCGTTCTACGTTGCGAGGTATAGGGCTCCTGGGTCTGAAGCCGATGTTGATGGCGATACTATGACGCGGGAGGAGTGGGATGCAAGGCAGAGGAATAGGGCAAGGGAGTTACAGGATGCGTTGGCGGATTGGGAGAGAAGGCTGCCTGCTTCGATGAGGATATGCTTAAGACAGGACCAGGGACAGACAGGTACTGGTGCAGATGCAGGACACAAGATCAACCAGTTCCCAGCTCTCTGGTTCGCGTATCCGGAAAGTGGTACGTTCCCTACATTTCCCTCCTCTGTACAACTCAACCCAAAACCCACCTACTCTCTGACTCAAACAACAGCAGTCTCCCACCAACTACACCACGCCTCAAAAATCCTCCTCTTACTACGCACGCCCACCCTCAGAAACGACGACGACCCATTCCTTACCCGCCGTGAACTAGAAAGCTCTCGGCGCGAGATCTTCATGGTTGCCAACTCGCAGATCAATCAGGCGTGGGGGCTCATCTCTACGCAATGTCTGTATGTCGCGGGGTTGGTAACAGACGGGATCCTGGAGCGAGAGTGCACGCTGGAGTTGATTGAGACGTGCCAGCGCACGACTGGGAGACAGACGGTTTGTATTGCGGATCAGTTGAGGGGGTTTTGGGAGTAGGGTTTATTGAGATGGATATGTACATGGAAATAGAAATGTAGTAGGGAGTTGGTTTGCTAGATATAAACTAGTATATAGCACGCTGAATGGCTGGAATGCATATAGATAAGACTCTGTAAATCTAGTAGACCCATAAGAAATCCAAATCGAACGCCCAATCGCACAGCACACCGAAATAAAACAAACAACTCCACAAACTCCACACAGAGAATACTAATCCCACTCCGGAGGAATCAATTCTCGAGCCAAGGAAACACAGCCACAGCCACGCCTAGCCAAGCCGACAACGCCACGCAATCTCGGTCCTGAATATTAACTACCGAGCCAATACCCTCCCACCGAAATAGATCCAGACTACCTGAAATAAGCTCGTCGGAGAAGAACCCCTATCTCCACTAGGCAGCATCAGCAAGTCGCGTTAGCGCAACTGGCTATCTGCACCGTCCAATGAGGAGGGAAAGCGATGCCCCAGGCCAAGAACAAGGGAAGCAGATTACGCACGACGCGGACACGCACTCTTAGGCAGCGGAGACATATAAGCAGATTGCATGAGACTATACATAGGGTGATGGATGGGTGTACTACTGGAGTGGATTGATTGACTTAACCGACGATTGAAAGTATCATGTCGGCTGCTGACAGTGACAGTGCGCATGCATCTTCCGAGTCCCATCGGGAGTGGGACTCAGAGATCGCTAGAGAGGATGAGACGAGCAAGGGGCGCATAGCGGTGGTGCAGATGCGCTCGCAGGCACAAGGGTGCGGACCGCAGGATGACTGGACGGGAGTGGTTGATCCGAAAGAGCGAAGGAAGTTGCAAAACAGGCTGAATCAGCGGGCGTTGAGTAGGTGACCGCAAGGATATTGATGCTTGGTTGTGGTATATGCTAAATAGACTATGTACAGGAAATCGAAGAAAGAGAAGCAAGGACCCGACTGCGGCAAGTGCCAGAAGCGACTCTCCACAAGGAACAGGACATGGATCTGTCTCGTCAGCTGCAACCCCCATGACGGTTGTGCAGATCCCGAAAGTGGACTGCAGGATGGCCCCGGATAACGTGGAGGAGCTGATGCTAGAGTTTCAGCGCCGGACGTTGAGGAACCACCGACTCGGAACGCCGAATCTAGACGACCTGGCCACGCTGAGCAAGCTAAACATGAAACGCGCTATGAAGGACAACATAGTCGCGGTAGGAATGACCATGGCGTGGGTGGCGGATGACGACTCCATTTCTATCTTCAGTATGGCGGGTCCAAGCTTGTCAGAGGGTACAATCCCCCCCAGTCTCCGCCCAACGGCGTTGCAGCGAACAAAGCCCCATCATCCCTGGTTCGATGTATTTCCCTTCCCGCGGATGCGAGACAATCTTATCACGGCCCAGGACGACTTCGATGACGAAGAGCTCTGCCACGATCTGATGGCGTTCTGGGATATTCAAAACACGGAGACCGCGGTTTTAATCTGGGGGAGTCCGTGGGACCCAAGAAACTGGGAGGTGACGGAAGCTTTCGTGAGGAAATGGGGCTGGGTGATAGACGGATGTTCAGAGATTCAGGAGTCATCGAACCGGTGGAGACGGGTACGAGGTGAGAAGGCTCTTGTAATAACGAGTTAGGGAGAAGAATAGCGGTCATCCTCGATCCACAGAAATCTTGCCCGGCAATTGAACGAATTACTTTCCAACAGGTCGTGCACTTTTCAAATGGATTACTCGCCCTCCACCACCTCCATCGCGATCCTGCTGTACCCAGCCGGGAACGCTATCGGTATAACCCTCCCGTGTTGAGATGGTTTGCCAAACATTGGGAAATCCGGTAGGCAACAACCCACGGATTCGGGCTCCAGGAACGACGAACCGAGGATTTCGATGCGTCAGATAACCTCCCATCAGATTTTGGGTCAGAAGCGAAGCAAATATGGATTCGAGCTCCCGCAGCATGGGTGTCGGCTGGTCGGGATCAATTTCACTGGGATCAACAGCATATGGATCTAATTCGTAGTCTCGGTACCGATTCGTTGGTGGCTCGAGATCAATAGCAGAGCAAGCCATGTTGTTCTCTAAATTCCCGAACTTATCGAAAAAGGTGTTCGCAGTGAGGTAATCGTTGTATTTGTTCAAGACCTGCTCCCGATTCACAGTCAAATCGGCTGGAAATGGCCTGTCGACATATTCGAAATCGGGGTCAGTTTCCTTGTAAATAAGCTGCGATCCAGCCATGTTGCTTCCGGCCTGGGCATCGGCCGAGTTCCCATGTTCCGACTGGATCCATCGCACTGCTGTCTCTAGTTTGTTTATGTAGAGATACGGGGGTGGTCCGCGCTGGGTCGATCCTTGTGGCTCGCCATGGAAGCCGCCGTGAACAAATACTTTGCGCGCCAGAGACCGCCATACCAGGATTTCGCAGCGATTTCGCAAAGCTAGCAAGATCCCCTTGCTAGCAAACCATTCGGATTTGGGAGAGTCTATGGCGAGGTACTCGCGGAATTCGATGTAGTCTCCCCTAGCAATTAATCGACACAATGGAATAAATTTGTCGGCTAGCGTCTCTGCTTCCGGTCGCTGTAACAAGACCGATGATGGAAATCGTCCCATGATGATATTGCACGGAATAAGATAGGTGAGTATGCTGCGCTTTTGTTTCATAGCCTGGCGATGGCATTGGTCGTAAGCCGCCTGCAGGGCCAGTTGAGCGGGATAAAAGAGGTTGTTGGAGAACAGGTAACGTCCGAGATAATACAGATAGGTTACTCTTTGCGAAGCCGGGAAATATTTCAAGGGCGGAGATTGCGCAGTGATACTGGAGAACATGGTCTCTGCATTTCGGAGTTTGCCGCACTAAACGGCCATTAGTCCGCCGCTGGAGCAAGATGAAAAAGTCTGAGCTTACCTGGAACAGCAGTTTCAAACACAAGTTGGCCATGAGGTAAATCCCCACTCTTTTCCCCTCGGCCTTCCCCAGGGTTCCGCTGCGGTCTGTAAGACACTTAATGAACGCCTCCCGAACAACATTTGCTGCCTTTTCGACAAAGGTGACCTTCTCGGCACTTTCGTCTGCGTTTGAATTGCCGTCCATCTGTTGTAAACGCGCCACCAAAGCCGGCCGACCATCCAAGCCCATGGCCAGCTTTGCCAGCACTTTCGAGAGGTAAAGAACGGTAGGTAGCATGATGATGCCAAATTGGCTATCACCGAGCGCTAGAACGCACTGACTAGAAGTCGAGTCAGCTCTATCCTCGCATCGAACCACCAATGTATACTAAACAGTGGGCATCCACAGTAGAACAGTGTACTTACTTCAACAATGCCTTCAGCTGCTCATAAGTCTCCAAAAGGTTCTCGACATAGACGTCGCGCAGAAAGGCGAAATAGAGCCTCATGAAAGCCGGAAAAGCAGACCACGAGCTACTGTTCTTCGAGCGCGGGACGAGTTGTTCGCATCGGCGCAGGAGTTCCTTATTCTTCTCCGGTGTATCGGGGTAGTCATATCGCAGCTCCGCCACCATCTGTTGGTAGACTTCGTTCAGCGGGGGTTCGAGCTGCAGGAAATCCTGTAGCTTGGCGCCATCGCGGTTCTTCACCAGCTCGGCAATCGCCCCCATGAATTGTTGTAGGACATTACTGCCTGGTCCAGACATTGTGACGATCGACCGCAGGGAGGTATGCGACTCGGGAGGTTAGGGAGTGACGATCGAATGGGTGAGTGGACAGTCGGGTGTCGCTGTCTGAGGTGCAGGTCGCGCGGTGCGCAAAGGGACAATTCAACGTAGGTTTCGCATTGTGGTGACAAAGAAGGTCGGATGGAAGAGGGCGGTCGAGGACAAAGGAGATTCCGCCGACGCGAACAGTTGAATGGCCTCGAGACCAAAGGAGTGATTCTGGGTGTTTTGTTCTTTCGACTCGCTTTCTTTGGTTCTTCGGAGCTGCAGTGGGTCGGTCAGGTGACATCACTGTGCTTAGTCAGTGCCAAGACTTTGGCCAACGATAAGAGGATTCACTATGCTTTCTACAACAACCTCATGTTGGAGTACATACACTTGGAATTATGCTCTACCGACTAAAATTTACCCTTTTTGAGAAGACTTAATATGCTTTATCATGGAGAGGTGCTTGGTTGATTTTCTAGATATAATAAACATGACGATATATTGTAACATTACTTCCCTTCATGAACCGAAGTTCCGAACCCTCTCAAATCTGATCCCACACCACCTGATTCATCATGTCAAAGAACTCATAATTGAACGGCAAGATGTCCAAAATGGAAGGATCTTCGTTCAAATCTGAGGTCTGTTGCTCGAACTGTAACGACGACTCGATTTCCGCAAATATATCCGGGAACTCTTGATCCAATGCTATTTCATAGTTATCCTCAGAAGCAAAAATCACATCAGAGGTCGCCATGAAACAGAGCTTCCGAACGCTCCTGCCAATCGCTCGTGCCGGATGCCATGTTTTGGATAGCTCATCCAGCACTGTAACGCAAATATTCAGCTTCGCCTTATGAGAAGCAGTGCTGAGCATCTCAGTCTCACGCAGAAGGACCAGAGCCGCGGACAGAGTGCAATGTGTTGCTGAAATAGGGCTGCGCTCGAAACTACCAAAGATCTGTCGATACTTCTGAGCTACCAGGCATATTGCGCGTGCGGACTCTCGGCAGACATCCAGGGCTAGGTTGGCGGTTTCGTTCGGTGTTTGTGAATCATCTTCTTTTGATTGTGGTGTTTTGCTGTATGGCTCTGCTAGGAGGATTCTGGCGGTATAGTAGATCATATGCAGAGTGTAAGCCTGAGGGATGCTGTTGGGACGATCAATCCTCAGTTCCGTGGGCAGGTCATAAAGCCATGATCGCAAGTCTAGGAGACATGATTTTAGAAATGCCGGGCGCTGCTTTGCATTCAGAAGGGGCTTAGGTGCCCATCTGGGTTTGTTAGTGCTTTATTCCGATATTGGGTGTAGGACTGCAGTTCTTCGTGTACCGATAAAAATAGCCGATTGAACTAGCATCCATATCCGTGAATGTGACTTACAATGAGAGTATCATCTTCTCCTGAATCAGGCAAATACCAGCCATAGCCCTTTGTAGCGGTCGAAATGCTCGTTGGGTTGAAGTTTCCGCGGGTGATGATTCTTCATTCTCATCATCTTCCGGTACCCTGACAGCGCCTTGCGAATCCTGCAGATGATTAGGACATCTAGGAATCATGGCTTCAAAGTTCAATGACAAATGCACATACCAGCATCGAGCAAACTCTGCCCGTATACGACGACGACCACTTGTCATGACAGTATAGAGCCCAATATATTTGTCGCCGAAGCTGAATCTCCCGATGAGATAGCGTCTTGGTCTCTTCAAATCCCGCAGGATCAAGGTTTAGTCCCAAATCCAGGACAAGCCGGTTTGCCATTCCATGGTGTAGCCAGCATGACGCATCGCCTCCTATTGCCTGGGGATAGGTGAGTAGATGTATAGATCAGCAGAGTAGAATAGTAACGCACAATATAATATGTCCCAATGATAGTCACTGCTTGAACTGTTGTCAGACTGGGGCTTTCTATGCTTTTGTACAAATAGCCCTTCGCCTTGGCCACGAATATGTCACCTGCTGTCTTGGGATCATTTGGGTCGGATCGAACGTCGATTTTATGCGAGTACAGCGAGCCGACAGCCAGGATGCAATAGTGAAGCAATGGACTGCAGTACTGACTGCCAGAGTTGATGCCTTCGTAATAGAGCATTTCATCGACAACCGCAAACCACGGGTTCTCCCAGGTAAAGTAGAGGTTGAGTAGTTCCTCTTGTATGGACTTTGAAACTCCGACCTCGATCACCACGCGGTCATAGAGGTGATAAACACTTTCTGATTCCCAGTCCAGAGCAGCGACCGGAGCAACGATCGAAGCAGAGACTTCTGTCTGCAGAGTATCGGACGAAGGCGGAAACTCCAGCCTTCCGCTTGTTCGCCCGAAGTATCTCATTTCGCCATCTCGGTCGAAATTAAGAGACTCATCAAGCGCAAGCTTTCCCCAACTCTCCGTTAGTTCCTCGACTGTAGGGTCTCTTGCTTCACCTCCCGTCGGACCAGACAAGGAGGACGATGACCACCACTTGGGCTCTGTCGATTCTTGAGGATCGATCCCATGCTTCTTTAGAAGTTGTTCTAGTGATTCAATCCTCTGCCGTAACTCAAGCACATACTTCTTCGATGCCGGTTTCCGGCTAGTATCTGCGTCTGAGTATGCGCATGAAATCTGCCACTGGAGGCACCTCGAGCAGGATGGCTTTTTGCCGTCACACTAAGGAGTGACCATCAATACAAGGGCGCTGAGAAATCGGAAATGGGTGCATTTGGTGAAAGGGGTACCTTAGCTCGCCTGCGTCTGCATTCTTCGCATGCTTTGGTCGTGTACTTTCCACGAGGCCTTCCGGTGTTTTTCTGCAATATTGGGGGCTGAGGGCTTGTATTCTGGGCCATGGTGGTTTCGTAGTCAAAATGTCAAGGTTAGAGACGAGCATGACGTGCTCGAATCTCGGTGTTTTCGTGGGGATCCTCGCTTCGGAAAATCCTCGGGGTTTCTCCCACAACAACCTTTCGACCGCGTAATCCATGGTAGGGAATTCTTATAAACATTATTAACCTAGTGTGAATTGCCACCACTCATTCACTATCTCGAAATCTGCTCATCCTATCACCCCGGAGATTGTATATTATCTTTGATAACTTGAATAAATTCCAATCGCGTCCATAGTGATACGATAGAATGCTTAAAACTCACTGATATGTACGATTGCTCCGAATCGTCAAGGCCCTGTATAAATGGCAGTACCTAAGGACTACCACCTAAAAACGGTATGAGTATCGGAGCCTATTGAATATCGTACTTTAATCCCAAGACATCTCGATACTTCCACCAACCCGGTCGACCTCTTCGCAAATATAGAACAAATGTACACATAGACTATGATCATATCTATCCCATCCGAGCGCTCACAAAGTCAATGACATCAAAGAAGCTTTTCTTAAAGAATCGCTCCCGGGTCGTCCGATTGACCACCTGCATCCCAAACTGTTGATCATAATCGCCAAACTCCCAATTATCCGCCCACGACCAAGCCAAAGCCCCAACTACACTGACACCATCCTCGTGAATCGCCTTCAGGATTTCCGACAAAAAGGAGAGGTAATAAATACTCCGCGGGGTGTCAAACCTCTGATCTGCCAGGTCCTTCTCGGCTTCAGCAAAGACGGGAAACCCAAACTCAGACACAACGATCGGATGCCGGAACGTGTTCCACAGATAATTGAGGAACTCTCTCAGATACGTCGGGGTAATGTACGTGTAGGTCTGCGATCGATACCCTATATTCCATCCGAACGCATTCTGCTCTCTCTGGTTCACGCAGAGAGGCCAGAGCGTGTTGTTCGCAGAGTGATCGGCGACACAAGCGTCGATTCCGCCCGGTGGTGAGGAAACAACAATAGCCGTGTATGCGTCGATAGCGAAGAAGTCCGACGTGTTGGCTATGTACGAGAGATCGTGTTCATCGAGCCCCTTGGCGCCTGGTAGTGTGCTAAGAACAGAATCTGGGTACTGTTGGCCGAGATAGATAGGGTAGGCAAATAATCCTAGTTGAATCTCCTGGAATCGATTCGCGGCCTGCACATCGTCTGCATCACTAGGGTTACGAGGAACTCCGAAGTTATCGTTAAGCTTGATCGCCATCTTCCCGGTTGCGTTCAACTCGTCGTGATAGAAATGGTAAACTTGTGCGTGCGCATGCACCACGTTGTTGGCGCCCTCGAAATTGAACGAATATAAATACGGCTCAGTGAAGGTGATCCAAATGGGGACTCGGTCAGCGAAATGGGAGAGAACAATCTTCGCGTAGTTGACGTAGGCGTCGACAAAAGTCTCATTGTAGTAGCCGCCATTGTAGGCACCGATCTCAGGATGCGCAGTGAAGTTGTCATCTGTGGAGACAAACAGCCAGGGGGTGTCAAAGTGAAGTAAAGTGACAATTGGCTGCATTCCAGCATCAAGGACGGCAGTGATCAAATCATTGTAATGCGCAATGCCCTGTTCGTTGACTGGCGACCCGGGCAGGACGACAGGTAGGATTCGGGACCACGAGATCGAAAGGCTGTAGTATTTGACTCCCATCGCAGCCAGTCGCTCAATGTCTTGCTTGTACAAGTAGTAGTTTTCGTTGGTTACGTAGTTCTTGGGCTGAGTAGAGTTGACCAACTTTTCCTGGATGCTAGGGCTTCTGCCCTCAAGTGCCACGGCTCCTTCCACCTGGGCTGTGTGAGCGTGCTAGCGATGAAGTGTGTGTATTCCTATCTGCAAGAACGAGATGTCCCTAGCTATAAAGAAGCCACTATAGGCGGTACTAAGCTATATTAGACAATGGAAGCGAGGGAGGAGTACTAAGTATACTTAATACCCCCTATACTCAGAGTAATAAAGTCCGAGTGATTGCCAAAATAGGAAATAAGATATTAAAATTTATAATAAAAATTAATAAAATAATTATTATAGAAAATAATATATAAAAGATAATTAAACAAGTAGAAAAAGCAACTTTTAAATATAAAATTTAATAAATAATTTGATAAAGGCTAATTATTTCTCTGAATTAATAAAAAATTATTTTTAATAATAGTTTTATAAGGCTATTAGCGGCCTAATAATTAGTTTTTATATAAAAAAATTTAATAATACTAGATTAAACTTATTTACATAAAAAATAATATTAAATATTAATATACTTTAAGCAGGTATGAAATTCAGGGTTCTTTATAAGAGTAATAGTACCCTGATTATTTATATAAATTATTATAAAAATAGGAATAAAGATATTAGTAATATTATAGTAATAAATATTTATTTTAGAAAAAAAAAAAATTTAAATAAGTTCCTGAACTACGTGGGATTAAAAGATATACTTAGATTTAATAAAAAAAAGAAATATAATTACCTATTTTTTAAAAGATTATAAAATAGGTATTTTGGTAAGAATAGATATATATTTAGATATAAATTTTAATATATTAGAATAAAGGCTTATTTAATTAATATTACAGAACCCTTATAGGCCTCCGCTCTTTTTATTAAAAAATAAAATATAATTAATAGTTACAGAGAGATAACAGTAAATATAATTAATAATAATAAAATATATTTTACTAGGGTTCCGAGCGAATCAGGCGAGTTTAATTATAATAAATATAATATTAAGGCGAGTACTAATCATAATCTATATAAAATAACTAATTATAGCTTAAAATAACTTTATTTTAATATATTCCATGTTGATATTAGAGAGAGTTAGTATAATCTTTTTATTATAAAAAATAAACACCAGATTATAAAAGGCAAGATTAAAATAATATAAAAAATTAAAAATATAGTCTTTTTAAAATAAAATAATTTTATTATTATAATAAATAATATTTATGCTAAGGAAATGTTTTACCAGACTATTATTAATAATTTTAAATATTTTAGTAAATTTTTTTTAAAAGATTTAATCTCCGTGAGGTCCTTTCCGAGGATAAAGATATTATTAATATAAATTAATATATAAAAATAATTACAGATAAATATAGAATAATCTATATAAATATAAATAAAGCTAGTACCCTGTAAGATTCCAGAAAAAAGATTATATTATTTTTAGGATAATTATTTAAGATTACATATTATTTTTATAAGTAAATTATATTTATTATCTTATATATAGCCCCCCGGGAGATTAATAAATATTAATATTTTAAAATTAATATAAAGAAAAATAATAATTATATTTAAATAATAAAGATACCAGAGGAATTATATAATAATAATAATAAAAATCTTAAATAATATAGGTTTAATAATAGCGGTATAGATCTTATTAAAATTATAACTAGTATATTAGCAAAATCCTTTCACTACTAAGTATGCTTTAAAGTATTTATTATATTTAATTTTAAATATTTAGTAAAAAAGTAAAAGTCTTATTTTTTTTTCTTAATTAATTATCTTAAATATTCTATTTCTAAAATATTATTTTATTTTTAAATATATAATTTCTCTTTATTTCTCTGTATTTCGGCAGGAGATTACTTCTTAGTAGAATTATAGCTTAAATTTATTATCATTTAGATTAGATAGATAATAATCAGATATAAAAATAAATTTAAGAATAAGAGTTTTAATATTATTAAGTATCTAGTTAATTATTTTAGGGTAGAGGTTAGTAATAAAAGATTTTAATAAATATTAAGTAAGATTAGGATCTTAATTATAGAACTTAATAATATTAGATTATAGAGATTTAATTAAGCATTAGGAAGGTTTTTTAATATAAAAAAATAATAAATAAGAAGATTAGGATTAATCCTTCTTACGTAATATTTTAAAATAAATAGATTATTATTATTAAATTAATAAAATTTATAATTATTATCTTAGATATTAGGAATATTCTTAGCTATATTAAGAAGATTAATAATCTTAGGATTAGGTGTAGGGATTAAAGGCAGGACCCTAGTATAATTCTATTTTGTTATTTAAAAGAAAATAAGAGTTAAATTATTTAAAATAAGTAAATTAAAGTAAAACAGTAAGAATGACCTCCTAATTATAATATTTAAATTATTATATATATAAATAAACTTAGTAAGGATAAAGGTTTATTTTAAATTATTTAAGAAAATAAAATTAAGATTATAAATAAAATTAATATTATTTATATTAAAGATTTTCTAAAATTATATATCCCGGCAGAGAATAATCTGCTTTTTTTTAATATTATAAATTTTATAAAGACTCTTATTATATCTAATAAAATAATCTTTTTTATATAAATATTAAGCTTATCGTGTTGTTTCTTTAGAATAAGATACTAGTATTTATAACTAAGTATCTTTTAATAAAAAGTATTAGGAAGTTTACTGTATAATACCTTATAAGAAAATATATTAATTATATTATAATAAAAATAATTTTAAATATATATAATTATAATAATAAGATCCTCCTATAAAAACTTAGAGAGATAATTCTTAATTATTATAAAAATAAGTAATTTAATAAAATATTTGTTTTTAATCTCTGTAATTAAATTTAAATATAAAAAATAGGTAGGAGAAGGATCCCAGATCTAGCCTTAATTTTGAAAATATTAAATAAGAGGTTTATATTTTCTAGTATTATTCCTATAAATCTTTTTTATTTTAATATTAAATTAAGTATTAAGAAACTTTTTAAGTATAATAAATTTATTAAGTAATTTAAAGTAATTCTTTAGGATAAAGATTTAATAAAATTATATAAATTTATTTATAAAAATTATAAAGTATTGCTTTTTATAATAATCTTATATAGAAATAAGGCCACAGATATTAAAATAAATAATATTATTAAAAGAGAAGAAGATTTTTTTAGAATATTACTAAAAAAATAAGTAAGTATTTTTTTTAAATATAGAGATTATATTTTTTAAAGATCCCTTTTTAAGTTTAACTCTTTAAAAATAGTAAATAGATAAATAGACCTTTTTCTCTAAGATATATGTTATCTGATGGTAAATAATCTTTATTAGAATAAGAGAGATATTTATTGAATTTACTAATAAAATAATAATAATTAAAGAAAGATCTAATCTTATAGTAGTACAGAGATAGTAGTATTTATTTATTTAATTAATATATACTTTTATTTTATTTTAAACAGTAAATTTAATAATTCTATTAGTACAAAAGTTTATAGAGATACTAAGATTAGTAAGTTAAAAAATTAAGATAAGATTATAAATAAGTAAAGATACAAACTAAACACGAAAAATTATAATATTATTAAAGTAAGTGTCAGATGAAATGCTAATCTGGGCTTATAACTATCAGATGGGGTAGGTAGGTCACGTGGGTTGAATAGAAATTTCAAATGACTAGATAGAATAAAGGAAATCGATCAGTCAGATGAAGTAAACAGTTCACCTGGACCACCTAGATCTGATGATAGACCAGAGGTCCTACCATTCACTATGCATGTAGATAGGTGAAATTGATTAATGAATGAATGAATTAATGAGTAAATTGAATAGATGAAATCAACTTGTTAAATTGAAACGGTAAAATCAACTTGTTAAAAAGAATGAATTAATGCAGGTCATTGACTGCATATTTATAAACAATAAAATCAGGGCTAATTTAATTTGGCCCTAAGCAAATATTATAAACATGAAATCATTAAATCCTTCTAGGCCTTTACCTGTGAGTTATATTATTAATCTAGGCCTTTAAGATCAACCTCATAGATTATCATTAGATCAATATTTAATTATTTAAATGATTAAATGATCAGGATTTCATGATCAGAATAATTAGAATAATCAAGATTCAACATATAAATCATAATGAAATCATTTAAATGATATCAGAATGACCAGGGTAGTAATATTCACTTTATGGCTTATAAAATGAATAGGCGAGATATTCTGGACCCTTTATATTGATCATCTGAACAAAGCCATTGATCGCAGTGGTTGAAATAAACTTTTAATTTCCTAAATAAGAAATTTATCGACTTATGTTTTCTGACTTCTATAGGATTTTAGCGACTGGTAATTTCCTAAAGAGGAAGGTAAGCTAGTCTAAAATAGGAAATTCTTCAGAAATTTTTCTTTTTTATTTTCCGCTCATATTGAGCTCAGTTTCACCTCACTTTTCCCATACAATTTGGTGGTGGAAGTGAGAGTTCAATGAAGTGACAGTAAAGTTGTAGTAAATTTTGAATAATTTCGGTTGTGGGGTTAGATCAGGTGATTCTGATGAATCAGGTGATGTCAGGTGACCCCATTTGACAGTAAGTAATAGATCCTAGCTTAATAAAATTAATTAATAAATTATTGTAGTCTTTTGTGTAAAACACATGGTTAGTAATAATAATAATAAGATTCTTATAAATAATAAAGTTCTTTAAAAAATTATAATTAAAAATTATTATATCAGTGTCAAATGAGGTCACCTGACATCACCTGATCTAGCCCCACAACCAAAATTATTCAAAATTCACTACGACTTTACTCTCACTTTATTGAACTCTTACTTCCACCACTAAATTATATAGGAAAAGTAAGGTAAAACTGAGCTCAATATAAGTAGAAAATGAAAAAAAAAATTTTAAAGAATTTCTTATTTTAAACTAGCTTACCTTTCTATTTAGAAAACCACCAGTCCCTAGAATCCTATAGAAGTCAGAAAACATAATTTAATAAATTTCCTATCTAAGAAATTAAAAGTTTATTTTAACCACTATAATTAATAGCTTTGTTCAGATAATTAATATAAAGGGTCTAGAATATTTCGCCTATTTATTTTATAAACTATAAAGTAAATATTACTATTCTGGTTATTCTGATATTATTTAAATAATTTTATTATACTTTATGTGTTAAATCTCGATTATTCTGATTATTCTAATTATAAAATCTTAATTATTTAATTATTTAAATAATTAAATATTAATCTAATAGAAATCTATGAGATTAATCTTAAAGGCCTAAATTAATAATATAACTTACAGGTAAAGGCCTAGAAGGATTTAATAATTTTATATTTATAATATTTACTTAAGGCTAGATTAAATTAGCCCTTATTTAATAATCTATAAATATATAGTTAATAACCTACATTAATTTATTCTTTTTATTAAGTTAATTTACCCACTTAATTCATTTAATTAAGTTTTGTTTATTTATTTAATTAATTTTACCTATTTATATATATAACGAATGGTAAGACCTCTGGTCTATTTATTTTAGATCTAGGTAGTCCAAGTAAATTATTTATTTTATATAACTGATTAATTTCCTTTATTTTATTTAACTATTTAAAATTTTTATTTAACCTATATAATCTACCTACCCCATTTAATAATTATGAGCCCGATCTAGCCCTTTATTTTTATTATTTATATATACACGTGAATTAATTATTTACCTGTTTAATTAAATTTATATATATTTAATTAAATTCACACCTATATCTGAATTAATTATTTGTTTATTTAATTAAATTTAACCTATATATGAATTAATTATTTAATTACTCACTACTGCAGTGAACTATTTACTATTTATATTAATTTAATTTATTTAACCTGTATACTTACTTTAAATGTTTTATTTCATTTATCTAAAATATTTGATTAATTTAAATTATCTTATTAATTTATTAATTAAATTTACACATATATAAATTAATTAATTACCTGTTTATTCACTATTACAGTAAATTATTTACCTGTCTAATTTAATTAACCTTTACTTACTTAATTTATTTTTATTTTATTAAACTTTCACTTTTACTATTGATTTATATAGTGAAAGTAAGATAAAAGTAAGGTAAAACAAAAATTAAATAATTTAAATTATTTTATTAATTATTTAAGCTTACTAATATAAATATAAAGCTTAATTTTTAATTAAACTAGTCACATGACTGGATACACTGGTTTAATATAATTAAAATAATTATTAAAAGTAAATATGTTTAGGAATTTATTAATCCTAATTATATAACTATATCTAATTAACCTGTACAGCCTAGTCACCCGGAACTATGTAACCTTAATAAGAATATTAGATTAATTATTAATTTAACCTAAAATAATTAAGCACTTTATTAAAACCTTTTATATAATTATAAATTAGTACTTTAAAAATACTATTACATAGATAAGAGCTTAGCCCTAATTCTACTTTTAATTAAGAACTTAATATTATTAGCTAATAAGGTTTTAGTATCTAACAAAGAAACCCTATATTATATACTATAGATCTTTTAAATAAAACTAGCTTCTACTAATAAATCAAGAAAATATAATATTATTAAGTAATATTATATACTTAAAAATCTACAAAATAAATATTTAATTAATTTATATATTTTACTATAGGAAAATGTCTATACTAAAGCGAAATTACTTAAAATAAGTAAAGTAAATAATCCACACCGAGTTTAATATAACTTTATTAAAACTATTTATGGGTCTTATTTAATATTTATAAATTATTAAAGCGAAAAATTAAATAATAAAATTAAATTATATAATAAAATATTATTATTCTTTAATATAACTAAATAATTTAAAGATTATATAAAAATATTCCTAATATTTAAATACTTAAACTAACCCAGCCGAATTGCTCAGGTAACCTTTAAAGGAAATATCTTAAAAAATACTCTAAGTCTTAAATTTAATCCTAGAACTCTTAAAAAGAAATAAAACTACCCTTGTTAATCAGACCCTAATAAAGATAAATATAAATTTAATTAATATTTTTATATTAATAATTTATTAAAGAAACCAGAAAATTAGTTACGTAATCCTAAGGCTATTTAATAATTTAATAAAGCCTTTAGGAACCCTAAATTTCGTATAATACTTAAAGCTATAAAAAATTGCTTGAAATTAATAAATTAAGTAATAAATTAAAATAATAAATTTTTAACTGATTTAATTATAATAGTTTTAAATTTAATAAGACTAATTAAAAAACATATTAGTCTTAATTAAGTATTTAATATTATAGCAGATATCTACATCTGTAATAATTAATCCTTATTTAATAATTATTATAAATCACTTATATTAATCTCTATAAGGAATACGCAGACATTAATTAAAGATTTTAAAACAGTAAATTTAAAACCTTTAAACCCTTATAAAGATAAAATAATATTTAAATTATATTATTACACCTACATTCCACGATTTTATATTAATATTTTATTTGTCTTAAAGGTAAGGCAATCAGGTATTTATTTTAATTCTAGAGCTATATATCTAAAAAGCCCTAATTACTGCCTAATTTATGAAGTCCTTGAAATTATAGGTATTTATTTAATTAAATAAAGTATTAATAATTATATTTAATGGTTATCTAAATTAACTCCTGAAAATGATTATATTCACTATCCAAATTTATTACTGAATTTATTACTAAATATTAAAGTAAATAAATTAGAGGCTTATTTAATAAAAAATTCAAATAAACCAGTTATCTCTTATAAAATAGCTGAATTATGGTATTTAAGATTAGGGCACCTAAGCTCTAAAGCCCTAAAATATTTTAATTTAATAGTTAACAGAGTAAAAATTAATAATAAATTAATAAAAACTAAAGATTATTATCTGATTTATTAATTATTAATATTAAAATGTTAAATTTCTCGAATTCTGATTTAATTAAGGATTAAACCATTTGGAACCATTCATTAGGACCTTATTTATTTAAATTAGGGAATCTACTAAAAATAATATATTAGTTATATATATTACCCTTATTCAAAGTTTTATATAACTAAAGAAATTTTATTAAAAGATCACATAAGTATTTTAATTATTAAAATAATTTAATTTATTAAATATTAATATCACGTGACTATTAAATAATTTTATTTAAGTTAAGGTAAAAATCTAGCTTATTTTTATAATTACACAAGATTTAAAAAAGTAATTTATAATATTAGCCTGATTAGGCAACCCGAGCAAAACCTATTTATAGAATATTTAAATATTTTAATCATATAAAAAATATAAATTTTATTTATTAATTTAGGATTATCACCATATTTATGGCTAGAATTATTAAATATAGTAATATATATATTAAATCACACCCCTACTTATTTACTAAAGTGGAGTACCCTGTATAAAACCTTATTCAAATATCTTAATTAGCTTTTATTATATATGTTACAGGACAAGAAGAAGCTTCTGTTCTAAACATGCCTTGGACAAGAAGAAATAGCTGAAGAGCTATTCCTTGCGTCCGTACGAATCTTTTTATTATATAATACGCTAGTGCTAATAGCCGCGAGGCCTTAGGCACTAAAAGGTGCCTTAGATAAAGCTTTTATATCTAGGGGCAGTCTTATAATAATAGCCCCTTTTTCCTCCTTTCCTAACATCCTTATACTGTGAGGTGTACCGTCTTTATATAGGATAGCTAGATTAACCTGTAAGTATAAAATAAACCTAACACAGTAGTCCCTTTTTTAATACTGTTATTCGTACGAGTTAGTCTTTTCTAGTAGTACTGGCTGTTTAAGAGAAGCTTTATTATATAAACTGTATAATAGGTATTATAGAAGCGGCCAAGCTAGTCTCTTAAGATTATATATACTGCATAATATCTTATATAAAAAGGGTCTCCCCCCCTTATTATATTATTTTTTTTTTATTAGGGTTATTATTCTTTTTTTTTTTAAATTTAAAATATTTAATCTTCTTATATAAATCCCTTCTCACTGATTTAACTATATTTAATAAAGAAGCTTATAAGGGTAATACTTTTATTTTAGTCTATTATAATCTATTTATAATTATTATTAATTTTGCTGGCTGTAATTCTCTCTTCTAGATTATTTATAAATAAACTATATATAATAGTAATACTAGCCTACCTAATTATTAGGTCACTATCTGTTTAATTATACAGGATAATAAGGCCTTATTATAGCTTTACTATATAAAGGACTAGTAACATATATAATAGTTCCCCTATTATAAGTTTAAGATATAGGTTAGGTCTATTTTTACTGCGCAGGTGAGAGAGACAAGTATAATTATTATATAATATATTAATAACTAGAGTAGTTATATACTAGTTACCTATCTTATATTAATATTTTTTTTATTCTGTCTTATAGACTGGTAATGTTGACTGCCTGTTTGCATGATAACTATATAAAATTCTGGTATATTGTATGATTACCAGGATAGTGGGATAGGGCTTATACTAGGTGTAAGTTTTAAAATTATAGAGCGTGCTATAATTATTATGCTCCGGGGGAGGACTAATATAAGCTTGTAATAATTATTATTTTTTTTAGAAATATTATTAAAAAATTAAATAATAACTAAAAGTTATATAATAATATTATTATTTTTACCTTTTTTTTTTTTTTTTTTTTTTTGTAATTATTAGAGCGGGGTAAGCCCTTTTTTTAAGTTAATTAAAAATTAAGAATATTTTTGTCCGGGAACTAATACCTGTAAGCTATATAATAATTAATTAAATATAATTATAATTTGGTATTATTATCTGGCTGCGGCTTTAGTATTATCTATTATTATTACAGATTCCTAAGTTAGTTTACTGTAGCCTGTCTATTTTATAAGATATTATTATTAGTTTTTCTTTTGTCTTTATATATTTTATTTATTAAAGATTTTGTTAATTTTATATTCCTCTTAGCTATTTATTATAATAATAAATAATTATAGGTCATCCTGTTCTTAAAATAGAAATAGGTTATTTAATATTAGGCGGAGTAAATTAACATAGAAAATTAGGTAAATACTTTTTAGTATATCTAGTTATACAGTATATAAGCCCACTAGTTTTATAACTATATATTTTATATTTTTCTAATCTAGTTTCTTATTAAGATATTCTGTACTGATATTTTTCAGGTTTAACTAGACTTTATTATTAATCTTATATAATAATATTATTTAATAAAATTGATTTGCTTGTCTCTCTGTATTCTGCTAGGTATACATGATAGTAGTTTAAGCTTTATTTAATATATTCTAGATTTTTTGTATAATAGTATCTCCTTGTTTTATTAGGTTTAAAGCTATAATATTAAAGTCCGAGCTTTAAGCAGTCTTTATATATATTATATTTAATTTATAGCTGTGGCTCAAAAAAAAAGGAGAGAACCTAGTAATTATACTTATATAATTATTAATAATTAATTTAGCTATAAGTAATAAATTAACCCAGTTTTTTTAGTTATAATTAATATAAGTTTATAAATATACTTTAATAGTGCTATTTGCGTGCTTAGTAGCTTTATTAATCTGGGGGTGATAAATAGTTAATAGTTTTCTTATTATTTTTAACAAGTTATATACTCTCTTCCACGTATAACTAGTAAATTATATGCCATAATCTGATATAATTATTCTTAGGAGATTATATTATCTAAAGACTATTTTTATTAAAGCTTATGCTATTATTTCTAAAGTAATTTCTTTTATTATATATAATATAATTTCTTTTATAAGTTTGTCTATAACTACCAGGAGGTTTATATAAGACTTATTTTTAGGTAAATTAATAATAAAATTTATTATTATCTTTTATTATAATTAGTCAGGTGCTAGAAGGGACTTTAGTAAACTATATTTTTGTTTTTATTATAGTTTTATACAGCTACAGGTGTTATAGTTTTATATAAACTACCTAATATTATAGAATATATTTAGCTAATAATATTACCTGCTAAGATTAAGATATATCTGCTTACGCCCTAAGTACCCCGTGATTAAGAGATTATAATTTACTTAAATAAGTCGCGTATAAAATAGTTTATAATCTAGTATTTACTAGCGTCCCTAAAAGTAAATAAACCTTCTATCCGTTATACACTCACTAGGGGAAACCTTAAAGCCTAATTATAAAAGGAATTTATAGCTATCTAACTGTATAAGATCTTATAAGATTTAATATTTAAAGTTTTATATAAATACTTATTCTTAATTATTAATTAAGTTATTCTTTAATTTTTAGGGATCTTGCTCTTATAAAGTTTATATAAAAATTATTTTAAATATTCTTACTTTAAGCCTTTTTTACTTTTCTAGTATTTCATAGAAAATCTGTATTATATAAGAGGATATCCGAGAGTTATAATTATTAAGTATATTTTATTCACGCCAGGAAAAAATATTTATTTTTTAGTTCTTAGTTTCTTCCTGGTAGATTAGTTTAAAGTTAAATTTACTTAAAAATAGGCTTTACTATACATATCTCTTAGTTAATTTATGTAATTTAAAAAAATACTATAAATTCTTATAATCTATTATTATTTTAAATTCTAATACAGAACATAACTCAGTATCCTATATTTTAAAATAATATATAACTGCTAGAAGCTCCTTATTATAAATCTTATAATTATATTTTACTAAAGTATTTTACTTAAAAAAATACACGCAAGAATATAGTTCTCTATTTTTATCTATTTATAATAACATGCCCCCTATATTATAACCTAAGAAATCTATTTTTATAATTATTATATATTTTAGGTTAAAAAGCCGGAGTACTAGTTTTACTATAAATTTCTTTTTTAAAATCTAAAAATTTATTTTATATTCTAGAGTCTAAAAGAAAGATTAATCTTTCCTAGTTAGGTTTATAAGGGGCTATATAATATCTAAGAATTTTAAAATAAACTATTAATAAAAATTTATAAATCCTAAAAAGCTTTAGACTCCTTTAATTAATTTAAGATTTTCTTATAAAATAATTACTTTAATCTTTTTAAGATTTATCTTAACCCCTTTTTTTACTTATATAATAAATCCTAAATAAAAAGTTTCTTTCTGTTTAAACTCGCACTTTTAAATATCTAAGAAGAGTCCCACATCTTTAAATTTTTATAATATTTTTTATATATATTCATAATACTTTTCAAGACTGCTATTTATATATATAAGCATATTATTAATATAAGCTAAATAAAATTTATTAAGATATTCACAGAGCGCCCAGTTAATATATTTTTAAAAGATGCTAGGGGCGTTTACTAACCTAAAAGATATTACTAGCTATTTATATAATTTATATTATATATAAAATATAGTTATCTATTTTTATCCTTCCGCGATACGGATCTTATGAAAAGTAAATAAAATATTTAATTTAGTAAACTACTTTATTTTCCTAATCTAGTTTAACATTTTATAAATTAAAGGCAGGGGATATTAGTCTTTCTTAATAATTATATTAAAGGCTTAATAATCTATATAAAACTGAAGTCCTCCCCCTAGCTTTTATATGAATAGTACTAGGGCTACTGCGGATAAGTAGCTTACTTAAATAAAGTTTTTTTTTAGTAATTTAGTAAGTTCTGAATAAAGGACTATTAGTTTTTTTTAAAATATATTATATAAAGGTCCTTAGGAAACTTCTGGCTCTTTTTTATTCTATTATATAAGCTTAATCTTATAATTAATCTTTTTTCTTTTATATAATAATAGTTTTTCTGTGTTCTCTGGTCGGAATAATAATAAAAAGTCCTTATAATAATTAAGGAGTAATATATATAGATTAATAGTTTTTTTAGGATATAAAGCCTTTTAAATATTAGCTAGTAAAACTATAAATACTTCTGTTCCTTTTTTAATCTTTTAATATATATACTTCTTAATTTTAGAACTAAACACTAGTTAAATATCTAGTTTTGTATATTATAAATATAATAAATTTTTTAACCTTATTCTAGTTATATAGAAAAATAGCTGTCTTTATCTAAGTTTAAAAACTTTATTATAATAGGTTAGCTAACTCTTACCTAAGATCAGATTATAATCTAAGTTATTAGGTATTATATAAAAATAGGCTTCTTTTTTATAGTATTACCTAATATCTATCCTTATTTATATAACAGAATAAATTATAAATTTATTATCTAAAATATTTTTTACTAGCCTTAAACAGATATTAATAACAGTTAGTTTATTTTTTTATATAAAAATTTTACTAATAATATTATAGATAAGGCATCCTAAGTTAACTAACATACAAGTAATTATAGTTAGATTAAAGATTATTTTTATTATAAAAAATAGTAAGATTATATATTTCTATTTAAAATAGTTCTATTCTTCTCTTATTTTAACAGGTATTTTCTGCCTATATATATAACTTTATATTAAGCTTATTCTTTTCCCGAGTCTAAACTTCTATCTAAAAAAATAACTTATTTTTTTTATTCTTAGTAAGTAATAACTACAACTACTATTCTTATTAGTTATATAGCAAACTTAAAGAAATAATTTTAGATAAAATATTTATTTTATCTATAGTAGAGACAGTTATTAGCTTCCTGTTTTCTCTATAGCTTAATAAGTAATATTTATTACACTTCTCTTTAAGTACTGTTAATCTTCATATATAGAAAATATTGTTCTTATTAGACTGCTATAACTTAAGTAGGTACTTAATCTATTAATTCTAGATTAGATTTTTATTAGATTAAGATAATTCGGGTTTTATATTTTTTAGTTAGGAAGAATATCCTGGCCAGATTATAGTTTACTTAATATAATTAATTATAATAATCTTTATACATAAGCTCTTAGAAGATTCCGACTAGCCTTTTAATAAATTCCTAGTTAATAATAATATCTAGTATAACTTTTTTTTATTTATCTGACCAGCTATAGCCTCCTGCTTATAATAAAGCCTTATTAAAATTATTTAAGAATTCTTCTAATTCTATTTTCCCTTACTTTATTATATTTACTTAATTTAAGGCTTTTTATTATATGTCAGGGTCCCTAAATACTTTATCTATTATTATAATTATTTTATTTAATATAATTACTTTAGAATTCTAGGCTTTTACCCAGGGGAGTATCTATTATATAATTTATCCGCGTAATCTGCTATAAATATAGAAGACCTGTTCTAGTCCCGATAAATAGTAATCACTATTAATAACCAGTTTTATATATATATTTAATTTAAATAATTTATAATTATATTTATCTTCTTTATTAAATAATTCCACATCAGGATATCTGGCGCGAGATCTATGGTACAGCTTATACAATCATAGTAATAGGCTTTTAGTTTTTTTATTATTTAAGACAGGGGTCATATTACTATTTTATAGCTTATTTAATTATTTTTTAAAATTTAACTTTTGTCTCGCTATCTCTGTATAAAAGTTTATTAACTCTTATAATAGGAGTTAAGTATTATTATTTATTAATATAAATATTATAGTTAGTCATAGTTTTTCCGGTTCTATTTATTCTATTATTATTTCCTAGTGTTTTCTTTTAATTCCTTTTTATTTTATTTATACACCTAGTCAAGCTCTGTCTAGGACTTTTATTATAGTAAGCTATTCCTAATATTATAGGACAAGAAAAAGCTTCTGTTCTAAACATACTTTAAATAAAAAGAAATAGCTGGAGAGCTATTCCTTACGTCTGTATAAATCTTTTTATTATGTAGTACACTAGTGCTAGTGGCCGTGAGGCCTTAGGCACTAAGAGGTGCCTTAGGCAGAGCTTTTATATCTGGGGGCAGTCCCATAACAATATATAATACCACAGCTAAACCTCTCTAACCTAAAACAGTATGGTTACCAAGCTTATATAAGGATTTTAAATATCCCTAGGCTTAGTAAGCTTAAACTAAGAATTCTGATTAGTTATCTGATAGGGTATGTTGCCCTAAATATATGGAGAATATAGATACCTAGTTAAAATAAGGTTATTTTAGTATGTAATTGTATCTTTGATAAAACAAAGGTTTATAAAAATAAATAAAATATTTAAATATTTGAATTAGACCTAATTAGGTTAGAAAACCCCGAACCGCTTAGTCTTGAAGAAATTAATGATTTAATCTTTTTAATTTTAATTAATTTACCTGAAACCACTGAATTAGGGTTCACTAAGAATAAAATTATTGATGATATTTATTCTAAACCCGAATAAGATAAATCAGAATTATCTAGTAAATATAATCCTATTTACTATAAATCCGAACATGAAAATCAAATTATTAAATTAAATAATTAAAATAATTTAATTTAATCGAATACTTAAAATAATAAGATTTTAGAAGACTAACCTCTTATCCTGTATTCTTAATCACCCGAAGTCATTATTAATAATTTATTATTTAATTTTGATAATTATGACAATTTTTATGAACTATTATCTTTAAAAAAGAATAAGTTAGAGCCACCTGACCTAGGACCTTTAAAAATACCTTAAAATTTTATATTAGCTTAAATTAATAATAATAAATTACATTAAAATAATTTGCCTATTAAGCTAACTAATTAGAATAAAATGATAAATTCGCTTTTTCGTGATAAATGGCTAAATATATTTAAAATTAAATATAATTAATTAACTAAAATAAACACTTAGAAAGCCATTCCTAAAATAGATAATCTAATTTAAAGGATCCTACTATTGAAATAGGTATAGAAATATAAATTTACTAATTAAGGTTAATTATTAAAATTTAAAGCAAGAATATACATTCGTGGAGACCTTTAACTAATTAATAATCTTGACTCTAGGGCTATTATCCTAGCTACGCGAATATTTAAGATTATTATAGCCCTAATTACTGTTTTTGACCTTAAAACAGCTTAATAGGATATAATAAATATATTTTTAAATAATAAATTAAATAAATTAATTCATGTTTCACTACCTCCCGGATTTGGTTAACAAAATAAGGTTTTGTCAGATGGGGTAGGTAGGTCACGTGGGTTGAATAGAAATTTCAAATGGCTAGATAGAATAAAGGAAATCGATCAGTCATATGAAGTAAACAGTTCACCTGGACCACCTAGATCTGAAATAGATAGACCAGAGGTCCTACCATTCGCTATACATATAGATGGGTGAAATTGATTAAATAAATAAATAAAATTTAATTAAATAAATTAAGTGGGTAAATCAACTTGATGAAAAGAATAAATTAATATAGATTATTAATTATATATTTATAAATAATTAAATTAGGGCTAATTTAATCTGGCCCTAAGTAAATATTATAAATATAAAATTATTAGATTCTTTTAGGCCTTTACTTATAAATTATATTATTAATCTAGGCCTTTAAGATTAACCTTATAGATTATTATTAGATTAATATTTAATTATTTAAATAATTAAATGATTAAGATTTTATAATTAAAATAATTAGAATAATTAAGATTCAACATATAAATTATAATAAAATTATTTAAATAATATCAGAATAACTAGGGTAGTAATATTTACTTTATAACTTATAAAATAAATAGGCGAGATATTCTGGATCCTTTATATTAATTATCTGAATAAAGCTATTAATTATAATAGTTAAAATAAACTTTTAATTTTCTAGATAAGAAATTTATTAAATTATGTTTTCTGGCTTTTATAGAATTCTAGTAACCGGTGGTTTCCTAAATAGAAAGATAAGCTAGTTTAAAATAAAAAATTCTTTAAAAATTTTTCTTTTTTATTTTCTGCTTATGTTAAGCTTAGTTTCATCTTACTTTTCCTATATAATTTGGTAGTAGAAGTGAGAGTTTAATAAAGTAAGAGTAAAGTTATAGTAAATTTTAAATAATTTTAGTTATAGGGTGAAATCAGGTGATTCTAATAAATTAAGTAATATTAGATAACCCTAATTGACACATCCCTTTAGTTTAAATTAATAAAGGTATTAATTAAAACTGTAAACATTAAATAATTAATTATTATTTAATCAGATGTTAAATATTAACTATATTCAGTTATTTAGTAAATTTTGCATGTTCCTGCTTAGTCAGATATTTAATAAGGCTGTTTGTAATTATTTGATTAATAGGGACCTATTTTAATTTAATAGATTTCTTCTTAATTTTTTGCCTGAGCCAGTAATTACTAATATCTACATATTTTAATTTTATTTTATAAATTAAATTAGGCTTAGTAAGTAGGTTAATTATTTAATAATTATTATAATAAATATATAGTTTTTCTTCAGGGTTGAACCCTATAATAGTAAATAAATATTTTTATTATAGAAAATGCTTACTAGCCGTAATTAGGGCTAATAATTCTACTTTAATAGTAGATAGGGTAATTGTTTTTTGTTTTCTAGCTAATTAATTAATAGGTCTGCTAAATAGGTAGTATATAAAGCTTTTAGATAACTTTTTTTATAATAAATCTACATAAGCTGTATTACTAGCTATTTTAAAAATTGGCAGTGATTTTAATTGACTTATTAAATTAAGATTATATTGAATTAAATTAAATCAGGTTTTATAAATAAATAAAATCAGGTGATTTACTATATTTATATGGTTTGAATAAGGTTTAGCTATATATTTTGCGAGAATTTTGTAATTTTTTATAATATCTAGCCTAGAGATAACCGTAGGGTAAAGAATTAAACTAATTTTTTTTTAATAATCTAAGTAATAGGGTTTAGTAAGCAGTTGCCTTATAGATTTACTTAAATTACTAGATAATAGGGGCATTTTAGATAAATTCTGATTAGCTAATTTAAAGTAGTAAGTAACTTTTTTAATATAATCCGCTTAATTAAGCTAAATTGTTTGCTTCTGCTGGTTTCGAATGACCTTTATATTTAGGAATTAGTGAATTTTACCTAAATCTTTTAGATTATATATTAAAAATAATTAATTTTTTAATTTGTTAATTCTCAATTAATGATTTTAATTATATAATAAAATAATATTATCTATATAAATTATTAAAATTATATAATTATTTATAAATAGACAGGGATCTTCAGGCACTGATTTTAGGCCTAATTTTTGTAAAGTATTCCTTATTTTTTATTACTATAATAATAGGGATTGGTGTAGTCTGTATAAAGCTCTTTTTAGCTTAAAAACCTTATTTTATTGGCCGAATCCAGGAGGCGGTAAAACATAAATTAATTTATTTAATTTATTATTTAGGAATATATTTACTACATCCTATTAAGCTGTTTTAAGATCAAAAGCAATAATTAGGGCTATAATAGTCCTAAATATTTGTGTGGCTAGGGTAATAGCCCTAGAATCAAGATTATTAATTAGTTAAAGATCTCTATAAACGTATATTCTTACTTTAAATTTTGATAATTAACCTTAATTAGTAAATTTGTATTTTTATATCTATTTTAATAATAGGATCTTTTAAATTAAATTATCTATTTTAGGAATGGCTTCCCAGATGTTTATTTTAGTTAATTAATTATATTTAATTTTGTATATATTTAGCTATTTATTATGAAAGGGCGAATTTATAATTTTATTTTAATTAATTAGCTTAATAGGTAAATTATTTCGATATAATTTATTATTACTAATTTAAGCTAATGCAAAATTTTGAGGTATTTTTAAAGGTCCTGGGTTAGGTGATTCTAATCTATTTTTTTTTAGGGATAATGGTTTATAAAAATTATTATAATTATTAAAATTAAATAATAAATTATCAATAATAACTTCAGGTGATTAAGAATGCGGGATAAAAGATTAATCTTTTAAAATCTTATTACTTTATGTATTTAATTAAATTAGATTATTTTAATTGTTTAATTTAATAATTTGATTTTTATGTTTAGTTTAATCTTTATAATGAATAGGATTATATTTACTAAATAGTTCTGATTTATTTTATTTAGGTTTAAAATAAATATTATTAATTATTTTATTCTCGGTAAACCCTAATTCAGTGGTTTTAGGTAAATCAATTAAAATTAAAAAAATTAAATCATTAATTTTTTTAAGACTGAGCAGTTCGGGGTTTTCTAACCTAATTAGATCTAATTTAAATATTTAAATATTTTGTTCATCTTTATAGACCTTTATTTTATTAAAGATATAATTACAGGCTGAAATAACCTTATTTTAACTAGGTATCTATATTCTCTATATATTTAGGGCAATATATCTTATCAGGTAGCTAATCAGAGCTCTTAGTTTTAGCTTATTAAGCTTAGGGATATTTAAAATCCTTGTATAGGCTTAGCAACTATATTATTTTAGGTTAAAGAGGTTTAGCAGTGATATTATATATAATAAAGGCTAATTAAGATATTTAATTAAAGTTTTATATGAGGTACTCTACTTTAGTAAATAAGTAGGGATATAATTTAATATATATATTACTATATTTAATGATTCTGGCCATAAATATGGTAGTAATCCTGAATTAATAAATAAAATCTGTATTTTTTGTGTGATTAAAGTACCTAAATATTCTGTAAATAGGTTTTGCTCAGATTATCTAATTAGACTAGTATTACAGATTACTTCTTTAGATCTTATGTAATTATAGAAATAAGCTAGATTTTTATTTTAATCTGAATAAAATTATTTAATAGTTATATAATATTAATATTTAATAAATTAAATTATTTTAATGATTAAATTACTCATATGATTTTTTAATAAAATTATCTTAGCTATATAAAACTTTAAATAAGAGTAATATATATAATTAATATATTATTTTTAGTAGATTCCCTAATTTAAATAAATAAGGTCTTAATAAATAGTTTCGAATAGTTTAGTCCCTAATTGAATCGGAATTGGAGAAATTTGATGTTTTAATATTAATAATTAATAAATTAGGCAATAATCTTTAGTTTTAGTTAATTTATTATTAATTTTTACTCTATTAACTGCTAAATTAAAATATTTTAGGGCTTTAGAGCTTAGGTGCTTTAATCTTGAATACCATAGTTTAACTATTTTATAAGAGATAACTGGTTTATTTAAATTTCTTACTAAATAGGCCTCTAATTCATTTACTTTAATCTTCGGTAGTAAATTCGGTAATAAATTTAAATAGTGAATATAATTATTTTTAGGAGTTAATTTAGGTGATTATTAAATATAATTATTAGTACTTTATTTAATTAAATAAATTCCTGTAATTTCGAGGATTTTATAAATTAGATAGTAATTAGGGCTTTCTAGGCACATAGCCCTAGAATTAAGATAAATATTTAATTATTTTATTTTTAAAACAAATAAAATATTAATATAAAATTATGGAACATAGGCGTAATAATATAATTTAAATATTATTTTATTTTTATAAGGGTTTAAAGATTTTAAATTTACTATTCTAAAACTTTTAATTAATATCTGTGTATTCCCTATAGAGATTAATATAAGTAATTTATAATAATCACTGAATAGAGATTAATTATTATAGATATAGGTATCTGCCGCAGTATCAAATATCTAATTAGGACTAGTATGTTTTTTAATTAGTCTTATTAAATTTAAAGCTATTGTAATTAAATTAATTAAAAATTTATTATTTTAATTTATTACTTAATTTATTAATTTTAAGTAATTTTTCGTAGCTTTAAGTACTACGCGAAATTTAGGGTTCCTAGAGGCTTTATTAAATTATTAAATAGTTTTAGGATCACATGACTAATTTTCTGGTTTCTTTAATAAATTATTAATATAGAAATATTAATTAAATTTATATTTATTTTTATTAGAGTCTGATTAACAAGGGTAGTTTTATTTCTTTTTAAGAGTTCTAGGATTAAATTTAAGACTTAAAGTATTTTTTAAGATATTTCCTTTAAAGGTTACCTGAGCAATTCGGCTGGGTTAGTTTAAGTATTTAAATATTAGGAATATTTTCCTATAATCTTTAAATTATTTAGTTATATTAAAGAATAATAATATTTTATTATATAATTTAATTTTATTATTTAATTTTTTGCTCTAATAATTTATAAATGTTAAATAAGACCTATAAATAGCTTTAATAAAGTTATATTAAACTCGGTATAGATTATTTACTTTACTTATTTTAAGTGATTTTACTTTAGTATAGACGTTTTCCTATAGTATAATGTATGAATTAATTAAATATTTATTTTGCAGATTTTTAAGCATATAATATTACTTAATAATATCGCGTTTTTTTAATTTATTAGTAGGAGCTAGTTTTATTTAAAAGATCTATAACACGTGATATAGGATTTCTTTGTTAGATACTAAAACCTTATTAGCTAATGATATTAAGTTTTTAATTAAGAGTAGAATTAGGGCTAAGCTCTTATCTATATAACAGTATTCTCGAAGTATTAATTTATAATCGCGTAAAAGGTCTTAATAAAGTGCTTAATTATTTTAAGTTAAATTAATAATTAATCTAACATTTTTATTAAGGTTACATAATTCCGGGTAACTAGGCTGTACAGGTTAATTAAGCATAGTTATATAACTAGGATTAATAAATTCCTAAACATGTTTACTTTTAGTAATTATTTTAATTATATTAAACCAGTGTATTTAGTCATGTGACTGGTTTAATTAAAAATTAAGCTTTATATCCATGTTAGTAAGCTTAAATAATTAATAAAATAATTTAAATTATTTAACCTTTATTTTATCTTATTTTCACCTCACTTTCACCATATAAATTAATAATAAAAGTGAAAGTTCAATAAAGTAAAAGTAAATTAAATAAGTAGGGGTTAATTAAATTAGATAGGTAAATAATTCACTATAATAATAAATAGACAAGTAATTAATTAATTCGCATGTATTTAAATTTAATTAATAAATTAATAAAATAATTTAAATTAATCAAACACTTCAGACGGGTGAAATAAAACACTTAAAGTAAATATATAGGTTGAATAAATTAAATTAACATAAATAGTAAATAGTTCACTATAATAATAAGTAATCAAATGATTAATTCACGTGTGGGTTAAATTTAATTAAATAAATAAATAATTAATTCAGGTGTAGGTGTGAATTCGATTAAATGTATATAAATTTAATTAAATAGATAAATAATTAATTCATGTGTATGCATAAATAGTAGGAATAAAGGGCTAGACCGGGCTTATAATTATTAGATAGGGTAGATAGATCACGTGGGTTGAATAGAAATTTTAAATAGCTAGATAGAATAAAGAAAATCGATTAGTTATATGAAGTAAATAGTTCACCTGGACTACCTAGATCTGAAATAGATAGACTAGAGGTCCTACTATTCGCTATACATATAGATAGATGAAATTGATTAAATAAATAAATAAAATTTAATTAAATAAATTAAATGGGTAAATTAACTTGATAAAAAGAATAAATCAATACAGGCTATTAATTGTATATTTATAAATAATTAAATCAGGGCTAATTTAATCTAGCCCTAAGTAAATATTATAAATATAAAATTATCAGATCCTTCTAGGCCTTTACTTGTGAGTCATATTATTAATCTAGGTTTTTAAAATTAACTTTATAGATTATTATTAGATTAATATTTAATTATTTAAATAATTAAATAATCAAGATTTTATGATTAAAATAATTAAAATAATTAAGATTTAATACATAAATCATAATAAAATTATTTAAATAATATCAGAATAACTAGGGTAATAATATTTACTTTATAGCTTATAAAATAAATAGGCGAGATATTCTGGACCTTTTATATTAATTATCTAAACAAAGCCATTAATTATAATAGTTAAAATAAACTTTTAATTTCCTAGATAAGAAATTTATTAAATTATATTTTCTGGCTTTTATAGGATTCTAGCAACCGGTGGTTTCCTAAATAGGAAGGTAAGCTAGTCTAAAATAGAAAATTCTTCAGAAATTTTTCTTTTTTATTTTCTGCTTATATTAAGCTCAGTTTCACCTCACTTTTCCCATATAATTTAGTGGTGGAAGTAAGAGTTCAATAAAGTGAGAGTAAAGTCGTAGTAAATTTTGAATAATTTCAGTTGTGGGGCGAAATCAGGTGATTCTGATGCATCAGGTGATGTCAGATGACCCCAATTGACAGGTTTTTAAGCTAAAAAGAGCTTTATATGGACTATGCTGATCTCTATTACTATAATAATAAAAAATAAGGAATACTTTGTAAAAATTAGGCCTAAAATTAGTGCCTGAAGATCCCTGTCTATTTATAAGTAATTATATAATTTTAATAATCTATGTAGATAATATTATTCTATTATATAATTAAAATTATTAATCGAAAATTAACAAATTGAAAGATTAATTATTTTTAATATATAATCTAAAGGATTTAGGTAAAATTCACTAATTTCTAAATATAAAGGTTATTCAAAACCGGTAGAATTGAATAATTTAGCTTAATTAAGCAGATTATATTAAAAAAGTTACTTACTGCTTTAAATTAGCTAATCAGAATTTACCTAAAATACCCCTACTATCTGGTAATTTAAGCGAATCTATAAAGCAGCCGCTTACTAAACCCTATTATGTGGATTATTAAAAGAAAATTAGTTTAATTCTTTATCCTATAGTTATCTTTAAGCTAGATATTATAAAAAATTACGAAATCCTCATAAAACATATAGTTAAATCTTATTTAAACTATATAAATACAGTAAATCATCTGATTTTATTTATCTATAGAACCCGATTTAATTTAATTTAATATAGTCTTAATTTAATAGATTAATTAAAATCACTACTAATTTTTAAAATAACTAGTAATGCAGCTTATGTAGATTTATTATAAAGAAAGTTATTTAAAGATTTTATATACTGCTTATTTAGCAGACCTATTAATTAATCAGCTAAAAAATAAAAAACAATTACCCTATTTACTACTAAAGTAGAATTATTAGCCCTAATTACGGCTAGTAAGCATTTTCTATAATAAAAACGCTTATTCACTACTATAGAGTTTAACCTTGAAAAGAAATTATATATTTATTATAATAATTATTAAATAATTAACCTGTTTACTAAGCCTAATTTAATTTATAAAATTAAATTAAAATATATAAATATTAGTAATCACTAGGTTAGGCAAGAAATTAAGAAGAAATCCATTAAATTAAAATAGGTCCCTATTAATTAAATAATTATAAATAGCCTTACTAAACGCCTGACTAAGCAGGAATATGTGAAATTTACTAAATAACTAAATATAGTTAATATTTAATATCTTATTAAATAATAATTAATTATTTAATATTTACAGTTTTAATTAATACCTTTATTAATTTAAACTAAAGAGGTATGTTAAATAAGATTACCTAATATTATCTGATCTAGTCTTTTAACTAAAATTATTTAAAATTCACTATAACTTTACTCTTACTTTATTAAACTTTTATTTCCACCACCAAATTGTATGGGAAAAGTGAGATGAAACTAAGCTTAATATAAACAGAAAATAAAAAAGAAAAATTTCTAAAGAATTTCTTATTTTAGATTAGCTTATCTTTTTATTTAGGAAACCACCAGTCACTAAAATCCTATAAAAGTTAAAAAATATAATTTAATAAATTTCTTATCTAAGAAATCAAAAGTTTATTTTAACTACTATAATTAATAGTTTTATTTAGATAATTAATATAAAAAGTCTAGAATATCTTGCTTATTTATTTTATAAGTCATAAAATAAATATTACTACCCTGGTTATTCTGATATTATTTAAATAATTTTATTATAATTTATGTGTTAAATCTTGATTATTCTAATTATTCTGATTATAAAATCTTAATTATTTAATTATTTAAATAATTAAATATTAATTTAATAATAATTTATAAGATTAATCTTAAAAGCTTAGATTAATAATATGACTTACAGGTAAAGGCCTAAAAAGATTTAATAATTTTATATTTATAATATTTACTTAAGGCCAGATTGAATTAGCCCTTATTTAATTATTTATAAACATACAGTTAATAACCTGTATTAATTTATTCTTTTTATTAAGTTAATTTACCCACTTAATTCATTTAATTAAGTTTTGTTTATTTATTTAATTAATTTCACCCATCTACATGTATAACGAATGGTAGGACCTCTGGTCTATCTATTTCAGATCTAGGTGGTCCAGGTGAACTGTTTACTTCATATGACTGATCGATTTCCTTTATTCTATCTAGCCATTTGAAATTTCTATTCAACCCACGTGACCTACCTACCCCATCTGACAATCAGAAATATTTAAATTAATTATAAAAAGCATAGGATCACACGGCATATTAAAATTAGAGTAAGCGAGCGATAAGATATAGAGATTAATATAATTTATAAATATTAAATCTATATTAATTAAGAGATTTCTGTTTAAGTTATTGTTTGAATTATTAAAGAAGTTATTTATAAATTATTAGTTTAAATTAAATAAAATAAAATTAACAGAAAAATTATCTTTTTCTTTATTTTAATTTTTATATTCTTTTTTATCGTGATCTTTATTTAATATATTTTTAGGATTAAAAAAGTAATTAAATAAAAGATAATTATTAAAAAAGTTATAATAATTATACTAAATTATAGTATAGTCCTTATTATCCCCCCCAGACTGCTAATTTAATTAATTATTATTTATAAAAAATAAGAAGTTACCTCTACCGCAGCTACAGCCTTTATAACTATATTTATAATTTTTTTAATTTTAAAGACCTATTTTATTCTTATTAATATTTTTTTATTATCTTTTAATATATTAGTAGTAATTACTTAATTAACAAATATATAGACTTACTTTCGCGATATCTTAAAGTTAAAAAAATTAATATAAATTACTATTATGTTAATTTCTGAGGATTTATATTTTAATTTAATTTAAGCAAGTAAAATATAAAAGGCAGAGACTTTAGCAAATATTTTTAAAAATAGTATATATTCTAGCTATGGTTTAACAGTCTTAATAAACCTGAGTTTTACCAGAATATTATAAAATTTCTAAATAAAAATATTATATTTAGCGGACTCGGTGTATTTCATATTAACTAGTTAAATATAAAAATAATAGTATTTTTAATTTAACTATTAAAAATAAAGTTATTCTAGAGTCTTTTAGACCTTATAAATATTATTTTATTTTTTTATATAACTATTAGGACTAATATCAAGGATAAAAAAAAGAAGAGATACAATTAAGAATAACTTTTAATTACATAAAAATAATTTTTATTTCTAGTAAGTAAAAAAAATAATATTTTAATTATTAATTTTTTTCTTTCGCGTAATAATTTATATATTAATAATAATATCAGTATTAATATTCAGCTCTTTAGCAAAAACTATAATTAATAAATTATTATTAGTCTGATAAGTATTAGGGTATTATAGTTAGGACATAATATCTTATAAAATAACCTAATAAAAGTTATTTTTTAAATATAGAGCGACTTTAAGAGCTCGAGACTATTATTTATAATTAGCTTTACTTTTTAACTTGGGTATAGCCTTATAGATATTAATATTTAATTAAAAAAAATAAATTCCGCTATTGTACTTCTAAACAAATAAAAAGCTATATAAATAAGATATAAGACAGTAGAACTAAAAAAAAAATATTATAGAATAAACCTAATTAATAATAAATATTATTTTTTAATAAGGCGGACTCCGGACACAATTTCGAATAAAATTAATAAATAAAATTAAATCTAATAATTAAAATAGAGTTGGCATCGGTGCGGATTCGGGCGGTGGAAGACCATCTCGGGACCGCCCGCAGCGGGTTTCGGGCTCAAAATCAGGAACCCGCAACCATTGCGGGTTGGGGCAGGTTTGGTGCGGTTTTTGCTAAAAAATCCACAGCCTAGCCTATTTTAGTATGTATAGCAAGATTTTTATAATATTAAACTAACTATAGTTAAATTTAGTGTGACTTTAGTACAGATTTAATATAAATTATAAATTTGTTTTTAGATATAGACTTATCGCCTAACTAATTAAAAAAAGTTATGTATTATAATTTATTTTAGTAGATTTTTAGAAATAAAAATAAAATATATAATATATTTTATATTAAATTATTTATTTTTATAATAAAAACTATAATTTTTTCTATAATTAGCGAGATCGACTAATTATACTAAATATTATTATAATATATATTTAACATATATATATCTTATAAATATTTCTTAATTAGTATCCTAGCGAACCCCTTATTCAACCCTTTAATATATATAAAATAACTTATTACTTTATAAAGAACTAAGAAAGCAAGCTAATAAGTAATTAAATTATAATTTAATTATTTTATTATTTAAATTATCTTATTTTTATTCTTTAATACTAATTTAGTCTTTCTTATTAAAGATTTTATTTTATTATACTAAGAGATATAACAGGCCATAGATTATTATATAATCCTGCTTAATTAATTATATACTTTTATTAATATTAGAAAAATAGTATTATTTACTACTAATAATTTATATAAATAATTAAAATAAAATCCTTTATTTTATTATACTAATAACTATTTCTAGTTGCTAGCCGACTAAAGTTTACTAAAAATATTATTAATTAATTAAATTATAATATTATTTAATCTTTTTTCTTTATTATCCCTATCTTTTGTAAATAGCCTTTTTTATAAAAGTTTTTTATAAAAGCTACTATTTATAAAAATATCCCCCTTTCCCCCTTTCCACCCTGGTAAATAGTAATTAGATTATAGTTTAATTATACTTAATTAAATTTATTATTTATTTTTAATTTTTTTTAACTTTTATCTGAATTTTTTATTCCTTTACCTAGTTAATTAAACCGTGGTCTAATTAGTTTTAACTTTAATTATTATTTACAGACTATAATACTTACTAAACAGAAGAAAACCCCTAAAAAAAAATAAATAGGCTAATATTATACAGGATAATAAAATATAGTATTAATTAAAAGACTAGTTTTTTAGTATACTAGTTCTTAATATATACTTACTAGTTATAAAGTAGCCCGGTAATCTTTATTAGTATTAACTAAATAAAAAGCTTATAAATTAACTATAAAAATTTTTTTAAGCAGGTATTTACTGCTAGAATATTAAAAACTATTTAAAATATATTATTATAAATATAAAATATAACTTTAATAAACTTTTAAAAATCTTTTATGCTCTTTATAAAAACTTTAATAAGAAGGAGAGTAATAAGATATTATTAAAAATTATTAATAATTAAATAATTATTTATGTACGGAATCTTATTATAATTTAATTATAAAAAAAACTAATTTTTTTAGGGTAAGATATTTTCTTTAATTAAGTTTAAATTAAAACACCCTATAATTATTAATATTAGAATCTATATATCTTTAATTATCTTACATAATAGCCAGTACCGGGTAACAGTAATAAAGTAAATATTAGAACAATAAAAATTATATAACTTTATAAGAATTAAAGATTGTCAAATGGGGTCACCTGACATCACCTGATTCATCAGAATCACCTGATCTAACCCCACAACCGAAATTATTCAAAATTTACTATAACTTTACTGTCACTTCATTGAACTCTCACTTCCACCACTAAATTGTATGGGAAAAGTGAGGTGAAACTGAGCTTAATATGAGCGGAAAATAAAAAAGAAAAATTTTTGAAGAATTTCCTATTTTAGACTAGCTTACCTTTTTTTTTGGGAAATCACCGGTCGCTAGAATCCTATAAAAGT